GGGTCCTTTAGTGTTTACATTAAAGGCGCCTTAAGAGTCCTTTAGTGTTTACATTAAAGGCGCCTTAAGGGTCCTTTAGTGTTCACATTAAAGGGGAGGGGAATCCTTTAGCATTCACATTAAAGGCGTCTTAGAGGTCCTTTAGTGTTCACATTAAAGGCGAAGAGTGTTCGGGGATTTTTAATAGTATTTAAATAGAGTATTTGGTAAAATTCATTGAGTTCTTACAAGTACATGTACAACGGGTGTTTTCAAATTTTTGAGCTAGAAGAAGTACAACACATGTTTTCAATCCAAATTTTCAAAACACCAACACCATAGATAGAAGTAGTAGTAGTACTGATTTCCTGATTGCTGCTCAATCCACCTCTGCCATATAGGACACCAATTTCACGTTCTAGTTTGTGAAAAACTTGACTGTATTTCTGATCCACGATCCAATCATCGATTCCTGCTTGCATGTCGCCAAGACGTCGGTTGCCAGGTCGCGACCCGATAGAGTTGTGGTAGAACTGCTCGCGAAGGGAAGGGTTAGAGGTGGGAAGGGGAGCGAGAGCGAAGGTAAGAGGTAAGTAGATTGGAGGTACACCCGGTAGGTAGGTAGATAGGTAGGTAGATAGGCACGAGGTAGTTCGGTAGCTGCTTGATACATACTTAGGTTGTAGGTAGATAGATTGATAAGATGGGCATGGGGAGGAAAAGGTAAAGGACTAAGTGATGTTCTTGAAGATAAGGTAGTGTCATGCCAACTTCTGGGTAACGCATGTTTTCCACGTTCTTCTGTTACAATTTGAATTACAACGAGGCATAATGGACAACTCGAACAGCTGCTCTGTTATGTGTTCGGCGCCGTCGTCGTAGTTGATGTGGGCCCCTGCTGACACCAGCATGTCGAAGATCTGCTTTCGTCCCAGCTTCGTCGCTTCTATTATCGGCGTTTGTTGAAATTTATCCTCGATCTCCAACAAGTTGATGTTGCGACGCAATTCCGCATCTGTGATACTAGAGTCCGCCTTTGTTTTCGGTGAAGATTTGATGTCATCTAGCGCACAGCCTGTAAAATGATCCACACCGGTTGGCATCGACCCTAAAATCTGGCCAAAGGTAGGAATTGGTTGAGGCTCCGGCGGATGTGGAAGAGGGGGCAAGGAACCAGATAACTGTTGCTGTTGATGCGCAGTGGGTGACGACATTTTTGAAGAGATTGGAGTTTGACTTGATGTTTCACTCATAAAGTCTCCTCCACTGGCACCTGCAACTTGTTGTAGTTGTTTTTCCCGTTCTTCCTGCATCCGCAGATACTCCTCTTCTTGTGCAACTGCGCGTTCTCGCAATTGCTGTTCTATCCGCGTCGCACGCTGAAAATTCTGCTGGTCTACCAAGGCTGCGTCGTCAACTAAAAGTGGATGTTGCTCTTCTTCGACCTCTTCTTGTGCGCCTGCTAAAAATGCTTGGTTGTTCTCCTCTTCTATCGTCTGCATCTTGCCTCCGCTACCATGATCTCCTGTTGGACTCTTCTCAGTTGTAGCTCCACTTCCTCCTCGCCTCGGACTCTTGAAATGCTCACGGATGGTGTCTTCGTGTATCCTAGTGCCGCCGGGCCACTCCACTGCGTCGCCTTCCGCTACTAGTTCCTCCACAGTAGGCACTCGAGGAACTGCCAATTCTTCCTTCAGTTTGTCATTGTTGATTTTGCGCCGAGACCACATGTCCTCCACTCCTTTTAAGGTTTTACGGGATGTTAGAAGACAAGAAAGACAATCGAGAAACTCCTGTAATTAAATAGTAATTAACTTTAGTACAACAACAACTATGGTAGAAGTACTATCATCAACGCGCTGCTCCTACAGCGAACTACAAAAAATAAACAGGTCCATAAAAACGCCGCCAACTCGTCCTCTGTTTCCTTGCGCCATTTTTCGTGGAGTTCGGCGATTTCCCCAGGTGTTGCATTCGTAGGTATCTCGTGTTTTCCACTGCTTGAAGAAAATGAAAGTGGACGGGAGGGGGAGGAGACGATGAGCTTAAGAAGTGTGATAGCTCTAGCGATCAGAAAATGAATGGGTAGAAGAATGCTCATGCACGCACCCGACTCAGGATAGGTTGAGAGCGGTACAAGCTCAGATCTAACATTCTCCTGACTATGAATGGCTAAATCTTCAAGCATAACTTCCCCCCAGTCGAAGTCTTTTCAGTGCCAGTCTTTTTCTTCCCTTTCTTTGCTGCTGGACTTGCTTTTTTACCACCTGCCTTTTCTTTCTTGTTTGGTGATGAGGCTTTTTTAGCGGGTTTATCTTTATCCGCCACTGCAGAGGTGCCCCCAATCGACCCGCCTAGTGCATCTTCCTTACTATTGCCTAGAGAACTTTCGTCCTTACTGTTCGTTGAACCTATTGTCCCGAGAAGCTCATCGCCCTCACAGGTTCCCTGGCGAACTTTAGAGGTAGGTTTTTGGTGCTTGCTTACCCCGCTTTTTATGCCTTTCTCCCTTAGGAGAGGCATAAAAAGCGGTAAGAAAAGCACCTTTAACCTACCCTTAAGAACTGTAGTGGTTCCGGTGGTACTTAACGGGTCACCACCAGTGTTAGACGTAGTGCTACTAGAACCTGGTGGTACTGCGGACGTTCCTGCTTCGTTCTGCTCATTGCTGCCATCGAGAGCATCGCCTGTAGTTGTTGGAGCTGCCGCAGATGAAGAAACCGCATCACCCTCTTCACCGTGGTCGGCAGGAGAAGGGTGCCCTTGGTGGTCTACTACGTGATCTTGCGGCTGTTGACCACTTGTTTTTGGATTCTCTAGTATCGACTTCGAGCCATTGTTTTGTGCAAACTCTGGCTCTGATCGGCTCAGCTCTTTGACTTCTGCTGCTCCGTCAACCACATACGAGTGACGAGCGTTTTTAGCTCTTGTCAAGGATTCATTTTGTCCTTGTTGAGCATCTCCTGGTGCTACTAGTCCTCGCTCGCCATTTAATTCAAAGGCAGCATCCTCTAGTTCTTTGTCCTCCTCCAGTGCCTGTGGCTGTTTAGCGACCCCTTTCCACCTAGCGGGATCCAATAGCACCACAGAACCCGGCGATCCTTTTACCGGACTAAGCATTCCCATGTGCATGTTCTTGTTCATCTTCATCTGATTCACTAGATCCTGCCATTGTCGTTGAGCCTCTAAACGCTCTAGTTGTTCGTGCTCTGGGTGTCTGGGCCAATCTCTGGATGTTCGAGCGTCAACCTTGAAACGCCCACGAGGACCAAGAGAGAGAGGGTCGAGGTAATATCGTCGGTTTAGGTCAAGGATTTTGGCGCCGATTAGAGGAGATGCTAAAGTGGTGTGGCTAAAGTGGTGTGGCTGAAGGAGGAGATGATCTCTTGCAGAAGCGTGGAGTGATACTCAATGCACTGCTTCGCCTGGTGCATTTGCAAGGATGGAAAAAAGAAGAACTGAAAAAACATCTTTGCATAAGTCCACGACCCTTTTGCTTTTTACTAATCTCTATTAGGTTCCTTTTACATTTAAGTACTTCTCGACGAAAATATCCACGACCCATAAGACTAAATTCTTGAAATTGTATCGACATGCGTAGTGCAGCAAAGTCCTCCCGTATTGATCCTGCACATGCATCTGCCTCTCGTATCTTCCGCTGTAGCTGTTCGAAGACAACGGCCCTGCTCTCAAGTCGCTGGATGGCCTGAGCATCTCTAGAATTTCGTCTTCACTCATGCCCTTTCGTAGGGCATACATCAATCGGGTCCCATAGTCTGCGAAGTCTAGTTCACAGACGTGGACGCTATGGAATCGAGGAACGCGAGAGTCCACCACAGAGGCGGACGGAACCAGACTTTCTGTTACGAATGGCATCTTTGTTGAATTAGCAAGACTCACGTGAAGAGTGAAACTAATGCTAAAGAGTTACGGATCTCAAATGGAAGGTGCCTTCCAATCTGCTTCTTCTTCAGTCTGTGGAAGGTAGGTGAGTGTCGTATCAAGGATATTAATATGTTACATGCCAAACAGGAGGACGACAACGACGATCACCACGAAGTACTGCTTCTACTGGTACGATAACTAAAACTATGACTATGTAATTATTTGTATTTACTTGTAAGTAGTACTAATGGCTAGCAGGTGCTGTACTAGCGAAGGCTTTGGTCTTGATCATGTTGCGGTTTTGGTGTCTGAAATGGGAAGCCTAAGCCAAATAATGAATTTTACAGAGGAAACTCCTAATGGTAAAACAATGAGGACTCATCTTTCTTGTTACTTAGGCGGGTGAGCTACTTCAAGATTGTGATGGAAGCACGCGCGCAAGCGCATCGGGTAGCAAAGCAACCAGGGATCAGTAGATGGATGAATCTCATTTAACCGAGTGTTCTACTAGAAGTGCTCCTGTAACAGATTGACATTGACGTCTGGTATAAATTTCCAACACAAAACCTAAAAAGCACACAGAACCTAAAAAGCGAAAGTGTTGACCGAAAAGTAGACCGAATCTTTTTCACACGACGTTCTGAAGTGGACCGCAATGATCAAGACCGAAATGATATCGACGTAATCATCACGACGTTCTGAAGTGGACCGCTTTTCCTTTTCTGATGTTCTTCAGCAAGCAACCGAACAACTACTCCTACTACGTACTTCATTTTCCTGGTAGTTCCGCATCTGGATCACCTAGAAGCACTAGATGCGGTTGCGGATACTTGTAGTAGTAGTACGTTATTTCAAAGCTCAACACAAGTTGTTTTGCAGACTCAATAATCAGTTCCAAAAAAAGTGTCCCACATTGTCACGAAGAAGGATTTCACACTTCCCAACGCCCTAGAAAATACACCGGCACCAGGTGGCCTTTTGTTATCCCCTAGGTAGAAGGCGTAGACATAAGCCGCGTATCTTACGCCATGCAAAATGTAGAAGTCTTGCACTTCGTCTAGTCTGATAAACCCCATGCCTTCGTAAAGTCGAAGCGCCGCTTTGTTGTAGGGGATCACGTGGAGCGCCAACGCTCTAGGGGAATGGACGCAGAGGGACTGATATTTGAAGCTGGGAAGTTGATGAATGATTTCTAGGAGCAGACGACGACCAAGGCCTCGGCGACGCATCTCGTCTATGATTAGACCTCAAAGCATTTCAGTTCTTATTAGCTCATTTCTCCAGATCCTAAAAACAAGAAGTCCACGAAGAGAAATGATACTTGAGAAAGAGAATGAATTGTTTTGAGCAGCCTTAATATGACACCGAGTGTTAAGATGTAGGCAATAGCACCAGATGGAAGAGGCCTGTCGTAATCGTAATCGACGTGTCGGTTTCGTGACCTACTTGGTCGGGAGGAAGAGGAGCCGTTGATGTGGTTGTAGTTTTGGAAGTTGTTGGGTTTGGAAGATGTCGTTAGTATCTGGCCACCTGCAGCTAGAGTACTACCATCTCCAGTAGGCAAGCCGTACATGTCGTAGGTCTCGCCTAAGTCGTCACACGATCTAGCTCTTTGTCTATTATGATTCGGATTCTGTTTTTTCGGTGCATAAACCACATCACTTTGATGGCAAATGTCTGAACAGCTACACCGCTGGCCCAACACTGTAGGCAAGATTTCTGCATGATGCGTACAGGCCAAAGACACGCAAATCAAGCCCAGCAAGTTGTTCCCGCAATAGGCACCTAGAGTGTAGATGTGGCCTTGCGCAATCGACCGGTAAAAGCTGTCATCGTAGGCTATTGGGAACCATTCAGTATGTAAACGTCGGCATTCGTCCATGTCATCAGGCAAACTCAAGGCGCGAAAGGTTACGTCGCGGTCGATATCTATGGAGTCAAAGAATTGCTGTCCGAATTCATGCACCTCCGCTTGCAATCTGGGTACCAGAGATTCGTCGATTTGACCAAAGGGAATAGCAGAGGAAGTGGTATGGGAACCGAAGCGGTAAGTTGTACTAGAAGTAGAAGCGTCTTGTTCATTTCTTGTGCTCTTAGTACTACCATTTTGATTTTTGGGATAGGACTTGGTTTTGGTATGGAGACTGCCATTGCCATTGCTACTAGAAAGTAGATGTTCTTGGCGTTGATCTGGAGGTGTAAGTTTCCTCGACTGTTCTTCTTCTAGCGGTGACCACGGTGCTGCTGGCATCCTTTGATGATTCTGACCACCTCTACCTTGCTCGTCCCTATAATCGTCCTTGTAGACATGCGTCGAAGTGCTACTAAAGCTGGGTGTAGGTGGCGAAATTGCATAGTCTTGTTGAGGATCTCTGAGTTCTTGTCGTGTAGAACTAGACGATCTAAGTTCTTGACCTCCTGCAATAGGACTAGAGGTCGAAGAGCCACTGCGTCTACTTGGAGAAGGAGTCGTCCTGGTGGCCTTTGCTGTAGTTACTGCAGATGTGCTCGACGCACCTCCAGCTCCTGCGTGTGGAGGTGTGGCTGCTATCGACGAATTCGTCCATGATCGACTATCGGTCATGTTCTTTTTTTCGTTAGAAATCAATATCAAGCTGAAGCAGGGTAGAACGACTACAAATGATCGATGTTCAAAATTCTTTTCGCGTCCTCGAAGTCTGATTCTACAACTGTTACTGAGGTAAGATTAAGAAAATGAAGAAAAGTATAAATCATAAAAAAAATACAGTATTCCTGTGACATGCAGCTGGTAATGATGAATGCCAAAACATGGTTTGAGTGTACCTGCGGTCAACAGGCTAATTATGTCCATTTTCGTCGACACTTGTGGTCGTTTCCTCTCTGTCGTCGTCGTGTCAGAGTTATTTACAAAATTATGACGGAGAGCTTCCAGTTGTATGACGACACTGAGTATGGTGGACGAACGCCAGGAGCGAAAGATAGTTATAACATATTTTATACATGTACTAGCTCTGATGCTGATCACGTCAACAGCACACAACTTTTCATCGATATTCATTGTACACGAAAACGTCTTTAGATTTCATTATACTTTTTCTGTTATCCGCAAACTGTTGATGCGCGTCGGTAGTTGTTGTTTGTTGTTGTCACTCGACATCAGTCATGAATATCACGTTTTTCATGACTTAGACTTATTTGCCAAGCGCGCAAGGAAATTCGGTAAATCATCATGCTTCCCCTTCCAATTTCGGTAAGTAGTTTATTGACAAGACCACGGTTGCCGATGCCATCATGATGCAGTAGGAAACCCACTGCTGGCTTCCAGCTACTGCTACAAACGTCGGCCACCCATGTGGCGCCGCTCGCGCGTCTCTGCTGTCGAATGCTGCTAAGAGAACCACACCCGCAAAGAGCAAGAGAAAGCCACCCATAATACAGATGTAAGCGGCACGACCCCATCGGAGGATATGAAAGACGAGGAGCAAGATGATGATGATTCCAATGTCAATGATGTACTTTTCAATCTTAAACAATCACGACTTCTACTTCTTCTTCTTGCATTCCACCAGGTCCCTCTTTTCTACTTAGAATGATGGAATCAATGCTACAAGTACAACTACCAACGAGCAGAAGATACAGCCGTCGTGCCATAAAAGTGTCTCCTTGTGAGATCTTTTACGATCTCCTTGTATTCTCGAAATTTCGCGAGTGCTAAAGCCGCTACCTTTTTCAGCAATATCACCGCTGGATTCCCACCTCTTTCTTGTGGATTTCTACCCCTAGGCCCTCTAGAAGACCCATCCGGACTTAACGGAGGCATTTTTAGCAGTAGATGATATAGGACCACCTCTCAGTTTAAACACTGTTCTTGTAGCATGATTGGTTGTTTCGCCAACCGATGCTGGTATTCTGAATTGACGTTTACTCACTCACCAGGTACAAGCTCTCAGCTCTGCCTCAATGTCTGCTCTCTTCGGAGAACGTGCACCTCGCAGACTGATAAAAGATCAGTGCGTGGTCTACTGGAGTAGTGGAATCTTCATCAGTGGGAAATTTGGAAGCAACCGATGGTGGTGGTACTCTGCATTGAAAATCATGTGTACTCCTACTCACTTCTCACGTACTAAAGCTCTCAGCTCTGTGCCTTACTTGCGACGCGGACCACGCCGGGTTGAGTCTACGTCCTCATTGATCTTCAATGTCACTTTTTATGACGACCATATGCTGTTTCGTTTTACTGTTGTGGAACACAAAAAAAGTTCAGTCGGGGCATCAGATACTTCTGATGCAGCTGGTGCAGGTTCTCAGTGTCAATGGGACCTTCATCTTCTTGAGTCGAATCTTCACCAGAAGTGGGGAATTTGGTGGAAAAGTTTCATGCAATAAGGTTTGTCCTTGTCGACAGGGGGGCGAATGCGTTGCTCATATCAGTTTGAGCTTCATTAAGGACGAGATCATGACGAGGTCTCACAATTATTTCAACACCCATCAACTAACAAGTCTCTTTTCAGTGCTTCTCGCATCTCCAATCGATACCGATCTGTCTCCTGTCGCACACTGAGCAAGAGTTCAGGAGTCAGGGGTCCACCATCCACGAGGGCCACTGCGCCAGCTACTTCGGCATACACCAGGTTTGTACTCAAAGCAACAGCAGGCATATCCAGCATTGGAACGGACGCATTCGCCAATGCTAAGCCGCAGGCCATTGTCATTGCACTGGAGAGGATATCGAGAGTTGCCACTGGAGGTAGAGCTTCAACATTGTCCATCTCCATCATGTTGGCAGCATTGCTAGAGGACAGCACTGAAGTACAACTACCTGAGGCTTGCAAAACAATCAAGTCCAACATCAAGGCTCCGGACGAACTATTACTTGCTTTTTTCGTATGGCAGCTCTCGGAAACCAGAGACTGCAACAAGACGCTCTCGACACGTGACTTGAGAACATCCATCGCTCGTCGTCGGACTACACGTAGGGACTTGGTGTTGTTAGCATCAACAGAAGCTGTAGATGGCGTTGTCGTTCTTGAGTCGTCAGGGGTCGTCCTTCCCACGGGAATCGTCGTGCCAGGATAAGTGGTCGCCCTTCCCACGGGAACCGTCGTGCCAGGATAAGTGGTCTGGGCTTGGTCGCCAAAGCTGCTGTTGTCCATGAACCCTCGAACACTCAAATCCAGTACGCGATTCCTACGGTCTCGTCGTCCACGGTAGTAGGCTATCACTTTGCTTCCGCCAAGTTCGACATAGGCAGATCCAAAAGCAGCCCCCACTGTGTGCACACCAGCACGAAATAGAGAGTGCAGCTTGGTTTGCTCTTCGGTGCCAGTCTGCTGCTGATTAGCCAAATAGCTGGTGCTGCAGGAGGTCGTAGCTGTTGAAACTGTCATCTTTCTCTTCTTTCTGATCCAAAACAAGAGATAAAGTCAATATGAGTGTAATTTAATAGCAATCGGCTACACGTACAAACGGATTAAGATTATGAACTTAGAAAATAGCACTGTGCTACTTCCTATTTCACTCCCAATTCCGCCTGGCTGAAATAGCAAATATAAGGTTGATGTTTACAATCCTAGTGCTTAGATATGATACCGCCATAGCCATTTTGAGGATTGGAGAATTGTGACTATGAAGATCAGATATAAGAAAAGCCATGCGATTGCAGATCAAGGTCGTGCTAGTTGTTGATCTCGAAGATGATCCTGGCGTTGCCATTATCTTTACATAGGTGTAGGACGCGTATTATAGCACTAGCGCTTTACACATTGAAAAATGATCTGCTCTTTACACTCAAGGTCGTGAAATATCTGACGAGAAGGAACCCACAAGATCATGAGCATTTCAGTTTTTACTTGATCTTCACACGAGAAAGATGAAAAAGCGTTGTATGGTTCAACGGTGATGTATTTGTAGGTGGACAATTAGAATCACACGTCTGTCGACGTCGCCAAGGGGATGACGGACTTTGTGAAAAAGAGAATGCTCTGAAAATGAACGCTCGCTTCACCCCATAAAAAGTGACTTGGACTTCATTCTCTGATCATGGAACAATAACAAGGATGGGTAGAAAAACAAGGATTACAGTTGTGCTTTAGAACAACAGGCTGTTGGTGTACACTACAGGGTCACCATTACACATCAAACAAGAAACAAGTTATAAATTTATGATCAAGGACGATATGATCATGAGATCTTCTACTACCAACTACATCTTGTTCCTGTGCCGTAGTTGTTTTACATGCTTATCCTGACACCCATACCTTTGCATTTTTCTCTAAAATGCTCCATCCACGAATGATTTTCGCCCAAGCTGGTTCCCCAAGACGTTAAAATCTTCCTCGCAACCGTTGGGGCATCCGAAGAAACAGGATTTGTTGCACCTTCAATCTCTTCATCCCAGAACTCTTCCCAGCTCATACCTGTGTACGGATGATAGATTCCAAATTTTGTCTCGATATTCTCGCAATACTCGATAAAAGGTCCGCGTCGCTGGTTTCCGACTGCGCCGCAAGCTTGAATCTTCAAAGCGAGATAGCGTTGCCGCAGGTAGTGCGAAGTGGAGATTAGAAGAAGAAGAGGAACGAGTGATAAACAGGTGGGGCGGGCGGAGATCTTTTTATTCCTAGGTCGATGGATCGGACTGAGAATTATATGCTTTTCTACAAATACCAGAGGAGAAGGAGTATCAACACCATCTACACCACGAACACCGATATCAAAATGAGTCCTAATTCAAGCGGTTCTTGTAGTTTTTCCTCGAAGTTTATGAAGCGCTTGAGACGGGACATTGTGAGGCCATTGTTTCCAATCTTGGCGCATCTTTCGAAATCAGCGCACTCAGATTCGTACGCTTTTTCAGCATCAGTCAGAGCGAAGGAGAACTCAAACGGTGTTCCTGAGGCGCTTCCTGCTAATGTTGCCCGTTGCTTTCGTGGTGCAGAAGTGCTCATTCCCGTATGTATTCCTAGGTCTTTAGTCTGCTTTTGGGCGGTCGTCATTGCAACAACATCCTGCGACGAGCCCACAACAGCACCAACATCACCTCCACCAAGACGTCCTTGCCCTTTCATGTCTTTCTTCACCGTTCTCTCCACTTCATCCTCGATTAGGAACTTGAGAAATTGATTTGCGCCTTGTGGCCGGCCCATTGTTGCGACGAGTTGTTGCATTTCCGCAGGCCAAGAGGCTACAACGGCTTCACGCTCAGTAGGACTCGACAAGAGGAGACTTTGCACCAGCCGATCACGCAAGAAATCTCTCTTGTCTGTTTCAGGAGCAACCGCAGTGCACTTGACAGACTCCTTAGATGACGATGCCTCACTTTCATCCGAAGAGTCTTGCTCCTCCTTTATTGTACAACAACTCTCGCACTTGCAGAAAAACTCTTTGCTGTTCCACAGTAGCATTCGACGGACCGCTGTTGGCGAGTAGGTGTCTTCGGGAGTTAGGTACGAAACGGTTAGCACTTCTCCGGCTTTTACGTCTTTGATGAGACGAACGGTTCTGCGACCAGGTGGCGGGAGGCGCTTCATTTGAGGGTTGCTCTTGCTTCTAGCGTGGAAATTTGTCACGGTTGCAGCAGAAAGTGCACGACCACGGTGCAGTTGAGCAGCGAGTAGGGTGTCTTGTTCCCGTTGATGGAGCTCCCGCTCTTCAAGTTTGGTTGTTGGACTACCAGACGCCACAGTAGATGGCGTTGAAACCCTTAGGAGTTCTTTGTCGTCCACGGAACCCATAAAATTTCCACTTCCAGTTCGTCCTTGGGGACTGATTTCGCCTCCAATGGTCTTGTTCATGTTGGAGGTACTAAGGGAGCTAGTACAACCACTAGCACTTATCGGAGGAGGACTACTTCTACTGCTTAAAGCAGGATATATATTTTGATGTTTTTCCGCTTCTTCCGGAGACGAGTCGAACCAGTGACAATTTGGGTGACACGCATGAGAAAGCAACGCTGGTGCCGCGTACAGACTGCAGAGGTTTGTTTCCTCACTGTCAAGAACGGCATTGAAGCGGAGGATATGGCAGAACCTCTGGAACACGGTGTGACGGATCTCTTCTTCGCTAATAGGATCGTCCGATCCCATCAACATAGAACACAGTTCCTTACAGCTTTCACTTGCTTGCCATACGTCGATTAGTCGGTCTGTCATCGGTGGTGGCGTGAATACGGCACTCGGTGTGCACGGTGCTAGTGGCGTAGAAGGAGAAAGAGAGGCTTCATTAGATGATGAGGATGCTGTTGACGGGCTTGTAGCTGTGGAGCTTGTAGCTGTGCTAGAACTAGGCACACCACCAGCATGAAAGAAGTCCAGCAAGAATTTCTTCGTCTCGGCGTCCACATGGTTCGAGCAGAATGAAATCCACGCATTCTCAAACAATTGCGCACATGCATCTTTTTGCGGTCCTCTTCGGTAGGTCACAAGCGGCGGTTCCCGCTCGAACAAAGTCGCCCCCCTTGGTAGGTCCTGGGTGGCGACTAAGGTTCGGCCGAGACCGGAAACGTAGGTAGAACGAAACATTTTCTTTTAGTCTTAGAAGTGATAGAAATAGTGATAAAATTAATAGTGCTGCTAGTGCTAGAAGTGCTGACTCTCGATCATGCTGGAAGAGGTGCTGATTCGTGTTACTTTCATGACTGTTAATAGTGATACATAGTGGGGTGCAATTCCTCCTTCTATTACAAGTTTCCACTTCAAGTATATTCTGGTATAAGATTGACACTAACTACGATTTTTGGGTCTATCCAGTGTACTGATCAAACTAGCAGAGACGGAGAGTTTCTGGATGAGCTTCACGTTCACAATGAAACAAATGACAGATACTGATAGATAACGAGAAGAAGTGAAGATGGTGAGAAGTCTAGACTTTTGCGATCAATTAAGGACAAGTTCTGAATATAATATCACATGTAAGAGGACAAGCACAGACATCATATACTTCTTAAAACAGCAGAATGAATGGTCTTGAACAAGAACTACGAGACGATGATACTTAGATCTTAGATAGTGCACTAGTTAGGTAAGTACGTCGAGTAGTTTGATGTGGGGTTAAAATCAATGGAGATGTCTTTTTCGAAATTTCGGAAGTTTTGGTTTTGAAAGGATCTAGGAAGCCTTAATGACAGACAACCAAAGTTTTTTAGGGCATCATCAACTGCTTAGCAGTAAAGCCAAATCTACTCCTCTTAATTTCGCCTGAGTCAACATGTTGATGATGGAAGTGTCCCTGTCGAGGTGTTTAAAAGAATTATAGCCTTCACTCATAGTTATCATCTATTGCACTACTGGTGCTACACTAGATCTAGAAGATCTCGATGATCTCTCTCTTTGACTTTGTGAACCACAAGAAATTTGTTTTTGACCACGTTGATGATCCAAACTCAGACGACGGCGAAGATAGTTATATATACTAGTACTAAAGAACCGAAGATAAAGACGTGAAGCAACGCTGATTGGATGTGGTACAACAATGGATCATCATCAGGTATCAGGTTGAGCAGATCTTCTCACCCATAATGCACCAAGTTCCAGTTCGAACTTTGCTTCCCGATCTTCTGAAGATATGCAGATGAACATGAAGCGGCCCTCGGAACATTCTCAGTCTGCCAGTGCAGAATGACTCATTGTGAGCAGTGTTCTTCTTCTACTTGTTCTACTAATCTGGATCAAAAACATGATCTGGAGCAGGCGCTGCAGGAAAACGTAGTTATCAAATTGATTGAAACGTAGTTATCAAATGGAGGTGGATGGTACTTCTAGTAGATGATGTAGATGAAGAGCAGTTGTAGTTCTAGAAGTAATTGATTCATGCAGATACACCACATGCAGCAGGGGAATTGGCTTTCTCATTTTATATCATCTACGCCCTAGAAGTGTACTTTCGTAAAATTGCATTAATTTCTTCATCATCTTCATCGTCGTCATCACTAAAGGAGATGTTATCGCCTCCCCCAACATAATTGCCGTCTCCCCCATAGTCATCGTCTGAGAATGATTCAGTAAATTGAATCCTTGGTATGTCAATCGCGCGTCGTCCTGTAGTCGTTGTTGTTGCTGTTGAGGACATGAGGTTGTTCATCTTTTTCTCTGCCGCTGAGGCAGTCGTGTTTCTCTCAGCAATTTTGTGCGCTCTTGCTCGTCCTCTGAGTGCGCCTGCTGCTGAGTCCGGTATCAAGGAGCGCATATTCCGTAGAGCTTCAACTTCCACTGATGTGCTAGAAGAAGAGAAGTCCTCTTCATCTCCGTCTTCATCATCGTCATCGGGTGGACTTGGAGCACTTCTTCCTACAACTCCTCCTGGCATGTTCACTATGCCACGACCATCAGACAGCCCACCAGTAGAACAACTATCATCCTCAAGGACATCATCCTCGTCTATGTCTTCCGCAGGTAGAGTTTGCCATCCAGACGAAAGCATGCTAGCATTACTTTTTGTGTCGTGAGCGTCATCATGGTCTCCACCTACTTGATGTAGTTGATGCTTTGGGCTAGAAGAGGAGTTACCAGTACTTATTTGGTTGATTCTACTAGCAGGATCAAACCTAGTGCCTGTCAAGATGTTCTTAGTCGTCCTAGATGTTGGAGAGCGGGATGTACTCGGTGGTGAGTTTCTATCAATCCGGTTCGGCAAATGTCGTTGGTAAACCTCTTCAGCGAAGGAACGGGCTTCATCGTTTCCAACATCGTTTTTAGGTGATGACTGTTGTTGTAAACCTGCACCTCCTCCAGTTGTTTTTCTACTGACATGGTAAACACCACTACTGTTATTTTTCCCAGGAGTGCTTCCACCAGGAGCATAAGACGCACCTATAGTTGCAGCTAGGTTGAAGACAGGAGGAGGGTTTGGGTTACTAGGGAGATTCGTGGTCGTGGTACCAAGAAGACTACCAGACGTTCCCAACGAAAAACCTGCTCCTATGATTGGTTGTGCTACACCTACCGGCGTAGTCGCTTTTGCCCACAAAGGATTTAGCTCATTGTCCTTAGGACTACTTTTTCGCAAGACTTCAGCGGCAGTGGCACGGTCAACACGCTCTCCTCCTGTTCTTCCTAGATGATCCTTCTGCTCAGATGAATACGAACTGCTAGTACCTCCAGCCGCTGCTTCAGCGAGAGCGGCAGCTGCTGCATTAATCTTACCGGTGGTGGTCGGAGTTGTGGCAGTTAGATACTGTTGACTTGCGTCGACTGAAGCTGTAGCGTTGGTCGTATCTGCTGGCCGAAGGGTTGAGTCGTCTGGAGTACGTAGAGTGATCTTTTTAGCTTTTTGGAATGGATGACAATATCGACTCATCAATTTCAATGATTACATTTGAAAAATTGTTATGTTTCTGATGAACTTGATCTGATATAAATGGAATATAAATCAATAATAATCAAAAATTTAGGGCTTCGTTCAAAAACTAACAGTTTCAAGTTCAATTTTAGCATTAGAAATTCTAAGCTTCATAATTTCAAAGCATACCACTATTGTGGGTCTATGGTGAATTTGATAATTCGAACTAAAGAACTACGGTATGTGATCAAAAATTGTGACAGGAATTCAAATCTTCAAAATAAAACCTCGATTGCGATTCGAAATTTCAAAATATAAGTTTTCAAAATTTGATATCTTATGTTAGTGCGATCGCCACTACGTCCATGCAGCGACCTTGTAGAATCACGTGAAAGAACGTTGCTCGTACCCAGATTTCCGAAACAGATGATACATCACTTGCATGTATGCTACAGCTAGAAGTTAGATTCAAAATACTTCCAGACGAAGGGCCTGACGATTCCTCGCGTACGACAGGCAATGGTCCCACAATGGACGAAAGATGATTAAAAGGCGCTGACTCTAGTTGTTGAACGGCTGAAGATTGATGCTGCTCTGGCTTGTTCGTTATCGCAGGTGCCTGCTGAGACCCCTGCTGGGGTCCAAGGATTGGGATCCCGGAGGTGTTCGAGGATTCTGTTTGATTGATGGCGAAAATGAGGAGGAGCAAAGAGCAAAGAAAAAGATGCTGATGTCAGACATTAAATGGCACAGAAGGGGCATTAAATCGCTATACTTTTCGTCAACGCCGCCGTGAGATCGCACACTTTTTGCTGCAACGAGAAAAGTTGATCCTGCTGCTGTTGGAGAAAATTCCACAGCTTGTCGCTTTTCTGGGCTGAGTCACGTAAACCGTCGGTGCCTAATTTTGGAGGCGGATATTGTTTTTTCAGTGTGCTCCACTGTGCAGCGAACGAATCGAGGTCCTGTGGTTGTGGTGTGATGTGAGAAATTTTCAGATTGAAGCCAAAAAGTGAGGAGATCATGAGAGGGTATTCCAGTTTGCACCAAGGTCTGAACCTCCAATGATCATCCTGTGAAAAATCGGATAAGGAGAGATGAATCAGCTTCAGCTTCAGCACATGCCTACGAGTTGTAGGTTAATACATCCGTCGCCTGCAACAACAGATTGCTTTCTCCTCCGCTATTTGGCCGCTCTTTGTTTTGTTCCTTTGTTGCCCAGTAGACGTTCGTCTCTCTCAGGCTTTCGCGCGGGCTGCGAGAAGGAGAAATTGCTATAGATGTTGGAACAGCTGGAACTCCTCCACCTCCTCCTTGTGGATGCTTGTTGCAGCCTTGGTTGATGTAGTTTTGACGATGGTCGTTTTGGATTTGGCTATATTGAAGTTGAGGTTGCCCTCCTTGATTATGATTTATCTGGTGCAGTGGTTTGTTCGATGCTAAGCCTCCAGCTCCCCAAACACCTGATGAAACGAGAGAGCAGTTTGTTCGTGGATGTTGGCCTGGTACTTGATGCCCAACTGGTGGTCCTGGTTGATGACTACTATTAGACCTCTTCCTAATTCATCCCTGTAGAAATCCCTCACGCGTATGCGTGGGTATTCCCCTTGTATCGGGGCGCATACGGTTGAGGGATGCCTATAGATTTGGATTAGCTTTAGCGGTAGCCTTAATATTAGTACTGTTCCCAGCTGCGAACAAGCCACCTGCTCCACCTCCACCTCCGAGAGCACCTGGAAATGTGCCTTCCATCATGCTTTGAGTGAAGGCGCCACCCAAGCTCATATTCAACTTCGATGCAGTCAGGAAGAGCGAGCTCTCGTTTATCATACTCGCGCACGTGGAGCCAGGCGCTGCAGAGGAGTGGAAAGGACGAGGTTAGAGCAGGAGTGAAGAACGAAGAAAGTTATTTTCGACTTGAAGATTCTGAGTGATCCTTTTGGAAGTACAAGTAGAATTCTGATCCTTTTGGAGGTAGAACGTGGATGAAGAGAATATTAAGAAGTCACAGTTGTCAAAGCAATTGGAATTGATGTAGATTTTGTAGATGATTTGGAGCTTGTAAGAAAAATTACATCGAAGTCCTCTCATAACCTCCCTCATTCACCAACGCCAATTCGACTTTATGCCTCTCGCTCGAGTCGTAGTCCAGCTCTACTTCTCCCCTATACGTGTGATTCTCCAGCTTGTTGGAGCTAGAGAGTTCGAAATACTCGGAACTGGACATGGGAGATGAAACTTCGAAACAACGAACTTTTCCACGTTGGAATAGCATCAGAAGGAAGGTTTTTGCGCCAATGTAAACGCGCTCTTTAACGGAGGCGTTTGTGAGAAATCGCATGCACGCTTCCCAAACCAGAGAGTGCTCGATCTGGTGGTGTGAATGTGAGGAAAGAAGGTGAGGGTTGGTATTCGTGTACTAGATGGGATTGAGAGAAAATCAGGCTCAAGTAGGGTAAGGCACAGCAGGCACAGCATAGTCATTTTTAATGACTCTTGAAGATCGGAATTCGCCCATTCTCCTAGGAGTAGCAGTACCTGATCCCCTTCTCCCGGCGCGTGCAGCAAGTCAACCCATACGCCCACTAATGGAGTCGTAAAAGCAGCTGGGTCGTGCTCTAAGATCGGGACTCCACGTCTTGCTTTGTCCAACGTCAAGTAGCCATACCCCAAGCGACCCTTTCGCGTTTGATTCAACAACCGTTCACAAAGCGGAGAGCGAGATGTGGACGAGGATTTATTCTTGTCTGGAGATGAATTTGGAGCAGGACCCGGTGTAGAAGATGCGGAGCTTGTTCCGTTTATTCTTGGTATAATTGCAGGAGCAGTATTGTTAGAGTCTGCTAGATTGCATCTCGGCCCCCTCATCTTGACGCCTTTTACCTTGTATTTCACGAGAATACAAGGGAAAAGGGTACCAAGATGCCGAGAATGATGGAAAAAAGCTGACCATAATATTGATGTCTTTCGACGTTGAACAAGAGTTCGCGGCATGCGCCGATGTTGTACTCGAACTACTTCCTCCAACCTGAAAATTATCGTTTACAACTAGAGGCACAGGCGCAATCGGCACCAATGTGAACGCTATCTTCGGGACCTGAGAAACGAATTCCAGTCTCAGTGAACTGCTGAACCTATCGGCGTGGGCAAAAGCGGACAGAGCGTGGAACTTCTCTGCGCCAATGGCTCCTTTGCTTTGCATCTGTTGGTCTCGCAGCCGGGATATCCTAGGCAATTCGGATTCGCTGGAAACCACGTGCATAACGCACATGCCGTCGGAAACTTCCGCAGATGGGATGCTGGATGAGGTTGATGGGTTGTTGGACAATGGAGGGGTTGCTACAACGAAGATGTTGAGCTTTTCTCTTCTACAAAAATCAAGAACATATGGATGACGATCATGCGACAAACAGGTGGGAACAATTGAACAATTTGAAAAGAAAACGAGCTCTAAAATTAAAAAACACAACCTGACACCACAAGAACAAGTACTTGTCGTATCTTTCCACTGCTAAATGCAACTCGCCAGGCGTGTCAAACGTGTTGCAGTGCGTCAAAAGTGAGCCCTGACGATGGCTCAGATTTCTCGCGACTGCGGAAGGCACAATCACAACCGGCCTCGGCCCTAGAGGTAAGTGTCTGACGACCCCAGTACATGTTCGGTCCCAAAGAATGTGGCGTTTACCGGGGAAGGCGTTTGTACTGGTGGCGGAGCAGGTTGCGCCGTTAGATGTAGCGAAGGATGATGACATGGCGGACATCATGATTAATATTTTTTGGCGAATTCGATACAGTTCGGTGAAGGTCTATTTGCGGGTAGGATAATGACGAGGCATAGCACGCAGTTATGCTGCAAAATCCAAATCTTAATCACCTACTATTCGAAAAACTATTGGCGTTAGAGGGTAGCAAGAATCTGTAGTCGTCTTTGCAGCTTAGGGCGAAGGCGAGCCGTCATTATCTAAGTAATTGCCAACACTAAATCTCCATTTCCTCACTCGGCAGCACTGCAGCTTCACTTTGGTTGGATTTTTGTGCTTGTGCTCTTCAAAAAAGATGTAAGTCTGGTACTGGAAGGCCGCCATTTCGTGGTCAATTGATGAGGTTCGCTCCTGTTTTCACTGAATCAAGATTGGATGAACAAGCCCGAGTATTTTTTGTCACACTTACACACACAAATTAGTGCCGAAGCTGAACACTCGAGCAAGTGTTTGCAACTTGATTATTCAGTATATTAGAGCAGTTTATAAGGGTTCCAGGTCTGGGATGGCATGGATCGAATGGCACGAATGGCACGGATGGGGGGGGCGCAATCTGTGACCGCGATCGACCTCGCCATTCGTCCCATTCGTGGACCAAATAGACCTTCGAGAGCGGGGCGCCCTTCGGGCGCCCTGCGTTGCTCCCTCCACTAGGTTGTCACTTCCTGCTCGACGCTCTATGCCGACCCCCAAGAACCCCGCGGGCGCAGGGCGCCCTTCGGGCGCCAAGCCCACTCGGCCAAAAGCGCACCCCTTACACAGTTCCACTAGATACCAAGGCCGCCTCCCCGCTACGGGCGGGGCGCCATGCTTCGGCGCCACCTCTTCCCTTCTTCGTCGTCACGGCTACCGCAAGGCACGCGGCTACGCCTGTTTTTAAGCTGGACCCCGATGCCGCTCCGGTGGTCTCGCAGCATTTTCTTCCCGGAATTCCGTGAAGGTTACGCAAGTTCGTCCGAATTTGTATGACCCCCACGGAATTCCTTGCCATTTTCAAAACGGCAGAGGAGCCTGCCGGGGGCTCGCGCCTCCCTCTCCTCGCTCGCCGCCGGCTTTGTCGACCGGTGTGGCGTCTCTCATGGGCAGAATCAGCCACGCACGACCTACATACTCGCTAAGCGGATGAGACCAGGGGCGCCAGCTGGCGGAGCCCTGCCAACCTGTGCCATTCGTGCCATTCGTGACACATTTGGGGTCTGTTGGGGTGTGCCATTCATTCCATTCGTGCCATTCGTCCCATTCGCCATTCGTGCTATAAACTGTGCTAGTATATGTTGAGTGCTTATCTTGTCCTTGTACCAAACAATATCAGGAGCAATCGTCTCCACAAGACACCGTGTTGTAGATAAGTATTTGTCTCACCACCTTGTTTCTTTTTCTAGTCCCTAAGCCGTGAGATCAAACTCAAAGAGTGAGACTACGCATTTGCATAGAGTGAGACTTCTTAATAGAAGTTAGCGTAAGTAGTAATGTAAAGCTATGGAGGACTAGTCCTCGATATCTTTCGTCCTGGATATTTCGCAGGGCCAAGAACAATTGTCCACTCAAATCATGTCCATGTCGCCAGCAGCAGGAGTCTTAATTAAGCTTAACACGACAGCTGTTTTGGGAACATCAACATCAACGTACTAAAGTTCTATAGATTCGTTGTAAGCTCGACACCGAGGACGTCCATCGTTCGGTTTCTTTGGTAAAAGACACACACATAATCACAATTACCGAGTAAGATGTTCTCCATGCATCTGCTTGTGGCGGATATGTTCCTCGGTAAACTGGTCGCTCACCTTTGCGGTCACTCCAACAAGTATCACACAAGAGAGACATTTTTTCTTAGGATGAACGTAAGATGAAACCGAGACCTACTGCTCCTTTCTACGAAGTATCCCAAGGGGGTACGAATTACAGAGTTCTGTAGTAGCTGTAGTTGTATTATATGCTAGTCGTACTACACGTTCACGTAGACGTACTATGCTCATACTTATGAATGCAAGTTGTAGTTGAAGAGTGATGTTCTTGTCGAATCATTTGTACATGCCAATCCATTTCGATTTCCATGTGTAGTCGTTCAAAGTTTCAATTGTTTACCTTCTCACGAAACAAACTCTTGTAGTTCTACTCAGATATCAGTAGTATAGGGTCAACTGCAGCATCGACATCGCCGGTCGCAGTTCCTAAACGCATGAAAAAACATCTTGCTTCTAAATAAGAACTACATCAATCATCAAAATCGTTCAATTTTAGATAGAGCTAGACGAATCACACATCAACATGATTGTTCAACACTAGAATCTAGATCTTCTTGTTCTTCTTCTCCCTCTTCAACTAATAAAGCTCCTCCCGCTTCTCCTCGTAGACTTGATCCACCAGGCGGCAATTAGTCTACTGAGCCGTGTTCAGGTAGTGAACCTGACGAGCACTGTTGCTGGAACAGGGACAGGTCAACCACGCCTCCATGCATAACGAGAACTTGCGCTGCATCAGTCTGCGGAAAGGGTGTTTTCATCGGATCATTTATAACTGCTTTGGTGGAACTTGAACTACCGCTACTAGTGTAAGCCTGATGCGCTGCATCAGTCTGCGGAAAGGGTGTTTTCATCGGATCATTTATCACTGCTTTGGTGGAACTACCACTACTAGTGTAAGCCTGATGTGCTTCTAGTGGTGGTGCGCTATTACGTTTACTCGAAGAGGCAGCTACGTCGCATGTAGCTGGGGTTTCTTCATCGCTGCTGCTCTTTGTGGGACTTCGCTGTTCAAGAAGGGCACTAGCTGCACTAGGTTGCCCAAGTGCACCCGCCTCGCCCTCGACGTCTTTCTGTCCTTTGATAGCCAACGCCTGTCGTTTCAGTCCAACAATCAGCTCAGCACAGGCACTTGTATCGCCCTTCAGCAGTGTTCCCAACATATCGATTTGCAATTTCTCAGGTTCATTAGAGAGGACAAACCACGTGGCTCGCATCTTCCCTCATGGCATCCGTCGTGGCTTCTTTTTCACAAGTGGAAAAAGAGCCAGAGATCATCGATGGTACCGAGCCTGAGGATGCTCTTTAGCGGTTGTAGCCTTAGGCTTAACTGTAGCTTTATTGAGACAGCTTTTTCTTGAGTCCTTTCGAGAACTAGGGTCGCTGGCACCTTTATGAACGCACATAGAGGACCACCCAGTAGAGGTTGGAGGACTTGTATGTTGAGGACTGGCACCAGGAGTGAGACCAGCGCCACTTTCTCTATCTTCACCTTCATCTTCATCCTCGGAAAGTGGCTGCGGGAAAGCAGGCACAAGAACGTCCGATGATGATAGTGGATTCTCTGCTTGAGAAGGCCATGCTTGGTCACAACTCTGTGGGTGACCTTGAGGAGGTGCTTTTCTGTATATTTTCGGCTTTATTTTGATGTGCTTGTCTTCTTGGTCCTCGTCAACGGTCATCCACCTTACACCTTGCTCGACGGACGCTTGTTCTTCCACTCGGGTAGTTACAGCTTCATCGGACTCAGGGAGAGCAGCTTTACTACTTGCACGACTTGTTCCTCCTAAAAAAGGTGCTGGCGCGAGCATGCGTTCAACCGAGGAGGATGGGCACAGCGTACTATCTTTCTTTGTGGTGTGGTTAGAAGTAACTACAGTACTGGCAGTACTGTAGTCACTTCTAACCTTCTTCATCAGCAAACCAGTACTTCTACTGCTAGGAGGAGGACTAGGATCTTCTACTTGTACAACGTAGTTGCCTGCTCCAACTGGTAGTGTTGCAGCATGTAATGTAGGTTCTTCTAAAAATCCATGAACCACTTGAGCTTGTTGTACACCACCAAGTAACTCATCCACGTCAATGTCGAAGAATATTTGACGTGTAGGATTAGCGCTGAATCTACCCTGATCCACTTCCACGCTTACACCTCCTGCCTCTTTGGCATTGCCAAAAGTTCTTGCTTTACTCGACTGCTCAGAGAACAAGCAGTCAGGAGTAGCACTAGGAGCTTCACCAGGAGTAGCAAGATCGTGTTTATTATCCTTGTGCAACATTTCTTTAAGCATCCCCTCTTCTGGAGAAGCAGGTCTACTGCAGCTCTTCTTGTCGAGCTCAAGACCAGAAGCTGCAGCGTTACTTCCTCGTGGTGCTGCTGCAGTGACGCCACGAACTCGTGAAACAACGACCAGGCACCAAAGCCAAGGACTAGTAAAGCCGTGTTGCTGCATCATGATCATCTTCTACTCGTGCTGGATACTAAGCTTTTTTCATAAAACAACAAGAAAAAACTGAATAACAGCGGTCCAAATACGAATAGTTGTATTGAGTCTGAAATTGATAATCAGGATTTTTAAATCATGCTGATGATGATAATTGGATTTCGCTGACCCTGACGCTGTTGTTGTACATAGGATAGCTGTAGGTCTAGTCTTGCAGCGTAATAGTTGTTGTAACTACTACTACAACTACTTCCATATCCACTATAAATCTGGTAATACTCTTTCTCTTGTATTTGGTCTTTTTTTCCATGCCAGTTGTTGTGGAACTTGTGAGGATGATGAGCCAGCGCGTGATAAAGATAAAACCAGATGTTGAAAGTTATCTTCGCATTGGGACTGGTCCGTCGTCAAGATTAAAAAAATACTCGCAATCGCTTTCCTGCTTCTCCTCGGCAGTAAGAAAGGTCAGACTACTAGTACTAGCACGATACCAACCTGTACGAGATATTCGGGTCACCATAATCACAATGGACGCAACATCTTTTTGTACCAGGATGAGCAATGACAGTGCCACTCGCCTGACACTTCCCTTTCTTTGGCTTATTTACGTAGTTTGACAGAAACGCCCATCAGTGATTTAGATTTCCGAACGACAAAAGCCAAGCTGCAATTTCCTCTAAGACCAGACTATTTGTTGGAATCACATGACCTTCATCATGCCATATTGTCTTTGCATCTTCACCTCCAACACGTTTTCCAACCCACTCTCCCATTTCAGGAGGGTTAATCGTGTCTTTCTTACTCAAAACTGATAATACGCTACAAATAGAACGAGTGGCACTGGCTTCACTACCACTAGGAGTAGTACTAATAGTAGTTGTAGTACTAGTCGAAGGAGAAGCAGAAGTGCCACTTATTCTAATAGAAATAGAAGGACCAGAAAGTCTAAATTCTTCCAAAAAATTTTCATATGGTTTTGGTAAAGCAGCGCCAAATAGAAGGGCGAACTTCAGTTTCTCTACATTTCTTGCAGCAATAATCGCTGCCATCATGGCACCTTGAGAAAAACCGAGGATGCCATCATACCCACTAGTTGCATCATCGCTTTGCTGCCCCTTCAATGTTGAGAGGGCATCTTCAATCCTTTTCAGCGATTTATCGTCTCCAAAATAGGCCTCTGCGGTGTAAGATCTATGCCCATCGGGCAAGTGCCACCAGACACGGCCTGGTCCATCGTTCGAGGAGCCGTCTGCTTGAGCCTGTTCTGCCGTAGGTTTAGATGTGCTTCGGTTGTTGGGAATGTTCTTGTCACGCTCACGTCGACAGCGAACTATGATACTAACAAGTGCAGCCAGGCTCCTCGTCAACATGCGCAGGTATCGTGTTCTACTTGTGGACAGTATCAATAATAGAGTAGCAGTTGTCACAACTATAACTATTACTTCTATTAGTACACTGGTACTAGTAGGTCGTACTTGCTAAGAAGTTCATCATCTCAACATTAGCCCTAGCGCTTAGCCATAACATATGGTAGTTTAACAAGGTTCGGTGCGTCGACAAAATGCCATTCAACTCCATCTGCTTCGAATCCGGTGTCTGCCAGTCTTCTTTTTACCACATGTTGCAACTCCGAAAGTTCCGTGTTGAATTAGAGGGTGGAGGAGCAAGGCTTGACCTTCCTCTTGGACTACGACTAGTAGACAAGATTGTAGTTTCCATAATTGAATAGGATAGCATTGCTGTTCTTCGGATGCAGGCATAAGATACGAAACTTCTGCGACTGCGTCATTCTTGATGCAACCATAAGTACTAGCTCGTCACTCTCATTACAGTGCGTGAGCGTGGTTAAACACTGAGTAGAAAACTACGTTCTCATCCAAGTAGCTGCACTGCCCCGAGTTCTTGTCAGTTGTCACACTCATTACGCTGATCTTATATGTCCGTAGCGAGGACAGCATGGGTTCTTCCTCCGTGAAAAGCGAGAACGCAATCATATGTCGAACAACACCAGGTGCAACATGTCACAAACACAATGACAGAAAGTGCTGAGAGAGTTTTTCCTTCCTCTTCGTCGAGGATTGGTCTTGGCGCTTTCGATTTCTATACAAAGAAACTGTAACAATTGTAGCATGTAGCTGATGTGGAAGGAGGCGTAATAACTCCATGTTGCGACTGCAGGCACCCGCACCCTTAGGACGAAGAGCTTTCTAATATCATCCTCATGGTTGCGTAGCGGTAGCGCTAAAAAGATCACTCTAGTTTATCCTTTTCCTTAATATCCTTAGCGTATGATCGCTGCTATAACAAAAGCCAAAAAAGGGAATAGAATGAAGAAGAGCGTGATCTTACTTTTCAGTAAAAAATGTACGATATGATCATCTGTGTTGACATATATCCCAGATCTTAAATAAATTATTTTTGCTTTCCACCTTCCCAATCCCAATAAAGATTTTGAAGAGGAGCTTTTCGTCGAAGCACTTGGCGTTAATAGAACTTGTGCTCCTTCGCCATTCGCAACTTGTTCCTGGTTCAAATCGAGAATCGGAAGCCAGCTATCGTCCAGCAAACCACCAGCAATAGCAATGCATGCCGCTGTAAAAAACGGGCAAATATTAGACGAGCTGCGAAGTTTCTGGCACAAACATCTCATGATTTCCGTCATAAGATAAGTGCCTTGAGGAGTTGTGATTCTTAATCTGTGTCGTGAAAGATTATAAATATATTATACCAAAAAATCCCCGTACTAAGAGTAATTCTTTCGTCGTCAGTTGTACTATATCGCGAGAAAGCTGGATCAACAGAAGATGTCACGACAATGACGGGGAATTAGTGGATAAAAAACTTCTAAGTATTTCTATTCGGCTTAAAGATAAAGTTAGGAACTCCCTGTCCTCGAGAATGGCCTCGTCCTGAGAGCTCCTGAGTTTCGAGTTCTGCACGTAAGATTCGCTGCATTTTCTCCACACCAAGCCTCTTCATGAGTGGAACCACATCACTCTCCTCTAGTGAGGTGGACGCGTGATGCTTACCAAAAATGATCGGATTGTTGTCAACATATGAATTGGAGGTCTTCTTCTTGTTCTTCTTGGAGAAACGATCGCGATCGTTCATCTTCGTAGTCGTCCACCCCTCTCCTGCTCCATCGAGTTCGTCAACTTGATGATGTCGATCATCATCATTTTCGCCTTCTTGTCCTAGTCCGGATCGGTCATTATGGAACTCTCGCACCAGTTGTTCCTGACGCCGAAACAATTGGCGACGCCGTAAGAAGGTCAGCAGAAAAGAATCATCTGGGTGTTCCTCTTGTCGGAGTTGGGCCTGCTCTTGCTGCGCCTCGTCCTCATCAAGATCAAACAAGCCCAAGAAGGGCAGAACGAAAGGCAATTTCCACACTTTGCATCGCATAACGAAACTCCACGCCTCACGCTTAACCTTGTTCGCGCAAGCGTTCTTTGAAACCGCTAGCCAGTACATTTCACCCAGCCCTTTCTGAACAAAAATTAGAAGGCTCTAGTACTTTCAGCAATGATGTTTCGACGATGATCGACAAACTTCTTCTATTTCTTCTTCTTGTTAAGTACTTTGAGCGTTAGTAGACTGATTCGTCAGCTGGTGAGTAGAATTAGAACTGACCACGTTGGCGTGTCACTCTGGACTGTCTTAAATGAATAAGTATGATCTATCAACATTATCTTATAATAGCTAAATTGGTTTTGGTTGAATAGCTAAATTGCTTATATTATGGTCTGTCAGCAGCTTATTTGAGGGGGTTCCCTAAAAAGTAGCTGCTGAAAGTCGAAGCGAGTTCGAAGCTTCTGAAAGCTAGTGGCTCGATGAAATCTCTTAGAAATTTTTCATCACCACCAAGTCTGTGCTGCACTAGCATTTCCATTAGCGCTCGCCCTAATCCTGCTCGAGATGCGTCCCAGGTGCTTTCTCATCTCCTTGAAAACCATCCTGAGGATGCTTCCGAAGATAGATTAGGGAAGCCATAACTCCATGTCCGCTGTCCTCAGTGCGTCACCTTTCCACAACTTTCTCGTGTACTCTATTAGAAGAGCTCACGACCAACTCTAATCGAATACGAAAATCGAAATCCATCTTACAAAGGGAGGGCTGCATCCTGAACGAGGACCATTTTTCTTTTTCGGAAAAGCTCCGCGCCTCCGTCGTTCTAGGATGAGTGACTCGGACTCCCCTGAAGCGAGATGTTGGATTAGCTATTAGCATTAGGGAAAGAAGAACGAGCCTTAGCTTAACCCTTTCTCGGCCAGAACACCAATCGTCAACAATTTCGTGGGTCGCGGTGTCCAGCAGTGCGTTAATCAGGTCCAAGGTGGGCGTGGGATCCGAGCCGCAGCTCTATAGATTAGAAAACTGCTACTACTGCTACACCTACAACTACAAGTACAACTTCTTCCGCGTATTCCAGGACGACTCGATGAACCCCCGTCCTCTCCGGCTTCAAGAAGTTCTGAGGAGCACCCACATTCTTATTAAGTCATCTGTGCTTTTTCTATCTTTGCACTAAGTAACTGAGTAACGATAACGAAGTAGTAAACAGTCCTTGTAGCAGTCTGACTGTCATCATTTTGAAATTCTGGTAGAGCACGAGTAGGAACTCTCACTGCAACTCGAAATAGAAAAAATAAAGAAGAAAATGAACCAAGTTTGTCCTCGATAACTCCAGGCTATTTTTCGACTAAAATCTGTCTCCACTGCTGCGAAGCACGAGTAGGAAGCCTATAAGAAAGTGAAAAGAACAACAAAATGAGACGAACTTCTCAGTTCTCTTCTCATTTCTCACAGTTGTTCGTTGTAAGTAGAAACATCACGTTAGTGAAGCCGTAAGATGCAACCGTATCAAAACGAGAGCGCTAGGAGCTTGGTATTCTGCCAACTCATCAGGCCACTTCGGGTCCGGGCAAGAGCCTGGCTTTAGATTCAAAAAAAGAGTCGTAGTTTCTTTAATGAGATGAGTTTGATCATCCAGACGCAGACTTAGTATTGATACTTTCTTTATATCATGACTCATGATCATAATTGAAAAATAAAGAAGAAAAAAAATGGGTTGTACGTAAATTGGCAAGAAAAGGCGCAGTTGTAGATGAGGATGGATTTATGATGGTATTATGCGAGCCGTAAATCGGACGGCCAGCGTTCTGTGAACAGAAAATTGACAAGTTCGGTTTGCTGCTTGCGCCAACTCACCAGCCAGCGCTTGGCGTCTGTAGCTTTCCCCGCTGGTGTCCCGCTGGCCGCGATATCTCTCTCGACCAGGTGCTGGATCTCGGAAGCGCTATAATGGGAGGGCACCAGTTGCCGTGGCTCGTTATTGTCGATCCCCGCTGGTATCCTGCTGGCCGCGATATCTCTCTCGACCAGGTGCAGCTGGTGGATCTCGGAAGCGCTATAATGGGAGGGCACCAGTTGCAGTGGCTCGTTATTGTCGGTCTTTCTACTTCGTGCCTCGAGGAAATATGGGTACAGGTTGAATAGTGGGTGAATGTTGAAGCAGTGCTGGATTTCGGATAGATAATAATTAATTTCAAGAACGAGCTCGGGATCGGTGCGCATGGATTGCCTTAGCCAGACCAGACCATGTCCGACATTTCTTTGGGATTGCTCGGCTTGATCTTCAATGTAGATCGGTCTCTGTGCCGTCTTATAAGCCCAAGCTAGGAAATTCTGTTCTAAATGATGAGCCTCGAGCCGCCAAGCGCCCCAAACTGTTGACCGAAACAGCCTGATATTCTGGAAAACCTTTTCCAAGACGACAGTAGCAGGGGAATTTTCAAAAGTGTCAAGTATGATACTATCTGTGGCGGCGTGCGAGTGGCTTCCATGCTCCCCCCGCCTGTCTGTCGCTACAGTATAATAATCAAAGCATATTATGAGCGAACCCACTCAACACATCAGCACACGCCACTAGATAGTTACTGAGAAGTCTTAGGTATCGACGAAATCGCGAAAGGATCGATGTCGTATGCCCTCACTTGGGTCCGCACCAGAGCCCCTTGTCGGACTCAGACGGGAATCACATATCAATGCTAAAAGGTGATGTCCTCGCCGGTCTCTGCTGAGCATAGCCTCCCACATCATGGATGGCAACAACGGGTAAGGAGTGCCAGAATCAAGCTTAGAACAACTACCTACACTTTCAACAACTACAGTTGTGTGTGTGTGTGTCTACTTGACGAGTTGATACCTAGAAAAACTATGACTATATCCATAGCCATATCCCATTTGGACACTATTACAAATCCCCGAACACTCTTCCCCTTTAATGTGAACACTAGAGGTAAAGGCCCTCTAGAACGCCTTTAATGTGAATGCTAAAGGACCGCCTTCCCCTTGAATGTGAACACTAAAAGACCCCTAAGACGCCTTTAAGGTGAACACTGGAGCGCTCTTCATGTGAACACGAGAAGACCCTTACTTAAGACCCCTTTAGTGTGTTAGACCACGACTTTTCTCGTTCCACAGCCTTTATCTTTTTTTTTTCAAATGCAGCCATTGAGAAGGCCTGGCGCACTCCCATACACCCCAACCACCGTATGACCGTGGGCCTTCAGAGCCGTCGACATCCGCAGAGAGGCAGACGCCAAGGCCATCCGGCCCGCGCGCCGCGCATGGGGGCTGCACCTGGCGCAAAGGTCTGATCCAAGCAACGGGTTATTGAGCCGGGCGCTTTTTGGTCAAAAAAGTGGCGACAAAAATGGGGTGCATTTTGCGCTTCATTTTGCGACATAAAATGCCGACACGTTTTACGAAGACCGAAGCGGCCCCACCAAGTGGGCCCTACGGGCAGGGGCTGCCTTAAAGCGACACTTTATTTGGCGCCAAAAGTGTCGCCGAATGACCCGCCTCGTTTGGGGTGTCAAAGTGGGCCCTTTTTGTCCCTCTTTTCGACACCCCTCCCAAGCGTCTCCGAACAGAGCGCCCGGAAAGCAGCAGCACCTCTGGAGACGCCAGCCGCGTCCATGCTTAGCCAGCCCAGGGAGGGGAGCCCCGCTCCGCGGGTCCACTGCAAAGCCAGCGGAGTGGCGACGCCGGTCCCGAGGGGTCTCAGCTTCCTTAGGCTTGCCACATTTAAAAAAAGACTCAGTCATACATACAACGAGAAAAGCCCTGGTCTAAGTGTGAACACGAAGGGGCCCTTAGGACCCCTTCCGCGTGAACATTGGGGAAGACATCACGAACAAGACACCACGGACAAGACCCCACGAACAAGACACCACGAAAAAGACAGACACCACAAACAAGGCCCCACGAACAAGGCCCCACGGACAAGACCCCACGGACAAGGCCCCACGAACAAGACACCACAGACAAGACACCACGAACATACAAGGCACCACGAAGGGACAAGACACCACGAAAGAACAAGACACCACGAAGGGACAAGACACCACGAAGAGACAAGGCACCACGAACAAGGCCCCACGAACAAGGCCCCACAGACAAAACGCCACAGACAAGGCACCACAGACAGAGCCCCACGAACCAACGAAGCACCACAAGCAAGACACCACTCACAGACAAGACACCACGCACAAGACACCACGGACAAGACACCACGAACAAGGCACCACGGGCAAAGCACCACGGACAACACACCGCGAACAAAGAACCACGAACAACACACCGCAAGCAGCCCACCACGAAAAACACACCACAAACAAAGCACCACGAACAAGACCCCACGGACAAGACACAACAGACGAGACACCACGAACAAGACGCCGCGAAAGAGACACCACGAAAGACACTCACAGCACGAAGGAGACACAAGGAAGGAGACACCACGAAGAAGACCCCACGAAGGAGGCCCCACGAACAAAGCCCCACGAGCAAGGCGCTACGAACAAGACACCACAAACAAGAGCAAGACACCACGAACAAGGCGCCACAAGCTCAGCACGGCGCTGCAGGTTTTTGCCCTCACTCACTCAACCCAGAACCCGAGACCGAACAGAAAACAGCAGAAGACAAGAGAGGGCAGAAGGACACAGCAGAGAACAACAGGGGACAACCACAACAGACGACAACAGAAAAGAAAAAACAGAAGACGACAAGAGGCAACAGAAGACGAGAGAAAGCAACAGAAGGCAGCAGAAAACCCCACCCACAAGCAACAACAACAACGCACGCCAGGAGCCGCTTGGCAGGCTGCGAACGGGCGCTGCAGTGGACAACCAAGAGGCCTGAAAAAACCGCGGCGGGGGCAGAGACGCGCGCGCCGCTGCAGAACCCTGGCACAGGGGCCCCTCGGCTGCGAGCGGGTAGCGCAGTGGAATCAAAAGAGGCCCAAAGCAGTCAAGACGGGGGTAGAGATGCACGCGCCGCTGTACAATGCGCGGAACCCCTCGCGAGCAGGTGGCGCAGTGGAATAGAGCCCCGAAACAACCGCGACGGCGGTAGAGTGAGACGCGCGCGCCGCTGACCCCTGGGGACTTGCCCCAACCCCCTCCGCGATGTCTCTGGGTCCCCACCCTCTCCGGGCTTTCCCGCTGTCTCTTGGTTGGTTGCTTCGTCCCTTTGCCCGCTATGAGTCGGGCACAGGGGCACGGACAGAAAAGAAAAAAACGAGGAGAGAACCACAAGGACCCGCGACGCCAACTGCGGCGGCCAACGCGTTGAAGGGGGTGCCAATAATGTTGCCCGCCGGCACTTGTTACCATCGATCTTGGGAACGCGGTCCCATTTCTTTCGCCACATCTTTGGGGCCTCTTGCTTCCGCCAACCGCGGGGCGGAGGGGAGTGCGAACCCTTCCCGCGCTTGTTTCACCTCGTGAAACCATTCACGCAAGCCCACGCCAATAAAGCACCTTCTTCCCCTTCTTCAACATTCCCCGGGGCACCCCAGCCTGGGGAGTACCTATAGGATACATAAAAGATAGTAGCAGGAAGAGCTACCGCTTAGCAAGTTCAAGCCCTCAATGCCAAAGGGTCCTACTGCTAGCCGCGCTTGTTGATAACGCTCAAGACCTAGATTGCATTGCAAAGAAATTACCCATCGAAACTACACATCTTCTACCTATACGTCTACCACGCCTTAACAAATATTTTCACCAGTCGCACAAGGGCGCCCCAGCATGAGGGCCTTTCTTCTCGCCCACAGTCTGTAATCTTTGTTAGCGAATGTCTTTTTCCATCTCCGTCCCACCCATCTTGGTGCCCTTGTAAATCTATGGTCCTGCATCATATCTCTAAAGGGCACCAAGATGCTGAGCATGAAAAAAAGTAACCGTAACGTTCGCGTTCGGGGTATCGTTTTTATCAGGTAGCCAAGTGTAACTGTTCGAATTTGTGTTGTACTGTCTCCATCTTGTTGACCTCGTTCATCTTCATCTAACCCACTGGGGGTTGCATTTGTTGAGATGTCTTCATTCAAGTCTGCGATATCTTTCACATAATACACACGCGGAGGATACTGATACTCTTCTACTTCCACTTGTTCGGATTGCAGATAATTTCTTATTAGAGGTTTCATCCGCATTACTATTACATCACCCTTCAGAGGAGCATCCCGCAGCCCCGCCACCTCTGTCAACTGACGTTTTGGGTTTTCGAATAGTACCAGAGAAAGAGTCAGGGAGATGGAGGATCCTCGTTGTGGAGGATGTAATCGGTCAATCCTTAATCCTGATTCGTTCCGAATCTGCTCTAGATGGATCACAGAACGCGGCATAGGAACCTTGTTCTGGCCGTCGTCAGCATTTCTTAGGGCAATATCGTTTGAAATGTGTTGCTTCAAATATTAGAGATCCATCTTATAACTTTCATCGTGCTCCAACATAAAAAAGTCCATTTTGAAGCGTTTGCGCTTTCATCAACTGCTGTCAGTCAATCGATTCAAGAACAACGGCCTTCGTGTTCTTGTTTTGAGGAACATCTTGCGCCTTCTGTAGCGTTCCTCGTCCACAATCATCTCCCTCAACACGTTGTACGTAGTATTAAAGAAGAACGTACTTCTTACCCCCAAGAAAGATGAAATCATACGCATAGCATGCTTGAGCTTGTTGTCGTCCTCAAGATGGACATGATGGATTTTGTGATTATGGTGGAGCCTTAAACAAAGTCGATGGGAAGGCTATCAAAATGACGCACTTGAAAACGGACCAGGACCTCGCCAGTAAGCAGGCTTTGGACATCCACGATGACGCCTCTTCCTTCGCCGAACCCAGCGTCGCGAGGATAAAGCACCCCTACTTCTCCGTCCGCCATCTTCTTGAACCCGCGATCCGAACGGAAGCAGACAAGATGATGAACACTTTCCACTTTTTAAGAGCTTGAGCTTAGTCAATTAGTTAGTGTCTGATTCGATTTCATCGACTATGAGTAACTAGTTGATGTCGCATGAGTGGAACAATAAAGCGTCTAACTGCGACCAAGCAAGTGTGTCAGTGCCTCGCTATAGGTTCTACGTGGGGCGGGTTTTACTTTCGACGGTGCTACTCCTAAAAAAAATTATGGAGCTATTCTAGTACTTGACTCTATCAAAGTCCTAATTTGATTCTAATAAAAAGCGCTAGATCTAGATTGCCAATCCTAACCTTCGCTTACTGTTCCCTAAAAAAGAAGTAAGCGCCTCTTTCTGAAAAAATCAAAAGTATCGGTGCGATCAATCGTGCACCACGGAGAACTTATAAGCTTTAACTATCCTAAGCAGGCTGATAACATCTGTGGCCCCAAGCTGGCTCCTGCCGCTTACTCGAACACGTAGTTAGTAAATTCAGTAAGGCGTAATATTCTAGCGGGGTGCTTATTCCTTGCATTAATATCATTGGCCTGAAAGCATTGCGAAATCGGCCAAGTATTCCGGCTGTGCCTATGCTGATCATCATGTTACTCAATAGCTGAGCACTTTGGTGCCCCTCTCCAACTCCACCTTCTCGTTTGCTTGCTCTCTCTCTCTCTCTCTGCCTGGCTTGAACAGAACCACTAAGCTCACTCTATACACTATGGTGTGGGCCCATACTGACCACAGTTCTCTAAAATTAGCGAGTGTTTCTGTCTCTCTTTCTCGTTAATAAGCCTGCTAGTCGATCCCGATTCGGATAATCTCAATTCCGATTCTCAGTCTCTGTAAGAGTTTTTTAACTCTGCCTGCGTTTTTTGAATTCAATGCCGTACACCTATTAATTTTTCTTACTTCTATGTCAATATAAGGTAGTGAGCTAACTTCTGCTGTCGTGTCATCCCTTTTTCTTCGCTGTGAAAATAACTCGTGAAAAATGCTGCAGCAATTTCTGAAGGACCAAGGGTGAAGATCTTAGTTGAAGGAGCGCTTGGTGCATCATTTGCAACTCCAATCTTCTTAGCCGGGAAAAGACGAAGCAAAACCTTCGCCGTTGGACCCCGCCTCGGAACGGGAAGCGGTGACGTTCTCACAGCCGAGAATCCAGTAACTCCACATAAGGAGTCAGAAATGTGATCCGAATTATACAACCAATCCTCGAACAAAAAATCGACAAGGTCACTTCGCATTTTCTTCCACGATGTGGCAGTGTCCGCCGTCTCAGGGGTGGTGGTGTCAATGTCCGTGGTAGCTGCAGTGGCCGTCGTCCTCTGAGTGTCAGTCCGCGGCATGAAGTATTCTGCGACTTCGGACACATAATAAAGAACTTGACAAGCCATCTCCGCCTTAGTGCGCATCTGCCTTATAGTTATAATATTTAAATATCCGCGCTGACTCTAGCTACTTGTCACTTGGAAGAGAGGAGAAGGATCAAGTAATTTAAAAGGGTTTTAACTGTTGATTTTATAATATTTACGTTGATTTTTATGCTTTTTTTACGATTACGACCTTTCATCTTATAGTAGTAGTAATTAGAAACATATTTTAGACATACAAGGAGGAAGCCGCGGGACGGTAGAGCCGGAGGAAGGGTTAATATACCTTTAAGTTTGAGAACGTTTTTATCACCGAACCACAGCGAGAGGTTTGCTAGTATGTCAATCTTAAAAGTGTACAAAGGGGCCGTAGTTGAATGATCAAGATCCGTATGATGACGTTAGTCGGTTTGGATTGGGCCTACGACTTTTTCAGAGCATCTATTTTCTCTGATGCGTGAGCGTGGTTTTTCAAATTCAGTTTCAGATCTTTTTGATTTTGATCGATAGAGCTTTCTAAAGGTTTCAGTCTACTACCTAGGCTCTTCTGGTTACAACTCGTGGTCGACTGTTCCCAGTCATCAGTGCACATCATCCTCGTCTTGGCACCGATAGGTGGAATGAGCTAACTCTAATACCAGACCCAGAGTAACAATAACATTATCTTCAAAATTTTTCTTCATGAAGGCATCTTCGAGTGCGACGTCATCGAGGGCCTCAGCAACAGTCACTGAGTACTATACAAGTCATAAATACGTCACCAAAAAAAAATGCAATTGCAACATGCTTACACAAGTATTCAGTCGTGGTAATGTGATAGATTGATACTCTTGAAGATCGGGTCAAGACTGTTGCTCCTACTCTTCCTGAGTTTGATACAAGCAGATGGAGTTGGACTACAGGTTTTCTGCAACATGTACTTCTATTAAGTCCATTATATATAAGTTTCAATTTTTACAATCTGGAAATTCCTTCGCTATCACTTTATCTACTTGCTACCCTCAGTACACCCACGGTACTAGTAAAACTAAGCTTCTGTCCTTTACTTTGGACAAGACGCAACATATTTTTGCATACCTAGAAAAAGCACCCCTCATTCGAAATGTTCTCCTCTTCTAGTTCTACGTTACTCTCTGCAGCTTCAAGACTATCTCCCGAACATTTTTTGTCACTTGTACTCGTACTAGAACGTTGCGTTGCAGATGCAGTTCTCTGTTCACGTTTATCTACTTTCTCCTTCGATGAAATCGAAATTGTGTTGATATCATGATTTTTGACCACGGCTTGTTTTTTGTTTCTTGTTCCACTTGCATGAGTATTTCTTGTGTTCTTGAGAAAGTCCGATCTCAACTGGCATTTTGCCGCATGTTGTCGATCCCGCTCTTGCTGCACGATATCGGGCACGACGTCCCACAAAACCTCGCTCCCACGTATTTGGTCTCTTTTGCGCTGCGCAAGGTCAGCTTTTCGCTTTTCCTTCAGCGACTTCAAGTATTCTTCTCTACGACGCCTTTCCTCCTGCTCTTTATCTTCTTCTTTTTTCTTCAATTTCTTCTCCTTTCTGAAGATTCTAGCTTGTTCTTCCCTCAAACTTTCGTGCTCACGAAGTTGTTCCTCCCGGTTTCGGTAGTATTCATGTACTTTCTCCCTCAATTTTACTCCATCCGCTATTCTGCGTGCTTCCTTCTCACGAAGTTGTCCCAGTTCTTTGTAAACTACATCCCGATCTGAGCGGAGTTTCTCGAGTTTAGTTGCTAAATGACCTTCCCGGTCCATCAACTGCCTCATTTCTGATTCGACCTCCTTCAAAATCTCCCTCCTTTGCCGTTCTAGAGGTCCAAGTGCTGGTGGCGCCAACTGTGTCGCTGGCGTCGTGTCAGGATATTCTTGTGGCGCAAGAAGAGGGCCTGTTGTGGTTGTGGAGGTGAAAGAACACGGTACATCATAACTGCAAAAAACACGACCCGACAACAAATTGACCTTCTAAGCATGCGAGAATAAGCTCTACAACTCGTGTTGTTTTGTAAACGAGCAGTACCTTGATGTTCTGCTTGACGACCATCAAGATGGGCAACTCCGGAACTGGATGCTGGTATTAGTAACTTCCCACCTAATACCTCCACAGGCAAATTAGCCTTAGAGTCACGCAAAAAAATATCCGTTGCACGAAACTGGTGACGTTTTCGATGCCTGCTGCGTTTCCTGTTGGGTGACGATGCGCCAGTAAGTGCCCACATCAGATCGTCGACGCTTCGTCTCGTTATCTGCTGCTGTTGAGGATGAGGATCTTTCAACGGGCATAATTCAGTTGTTGTTGAGGATGAAGATGAAGAAGATGATGAAGACTGGGAAACTATTGGACCAACAGGTGCAGGAGCCGCGTCCTCGTGTCCTCTTTGATTTGCTGAAAGATCTTGCTGCAGTCCTAGTTTTGATATTGACTCATCTTGTTGACAATATTTGTCTTCCTCGGCTGGTGGTTGTCGAGTTGCCCCGCCGGCGCCGCCGCGAGGAAAAGTAGCGTCTTCCTCTTCCAACAGTGTCTGAACACCACAAAGCAAAGGAGGATTCCTACAAAGCAAAGGATCAGAGGCCAGTAAAGAAGAAATCGCCTCTAAAACTCCAACAGCAGGAGCACTCGAAGTTGTTGAAGTATCTGCATCTTGAGGATCTACTGATGTTGGTCTAAAGCGCGTTTCGTCGTCCACCCCTAGGAGCATTAGCGTCGCATCATCTTGACCGCCTTGTTCACCTACACCTCCTACATGTTTGGACGAGGATGTTGATGTTGAGGCCATCTTAGTATCACGATCATCCTCCCCATTTTTCCTCTTTGTCGTCATATCAGTCGTCTTCTCGTTCTCCTCCCCACCCCCACCGCCAAGATCTACCAGAACTTTCGCCAACAATCCACGTGGCATTCTGTACTGCATTTTTCGCGCTGCCCCAACAAACACTTCATCCTGTCGGTTCTCGAACTCCAGTCTCACTTCAGTCGGAATATCAGCGGAGACTGGGATGTTGCCCAGCAGGAAATCCAGACGATGCAGACACGTTGTTCTTTGCTGTCTCAAGTGGTTGCGGTCCTTCTCGAGGCTTATCATCTTGTTGTTCCTGTGCATGTTGAAGCTGGCAACTTGATGCGGGTGATGAGGGGTCGTAGAAGGTGTAGTTGTATCATGTTCTTCAAGCTCGCCATCTTCTTCATAGTCCTGGACCACTTGTCTTTGGTGCTCCTCAAAAGGAGCAGGAGCAACAGTTTTTCTACTTGTCCCTGCTCGAGGACGGGTACGTTGAAGATTATTGCTTGTAGTACAACTACCTTCTACTACTAGATTACACGAGAAATAACTAGAACCCCCCAAGAGCATCTCCTTCTCGAGACGTGCTAGCGCTAAACGTTCTCGGAAGATCCTAGTTCGACGCAGCCACCTAGAAGCGTTCTCGTAATGGCTGATGTATGCGGGCACCGTTCGTATCGAAGTTTTTCTTCTTGGCGTCATACTGGAGCTTGATGAGTTCGGAAATTCGTAATTACTAGTGCATATCGACGTAGAAGTCGCGATCATTGGGCATCCAAATCGGGTATGCCCAGTTCGCCTGGACGGCGAGCGCGAAGACTTTCTGTGAGTCTTTTGTTTTTTCGTATTATTATGATGTTCCGAGTCTTCTTCCTTCACTAAAAATGCCGGCTGAGACCCCATGCCTCTGCCCACGGCTCGTGTCTCAACAATTGTTTTCCGCGTAGCCGCTTGCTCGCAGCTTGAACGAGGATCATGGAGCACTATTTCGTGCTGGGTCTGATGTCCTAGACCCTCTGCGGCTACGCTGGACGAAAGCCTAGTACTCCCACGACGATTCCGACCCCCTACATTGCCACTCCGTGGCGGAGCACCCACTCGTGTCACACCAGATGGTAAACGTAGACCATCGCCGCCAGCATCAATGTCTTCATCATCACTAGGCGCTTTTACTTCCTTCGACAGCAATCGGACCTTCCCTAATGCAGGAAAAACATACCTACGCATGCGACCGAAAATTGTCGTAGAGGAAGGGCCTGGACGTGTCTTAGAAGAAGTTTCACGATCCTGATTATGCTTGTCGCTCTCGTCAGAAGCACACCTCAGGGAGGGCCTGATCCCGTCTCTGTCCCCGGTAGAAGCCTGTCCGCCGATCACTGTGCGTCGTGTGGTTCGACGCTTTGCGACTGCGGCATTAGGTCGCGTTGTCGTGCGCCGTTTTCTATGGTCTCCCACAGTAAGGCTTACAGGATCCACGTCTTCAAATAAGTCTTGTTCATCTTGCTCATCATCTGGCGCTTCAATCGATGCTCGAGCATCAAAGACAGGAGACGTGGTAGTGTTTCTTGTGAGAACCAAAGATGAGGAACTAGCTATTTTTTCGTTTTCGTAGTGTTCTTTAGCTTCAGTGTTTTTTTGTTCTACCTCTTCAGCGCTGTTTATCCACCAGTATTGGAGTAGACGGCCACCCAAAGTACCCCAAGTAGCGCTGGAAGACGTCGAAGAAGGCTTTACGTTCTTACTCACGTCGGCAAATGCCCTCGACCGATCAGCCAAAGTGGTCCAGAAGAGCAGATCTACTTCTCTGAGATTCAAACCAGACAAAGCAGCACTTGTAAGAAATTGATCTTGCTGAACATTCGTAGTGTACTTGTCGCTGTGCTGGTGGTTCTTGCACGTTGTTGTGCCATCCCCTCGTACAACTGCTGTAGCTGTTCGACTTTTACGCATATCAACTACATCACAATTGTCGTCATTTGTGAGTCTCCTAATCGACCGAGAACCTGTAGGCCTACTTCTCCTCGATCCTACTCCTGACACGGGGGAAGCGCTGTTTACCACTGCCCAACTTCCACGAGAATCGTGAGTATCTCCACCACCGAGTACAAGTGTACAATTCCGATCTCCTCCACCTTGTTCTTCATTCTTCTTAGTACTATCATAATCCTGATCCCCGACGAGGCCGAGATAGGCATGCAATTCGTCCCAAAAATCCTCTGCGAAAGCCCACTGCGTCGGACCTGCTACTTCTTTCTGCGCTCTCTCTACTACGTTGAGAAACTTCATCTGTCCTGCAGATATCCTCGCCGAAGCGAGGATATTTTCTCCACCTTTATTAGCGTGGTCGTGGTCTTCGTCGCGGAAGTTTTTCAGTCTGGCCAGAACGGCTTGAAACCGACTCTGGTGTTTGGAAGTGGTTTTCACCGCTGTGGTTGATGAGTCATTTGCGGCTGTGCCGGATGCTGGGTTCTTCATCGAGGCTGCGGAAGTTTGCCCTTTGCTCCACGCGTTCGAAGCTGTTGGGGTGGAGGTGGGATTTTCTAGTACTAACTGTTTGTATTGAAGAACAAAACGAAAACCTGAACACGAATTATATTCATCAACAATTTCCAAATAAAGCATGATGTCTAAAGTACAACCACGCTCGCCCCCTGCTCCTCCGTCCTCTTGTTTTTTTCGAAGATATTGATGTCGTGCGACCGCGTTCTGAAGTCTCTGATGCAGCAACATTGAGACTTCAGCTACAAACGCATCTTCATCGTGTAATTCTAGGAAAAACAGCGATCGCATGCCACCGTTTGCCCATGGTGGAAGAGGTGGCGGGCGGTGAAGAACGCGACTAGAAGTTCTCCTCCTGACACGATCTTGTTCGTCGTGAAACTTCTGTAATTCTTGACTGTGGTCTGATGAAGACGCGCAAGAACTTGAAATGGATGCTAACTTGAAATCCACGACTACAATTAAAGGACAGCAATGGCGATCAGTGGTCACTGATCCTGAGTGAAAAGGGTTCCACGCCTCTCCCTTTGTTGTCCCTTCGTTTTCCCCCGTTCTCTCTAGGAGGCCGGTCCCTCTTCGATCTCAGTGACTAACCTCGATGACGAATGAAAGTTGAGCCTTAAGGCAAGGTCTGAAGAAGTTCGTCTACTTCTAGAGGAATGCGCTTGATGTTCTACCAATCCTGCGGAAGCTGTGGGCCCGGTGAAAGTAGAGGACCTTATCGTGTCACATCCTTGATCCGTATCACGAGAACCAACCGGCAGTTGCTCATCATCGCCGTCGTCAAATCCTTGATCCGTATCACGAGAACCAACCGGCAGTTGCTCGTTCTCGCCGTCGTCAAATCCTTGATCCGTATCACGAGAACCAACCGGCAGTTGCTCGCTCTCGTCATCACGATCACGTCTGGAATCTTCTTCTAGTTCTTGTTGTCCTGCTACTTCTGCACCGTGATTAGAACTACTGGAGCTGCCATATTATAAATCCATCTTCTGCAGCAAGAACATCTACTTACAACTGGGTGCCCTGTTCATTCGTATTCCCTGTTGAAAAAACGGGAAGAGCAAGATGCTTGGGAAGAAGAAGAAGATGCATTTATATTTCTAGCCATAACATGTTGACCATTTTCGAGACAACTTTGCGGATAGAACAACTTCAGTGCCTCCTCAGTGTATTCTGGAGGACGTAAACGTGCGAAAGCAGACACCGATCTCGTAACGGAAGTTCTGCTTGTTCTGCTTGTGCCAGGAAGCGGTCGGGCCTCACGCAGGCGCTTGGCAGCCACGAAAGTTTCATCTAGATCGTCCATTTTTGACCTTGATCTTTATATATTTTTCTTGTTTCTAGACGAAGTAGAGTGGCGACTGCGCAAACAAAGTTCCGCTTGTTGATTTTCACAAAGAAGGGACCACTCATAGTGGATGCACTAGTCAAGCTCTCAGCCTAGCATGCTAGTGGCTAGCCGCCCCCACACGAGCTAGGTTATACAACAACAACATCTTCTACTCTTCTCTCAGATTTGTTTTCATACATACAGCACTTCCAAAACGTCTTATTCGTTCTTATGCTCTTTGAAATTGAAGCACGCGCAAAATATAGAGCTTGCGTTCTAATTGAATTTTCTCAACGAACTATGCTGGAATGTGGCCCGTTGCAAATCAATGCTGTTTCAAGGGAATACGTATGGGAATCGACGGGGATTCATTGATTAATTTTTTGCATTACTGCTACAAAATGAGTAAGGAATTATTTGTAGTTCAGAAAGTGATCCATCGTGATCAAGGTTGTCATGTGCGTCTCTACATCGCTTTCGGCAAGTCCCTCTTCCTCAACCGAAAGACAGTAATCACCACCCCAAATAGCATCATGATTGCGCCAACCAGGTAGGGCAGACATAGTGGTATCCCATGTCTCTTAGCGTAGAAGAAGACGGAAGCAAACAATGCTGGCCCTAGGATGCGTCCTGCTTGTCCTGCACTCTGGACCGCGGCTTGAGCCCTGCCGACTTCAGAAGGCTTTGCGGCTAATGCGACTAAGGAGCTCAAGCAACCAACAGCCGGAAACGAAACCCCAACGGCGATTTCAGCTAAGCAGGCGATCCACATACTAGGAAAAAAGTACAAGAGGACGAAGATGAAGTAGTGCAATGCGTTCAGGAATGTTCCAATGCGGATGATTGCGAAAATTCTTTTGGCAATACTAGGAAAAACCGCGACCAAAGAACTGACAATCGCTCCGCTTATCCCGACAAAGAAGAACAAAATCGAAGTGTCTGACGGTTTCAGATGCCCAACCTCTTGCAAGTAGTACAAGGCTTGTTCCTGCAGTCCTGTGCTGGCTACACTCAGCACAAAGCGCAACAAAGCCGCATAGAAGATGATCGGAGAATGTTTTAGAATTCGACTCACACCTTTCCACTCTTGCACTGGACTTCTGAACCGAACAAAGCGAACAAAGCGATCTAAACCAGAGCGTGAGCGTCTTGCAATGGCAATGGTGCTGCCGAAGAGGCGTCCCCATCCACGATGCCAGAGACTGCTAGACGAGGGTGAAGATGGAGGAGTCCCTAGCTCTACTACGTCTTGATCTTCATTTTCCAGTCCTGGTTCTTGTTCTTCCATTTGCTCTCCTACTTGTATTGGTGGAAAAGGGCCCATTGATTCACCAGAATCTGAAGACGCGCTGCTTGTTGAAGATGAAGATGCTGCAACTACTGGGATCATGTCAATGTTGTCGATAATTTCAAAATCTCCATCTTCGACGATCTGATCTACTTCATCACGTGCTGATGCTGAGTTAGTATTTATTGCGGTACTACTTGTTGCACTGTAGTGAGCAGTTGTTTCCCCTTTTCTTGGCAACGTTGCAAAGCCTAGCAACAAGGCTAGAGCAGCCAGTGCTGTGTTGACCTTCAATAGGAAGACGACTCCATCTCCGCTGACGCTACTGAGATAGACGCCAATGGCTGGGCCGAAGGAAATGGAGAGCGAAAGCAGAGCTACGAATATATTGAAGCTCTGAGTCAAAGTTGCGCCTCTGTCTTGTGTAGTCGATGCGCCAGGTGTCGTTGTGGAAGTTGTTGGTGGTGGAGCAGCTGGAGCAGAAACAGATGAAGACGCTGTACTGGGATAGACATCTTGATGGCCCCGCCCACCACCTTCCCCTTGGAGTTGAAAGCCTCCTCCTGTGCTCGCTTCGTCTTCACGCAAGTAAGACGAGGACAAAAATCCTCCTCTATCGGTGAGCACCCCAACGCCTCCTCCAGTAGACGTCGACAATGACGAAGTCGTCGGAGCACCTCCTGGCGTAGACAAAATGGATGTTGTAGCGATGCTTGCAGTTGAGGATGAGGACGTGCTTATTGTTCCCAACGAAAGAGTCGTGTTAACCTTCATCATTTTCTCCACTGTCCCAGCATCGTCGGCAGCTCCGGTGCCACAAACTACAACTCTAGAAGATTTCGGCTCTCCACGAGGTGAAGATGCCTTAATCCACAGTTCTGAAGACGCTATTGCAAAGTTCTTTGTGGCTGCAGCAGAAGTATCCTCATTTTCGTCATCGATGTCAGCAGGAGGTATGTGAAAGGAGTTATCTCCAGCTACTCGTTGAACCGGTGCAGAATTTTCGATTTTGCGACGCGGCTGCGCATGTGCAGATTCATCAACAACCTGCTGTTCATCATCTTCTACACCACTCCCAGCACTTCCACCTTCCTCCTGTTCCTCATCTGATTTTACAGTAGCAAAGGACTCCTCGTCACTTCGGCTGAATAGCTCAAAGGCGTTTTCCTCGAAATTATCCGTTTGCTCTTCTAGGAAATCTTCGCGACTCATCTGCAACGCGATAGAGTTGGCATTGACAACAGCAGTTTCTTCGTCTGGTATCATGTCGTCACTGCTGTAGTCAAGGTCTTCTTTATCTTGCTGTTCAGGGGTAGACGTTCTTGAGGTGCCAGTCGAATGTTCGCGTTGAGGTTGTTGTGGACTTCCACTGCTATCGCAACTTGAAAACATCCGATCAACCTCACTTTCTCGTATCACCAGTGTGCCTCGGTCAGTGAGGTTCTCTTCTAACTCGACTAACCGCCTCCCCTGAAGAACGAGGACAGGTGGTTCTTGATCATCTCCTTGGAACATGCTGTTCTTGGTAGCATTTGTAGCATCAGATGAAGACAGCCGACTTTTCTCATCTGACAAGTCCACTAGCATTGCCTGGACAGGTGCCATGCCGAAAAAGCCGTAGACTGCACCAACCATGTTGAAGAAGGCAGTAAAAGAGCAATAGAAAACGAACAGGAGGAGCGTGACGAATGCTCCTGTTGGAGGCTCTCCTGAAGGTTCCTCTCCTCCACTGCTACGGACGTTCTTGTGGAGCTCGTGGCTCAGTCCCCTCTCGACGAGATCATGATCTCCATTTTGAGAAATGTACAACTGGTTGTATTCTTCACCATCGGAGGAATGTTCCTGATCCTGTTGCACTTGTTGCTGCTGCTCGTACTGGCGTAAGCTGGTGCTTGTTAGGCCCGAAGAACTACTAGTTGTTCTCGAAGGGGTTCTTTCGCTTTCGTCTAGCCACTTTTGCCATTCTGTCGCATCGTCCTCTAGTACTTGCTGCGTGATCATCCACCTAGGCCCAAGTAATGCCGTTGTTGGTGGTCCTCTTAACATCAGCGAAGAGGAGGAAACGAGCGCTGTTCCACCAAGAACATTTCCAACTCCTGACGACGAACTAACCCGTTCCCCCAACAGCGCCAAGTTCCCCGCATTCAGAAAGTTCATCAACAGAAAGAACAGCAGAACGCCTCTTCTTCCCCGTTTGTCCGTTATCCTCCCCACCATCGGTGCCACCCACAAGGAGAGAAACGAAAATTAGGGCTCATCCTAATCCATCTTGACTTCCTTGACTAGGCTTGTCTTCAGGTCGAGGACAATTCAAAGATGAATTAAGGGGGGGCTTAAGAAAACACGGTATCGAGTGCACTGAAGAAAAGCACCGTGTGTTGGACGCAACTACTGTGGGAGCTGCATCCGAAAACGTGAGCGATGGCATCGGTCCTCAAGTTCGGTAACAAGGACAAGGTCAAAAAATCTGGCAACGCTGCCAGCGTCACGAAGAAAATGAAAAGATAGAGCCTCATCTTGCTTTAGTTTCCCGTTGAGCTTGAGTTTTTCAGCTGGCTCTCCTTCCAATTTGATATCCATTTCCATCACCTCCCCAATATGCAGGTAAAGTTTGAAGTTCTTGCCGGCGCCACAGGAATCAATATGATCAAGATCATGATTGATGAAGCATACACAGCTGAAATGACGTGAGTGCAGAAAAAAGTTGTAGTATCCCTAGCTATGCATAGTACAGCATCAATATGCTTTTTTTAAAAGCAGGGGCATAGTTGCCAAGATGAAGTAAGCAAAAGCTAAAGCTAGGTAAGGAAATGGAACAAACAACTCATACATACATTCTGTTCGGGAACGAACTCAGATACAGATGCAACGGGAGGGGGAAGGGGGTACACACTTTTCATTTACTTACCTATCTCTCTTCTTCCTTGCGCCATGATCTATGTCTTCCTACCAAGCGAAGACCGCACAGGCATACACATTCACATGGTTGTACTTCAAGCTGGTTCAGATTTTGTATGACATGAGGGAGTCGTTCGTATTTGAAACCAAGACGCCGATGGAGACATGTAAAAAACATCTTCATCACTCGATCATCTTAGAGTTTTCGTCGGCGTTTCCATTTGTCACCCTCTAACACCTGTATTAACTTAATGATCTCCTTATCGTAATCTGCTCTCTCTGTTGGTTCGTGTTCTCTCGTCTGTCTGTCTAAGATATGACTACGACTACAAATCACTACTGCACGCTCTGCTCCCAAGAGACCTGTAGAACAACGTTAGCGAGATCACTTCGTTCGAAAGCAGGAGAAGCTCTTGTCAAAGACAAAATCAAGAACAAAGTCACTATAATAAGAGTCAAAATGAATGAATGAATGAAGCCAGTAGATGATAGATAGCTGACGAGAATATCAGCCTATGACATACATCACAAGCGAGCGCGAGGTTTCTATCCTTGTCATCCATCATAAGTCGTTTACTTTGGCAAGTACTCACCAAGGAGTCGTCGTCCCTCATGAGAATTATGATCAACCATCAAGTATTGATGTAAGTAGGTGTACTCTTTACGAGGAGAAAATCTCTACTCATACTCAAAGTTTGGAGCCTTACTTCAATACGACTCCTCTCGAAGTCTCAACTCGATACATTCCTCAAAAAAAAGGTGGACTGCGTCGAGCCTTTCGTTTCTTCATGATAATGATCACCATGCAAATTTAATGATCGTCGTCTATAGAATTGCCTTTGGGTGAATTTGTGAGCCCTGCAGATCTTTTGTGTCTCCGACTCCGGATGATTTTTATGCGCCCTTAGGCGCATGGCACTGGCGGCGCTGCACCCGCGAGGACTTCTTCTCCCTCGTATCGGAATTCTAGTCGGCCCACCTCGCTGTCGGCAACAAAGTCCAAGGAGAAAGGTGCCTGTTCGTCCGGTCCTCCTTTTTGCACATTATGGTTGTGTATTTCGAGACCCGTGAAACTCCTCTGCCGTGGCTGCAGCTGCCTGACCGGCGCGAAGGTTGCCGTCGCAGAAAGCACTGGACACCGACGTCGCAGCTGCTCCTCTGCAGCTGTACTAGAGGTAGACTCAGCAGTACTACTCGAGGCAGAGGACTCGTCTTCTCCTGCAGAACATACTACAGAAGAAGATGCAGTTGTCCCAGTACTACGATAGTACTCTTTACCCAAAAATGCAGATGATGATGCTCCTCCGGCGCCTGCTGGCGCATGATGTTGTAGCGCACCATGCTCTTCTTGTTCCGCTATCATGGGGGTCCGCCTGCTACAAAGGTCGGCTTTCATCATGCCGAAGAAGTGTATGTTGAAAAACAAATCGTTATACACTGGTGCTTCCTCTGCATCCGGTTGTTCATCTGTAGTTAGGCCGGGATCATATTCCCATCGTGCGACGAGCGACAGCTCCACATTATCTTGATCAAAAAGGGACTCATCCTCCAACAGGTCAAAAATATGATTGCGTACGTACTGTCCCAGATTTTCCCACCGCCGCTGCTCGAAACCCGGTGGAAAGGAGGAAACCCGCGTCTCATCGATGATCCTCCAAGATTCCACTCCCTCATCCTCCTTCCGCTGCCGAAATGCTTCCAGCGCTGCTTCCAAATCGTCTTCGATATTAACGAGTGGAGGACGCTGTTGATATAGTTGATGTTGTTTCAGTCCAGTTGTTGACGCTGTTGTTCCACCACCACCTCTCCTGCAGCCGAGAGAACGCAGCAGGAGGGACACCTGTTGGTACAGGAGCAGGAAAGTAGAAGCCCAGGACGGTGAAGAGTCTGTGCCTTCTTGTTCCACTGCCTTCCGCTTCAGCTCCGCCACTGATCCTTTCCAGACAACAAAATCTTCTTCATCCGCCGGTTGCCCATATTCATCTAGTCCACCATCTGTCCATGCCTCCTGTGGCGGGCGTGTGATGCTCCGATATACTGGCTGCGTCACGAACTTCTCTTCATTCAGAAGATAGGTTCCCACTTTGGAAGTACTATCTCGCCCGATGGCTGTTTCTAGTATGTCGAGGACCTCTCGCCCTACTGCTGTCAGCAGTATCTTGAGGGCCCTCTCCCGAGTCTCGTCTTCTTTGTTGCAGAAAACGTCCACAAACTCTCTCAGGCCTGTACTCGGTGGTCCCGAATCTCTCGTCGCATCAGAAGTTGCATAAATTCTCGGCGAATCCTCCGAGTCCTCCTCACGACTTTCAATGCTACTACCAGCATGACGGTCGGCTCTCGAAGTCGTATCCATTGCTCCAGTGTCACTGCCTCCAGTGCTTCTACGAAGAAACTCCGAAGACCCTGTCATTGAGGCGGCCACACATGGTATCGCTAAGTTAGAATAGTAGAAGAGAAAGGATGAAAAGATGAAGAAATAAACACGCGAGGCCGAGGACACCGACATCCTCGTTGATTAGGATTGTATATTTCTTCTTCTTGAAATAGCGGGCTTCTATTTGATTGTGCTGTTTGAACAAGAAACAGATCTAAATAATCAATATATAATTTGTTGTATGCGAGCGTAATGAAAATAATACTTGTCCCTGTGGTCAAGATATAAACCTGAAAATACTTGTGATCGTATCTGCAACTCAGACTGGATCTCCTAGAATCTTGTTTTTCCTTTTGTTGGTGTTGTTGTTCTTGGCGATCATATTTTTTGAGTAGAAGTAGAGAAGATCGCTATCGATCTCCATTTTTAGAAGGATCTCAGTGGGACCTTTAACATATTGGAGAGCATCTGTTCTGCCAACGCCAGGGCTGCCAGCCTGTTGTTCATTCATTTTCTCAGTCATTTAAACTTAATGCGCAATTTTTTTTTGGAACCTGGGTCCACAATTCTCGCTTTCGATCCATACAATAAGCTTTAGACCCTCACCCTTCCTTTCGAAATAGTAGTTCATCAAGATGCAACAAGGCCAAGATGCAACAGTCTAAAAATGGTCGCCGAACAAGGGAGCTTTTGATTACGTAGCAATCTCTCCCGCATTCAGCAAAGAGTATCAATGTTGTTTGCGTCCCTCACCGTGATTCATTGATTAATTGGTTGATTGACTGGCTGAATGACTGACAGACGTGTGCACTCTCGGGGCGTAGCATCTCGCAACTAGTTGCACGGTGGCAGGCGCTGCATTATTGGGCCCTTCCTCCTCCGATGAATGAACGCGCCAAGTGCCAGCTCTTTCGCTGGGTTGAGTGGTATTGATTCAAATGCATTAGGGCGCCCACTGAAAAAGATAAAGCCAGCCGGTTTTTGTCTTGTGTGTGTTTTCACTTTTCAGTGTGTTGCTACTCAAGAACCAAATCGCCCCAAGGCTTTGGCCTTTCTGTGGCTCAACTCTCAACAGATAAAAAGCAAACAGCCCCAGCAGGTTTTTGGCGCAGTGTGGATTTCTCTCACGCCCGCCAACCAAAAAGCAGGCGACGCATGTCACTGATCAGAGTCTTTGCGGGCGCGGTTGATCTGGCAACGAGCTAACAGCGCTGAGCCAATGCCAAATGCATACAGCGACAAACAATGCGACTGCGAGTGAGAGCACTTGGCCAGTGTATAAAGCAGAACACGACTGCGGAGAATATGTTGCGCCCCGCCTTTAGCGTCCGTGGGCTTTTGACCTGTCGACTACTTGCCTTGATTTGAGCAACTCGCTTCTGCTTCTACTTTTGTAGCAGATCTGTTGAAAAACGACAGAACTCAGCCGCAGGCTGCAGCTTGCCAGTCAAAACTGTAAGAAAATATCAACAATTTTTAACAACAGTCGCCAGTCGGTGTCCAATAGCCTAGACGCCGCTTGGAGAAGGAAAATACTGCGCGGAGTGCTAAGCGTAAGCGTGTCGCTTGAAGAAAATAGTTTTAGTTCAGGCGGAAAATTTTGATGGTAACAAGTTAAGGAGCCGTAGCGCCGTGGCCTTTATGCCCCAGGCGTCATAAACAGCTGGTGCTGGGGGCCTAGTCGTAGCGCCTTAATTAAAAGAAGCAAAAGGCTCGACTTTACTTGTTTCACTCTAACGTCAATTATGCCACTTTCACAGTTTCACTTACTTACCGCGTAAGAATTGAATTTAAGCACAGCTAGGCTTGTCAGTGGTCGGCGCTTGTCATAACGTTCTCCAAAGAGCGCCCGTTTTTGGGCCCTTGTGCTTGTTTGAACTCTTAAGCAATAAAACTACGCGAGTTACAGGCGAGGCATAATCGACGAAGACGCAAGGTTTTTAGGTTAGTCACTGCGCACGCCTTGCATTTCAAGCAGGCTTATACTATGTAGATACTCTGCTGCTGCAAGCCGATACTGAATGCGCAAAGCCTCAACGCCAAGAATGGCGCCAAGTCTACGGATAAACATGCGAGCTCGCTAAAACAACAAAGATGAAGCGCGAGCGCGTGTAGGTTTACTTGACACAGGTGCCACGCGGTCTGTAGGCTCGTTTAAGTACAGGCTTTAACCGTAGTATTCAGGTCAGTGAACAAGAACCACATCGACGCCTTCTAAAGTTCTTCACTGCATCTCTTCCAATGACGTCAGACGTTGACCACGCTACGTCTATGATAGATTACCACGCTGCTTTTTTCTTGTATGCTCGAATACCATTCAGGGTTCCATAAGGACAAACGGATACCATTCAAGGTCTCACTTCATTTGGGCTTGAACGCTTACCGGACTAAGCATAAAATTATTGCTCCAGAAAGACTTCCAAATATTGATGTAGGTGTAGTCTTTACAAGAAGGAAACCACTGCTCATACTCAAAGTTTGGGCCAGATTCTAGTAGAAAAAAAGCCAGGGACCTTGAGTGTGTCAAGTAAAAGTATGGCTTTCGTACGATTACGATTTTTATTATAGTCATCTTCATCATGATCATTTTCATTCATCAGAGTAACAGTCTGGCTGTCGCTTTGCGCCTTTCCCTTGAGGAGTTGTGTCCAACAGGGCACCTCCCACTGGACATGAAAAAAATCGAATACTTCAAATGTGGCATCCCGAGAATTGGCAGTGCTCTTCTTGTAGACGCACGGCACGAACGTTGTAGCTCGGTGCTTTGACGCGCTCCTTCATAAGTGCCATCCTGTTGAAGTGCGCCGCTTGCTTGTTCACCTCAGCCCCGTGAAAGTTTGCGAGGTCCACGATGCGCTTGAGCGGATCGAAAAACAAGGGACTCAAGTCTTGCGACGACACAATGCGGGGATTAGGATCAATTACCCAAAAAATTGCAACGCGGCGTGTGTAAGTTTTCACTTCCTCCGCTTCTGTTCTTTTCTCTCCTGGTGCAGCGCCAGCAGCTGTTCCCCCTCCCGCAAGATTCAGACGCATTTCTTGCACCTGATGAATGTGGGAATTCGGAAAGCAGGTCAAGCTTCCTTCATCCATGACGGCGCTACCCAACGGCATCGCGGGCGCTTCCAGCTCCAAAGATCGGAGGTGATCCTGGACACCGTGATCCGGCGGCAACCACTTGAAGGAGTACAGCTCGTGATTCTCTGCAACGGTAAATGCACGCTTAAAACGAATCGTCTGATTCACGAGCGAAGGGGCCTTCGACGTCCCGGGTTCCGCAGAATGCTTGCTCTGCTTGGCCCCGTCTAAAGGAGTCATCAGTGACGCACCTTCTCCATGCAGTTTTTTCCACCAGCTCCAGTCCTGCTGTCCACATTCGATGTCCTTGTCCTTTCGTAGGACACAGAGTGCCGCGGCCGCGATATTCTCATGCGATTGGCCCTCGACGTGCCACAGTCCGGAGGGGTGAATCGCCTGCGTGCGACCCAAGGGGCCGTCTTGGTCGCGGAATTCGTAATCCAATAGTTTCACGATAACCTGCAAAGTCCCGGGAACAGAATACAAGTCTTTGTTCGCCGGAGTGGAATCGCAACTCTTCATAGAAGCTGCTGTTGCAAATTCTGCTCCTGCTCCCTGTGGCTTCTTTTTCTGTGACGAGGCCTGCTTGGCTCCTCCTCCGCTTTCTCCGAAGTGCTTGCCATTTTTGTTCATGGTTTCTAGCAGGTTCGCGAGTGCCATTTCGTTTTCCTCTGGATCGCCCTCCTCCAGCTTCTCATCGTCCGCAAGGAGCTGTAGCTTGTCCCTGCCAAACACGTAGGCTTCGTTAAGTGTTGGTAAAACCGAGAGAAAGAGGTCGGAAAGCATATCGTGCATCGGGTTCTCCGATTCGATTCGCACGGCCTCGGACCTCATTTTCTCATGCTCCTCGTGGGACGAGTGGTCCTCTTGGGAGGCCGCGGCCGATCCTTTCTTCTGCTTCTTGAAGGAGGTGCTGGCTCCTGACGCGATTTCCTCTGGCATCGAGATCAACTCCGACAGGGATGAAATGCCCTTTTCTACCACCTTCTTCTTACCTTCGCACCAGGATAGGGCACAGTCCTTCAATTCCACGTGAGCCGGCAAGTTGTTAATGGGAGAGACAAAACGCCCCGTCTTGAGGCAGAATTCCGCTGGAATCCACTGATAGCGGCCGAAATCCTGCTCCCGGCCCCACATATCCTTCCCGTTTTGACGTTCCCTCGACTTGCTTGACGCTGCTCCAGCTCCTCCCTTAGGCACTCGTGCTGAGCCTGAGGGCCGGGACAGGAGTGGCGCCTGAGCATTGGGCGTCAAATACGAGGGAAACGCCGTCTGCTCGTTGTCGTAACAATAGCAAGAGGGATAAATCAGATTCAACACGGTGTCATTAAAATCCGGCTGGTAGTCCGTCTCGTACAGGTACATGTGTTTGCTTTTGCTTCCATCATGATCGGCGCCCAAGCCAGCAAGTGTGTCCAAGAGATTTGCGAGTTTCTGTCTTGCACGCTCCTCCAGTTTGTCGACCTCCAAGGAGCTTTCACCGCTTTTCTTCATCTTCACACCATGATGTTTCATTTTATTTTTGCTTTTCCCATCTCCTTACTTCAGCTGCTACAGCTCCTTCAGCGTGGCCAGGATTTTCCCACTGAGGATCATCTTGTCGATTTCCAGGTTCAGACTTCGCACGAGCTGGTCGGGCGCCTTAGTCCGCAGCTCACCGCGACCCCCCGCTGCTCGCACCACTTCACTTAACTCGCGACCGAAAACTCCTACAGACTCGTCGGCCTCGAATCCGTACAGTTGCTCCGTTCGCCGCTTCCACAGAAATGAAAGCTGAGAATAAAAGGGGCCAGAGTGATGATATTTTATAAGTATGACAAGTACGATGATGATGCCGATGACAATGGCTTTGTTCTTGACACGAATTATATTAATACTCCCTATAATTCCCTAATTAAATTACATGACGAGTGCGGCCGTGCGAATGATGGCGATGCTAATGTAGTGACGACGATGATAGTATCATAGCATGGCTGCCTGGTTGACGACGACTTGTCGACAGTGTTTCTCGGCTTCCTCGACACATTCAGTCGGCAGGTCCTTCGGATGGATACGGATGCAGTCCAGCCCATCCGCCTCCTGGCTACTCGCTGCTTTCTTTATTCGCTCAGCTGGGTTTAAACACTCCGCCTCCAAAGAGTTGTGGAGTATCTCCAAGGACTCCGCGAACTCTGGTCGGTCCGACCCGTTCGGGTACTCCATGAGCAAAGTCTCCTGGAGCTGCTCATTGTACGCTCCGCAGAATAATTTCAGCAGCGGCCACAGTTCTACATCGTCCGCATCGGCGGCGTCCTGCATCTCCTTTGCTTTATGTCTATAATTTTTCACCTTCATACATCTGCAAGACTTCTGCTTCTTTTTTGTCAGAAATCCGCACATCTTGCGACAGTAGGTCCATTCCGGCTCGGTCAGTGGAAATGCTTCAGTCGGATTCTCAACCAGGATGGTCGGCATCACGTAGGAAAACCCGCTGGGTTCACGGACCTTCGACGCGTCGAGAAGATTGCAAAAAATGACCCTGTCATATGAAAGTTGTAAGTAAAACAATCCATCATGATATCAAGAATAAGTACTCACGACAGACCCACCAGCTCAAAAATACATCCACCAGCTCAATACTCATACTCATAAGAAGATCGATCATGCTATCGCGAGAATCTGGCAGAGTCGTGTCTGACTACAATTATATCAAGGAAAAAGAGTGGCGTTTTTCATTTTTCCATATGTTGTCGGCCTTGACAGGTTTCGCAGCAGGTGGTGGACTCATATGATTGGGCCGGACCTCGATTTCTCGCACGCCTCTGCCATGTTGCTCGATTCTGATTCGCTTTGGAGCTCCCCTTGTCGCATCCTCCTCTTCAAACGCAGACGACCGCGTCCTGCTTGTGATCGCTCCACCAGAAGCCGGGGCTTTGCTTTTCGTTGTGCTGGCAGATGCTGGTCGTGCTCCTGCCTTGTTTCTAGCGCAAGCCGTGTTGTTCGAGTCCATCTTATGAATGTTGCCACTGATTGAGATGAATCTGGATCAGATTAAGGGAACCAATGTCCTCCTCTCAAGTTAAAAGTAGTACTAGCAGATTGCCTATTCGTGCGGCGTCGGATGTTGCATTTATAGAGGAAGTAGACTAATAATTTGTTAAGTAGACTAGTACGACGCTGAAAAATGAGAGGAACGACATTCCCAATGCTCCGCTCTCAATAGGTGGCATCATACATCATGGCACTTTCGAGTTGATGGAAGAAAGGGAACTCCGGTTTTGGCGTGAGCCACTCCAAACGGAATGGGCCCATCGACGCGAGCCTCTTGCGGGTGGCGTTTTCCCAGGTTTCAGCCTCTTTCTGATTCGAAGACGAAGTTTTGTCCTCATCCTCAATCCACCAACCGTAGCCATTCGCTAATTCGACCAGAAGCGCCTGGAAGTACTGATCCTGCGTCCGGGCAGCCATGGTCTCGTACCGGTCGGCGTGGCTGCCAAGAAAAAAGTACAACTCGTCCTTCGGCTTCAGCTCAGTAGTCTTGTAGCAAGCCACCTCCTCCAGAGCGTGCTGTGCAACATCGTCGCCATTGCTCTGCGACAGATCATCCGCGGAACTCGCGAACTTGCTGTCAGATTGCCTCTCCCCCTCCTCTTTCTCAATCTCATTCGACCCGCCTTCGTCTTCTTTGCAACTTTCGAAGGCGATATCGCCGCCGCTAACGGGAGTCCTGTCTTCATTGTCTTCGCCGTTGCTTGTACTGGCGGAATTCTTACCTCCATTCGACTTCGTCTTCGAGTCGTCCTTGTCCGCGCTCGAAGCTATGAAAATCTTCACATTCCGAGAAGCCCGATCTCCGTCAAACTGTGTCGGGAGGTAATGCTCCTGAAGCCACTCGCCAACTTTCAAAGCGGAAATTAGAAACCATAACCACATCACGAAAAATAGATCTTCACTATCTACTTCATCGTATACAACTATATCTATCGGTTAGGTTAGGTTGTGAATCCTGCACATCGAAGCCCCCCGGCACCTGGCTCGACTCTGAGGATATAACCTAGTAACAGCACATAATATTTATACATTCATCATACTAGGCAACATGAACATGCTATGATAATTTAGTTTCATTTCTTAACAAGGTAGGCTTCGCGAACGGGGTCTCGACCTCTTCCCCTGAGAGAGGGCTCAGCAGCACAATCTTCTTCCGCCCCTCTCCTTCCTTTTCATCTCCGGTGCGCTGAGATCGAGCCCACATCTTGAAGGTGTTGTGACGCCAAGACGTACAAAGCTAAAATTCTTAGATTTTTGTACTAGGAAAAACTGAAACCAGCCTGATTGCTGAACAATGTGCAATTTGACCACGACCAGGAAACTAAAACAAATCACCACGAGCTGCACAAGACCATGCTGATGAAAGCAAGTAGAAATATACCGACAACCCATCTTTCAGAACATCTTTTAGCCTATTCCAAGAAGGAACTGACTAAAAGATGGTGCAAAAGATGGGTTGACGGTACTCATAAATATTTTTGGAATGTTGATATGATCAATCCAAGTATAATAACTAAATGAGAACCAACAAGAAGACCACTCTTACTTACAACTAAATGGTGTCGACGAATGATTTCCCTATGTATAAACGATATAATAAATATAAAGCCTATGGATAATTAAAACCAGCACTTTTTTAGTCAATCAAGCTTAAGTCTTGACGTGAAAAAAAACGAACTACAAGTCAAAATGTAGCGAGAATATTCGACATGAGTCGATCGCTATCAATCAGTCCTGATTTTTCGTACACGATGGGCTTCCTATCAAAAGTCCTACGGTTAAATAGGCTAAATTATTTGCGGCCGTTTTAACAATTGAGAGCGTCTGGGAACCGAAGCCCGCGTTAGCTCATAACCCGTGACCGCGCAAGTATAGGAAAAGGAGCGCCGACCGCAACTAGTACAAAGTTAGCTAGCTAGGCTAGTTACAATACAACGCAATAAAATGCAACTAATCTCGCACAAACTTCAGCACAGACTGACTTAGGGGCTTTTATTGTGTCAAATGACTCAGGAGGCCTCTGCAAAAGATTTCACTGCTTGGAGTGTTGTACTGATTCAGATGTATGCCTATTGATTTCTTGATGCTTGTCCCTCGTCATCTCCATGGTTTTTTGTGTTTGTTTCTCGTTCTCTCTCGATAGCGAACAGAGTACAAGGGACAGAAGTACTATGCTATACTTGCACAGTCATACATATCAATGCTGATTCATTTTACGATTGAAAATGCGAGGAGGGACAAAAACTACAAATACTGCAAGGAGGTGCTAATTGTATTCTCCTCCATAGGACCGACGGACATCGTCAAGAAGAGGCTAGAAGCGAGATACCGTACTAACGTCGCGGAACAAGTGATTTGTCTTTCTGTTTCTTCTATCTGTGGATTCTGGCTTCAGACAGACGATGATTCAAAATGATCATCATTCTGATAGACTAACAGAACACTACACTCCATCACGCTGCCACAGGCTTTTTGGGCTACAAGTAGAACTAGGTCATGGTCGTAAATTTCGAGGTGGCTCGCTTCTGCTTCTACTTTTGTAGCAGATCTGTTGAAAAACGACAGAACTCAGCCGCAGGCTGCAGCTTGCCAGTCAAAACTGTAAGAAAATATCAACAATTTTTAACAACAGTCGCCAGTCGGTGTCCAATTATAGCCTAGACGCCGCTTGGAGAAGGAAAATACTGCGCGTAAGCGTGTCGCTTGAAGAAAATAGTTTTAGTTCAGGCGGAAAATTTTGATGGTAACAAGTTAAGGAGCCGTAGCGCCGTGGCCTTTATGCCCCAGGCGTCATAAACAGCTGGTGCTGGGGGCCTAGTCGTAGCGCCTTAATTAAAAGAAGCAAAAGGCTCGACTTTACTTGTTTCCCTCTAACGTCAATTATGCCACTTTCACAGTTTCACTTACTTACCGCGTAAGAATTGAATTTAAGCACAGCTAGGCTTGTCAGTGGTCGGCGCTTGTCATAACGTTCTCCAAAGAGCGCCCGTTTTTGGGCCCTTGTGCTTGTTTGAACTCTTAAGCAATAAAACTACGCGAGTTACAGGCGAGGCATAATCGACGAAGACGCAAGGTTTTTAGGTTAGTCACTGCGCACGCCTTGCATTTCAAGCAGGCTTATACTATGTAGATACTCTGCTGCTGCAAGCCGATACTGAATGCGCAAAGCCTCAACGCCAAGAATGGCGCCAAGTCTACGGATAAACATGCGAGCTCGCTAAAACAACAAAGATGAAGCGCGAGCGCGTGTAGGTTTACTTGACACAGGTGCCACGCGGTCTGTAGGCTCGTTTAAGTACAGGCTTTAACCGTAGTATTCAGGTCAGTGAGCAAGAACCACATCGACGCCTTCTAAAGTTCTTCACTGCATCTCTTCCAATGACGTCAGACGTTGACCACGCTACGTCTATGATAGATTACCACGCTGCTTTTTTCTTGTATGCTCGAATACCATTCAGGGTTCCATATGGACAAACGGATACCATTCAAGGTCTCACTTCATTTGGGCTTGAACGCTTACCGGACTAAGCATAAAATTATTGCTCCAGAAAGACTTCCAAATATTGATGTAGTAGGTGTAGTCTTTACAAGAAGGAAACCACTGCTCATACTCAAAGTTTGGGCCAGATTCTAGTAGAAAAAAAGCCAGGGACCTTGAGTGTGTCAAGTAAAAGTATGGCTTTCGTACGATTACGATTTTTATTATAGTCATCTTCATCATGATCATTTTCATTCATCAGAGTAACAGTCTGGCTGTCGCTTTGCGCCTTTCCCTTGAGGAGTTGTGTCCAACAGGGCACCTCCCACTGGACATGAAAAAAATCGAATACTTCAAATGTGGCATCCCGAGAATTGGCAGTGCTCTTCTTGTAGACGCACGGCACGAACGTTGTAGCTCGGTGCCTTGACGCGCTCCTTCATAAGTGCCATCCTGTTGAAGTGCGCCGCTTGCTTGTTCACCTCAGCCCCGTGAAAGTTTGCGAGGTCCACGATGCGGTTGCGCGGATCGAAAAACAGGGGATTCAAGTCTTGCGACGACACAATGCGGCGATTAGGATCAATTACCCAAAAAATTGCAACGCGGCGTGTGTAAGTTTTCACTTCCTCCGCTTCTGTTCTTTTCTCTCCTGGTGCAGCGCCAGCAGCTGTTCCCCCTCCCGCAAGATTCAGACGCATTTCTTGCACCTGATGAATGTGGGAATTCGGAAAGCAGGTCAAGCTTCCTTCATCCATGACGGCGCTACCCAACGGCATCGCGGGCGCTTCCAGCTCCAAAGATCGGAGGTGATCCTGGACACCGTGATCCGGCGGCAACCACTTGAAGGAGTACAGCTCGTGATTCTCTGCAACGGTAAATGCACGCTTAAAACGAATCGTCTGATTCACGAGCGAAGGGGCCTTCGACGTCCCGGGTTCCGCAGAATGCTTGCTCTGCTTGGCCCCGTCTAAAGGAGTCCTCAGTGACGCACCTTCTCCATGCAGTTTTTTCCACCAGCTCCAGTCCTGCTGTCCACATTCGATGTCCTTGTCCTTTCGTAGGACACAGAGTGCCGCGGCCGCGATATTCTCATGCGATTGGCCCTCGACGTGCCACAGTCCGGAGGGGTGAATCGCCTGCGTGCGACCCAAGGGGCCGTCTTGGTCGCGGAATTCGTAATCCAATAGTTTCACGATAACCTGCAAAGTCCCGGGAACAGAATACAAGTCTTTGTTCGCCGGAGTGGAATCGCAACTCTTCATAGAAGCTGCTGTTGCAAATTCTGCTCCTGCTCCCTGTGGCTTCTTTTTCTGTGACGAGGCCTGCTTGGCTCCTCCTCCGCTTTCTCCGAAGTGCTTGCCATTTTTGTTCATGGTTTCTAGCAGGTTCGCGAGTGCCATTTCGTTTTCCTCTGGATCGCCCTCCTCCAGCTTCTCATCGTCCGCAAGGAGCTGTAGCTTGTCCCTGCCAAACACGTAGGCTTCGTTAAGTGTTGGTAAAACCGAGAGAAAGAGGTCGGAAAGCATTTCGTGCATCGGGTTCTCCGATTCGATTCGCACGGCCTCGGACCTCATTTTCTCATGCTCCTCGTGGGAGTGGTCTTGGGAGGCCGCGGCCGATCCTTTCTTCTGCTTCTTGAAGGAGGTGGCTGACGCGATTTCCTCTGGCATCGAGATCAACTCCGACAGGGATGAAATTATGCCCTTTTCTTCTACCACCTTCTTCTTACCTTCGCACCAGGATAGGGCACAGTCCTTCAATTCCACGTGAGCCGGCAAGTTGTTAATGGGAGAGACAAAACGCCCCGTCTTGAGGCAGAATTCCGCTGGAATCCACTGATAGCGGCCGTAATCCTGCTCCCGGCCCCACATATCCTTCCCGTTTTGACGTTCCCTCGACTTGCTTGACGCTGCTCCAGCTCCTCCCTTAGGCACTCGTGCTGAGCCTGAGGGCCGGGACAGGAGTGGCGCCTGAGCATTGGGCGTCAAATACGAGGGAAACGCCGTCTGCTCGTTGTCGTAACAATAGCAAGAGGGATAAATCAGATTCAACACGGTGTCATTAAAATCCGGCTGGTAGTCCGTCTCGTACAGGTACATGTGTTTGCTTTTGCTTCCATCATGATCGGCGCCCAAGCCAGCAAGTGTGTCCAAGAGATTTGCGAGTTTCTGTCTTGCACGCTCCTCCAGTTTGTCGTCCTCCAAGGAGCTTTCACCGCTTTTCTTCATCTTCGCACCATGATGTTTCATTTTATTTTTGCTTTTCCCATCTCCTTCCTTCAGCTGCTGCAGCTCCTTCAGCGTGGCCAGGATTTTCCCACTGAGGATCATCTTGTCGATTTCCAGGTTCAGACTTCGCACGAGCTGGTCGGGCGCCTTAGTCCGCAGCTCACCGCGACCCCCCGCTGCTCGCACCACATCACTTAACTCGCGACCGAAAACTCCTACAGACTCGTCGGCCTCGAATCCGTACAGTTGCTCCGTTCGCCGCTTCCACAGAAATGAAAGCTGCGCAGATAGCCTATGTAAGTACTTTTGCTAGGCAGCAAGCAGGCTGCATGGAGTACTAACTTATGCAGTTGTTGCCACGTAAAGTAAGTAACTGAAAATACGAAAACAAATGCAGCGCACGCTGTGAAGGCACCACACTATACAACTACACGCAAACTAACTATTAATACATGCACGCCGCACAGCATGCGCACTGGATGCACGCTGTACATGCACGCATGGCATGCGCATGCAGGAGCATTTTTAATATGTCCTATTTCTACTGTCACCAATGTAGGCGTTTCCTCGGAACGACAAAAGGCACAGGACTAAACCCGACGGGCAGGGGCGGCGCTGAGAATAAAAGGAGCCAGAGTGATGATATATTATAAGTATGACAAGTACGATGATGATGCCGATGACAATGGCTTTGTTCTTGACACGAATTATATTAATACAAATACTCCCTATAATTCCCTAATTAAATTACATGACGAGTGCGGCCGTGCGAATGATGGCGATGCTAATGTAGTGACGACGATGATAGTATCATAGCATGGCTGCCTGGTTGACGACGACTTGTCGACAGTGTTTCTCGGCTTCCTCGACGCATTCAGTCGGCAGGTCCTTCGGATGGATACGGATGCAGTCCAGCCCACCCGCCTGATAGATACGGAAGCCCTTGCGCCCATCCGCCTGGTAGCTATTCACGAATTCGTTTCGCTCAGCTGCGGATAAACACTCCCACTCCAAACGGTCGTAGAGTACCTTCAAGGACTCCGCGAACTCTGGTGGCTCCGACCCGTCTTGCGGGTACTCCATGAGCAAAGTCTCCTCGAGGTGCTTTTTGTACGCTCCGCAGAATAATTTCAGCAGCGGCCACAGTTCTACATCGTCCGCATCGGCGGCGTCCTGCATCTCCTTTGCTTTATGTCTATAATTTTTCACCTTCATACATCTGCAAGACTTCTGCTTCTTTTTTGTCAGAAATCCGCACATCTTGCGACAGTAGGTCCATTCCGGCTCGGTCAGTGGAAATGCTTCAGTCGGATTCTCAACCAGGATGGTCGGCATCACGTAGGAAAACCCGCTGGGTTCACGGACCTTCGACGCGTCGAGAAGACTGCAAAAAGCAACCCTGTCATATGAAAGTATAAGTAAAACAACCCCTCATATCAAGAATAAGCACTCACGACAGATCCACCAGCTCAAAAATAGATCCAACAGCTCAATACTCATACTCATAAGTAGTAGATCGATCATGCTATCGCGAGAACAATCTGGCAGAGTCGTGTCTGAATACAATCATATTAAGCATAGAGAATGGCGTTTTTCATTTTTCCATATGTTGTCGTCCTTGACAGGTTTTGCAGCAGGTGGTGGACTCATATGATTGGGCCGGACCTCGATTTCTCGCACGCCTCTGCCATGTTGCTCTATTTTGATTCGCTTCGGAGCTCCCCTTGTCGCATCTTCCTCTTCAAACGCAGACGACCGCTTCCCGCTTCTGATCGCTTCACCAGAAGCCGGGGTTTTGCTTTTCGTTGTGCTGGCAGATGCTGGTCGTGCTCCTGCCTTGTTTCTAGCGCAAGCCGTGTTGTTCGAGTCCATCTTATGAATGTTGCCACTGATTGAGATGAATCTGGATCAGATTAAGGGAACCAATGTCCTCCTCTCAAGTTCGAAGTAGTACTAGCAGATTGCCTATTCGTGCGACGTCGGATGTTGCATTTATAGAGGAAGTAGACTAATAATTTGTTAAGTAGAGTAGTACGACGCTGAAAAATGAGAGGAACGACATTCCCAACGCTCCGCTCTCAATAGGTGGCATCATACATCTTGGTATTTTCGAGTTGATGAAAGAAAGGAAACTCCGGTTTTGGCGTGAGCCACTCCAAACGGAATGGGCCCATCGACGCGAGCCTCTTGCGGGTGGTGTTTTTCCAGGTTCTGGCCTCTTTCTGATTCGAAGACGAAGTTTTGTCCTCATCCTCAATCCACCAACCGTAGCCATTCGCTAACTCGACCAGAAGCGCCTGGAAGTACTGATCCTGCGTCCGGGCAGCCATGGTCTCGTACCGGTCGGCGTGGCTGCCAAGAAAAAAGCACAACTCGTCCTTCGGCTTCAGCTCAGTAGTCTTGTAGCAAGCCACCTCCTCCAGAGCGTGCTGTGCGACATCGTCGCCATTGTTCTGCGACAGATCATCCGCGGAACTCGCGAACTTGCTGTCAGATTGCCTCTTCCCCTCCTCTTTCTCAATCTCATTCGACCCGCCTTCGTCTTCTTTGCAACTTTCGAAGGCGATATCGCCGCCGCTAACTGGAGTCATGTCTTCATTGTCTTCACCATCACCGTTGCTTGTACTGGCGGAATTCTTACCTCCATTCGACTTCGTCTTCGAGTCGTCCTTGTCCGCGCTCGGAGCTATGAAAATCTTCACACTCCGAGAAGCCCGATCTCCGTCAAACTGTGTCGGGAGGTAATGCTCCTGAAGCCACTCGCCAACTTTCAAAGCGGAGATTAGAAACCATAATCACATCACGAAAAATAGATCTTCACTATCTTCGTCGTATTCGTATACAACTATAATAACCTAGTAACAGCACATAATATAGGCAACATGAACACGCTATGATAATTTAGTTTCATTTCTTAACAAGGTAGGCTTCGTGAACGGGGTCTCGACCTCTTCCCCTGAGAGAGGGCTCAGCAGCGCAATCTTCTTCCGCCCCTCTCCTTCCTTTTCATCTCCGGTGCGCTGAGATCGAGCCCACATCTTGAAGGTGTTGTGACGCCAAGACGTACAATGCTAAAATTCTTAGATTTTTGTACTAGGAAACTAAAACAAATCACCACGAGCTGCAGAAGACCATGCTGATGAAAGCAAGTAGAATATTTTTGGAATGTTGATATCAATCCAAGTATAATAAATACATGAGAACCAACAAGAAGACCACTCTTACTTACAACTAAATGGTGTCGATGAATGATGTCCCTATGTATAAACGATATAATAAAACCTATGGATAATTAAAACCAGCACTTTTTTAGTCAATCAAGCTTAAGTCTTGACGTGAAAAAAAACGAACTACAAGTCAAAATGTAGCGAGAATATTCGACATGAGTCGATCGCTATCAATCAGTCCTGATTTTTCGTACACGATGGGCTTCCTATCAAAAGTCCTACGGTTAAATAGGCTAAATTATTTGCGGCCGTTTTAACAATTGAGAGCGTCTGGGAACCGAAGCCCGCGTTAGCTCATAACCCGTGACCGCGCAAGTATAGGAAAAGGAGCGCCGACCGCAACTAGTACAAAGTTAGCTAGCTAGGCTAGTTACAATACAACGCAATAAAATGCAACTAATCTCGCACAAACTTCAGCACAGACTGACTTAGGGGCTTTTATTGTGTCAAATGACTCAGGAGGCCTCTGCAAAAGATTTCACTGCTTGGAGTGTTGTACTGATTCAGATGTATGCCTATTGATTTCTTGATGCTTGTCCCTCGTCATCTCCATGGTTTTTTGTGTTTGTTTCTCGTTCTCTCTCGATAGCGAACAGAGTACAAGGGACAGAAGTACTATGCTATACTTGCACAGTCATACATATCAATGCTGATTCATTTTACGATTGAAAATGCGAGGAGGGACAAAAACTACAAATACTGCAAGGAGGTGCTAATTGTATTCTCCTCCATAGGACCGACGGACATCGTCAAGAAGAGGCTAGAAGCGAGATACCGTACTAACGTCGCGGAACAAGTGATTTGTCTTTCTGTTTCTTCTATCTGTGGATTCTGGCTTCAGACAGACGATGACTCAAAATGATCATCATTCTGATAGACTAACAGAACACTACACTCCATCACGCTGCAACAGGCTTTTTGGGCTACAAGTAGAACTAGGTCATGGTCGTAAATTTCGAGGTGAATACCAAAAATTTGGCATTTATCATGTTCATGATTGGCACGTTTGCTATTTTTACGTCGCAGTCGTTGCAGTAAAACTATATTTAGGTCTTCTTTTCTTGCGATATGGGCGAGAGTAGTCTTCTTTTTTTGCGATTGGAATCGGCATCCATTGCGCGCAAAGGCTGGAGCATCCTCCTTTGGCCCAGATGCCCTACCTGCCGAGAACGCTTAGGATGCTATCGAAGGGCGGAGACGTGATGAGGGACCACGAAAAATGACACGAAGGAAAAAACACAAAAAGGGAGGGAAAAAATGAAAGGGCAAAGGGAAAGTAGAGAGAGTGTTTCCAATATATCAGAAATGATATATAACAATTTGCTGCGCTGCGACATAAAACACAACTTGCACCGCTTCGCGCTAGGCACATTTATTCACTCATTCATTTAAATATTAACGCATTCAGACGGGCTCCCGGATGTGCGCTTTTACCATTTTCCCAAGATCTCAAATCACCGCTGCAAACGACGGGAGCGCCTTCCCCAGATAACTAGACTTATTGCATATTTCATTAGCATCTGAATCTCTAGCCTTACTGTAATACGACTTCTCTCGAAGTCGCAACTGAGTACATTCCTCAAATAAAGGTGGACTGCGAGCCTTTCCCTTCTTCATGATAATGGTCATCCATTAGTAAGATGAACCTAGGACTTTCTAAGATCAGTATTTCGGTGGAGTAAGAGTGTAGAAAGGACATCAATCTAGTCTCTGAGAAAGTAGGCGGTGGGCGATGTCTTCTAGATAAAGATATTCGAAAAACTGAAAAAAGCAAGTAACGGATCAGAATAACCGAGATACTGATGAGAAGGAAGAGTAGCCTTGGCGTGAAGCTACCTCACTTATTTCAGTCAGTAACTCGGTTATTTTGAGTTTTCGAAATTGCCTTTAGATGAATTTGTGCGCCCTAGAGATCATTTCTGTCTCCGGATGATTCTTGTGCGCCCTTAGGAAATTGGCACTTGCGGCGCTGGTCCCGCGGGGACTTCGTCTCACTCGTATCCGAATTCTAGTCGGCCCCTGTCGCTGTCGGCAATCAAGTCCAAGGAGAAAGGTGCGTGCTCGTCCGGTCCTACATCTCCTTCTTCGCTTCCATTTTCTTCTCCGTCTTCTCCTTCTTCCATATTATGGTTGTGTATTTCGAGACTCGTGAACCTACTCTGCCGTGGCTGCGGCCTGACCGGCACGAAGGTTACCCTCACAGAAAGCACCGGACACCGACGTCGCCGCTCCTCTGCACTTGTGCTAGAGGTAAACTCAGGAGTACTCGAGGTAGACTCGTCTTCTCCTACAACTACTGGCAGAGAAAAATCACCTACAGCTACAGGAGAACATACTCCAGAAGAAGACGTAGAAGTTGTCCCAGTACTGCGATAGTACTCATCACCCAAAAATGCAGAAGATGATGCTCCTCCGGCGCCTGCTGGCGCAGGATGTTGTAGCGCACCATGTTCTTCTTGTTCCGCTATCATGGGGGTCCGCGTGCTACGAAGGTCGGCTTTCATCATGCCCCCGAAGAACTCTATGTCGAAGCACAAATCGTCATACACTGCTTCCTCTGCGTCCGGTGGTAGTCGTTGCAGCTCTGCATCTGTCAGGCCGGGCTCATATTCCCATCGTGCGACGAGAAACAGCTCCACACTATCTTGATCAAAAAGGGACTCTTCATCCTTCAACAGGTCAATATGATTTTTGCGTACGTACTGTCCCAGATTTTCCCACCACCGCTGCTCGAAACCCGGTCGAAAGGAGGAAACCATCGCCCCGTTGAGGATCTTGCAAGATTCCACTCCTTCTTCCTCCTTCCGCTCCCGAAATGCTTCCAGCGCTGCTTCCAAATCGTCTTCGACATTAACGAGTGGAGGACGTTGATATAGTTGATGTTGTTCCAGTCCAGTTGACTTAACGAGTGGAGGACGTTGATATAGTTTTAAAGCTCAGCATTCAATGGTCACTGACTCTGAAAGAAATGGGCCCCATGCCTCTCCCTTTGCTTTTCCTTCATTTTCCCCTGTTCTCTCAAGAGGGATCTCAGTGACCAACCCCAATGACCATTGAAAGCTGAGCCTTAATAGTTGATGTTGTTCCAGTCCAGTTGACGCTGCTGTTCCACGACCCCCTCTCCTGCCGAGAGAACGCAGCAGGAGGGACACCTGTTGGTACAGGAGCAGGAACGTAGAAGCCCAGGACGATGAAGAGTCTGCGTCTCCTTGTTCCGCTGCCTTCCGCTTCAGCTCCGCCACTGATCCCTTCCAGACAACAAACTCTGCCACCTCCAAATACCCATGCTCATCTAGTCCACGACGATCTATCCATGCCTCCTGTGGCGGGCGTGTGATGCTCCGATATTAGAGGCTGCGGAGTTGCATTCTTCAGAACATCCTTGGCCTATACTATTTTCCCCTTGAAAAGGAGCCAAGGATGGTAGTGAGGGAAGATGTAATTCGGAAACCCTTAACGATATACTGGCTGGGTCACGAACTTCTCTTCATTCAGAACCAGAAGATAGGTCCCCACCTTGGAAGTACTATCTCGCCCGATGGCTGTTTCTAGTAGGTCGAGGACCTCTCGCCCTACTGCAGTCAGCAGTATCTTGAGGGCCCTTTCCCGAGTTTCATCTTCTTTGTTGCAGAAAACGTCCACAAACTCTCTCAGGCCTGTCCTCGCTGTCGACCACCGAGCTGCGGAATCTCTCGTCGCATCAGAAGTTGCATCAATTCTCGCCGGATCCTCCCCACGACTTTCAATTCCCAGCTCCTCACTACTTGCTTCAGGTTCAGTGTCACTGCTAGTGCTTCTACGAAGAAACCCCGAAGACCCTGTCATAGAGGCGGCCACACATGGTATCGCTAAGTTAGAATAGAGGAAGGATGAAAAGATGAAAAAATAAACACGCGAGGCCGAGGACACCGACATCCTCGTTGATTAGGATTGTATATTTCTTCTTCTTGAAGTAGCGGGCTTCTATCATTTGATTGCGCTGTTTGAGGAAACAGATCTAAATGATTGATATATTTGCTGTATACGCCGTATAAAAAATAATACTTGTCCCTGTGGTCAAGATATAAGCCTGAAAATGCTTGATGTGATCTTATCTGCAACTCAGACTGGATCTCCTAGAATCTTGTTTTTTCTTTTGTTGTTGTTCTTGACGATCTTAAACATATTGGCGAGCATCTGTTCTGCCAACGCAACAGCTGAAGGTTTGTCTTTCTTCGATCATCTCTGAATTCTGGCTTCAGACAGATGATGACTCAAAATGATCATTCTGATACATAGACTAACAGAACACTACACTCCATCACGCTGCAACAGGCTTTTTGGGCTACAAGTAGAGCTAGGTCATGGTCGTAAGTTTCGAGGTAAATACCAAGGCACTTATCTTCATTGGCACGCTTGCTATTTTATTTACGTCGCAGTCGTTGCAGGAGTAAATCTACATCTCTAAATATTAATGCATTTGCATCCTTTCATGATCTCATCTGATCACTTCTCATGGCGAATATCATCACGCAACCAACCTCTTGAATAGTCGCATAGTCGTTCTTGCATCGACGACTGAGTCGTGAGCTCCTTCCTGAATCTTCTCAGCCAAGTGCTCTAAAGCTAGATCCTGCAGCCGAGCTCTTCCTGGATAGAGAATTTGAGTGTCTATGACTGGAAAAGTCGTACTAGTAGTGCCGCTGGCTTGAAGATTCCTCAACTTGTTCATGTTTTTCTGGTCGATTGGTCCAACAACATAATGTGGATGCTTTTCCAGACGTCGCTGAAGATGAGGACCACTTGAGGTGCTACTATTTTTGGCTTCGGTTGCGCCTGTGGGAGACATTGTAAAAGGCAGGCCTAGTACATGCAAATCGTTCGTAATTGCATGCCCTATGAGCATCACAGCACCACTAGTAGTACCAGAATAACTACCAGCGGATGCATGTTGACCTTGACCTTTACTCCCTGTAGATCTAGTTGTCCTTTTCTGAATCTCCTCCAACAGTCTCATTTGTGCCGCTTTAAAAGAGCAGCTCTTCTTTCTGTCGAATGAAGCGCGCGTTAGTCCGGTTACGTGCGTTCGGAAATCCTTGACGTCGCTCAAATCGTTGCTGAGGGGCCGAACTAAGCAATCGAGGAGACATTAGAGGTAGGTTTTTGGTGCTCGCGGGTTCTCCCGCTTGTTATGCCTTTCTCCCTTACCTAAGGGCGGAGAGAGGCATAAAAAGCGGTAAGAAAAGCACCTTTAACCTACGACCCTTAAAGACAGTTCAAATCCTGATCAACGAGACTGATGCGCGCAAGGATGCTATTGCCGTCATGGTCACCTACCATCTCGCAGTCTAAGGCAAGAAATTGAGTTGTTGTACTTGAAGAGGCGGGCTTTGAAGTAGAGGTGGGTCTTGATGATGTGTTGCTTGATGTGTTACTTGATGGGTTCTTAAAGCTCTTCTTGGTACTTCTATTTTGCTTCTGAGCTGTTTGAGGATTGTTCCTGAGAAGGTTCTGAAAATTGCTACCTAGTTGAAAAGCGTCAACGATTGGGGGATTCTTCTGCCCAGCAGCTGCAGCCTGTGCTTCGCTTGCACCAGATTCAGGCGCAGCCTTCTTCATCTTCTTCTTCTTGTTCGTCTTCTCTGCATCCTTGTCCCCCGCATGACCAAGAACCGCCACCTCTTTATCATTTGATTTTTGTACTTGTCCAGCTCGTTCTTTTCGTGCTCTTTTCTCCGCTTTTATCCGGTTCTTGCGTCGCAAGTTCGACCATGCCGTTTTACTCTTCTCACCTTCGGTGATGGTGGTCGGGGTTTTGTTTTCTGCAATGGACCCACCAGTTCTTGATGCCGACCTCTGCTCCTTCTTCACAGACAACGTAACTTGAGGAGCCGGCGTTGTTGTGTTTTTGTTTGTCTCTGTCGCGGCAGGAGCAGTTTTCATCGCCTGCACTACGCCCACGACGTCCTTCTTATTCTTGTTCGCCACCTGTGGCTGTGATCTCTTTCCCCCTTTTTTTCCTTTGCCTTTTCCCTTTATCGGCTTCCTGACGCCTTCTGCCTGTTTTGGCTTGCCATGCTCCTTCGTCCCGTCTGCCGAAGCCTTCTCGACCTCTTTCCGAGGGAAAGAGAGACCGACTTTCGATTGCTTCTTCATTTTCTTCCCCTACTAGTTGTTGATCTTGATACAGAAGGTGGAAAAGTAGAACAAGGGAAACAAAGTTGTAAGGATTTAGTTAAAAGATCCAGTTTGACGAGTCAACAATGCCACGAGTGTGGAACAACCAATTATAACGAAGAGCACTGCATGATCTCGTATCTTCATATCAGTTTCAGCTGGAACGAGAATCAGTAGCACGGAAGAAAACAATTACAAATCAGTAGCACGGAAGAAAACAATGTTGAGCATCGTTATAACGTCCGGGACCATGATTACAACACGATCAAGATTCTAGTACACAACAAGATTCAAGACCATGGCTTATTCTTCATCCATCCGATTCCGATCCGAAAGTAGATCTTGTATTTTTCCTAGATGATCTTCATGCTCCTAGTCGATCTTCATGTTCTTCCTAGATCCCATTGCTTGGAGTCGGTCGTTATCTTTCGTGAATTTCCTACCTAAGGAGCAAGTTCACTGTGATCCAGGAGGTGGAGCCTTCAAAGACCTGAGATCTCGTCGTGCTTGTACTTGTGATTAATACAACTTGCCTAACTTCTAGGCAATAGGCAAGAAGAACAAGACAGAATGATCAAATTCTATATCAAGCGAAAGGTAGAAGCAACATTTTAATCTGCAATGGCACCATGAAATCTGGAAAAAGCATTTTTTGCCGAGCGGCCGTAATTGATAGAGCGTAAGCTTAACCATTAGCATACCACCTCTTTCGATCACATAGAAAGTCTTCTTGATCAAAACAACCGTCTCTCCACAAATCAGGTTCTCTACGCCGTTTTGGAATATGGAGGGCTGTTTCTTGATGTCCATCCTCTCCTGCTCTGCCTTCTCCACCATCCTCCCCAGCTCTCGTGATCGCCACTCCATTCTCATCCATGTCCAACCCCTTCAAATGTATCCTCTTCGTCAGTTCGTGGCCCTTCAATGAGCCTGCACGCTTCTGTAAAGCCAGATAATGCCCTGGCTGGAAGGGGTATTGGGGTCCTAGTCTGAGATAAGTAGAGGGAAAGTGCGCTGGGCCACGGGAGAGGGGGTCGCCGCTCACGAGCCGTTGGAGCAGGAAGCGAAGTTTCGACCTCTCGTCCGCACACATTTGCGGTTGAGGGGCCTGCTCGTCGGAGGTGAGGAAAGCTGGAAAAATTTGGAACGCAGATCAAAAATTTGATGTGCGGTTTATTGAAGTTACAGAAGATCATACACAGTTTATTCTTAGTAGACGCTATACTACATAGTCGTGTCCTAGCAATACCTTCCAAACCCTCCCTCACTTCTTCCGGCACTGCAGGAATTAGGTTTTCGTCATCTTCAAAGCCAGGATTCCGGTTTCTTCTCTGGTCCATAGTGTCCATCTCATAGTCCACCCAAACATTCAAAAAGTTGAGCATATGAGGATGAGTCCTGATGATTCGCCGTTCCATGGTATCTGGGTCAAAAGCTGAATTAAAGGTGGGCTTTGGTGTTTCTGTATAATCCCGTTTGTTATGCATATGCATGTCTCCCTTAGGAAAGACAAATTAACAACACGTTTAGCCTGCTACCCTTAACTGAATGTAGCCGCTTCCACAAAGCGTCACGCATACGCGTTCGTCTGATACTACGCCAGGTTGCTTCACGTGTGGGGTGCATGATCTTTGTAGTAGCTCGTGACGATGATATAGAAGTTGTAGAGGAGCAGGAGGACAGATTTGACCCGGCACCGGAATTCGGTCTAAGACTACTGCAGCTTTCTTTTATCCTGCCTATGATGTTAGTCCTCGCCGGTTTTCTGGTTCTACCGACAGGTGGTGATGGTGTACCTATGCCTTTTTGCCTCCCATCCTGTGAGACTCCACCTAGCCTTGACGACCCCACGACCGCCTTCAACGCATTTGTAGCCCATCCCAAAAAAGAACTTGAAGATGCTGCTGGTGTGCATGCACTCGATGCAATCCTCGACGACGAGGACACGGCAGCAGTCGGGACTGACATGATTATGATGTTCTCGTCTGTGGTGGACACTGATTGTTTTTTCGCCCACAGACAATCTTACAAACTCACTTCTTCCGTGACATCCATGACTGAAGTGCTCCTGCTATCGACTATGCGCTCGCGTCTCTCGTTTCGTCTCCATCTGACAGCTCTAGTTGTGCTCTTCATATTGAACACCGGATGCATGTGCATCACAACTACATAAGTACTTAATAGGACAAATTGCAGTAGCAGCAATGCATCTGACGTGACTTCGACATCACAAACTTTAACAAAACGTAAGACGTCAAAATTTTCAGCGTCATAAAAAACTACTGCAACTCCCACAATAAATCATGACAGCTGGTGCGCTAGATGAAACAACAAGCAACTCTTCATAGAGTTTTTTACCATTCTGCAAAAGGATCATCCTCGACATTTGTTCCTTGCAAGTCTACTGAGTCTTCAGAGTCTGAGTAGTACTCGAAGTTTGACGTGTCATGCTCGTTTTTCAGCGTGGGTATGTACGGCGGAGGGATCTCCTTTTGCAGAAGGGAGTCGAAGAACGTGTATGCGTCGTGACTGGGATTAGAGGAGGATCAGCCTATGAAGCCTTTGAGGGTGTGAAAGTGAATCGCTCATCTGGTATTCGAAAAACTGAAATAAGCAAGTAACTGATCAGAATAACCGAGATACTGATGAGAAGGAAGAGTTGTTGTAGCCTTGTCAAAGCTAGCTCCTACCTCCCGTATTTCATTCAGTACCTCGGTTAGTTTGAGTTTTCGAATACTTGAATGATTCATTCTTGAAAAAAGCCACTGCCACATAACCATAACAAAAAACGCATGTCGCTTCAAGACTCGATGGTCCGCTCTCCTACTCGGATCTGCAACAAGGAGCTTGCGGATGATATCACGAGCTGGTTTCTTGTCGTGCAAATAAGCTGGGAAGGCAATCTTTGAACGACCAAGAAGTTTCTGGTAAATGCTCATTGGGTAGGGCTGCGAGTGTGACGATTAGAGCAGGTCGTGGATGATGAATTCATCTACTTCTACTTACATCATCCTGAAATCACCTCCACCACGTACAATGTTGAGCAAAAAAATCTTCCAAGTACTAGATGAATGAAGACTCAACACGACGAGAAATGCAAGTACTTAGGCTACTACGACAATACTTCTACCATCACCAAGAAGAAGAACAAGGTGGATAAACCTCCATCATGCATAATCTCCATCACCAAGATAGAAGAAGAACAAGTTGGATAAACCATGCATAAAAATGTTGGGCCGCACCTCCTCCAGCACCCACCCCGTTCGTTGGCAACATCCCGTCATTTGGGTCGTCTTCTCGTATCGGTGGTTGTCCCGTAAGCATCTCATACAGGAATACGCCCAAACACCACCAATCCACTGGCACCCCATGTCCTTTGTTCAACAGAATTTCTGGAGCGATGTATTCGGGTGTACCCACAAACGAACGCGTTCTTGGTAACGTCTCATTATTCACATGCTGATCAGGGAGGTCAACATGATTTCCATTTGAAGAATTATCTGCAGCAAATCCGACTTGAAGAGGTCTTACATCTGCTACTTGTGGTTGTGCCAGGTCAACATGTTGATCCAACAATTTAGCTGCGCCAAAATCTGCTAGTTTCAGATAGCCATCTTGAGCTATCAGCACGTTCTCTGGTTTCAGATCCCTGTAAACAATCGCCTCTCGGTGCAAGTACTCAAAAGCGGATACGATGCAGCCAGCATAGAAGCGACAAGCGTCTACTGAGAGGCGTTCCCTTTGCCTTAGGAAAAAGAAGAACTCGCCACCCCGGACAAACTCAAGGACGAAGCATTAAAGCGCAGCATTCCTTGGCCACTGACTCTGAACGGAAGAGACCCCCTTCAAAGCTCGTCTCCCCTTTCCCTTCGTTTTCCCCTGTTCTCTCAAGGGGTCACCTCTTCGCTCTCAGTGACCAACCCCAATGTTGACCATTGAAAGTTGAGCCTTAAAAGTAGACGCATCTCGGAGACTGGAAGACGCCATATAAGCGAACGAGGAAGGGGTGGCGCAACCGTGAAAGCAGTATTCGCTCACACCAGGCTTGTTTTGTCTGATTTTGGCGAATCAAACGTCTCTTCTTCAGGCTCTTCAGAGCTACTACAGGACCACGAGGCCTCGATGTTCTTGCGTCAGGAGCGCCAGAGTTGTACCTGTCATACTGATGCCGGCAATCAATACCATCGTCCTGCTCCTTCTCGTCGTGGCTGTACTTCTTGTCAACGGCGAAATAGACACGCCCGAATGCACCTATGCCCAGTGTAGTGCCGACATCGAAGTCTGAGAGGTTGTAACACCTTGGAGACCTACCTCCAGTCGTTGAGGAAGATGAGGATGATGGAGTTGGTGCACTATAGGCGACACCACCGCCACCGGTGACGCTAGCTCCTTCGACTTCGGTTGCTGCGGGCTTCATGATTCTACTTTTAAGCTAGTGAAGGACTTGTTGTAGTTGGAAAAGAACCGCAACCGCAAGGCAGGTATCAAATATTTAGAATAGATTATCATGCTCAACAAGAAAGCGCGAGTGAATCATGTACTACATGTAGGAATCGATGATATAACCTAAATAAAGGGATAACCTAAAAGTAGAATGAGGAAAACAAGCCGGCTGTTTATTTAAGTGCTTCGAGATGATATAACTTCAAGAGTGCGTGAGCGTGACTAACACTAACTCATCTGTTGATCATCTAAGGCCGAAAACATTTTTAAGATCGCCGTCGCTTTTGATGGTCATCGCAGACAGCACACCAGTGATCTGATCCTATCTTGTTTTTCCGACCTCGACTAGCAAAAATTCTTCAATGACCCACGAACCCCCTCCAGAAACTATGATGTGTGAGAACAACAAGCAACTCCTTGCGAAGCGCTAGCGCTGAAGAAGCTGCAACTGCACGACAAACGCATATGCCAAAACTATGTTATTTCAACGATGAATGCTCAAGAACAGTGCTCAACATCATGATATCATGAAAAAATCGCTGTCGCTCTGGCGTAAAAAAGTGCCATTATTGATGCATCTTTAGCATGTTCTTTCAGACTAAATGGTAGATCACTGGTCCTCCTCACAATCTGACCATCTTCACCATGAACATGATCATCCCCTTCTTCTATTATAATGTTGTTGCCATCTTCTCTTTCATCTCGATGGGCCGCTTGTTTTGGTGCACAGACCATAGTATTTACTGTGCCAGTAGTTATCCCACCACCTCCGCCGACCACGCTTACTCCTGAATTCCTTCCTGCATGATCCATCCCCTCGACCACTTTCACGATCTCATTCTGCACATTATTTCTAGGTCGATCCCCCACTGTTATCACGAACTTGTGCGCTCCATCCTTAGTTCCGAAGAACAAGTCCTCGCTTTCCCACGGCACACGAGCAGTCCGATGAAACCCTTTCGGATCGGTGTACCCGCCAATCAATCGAGGACCTCGAATCACATGCGGAAAATACTCCATTCTACTAGAACTATCTGGCCGTTCGTTGGTATCAAAAAGCGTCCAACTGGGTTCTCCTTCCATCGATTCGTCCACAACGCATTTTGCACGTAGGTCGGGATCGATGCGCAATTCTGCTTCCAGCCTCTTCTTCGCCCTTGCAAAAGTACACTGTCCGTCCAAATTCCCTGCACCACATTCGGATTCCAGTACTGCGACAGTACGTTCTTCACAAGATCTATCTGCGACAAAGAGCTGCTCACACCTGTTCTGCTTGATTTTCTGATGTCGGTCTCTAAATAAAGCTGCTTGCATTGCATCCTCATCATTACCAGTTCTTCCCTTCATCTGTTCCTCTCGCATGTCCTGCAGAGTTGCATCCTCTCTGTCAAAGCTGCTTTCTTCCCAGTTGTACACTTCCTGAGAGCTATTAAGGAAGTTGACACCTCTAAAGACTTGAGAGCGCAGTGCCAGCGCGTTTTTCGGTATGCTCTCTGCGTCGTCACCTCCAGTTGGATCAGTTCGAAGGTCTGCTACGACTTGGCAGACCCATTGATGTTGGCCAGGAACGCGCGGATGCGGGATATGCTTGCAGGAGGAGGTGGTGTCTTAGAAGAAGAGGACTCGACCCATCAATTACCATTTTTACGTGGAGCAAAGTAGAATCTAATCATATGGGTTACATCGTTGCCAACTCATCGGCAGGAGGAGGTGCTGGTGTTGGATGTGTATTAATTAGTAGATCAATTATCATTTTTACGTGGATGTAATCGTGAAGCTAATGCTAATCGTGAAGACCAAGAAGCAGGTAAAGATTTTTCCTTTCCCTTCCAATGTCAATGCCATAAGGTTTCCTTGGCTTTTCCGGAGGCGGCTCTTCAGGATCCGTGTTGTTGTCGTAAGGCTCTTCGGCTTTGGTGAACGCTAGCGCCATGTCTTTCGATTAGAAGACGTTGCAACAGAGATATTCTTCTACTTAGTGAGCATCTTCTTCTTCGTGCCCGGAGCAAGGAAGATGCTGGGAAAAATGGATTTCCTCGTCAAGCCTTAATTCAAGAATCCAAAGCCGGCCTTTGCCAGCCCAGCACCCTTCGTTGTAAACCTGGAAAGAGCACCAGGAGGCTTTTTCTTCTTCACGACCTTTTTTTCATTAGGGGAGCCCACAATATTATCTATAATTAATCTTCTAGTTCTACTTTCATCATCATTACGATTACCTAGTGTTCGTAGATTCTGAGACTATGAGTCATAGTCCCAGAATCTGCTAACACTAGGTAGAAGAAAGCGAGACCAGTAAAGGTTCTCTGTGAAGGTGAACCATTAGATGAGTCTTTGTCTTAATCCTATTTGTGCTGGTCGTCGCGACATCAGCCACCGCACGACTGGGTCTGTTTATGTACAACTGACGGTCGTCGAAAAAAGCTCTCGCTACATTACGTAAGAGACCAAGATCTTTCCTCTTGTTAATAGGGTCGTTCTTTGATGATCCGGTCAGATGTTGAGTACTGGTTTCAGAAGTTGTGATGTGCCCAACAGCAGCAGGATGTCCCGGTTCCTTAAACGGCGTCATCGGACTCCTCGTTGCGTCGACATAAACTGGACACTCTTCATTTCTCAAAGCTTCGAAATGGTCGAATACCATTTTTCGTCGTCCTATAGGCAGCTCGTTGCAACCATGAAACTCGAAGTGCAGGACTGGTGGCCAGGTGGCCTCAGCAATGTGGTTGGAGAGCATCATATTAATATGCAGCTTTATTTGCTATTCTTATTGTTGTTCTGGTGTAAATGATTCTTGGAAAGTTGTGTTCTTGGAAAGTTGTGTTCTTGGAAAGTTGTGTTCCAGTCCCTTCTTCTCGCAGTAATTGATGTGTCAACCTCAACCACTCATGTTCATGCTAAGGAAACTTAGTTGTAGACTGCTTGATGTTGATGTAGCTGAGTGTTGAACTACTCGTTCAATTTTACAGGATGAAGCGGGGAAGATGGAGGGCACAATGTAACCGATCCTTCTGTACCACCAGCTCATCTAGTACACTGCAAGTTGCCACAATGCAAATTGCTTCGGGTCTTCGCCTACCGATTCGAAACACAGATGAAGATGGACCTGCAACACCTCCATGTGGAACTACAGCACAACTTAAAAGACCGACTCCACCTCGTCTTCAGGAAACCGATGACATACAGAACTAGAAGGCTGCAACACTAACAGGTAAGTACTACAGAGCAATTTATAAGGTTTCACAGCTCGCATGGCATGGAGTGCATGGATCACATGGAGTAGCATGGAGCTAAAGGGGGAGCTTCTTGCGCCCCTTAAAGCTCTGCGCTCCATGCACTCCATGCTACTCCATGCACCATGCGTGCTACAAACTACTCTGGTACTAGGTACTGAAAAAATTCGGAAGATAATAAAACTGAAATTACAGGAGCAAATTCTCTTCTTGTTCGACCCGCTTTCATCGAGTCGACTCATAGTAATATGTCGTGATCGGGACAGCCTCCTGCATCATGTGAACCAACATTTCAATTAAATGGCAAGACTCTCATCATCTCCAAGTCCACCTACCCGCGCCACCTCGTAACGAGTTGTGGGCATATTTGTTTCTTCGCTTCCATCAATTCCTGACTGAGATAATCAGAGTCAAATCTCTCTTGCTCCGCCAAAGCACTTCCACGATCGCCGAGGTCGGACCCGGTCTTTTCGTCGTAATCCGGATGATATTGTCGGATCAGCGGGTGAGCGCTTGTTAGAGGTTCAGATTTCTGTTGGTGAGAGGAAATCAAAACCTTTCTGTTTCTGGGTACAACAACTAATTTCTTTTATCTATGACTATGAAACGCGCAAAAACACGTAGTACTGAGTGAATGCCATAACGAAACTGGAAACTCTCTTCGCTTCTGCATCGCTGACATCTTTATTCCCGGCGCCTCTTTTTCCGCTGAAAACAGCAGATGTACCTTTGCAAAGAGGGCTGTAGAGATGGAGCCATGATGATCTATTTTCATCAATGAGTTCTGAACATCCGTTGTCCACAGTTTCCCACTATGCAGTAAATTTTGACCACGCAGCTCTAGTTCAAGAATCTCGGGGAGTGCGAGTATATCTACGAGTCGATTGTGCTCCTCAAGCGTGGGAGTGCGACTTGCAGGTTTCTTGTCCATGAAGAACCTCGCGTTGAAAATTGTTAGAAGATGGTGCGGAAGTCATAGACTCTCGTCAGGTCGTTCTCATCGTCATCTTCTTGTTGATAATTGATGAGCATGAGCATCAACACGACTTGCTAATTTCACTCTTCAACTGTAGAGGTAGATTTTATACAACACCCACGAAACACAAACTTAAAATGTTAATACTAGCCCCCTCAGACAGCACAGGGACAGGCTCATCTATTATCTTCAGGAGGTAATGCAGCCTCGCCTTAACCTCATACTCCTTTCGTCCTCCTGCTTTGGTTTTCCTCCAACTGCTTTTTCTATCGCCCCTCTGCATTTCGCAGCCTCATGTAACAGAACCCAATTCAAAGCGAATATGGTGCTTCTCCTGTTTCTTTCTAGATGCTCATGATCTGCATCAGAAAACCAGGATTGAAAGTGGTCGACACAATTTTGAAGAAAATTTATTGCATCGTCTTGTGCAGGTTCATTCTCAGGTTTGGCATGTTTCTCCACGTGAGCTAGTCCAGATCTGTGCCAACCGTTGACTATTCTCGTCCACGATGTCAGAAACGGACATGATTAGAGCTCTCAACAATTGAATTTACTTCCTCCCTTCATTATCATTTCTTCAGAATCCTAAGAAGGAAACCGAAACCGAAGAAAAAGCAGACCCTTCTTGGAGATGAATTGTAAGTATGATGTATCGGGCCTTAAGGAGAAGATGAACCTCCCTCGCGGTCATCATAGTTTTCCACCCTCCTGATATTTTTATTCATCCTCGACGAACGACCTTGGAATTGCCATGACGCTCGGGGACCTTCATGGTCATGTCTATGATTAGAGCTCAAACCCTTCATTTCTTGGGTTGTGCATCTTTCCCAAAAATCCTCAGAAGGAACTAGCAATAGGGAAACATGGCTGGTAGAAATGAATTGTATTAAGCCACGACCTTAACGTGGTGATCTCCTCCTTTCCTAAAGAAAGCCTGCATCAACGGCATGCGCCTTTGCATCCAGGCTGAGGGTGGTGGCAGTGCCAAAAAATGCTCATCCAACAACAACCGGCCATCTTTCTCAGTCAGGTTAAAAGCGATTTTTTCAGCAGTGATTTGCATCAACTCCAGCGCCTCAGGAGACATCCAATGCTTGGCGAGGCCAGCGTAGACAATGTCGGGACTTTGTTTAGAAGACGTCGCATGAGAATGAGGGTGCAGCTTCTGACAACTTCTACCGGAAAAAATACTCACAAAACCCCTTTCCATAACTTCCAAATCCAATTGAGAAAAGGCACAGAATCTTGCCACTGGATTTTGGCTCAACACGAGCGAAAGGCCGCCAAAAAGGACTTTTCTATGCAGGTCTGGCAGTTTGATCTTCGTAGTTGCACAGACCGCAGAAAGCTCTGAGAGAGCCAGAAGAGCAGTAGCTTCATTCTGAATGCACCCGGGAAAGAAGGACACCAAAGGTTTTCTGTAATCGGAGAGTAAATGCGTAAGCTCTTGATAATGAGTGAGGTAAGCTGACAACACCTGACTGCTCTGGTTGCCACTTCTGGATGAGGATGATCCCCAGCTATCTTCCCTGTCTATCATTTCGTTCCTTGTTCTTGATGACCTCGATCTTGTCGAAGAAGATGCGGCAGCACCAAGAAGAAGATAATCTTCCTCGTTGAGACCATTAAACACGAAGCCAGCTTTCTCATCTTGACCCAGTGCCTTACGTCGCATCCTGGCCTCTGGCGTGTCATCCATATTGTGCGATAACACGACAAAACGCTTGGTTGTGTTCACTTCTGGGAATTAGAAGAGAAATATAGTTGAGGATAGACAGCAGTTCTTGTTATTTTGAGTTTTTAGTACAACTACCTCTCAGGGTAGTGATGTCGTGTTCATCGACGGCGACATAATCAAATAAAGCCAGCATTTCCACCAGGGTCCATAAAAATCCCTCATCTTTGTGATAAGCGAATTGACACCGTCTAGAGGGAGTCCCTCCGCATTCAAGCAGAGATATCCCATGCCCGTATTGTTCCGCTCTAAGACCGGAGCACGGACCGCAGGATCATCGAAGTACCGCTGTTCCCGTCTAGACGCAAACAAAGGTCCACGAGGATCAACAAGGGGCATTCGTGACGTTGAAGCAGACGAAGAGAACGTTCTCGTTCTCGTTCTCGTTCTCGTGCTGGGGTGAGACCACACTTCTAGTACTGAAGATGGTGCATAATTGATTCTCATCCCAGTACTTGTTCTCGAACCTATTATACTGCTGCAGCTACTGCTGCTAGCGGACGAAGATGAAGTGGTCGCCAACGTTGTCGGCGAGGGTTTCGCACGGCCCCACAACATTCTCGCGGCAAGAGGCGTTGTTGATCAAGAAGATCATAAACGTAAAACGAAAGCACGGCTCTATTTTATCGTTGTCATCTTCTTGCACTACTTATCTTGAAGAAATAGCTAGCACTCAAGAACTCCCAACGTAAATATGTTGAATCGACAAAAGAGAAAGACTTCGGGGACGCCGCCCTTGATCCTATTCTGGAACGCACATTGGCACGTCTGCGACGCCAAGGACTCAGACGTACGATGAACTCACCAAGAGCAGTCCGGTGCTCAATTTCCACGACTATTTTTCTCAGTGCCGTTGTTGTCATTTTCGCTTCATATCAATCTGGAAGATCATTCTACCAGTACCACATACGACTAATTCCCACTTAGGCTTAGCTATAGTCGTGCATTTCAAAAACAAAATAGATACGAATGTGTAGGGAATAGGAAACAACTCTTACAAAATACTATCAAGTTCAATCGATTTTTCCCCCAGACACCTAACCTTTTTAATCTTAGTGTTAGTGCTGCTCCTGTATGCAAAATATATTCCTGCTACCTCTATCACTATCTCTAAACACCTCCGACGAATAAGTTGTAATACACAGTGTTGTAAATTGTATGTTGTATCCAGCTGGTACAACGTAAGAAAGTAGATGAGTCCAGAAACCAGCTGAATATTGATATTGACTAAAAATGGTAATGCTAACTAACATTTACTTCTTAGATCATAGGCCTAACTTCGACAAGATAACTTTTGCCCACACTTTTCACTTGAATATTCTGTGCACGAAAATGACTCAAAAGTTTCTGCTCACAAGATGTTAGAGCTAGTCATATCTGTTATTGGAACTACTTAGTACGACTCGCCCTTATTTTGGATTTTGATTGATCTCTTCAAATCAATGAACTACTTACCACATAGAAGATAAATTTCATTATGCAACGAGAACGAAGTTATTTTTCTTCAAAACCGACTCTAACAGTAGAGCCAAACAAGATTTAGACAACATGTTATAATTCAATGTTTAAGATTTAATGTCTATTTAAGTTCCTCAATGTTCTACTTTTAATACCATCCATACTATTTTTATAACACTAGAAGTATCTTCATCAAAGCGTAGATAAGATTGTAGCATTTCAAAGCAGCTCGTCGCAGACCTGGCTCTTGTTCTTCTTCTTGGTACATTCTCATTAGTGTTTCCGCTCTCGTGGTAGTTGCTCCAGCACGCCCGTTTAACCTTCTGCTTCTCTGTCAGCGCTTGATCAACATCCTGTAGTTCTTGATGTCGTGTGGTTCTAATCAGTTCTACTACTAACTTGTGGTAGTTCTTGTAAGTACGAAAACAAATCTATACGATGTTTCTACTTCATCTCATTCCTAGCGAGGATCATTTTTTCTATCTGACACTCCAATACCAATTTCAGTCCTCTCTGCTCATCTTTAGATTTCTGATAGATAATTAAGTACAACCACATCAAAAACCAAAATCTTCAACTCTTGTTTGATTCTTCTTGCACGAAGCGTCTAGGTATACTAGAAAAGAACTGGTCCTCAAAATCTATGCTCCATCATCACTTAGGCAAGGCTTGTGCGGTGATGGCGGTGGCTTGTGCTTCGGCATCGGAACTCGGCCGACACTACGTTCTCCTTGAAACTGATTGAGGAGAGAAAAGAAGCTGACTCTTTCGTGGTTCTGATGTTTTTTCATCTAGAAGTTCATCTCTGCCGCGTTCTCAACATGATCTAGTATCTAATTATCCAGTACCCCTCCAAAACTTCGGCTTCCCGTACCCGTTTCATCGGCACTGACATTAAGGCTGCTTCTTGCAAGATCGTATTCAGTCCATCGTTCGGAGAAAAAGACGCTGGAACAACTGCTCCTAGTCATGTTGCTGGTACCGTTTTGGATTAGAAGAAGTAGAAGAAATCGTACTCTTCACTCGTGTGCGTGTCAGAATAAAATTCGACAATTTTCAGTAAAAAAATGGATGAAGATCATGGAGGTGGATGATCGTCAACATAGAGGCCATTATAGTTGTACTTGTTGTACTACGGTCAACTTCAAATTGATGCTGAGGTCATAAAATTCCTTCTCCTCTAGTTCCATCCGCGTCTTCTAGCAGTGTGATGCCAGGTGGCGGCTCCTGATGGCGTCTCGCGGGACTGCTACTCTGTGGCCTTGCAAGACCTGGCGCTCCACCGAGAAGTGCAGTAAGCGAGCGAGGCTGAGCGGGAGGTCCTTGGTCTAGAGAATGAAGAAGGGAAAAGGCTTAGGCACGCAGCTAGGAGAAGTGACGTTCTTTCGGTGAGTTTTCATATTTTCAACATGATTCACATTCACTGGACACTGAAAGCGTAACAAGTCAGATATTTTTGATGTCGTGTTTGAAGCTGGAGTTTTAAACAGATCATACCCATAATGATCTTCACCAGCACTCAGGAAGTTTGCACTTGATCTACTCGTTGTCGGTCGACAACTGCTTGCAGAGTTCGATTTCGTCATGGTCTCTCCAGCTGCAGGCTGCTCTATTAGAGCCACCGCGTCACAACTAAGTACATCCTTGAGCCCATGCCTGAGCCCTTTTTCCCCTTGAAAAAGAAGCCCGCAAGGAAGGATCAGGATGGCCGCGCGCGCGTTCTCTAGAACATCGACATACTAACTCCTAAAACACTTGTAGATACTTAGAAAGAAAAGAAGCTTCAACATCGGCACTAGCCTTAACTCCAACTTCGGAGGCGGATCATGATCATCTCCACCTTTCTTGGTACTGCAGTTCTCCAACACAGACTTCAAATTCAGAAGTAGTCCATCGCTCTCTGGCTTGTTGTTGCTGGAATTCCGTTGAGGGCTGGCTTGGGTTGTGTACGTTGTAGTGTTATCATGTGTAGTCGCTTGTTGATGGTAAGATGCACCTCCAGTACTAGACGAGACCGTAATATTCTGGTTGTATGGTGCGTTGGCTGAAGTAGTGGGGGCTCCTGTCGTCGTAGTTCCACCACCAGTACTTTGATGCTGGTTCATATTATACCCACCCCTCTCAGAAACACCAGCAGTAGAGCCCATGTTGTTCTGAGCGCCAAGAGTATGCTCATTTGTTCCCCCATTTGTTCCAACAACATGTTGATTTTGATGATAGTTTCCATTGGGATGATAGTTCATCGTTCCCCCAGATGCCAAGTAGTGCTGCTCATTGCAACTAGTACTGTTGCTGAGAAGGTCGACGACAGCTCCTACTGCGCGAAGTTGCATCTGCTCTTCGTCTATGCTAGATGCGTTGGAGGTTGCGCCGTTCTGATTCATCATGCTCTGTTGATTCATCATGTTGCTCTGCTGCAAGTTGCTGTAAGCAGGATGGTTTTCGTAGTGTTGCTGCTGATTTTGGTTATTGGAGGTAGAAGCATTGTTTCCATGATACTGGTTACTCGTTGCAGCTGTCGATTGCATTGTCGTGCCATTGCTATACATTTGGTGCGCGGTTGTAGCTCCAGTACCGTGATGTTGTTGACCTTGATGATGACTCATACCATTAGCACTTCCAGTGTTGTACACCTGTTGAGGATGTTGTTGAAAGCCTCCTCCCTGATGCTGTTGCTGGTGATTGTTGTAGCCAACATGGGCAGCTTGATGTCCTTGTCCGCTGTGCTGAAATGTTTGCTGTTGGTGGTGTTGAAGATGCCCCGCTTGTTGTTGGTTGCCTTGCAACATGTTGCCAGAAGACATCAGCTGATAATTAACCATAGGAGAGGATGAAATATCACCTCCAGAATGAGAATGTTGAGAAAGAAACATCCCCTGATGCGTAGACGTGTTGTTATTTCCTCCAAACATGCCAGGAGCACCACCACCTCCTCCCATCATGTTGCCGTTATTGCCATTCTTAAAGCTCAGCATTCCTTGGTCATCATGACTCTGAACGGAAGAGACCTCCTCCAAGGCTCTCCCCTTTCCCTTCATTTTCCCCTGTTCTCTCAGAGGGACCCTCTTCGATTTCAGTGACCAACCTCTATGACCAATGAAAGTTGAGCCTTAACATTCGTAGCACCATTCGGATTTCCGACGTGTTGATGATTAGTACCCATACTACAACCTGCTCCATGCTGTTGATGTTGCTGGTCAGCTTGTTGGTGTTGTCCTCCGATCAGTGTGCTGACAGAGCTTCCGCTTTGGTTGTGCTGCATGCCATTCATAGAATTATTTGAAGAAATATGATGGACTCCACCATTCATCTGCGGCTGACCTTGACGCGCGGCAACTGCCTCACTAGTGCTCACGGCAGGGCGCTCGTCGGTCAGATAGATCTTCGGCAAACCCTCAGGCGGTGGAGGCTTGCGTCCGCCATCGACGCCGGTCACTTGGTCCTCCTCAATCCACTTCTGGACTTGGTGGGACCTGTGAATTTTCAAAAAACTTCAGCGTCACAACAACTGAGGAATTGGTCAACAACAAGAACATGTATCTCTATCATTTATCCTACTTATACAGGGCAATGCAGAACCTAACTTCGATAAAACAGTCGTATGACAGCTCCTGCATCTCATGATGCGAGAAGTTGTAGATAAAGAACATAACAACTTTCGCTTACACGTAAAACAATGAGTCATATAAATAATTTCAAAAATTTGTACATATTACCATTCCGACTTCAAACAAACATCGTGTGCAGCCTGGTACACCGTGAAACGGTACTTCAAATCGTTGGCGGAGAGGGTGTGGAGAATCTCTCGGAAATGTTTGAGAACTCGCACCGCAGAAATCGAATCGTGAAGAGCGCCATGGCAACGAATCAAGGATGCAAACGTGTGTGCGTTCAGCGGGCGAACGTACTGGAACATTTGAGAGACCTGAAGGAGCAAGAAGTTTTCACCATTTTCTTTTACAACTTTCTTGACACTACCCGCCAAATCTTCAACTTCAAAGCTTAAGCTACATATTTCCAACATCAATTACCTTCTCATAGCCCTCCAGCGACGGGTCCCTTGAGAAGATCAGGCAGTAGATCGAGAAAAAATGCGAATTGGGCGCGATATTCAGCGAGAGCATGAGACTGCCAAGATATGTCGCGATTTCGAACCCCATTTTGTCTTGTAGAGTGATGTCCAGCAACGCTCTAAACTCCTCTAGCCGCAGACCGCCAGCCTCTTTTCGTCGCAACACTTAGACTTTAGCTTTACTCCCATGTCATCTCCAACATCCTGAGGAGCTACACCATCTTGCTAGTGGTCTAAGTCTTAGTCATTAAATTTTCCTTTAGTACACAACTTACCAAAGGAAAAGATGTTTCTCAAACAGCAGGATGAATAATTGAGGCACACCTTAAAACATGTTTTCTCCAGCATGTCTGAGACGTTCGTTTTTCGTCAACCATCGGGTCCAAAGTTGATCCAAGTTCCTGCGGATGGAGGACGTCCCAGCACTAGCAAAGGTCTCCACAAGAGCGTCGAGAGAAGTATTGCCGCTGTGGTGGTAATTAGAGGAGAAGGAGTCTAGACCTCTCTCTAGGGAGGTGGAACAAGAGTCTAGACCTCTCTCTAAGGAGGTGGAACAAGAGTCTACTAGACCTGTCTCTAAGGAAAAGGAGGTGGAAGAGTCTAGTAGACCGTTCTCTAAGGAGGTGGAACAAGAGTCTAGACCTGTCTCTAAGGAAAAGGAGGTGGAAGAGTCTAGTAGACCGTTCTCTAAGGAGGTGGAAGAGTCTAGCTCTAGACCTCTCTCTAAGGAGGTGGAACAAGAGTCTAGACCTCTCTCTAAGGAGGTGGAAGAGTCTAGACCTCTCTCTAAGGAAAAGGAGGTGGAAGAGTCTAGACCTCTCTCTAAGGAGATTCTCTAATTGGCAGGCTCTAATCTCTAATGCTGCTCTCTGTTCTTGACCAGAAGATTGCACCTCCTTAGAGCAACAGAGAGCAACAGAGTATCAGGAGAAGGAGGTTTTGTTCTCTAAGGACGGAGGTTCTCTCATGAGGTTCTCTAAGGATCGCTCTCTAAGGAGTTGGAGGTTCTCTATAAGGAGTTGGAGGTTCTCTATAAGGAGTTGGAGGTTCTCTATAAGGAGTTGGAGGTTCTCTAAGGAGTTGGAGGTTTTCCAAAGTAGAGTTGGAGGTTCTCTAAGGAGTTGGAGGTTTTCCAAAGTAGAGTTGGAGGTTTTCCAAAGTAGAGTTGGAGGTTCTGCTAAAAATAAACTAACGTGCATAATCTGTTGAAAGCCTTGAGCGGTCGCTGGGGTCGTTCCTTGAAAGTTGTGCGGATCCAGTGGTAAGGTTGCAATGGCGGCGCCATGGCGGTTGTAGTGTGGAAGATAACCCGTGCCGTTCGCATTGTACTGCATATTCTGCTGTTGAGCTCCATTGATGGTGCCACCTGCCTGTTGATGCTGATTGACATGATTGATGTGCAACTGTTGATTGACGGAAGAAGTGTTCATTTGGTTATACTGTTGATTCTGACTGTTCAACATTTGATTGAAATTATTCATCCCAGCATGCGGATTGTGATTGCCCATTCTTAGAGCTACCAACGTGCATCCCTGAGACCATCCGTGGATCCACTTCCCTCTTGAAAATGAGGCACCAGGGATCGATCGATGATGTTGAGGATGCTCGCTTGGTAGCCTTAACATTCCCGAGACTCCCATTCCTGGTGTTCCACAATTGTTTGCCCCTCCATGTTGACCACGACCTCCCGACGAGGAGTCTTTCTGCTGGTGATCGTGATATCCACCTCCATTCTGGTGCTGCGCATTGTTCTTGTAGCCGTTGGTAGTTGGTCCATGGTTATTCGCTGAGTAGTTGCTGCAGCTTCCGTTTGGGATTGGGTTTTGATGATTATGAACGGAAACAATTTCACAAAAAGCGATCGAATTTGATCCATCTCTCCTCACATTCGTCATTCGAAGCTTTAAATTAATATATATAATTACTGATAATGTGGTTTAATTACTGATAATGATCCACAGCCCACAGGTTTTCATCATCGTCTTCAGGCCATAGTGATTCGCATAATTTGTAGCGGCTTGCCCGCCGCTCGTCTGCTGGTTGTATCTGTTGTTACCTCCCTGGTAGTGCATCGCCTTTCGGCTTCGATCGGGACTCGAACCGACAACGTTTGATGTAGCCCTAGTCAACGTGACAAAAAAGATTCTTTCGAATGAAGATGAAAAAGACAAAGACAAACTTCGTTGGTGTTCTTGTTCTTCTAGCACAACGAGTTGTTAAAAACAACGTCAAAAGGGGATGAAAGACAAGCATCAAAGTCTAAAAGGGAATACATTTGATTCCACCCCTCCAAGTCGTCCCATGCATTCGGTCTGTCTTGCTCTGGCGTCGGCATCTTCCCCGAAGTAGCGCGTCCTGTTTCCTTATCGATGTTAATGTGTTTCAAGATCATGTAGTGGTCAGGTGGTTAAGTACTTTCGTTTTCTTATCGAGCTGGAATGAAAATTGACTGTTGATGTAGTGCGAGTTCAGTACTTTTGATGTGAAGTGATGAAGTAGTTTCCGTGATGTTGCTCACTCTCACAAATTGAGAAAAATAAATCGTAATCGTTTTCGTTAGGTTTATTTAGTTCTAGTTCTTAGTTCTAGTCCTGATTGTAGCACTCTTTAGTCCTAGCCCCCACTCCTTCCGTACAGCTAGCTAGTTGGGTCTTCACTACATTTTTATCGATGAGATGAGATGGGTCGGCGGGTGGGATGGGACAGGAAGATGATAAAGAAATCTCTGCCTCGACCTGCTTAGAATGAGAGATGGGTGGACCACCGTTATACGCTTAGAAGGTCATAGAAGCAGGCTGAGGTTCTTGAGCCTGTTGTAGCACTAACAGGCATTTCGTCATGATGTGAGTTACTGTAGTTGTAACCAGGCGTATCGTGACACGACCGCATTTTGATTTTTCTAGCCAAACACGATACTTCTTGTACAAGGTAAATCTAAACAGCATCAAGATTTTTTTAGTTCAGAAAAAGAAGATAGAAAGAAAACAGCGAAAGTGAACAGAATGCGGCACCACAGGGCACACAAAGAAAAAATGACCGACTCTTCATCGCTCACTCCTACAGATACATCATGGTGCCTATATTCACTCTAGTACTTAGTTTCGTTTGAGTGTGTGATCTTCTATTTTCCGTCACTTCCATTTTGACCGATAGGCAAAAGACGAAGCAGGAAGCGGTAAAGGTGGTCATGATTCATGAAAAACGTAAGTAGTATTAAAAATAGTGGCAAGGTGAGAAGAAAAAAAAGTAAAACCTTCTATGACTATAAGTCTCCAACAAGGAACACCGTGACCGTCCGGAGATGTGATCCCTGAATTTCGGGAGCAGCACGGAGTAGAGCAGACTCCCAGTGCGCGTTTCTTCGTTCTCTGGAGGTATAAAAATCGGGTTTTTTTTGAAAGTGGAGGTGACGTCTAGGGGTGGACTTTATCGACGTCGTTTTCTTGACATTTCTTTGACTTTGGTGGAGCTATGGTGGACACGAATGATCCGTTTTCTCCTCCTCAGGCTCCTGTCCACCTCGCTACAAAATCTCTTCCCTTTTCTCCTCCTCAAGCTGTCCTCCTCGAGAAGAATTCTCTTGAGCTGGAAGCTGTCCCAGCATCGCCTCCCGCGCGTCCGCGAACAGGAGACAAGTGTGCAGGCACCGAGGACAACTTCGTCTGCTTGTAGGACAAGAAAAATCCATGGCAGCAGCCTCCAAGACAACCTAGCGCGCAAACCAGACTCACATAAGCAATCCACCCCAAACCCAGAATGGTAAGCTCGTGATCAATCTTCTTATCATTCTGTTGTAGCAAGAGTTGCAAGGTTGTGCCATGTGCGCGACCTCTGTCACGGCTCAACCCACTTCTCCTCGACGTCTCTGTCCTCTCGACCTTCTTGAAAACAGGACTATCGATATCTTCGAGGAACTCCTCTCCATGATCTTGTCCTTCTTGCTCCCCTCTGCGTTTGCTCACCTCTTCAAGTTGTAGAAGCGTGGAGGTGCTACCTGGATGATCGGTCGCAGCACTATCTGCAGATGCAGTGCTGACCATACAAGCTGCGATCACAACCGAAAAACGAGCCAGCATCATGCTCGTCACGAGCGCATGATACATAGTTGTTGTAGTCGTTTTCTATTCCTACTACTTTCGACTTTTGTGAAATGACCTGGATTCAGTGGTAAGTAGAACTGGCTCAAGGTGAAACTTTAGATGATTCATCATCTCGTCAATGTGTATCTATAGGCGTAAGCAGCAGGTGGGAACGGGGTATATGAGGCAATGGCATGCTACAGATGTCGAATTCGAAAATGCTGAGTCCAACATATTAATTTTTATTGGGTCCAATTCCAAAACCTACCGAAGAGTAGAGACGACCTACGTTCAGGTTACTCATGACAATGACATTCATGTTACCGATATTAGCGCAATAATACACGCTTAGATAGTGGTTCTTCACTCAACGACTATGCGAGACGTGGCACTTCTTTACCGATTAGACCGAGACGAGGAGAAAGCTCGTATTGTAGGTCCTTCTTTTGCTGCTTTGCTGATTACGCCTTTGTTTCCGACCCCTGAGTCAAGTAGATGAACATGGTATTTAAATTTATTGGTAGTACTATCTTAATCTTCTTCTGAAACTTTTGTTCTTTTCACTATCTGTTCAAGACTACTGTCGCTGTCCATATCCAAGTGCTCCAAATATTAACTAAGTTTACCATGTTGATATTGATAAGTTCGAGATCATCTTGCGTCTTTCTCTAAGAAAAAGAATGGGAGGAAAAAATAAGAAATAATTCTTTGGCGACAGAGATAAGGTCTCTTCAGACTTGGGTCTCCTCCTAGTCCTGTTGCCCACAGACCACGAATACCTCTTCTACCTCTACGTCACCGTCTACCTCCCACAACAGCCATAACTTCACTTCCACGACAGCTTCACATGCAGCTATAGACTTGTTCAAACCATCAGCTGCGACTTGTTCACGGTGCTTCATAGTATGTCCTAGTCTCATGATCATGCAAGATAGCTTTGATGTCATCGCCAAGGGCTGCGCTGTTCTCGTCTTCAGCCCACTTGGGATCCAGATGCTCGCATGCTGCTACCAGTGTCCCGATAGTGCTCGCATACATGCTTTGGTCAGAGACGCAGATTAGAGATAAAGATCGTAAATACTTTGGAGGTCGTCAGAGACGCACCAGATTAGAGTGGGCGGGCCACCACGCTGACGATACATACGAACCTGGTTAGAGACGCGGATTACAAGAGTAGAGCAGACATTCTCGAGGATACTACTTAGATGACGGTCTGACACTTTAATTTTTGTTGTGAAGCAGAGTGTTTCAGTAGTGTTCTTGCGGTGTCATGATTTGCTGATCAAAACTCACAATGAAAGAATGTAAGTATCATCTCGTCGAAATCAATGCACTCCAGCATAAGAACTGTTCACGCTCTTTGCGTTGAAAAGTAAGCGCAGTTTCCAAGCCGTGAGGGTCCTTGAGCTGACGCTTTAGCTCCAGTTGCCTCTTGTTTAGACCTACGAAAAGGCATATGGTGATGGTGATCTTGGTATTTCTAATTTTCCGTTGTAGAGCGTACTCGAGAGCACTTCTGGAGAGCACTGCTAGATGAACATTCAGGAAACACAAAGAAGGACGCACTCATCTTCTTCGCATTTTTTTTTGTATCTGCATGGAAGTTGCGCTAGTAAAAGACTTCTTCCAATCATGAAATTACTCCAATCTACTACTTAAATCTTTTAGCAAATCAAACAGTGACCATTCACCAAGACGAGCAAAAACATAACTTGTTTAAGCGGCGTTCGCGTTCGTAGGACATCTTGTTGGCCTTATACTTCATCACGTACTGATCGAGCATGCTCTTGAACGTTCCAAGCGCAACCGCAACATTCGGGCTGTCTCCTTTCTTGGTAGTAGCAGATGTGCTGGACGAGGCATCGAGATGAAACTGGTATCCCAGTTGTACAGCATGACGTTGAGGAGCGGTGAAGGAGGCAAGGAAAAGCAACACAAGAGTCAGCGAGCTCCTTGGCGCCCGCCCTCTAGGAGGACAGGACAACGCTGATATCATCTTTTTGGATGCTGGTGGATTTACGCGAAACTTGGCGTTAGTCGAACATATGTAATGTCTTGCTTCACTTCTGAAAATCTCGCTTCCACCTTTGACTTTCTTGTCTTACTCTCTTGAGTTGAAGTTGTCATCCTCATGTGCACTGTGTCTTCGCACATTACCTTGGCTGCTTGTGTAACGAAGATAATTTTTAACATCAAGCGCGCGCTCCGGAGTGCTGCGTCGAACAGGATAGCAGAACAGGATGAAGACATCAAGAACACGCTGGACTATGAACATCAAGAACTTCTGTTACGGCGTTGAGATCCGGCGCTACCGCTTGATCTTCTGTTTATCATGGACAAAAAAAACGACTACGAACTATTTCTTAGTTTGCTAGATGATGATAAATAAGGTGCATTGGTTGAAGAAGAAGAATATCAGACTTTCCCTGTTTGCGTAGGGTACTAGAAGACGCACTCCTTCATGGAGGAGAGGCTGTGTGTGGTGACATTTTCATTTTTGCTATAATTGCTTTTGCTATGCACAGTATGAGATCATTCTTGAAACATTACAGCTTGGCTTCCTTCTTCAACAAGTACTAGACTTGTCTAAAAACATGATGCTCATGCTCAGGCTACGACAGCATTTGCCGAGTTGAAGGTCGCTGTGTAGTTTCCACTGACAGCGTCCGCTGCCGCAAAAGCCGCCTGCTGATATTCAGTGACTTGCGTTCGCGCTTGTTGCGCTGTCGCATACGCAGCTTGTGCAGCAGCCTCTAGTGCTGGACTTAGAAGATCATTTTTTTAGTTTTACTTTATCATTTTTCGAAATAATAGGAGATGAGGGAAAAAAGCGAGCAGCTGAGGAGGGTGATGGCGCTGATATCGAAGTCACCATGATGTCTCAGTGCGCTTGATGATGCCAATAACCGTAGGATGAAATAAATTTGGAGCATCAGAACAACTACAAGATCTCAGTGATCATCATCTGCGGACTGGTGCTGTCATCTCAGTGACTGATCTACTTACTACTAGTAGTCCGTAACTTGCTCTCCCGCACCAGTTGTCGAACTCGATGATCTGCTTCTGCCCGTTCGATTTCATCCTTCAAAGAGGTTACTTTGGCAGCTTCAGACTGTGCTTCGTGTTGCTTCCCGATCGCTTTGGCAATCAGCTGGCGAGCTTGACCATCGTACTCACTCACACGCTGGGTAGCGGTTACCTGGAGGTAGAGGACAAATACATTTTTTAGTGATGAAAATGGGGACGTGGATGCTAGACCAAGATCATGATGATTACCTTGAAGATGACGATGATATCTCATGATTACCCTGATGAAAATCATGAAGTTCTTTGGCGACATGGACATCCATGGTTGCACTTGAAAAGAGCATGGGTTGTACCATCTGTTGTTGATATGGTTCGGCAGCTCGGGCTGCTACCACTCGAGGCCAAAAGTCTGGCTTGTCCCAGCCATAAGCCTCAGCCTTCAGCTCTGCCGTCTTCTTCGCAATAGGTGCCACTTCTTTCTTGATCAGTTTCACTGCCTCGGCCACAGCCATACCTGCTACCTGCTCGCTCAGCACACGCGCTTTCTGCAAGGGGAATTAGCGAGCAATGAAAATCATGAATCACTATCATATTCATATCATCAAAAACAAAACAGAAGTTCAACATAATCTTTCACTGCATTTTCGAAGTCTTCTTTTGCAGCTGTGAGCATCTGTGTCGCTTCTGCGGCACTTTCTACGCCTTCGTTTGCGGTCTGCAATACTGCCTCTTGGACTTGAGCCACTTTCGCTGATGCTGCTTTGGCCCGAGCACGAGCGTAAGTTGCACGAGCACTTGCGGGGGTCTTAGAAGAAGCAAGTAGGTGAGCAAATACAATTGAGACAATGGAGACTACATCATGCTGATTCTGATACTTCAAAAGTATTACTTTTGAGGTTTCAAATTCAGAACTAAATTCAGAAACTGTAACACTAAAAAAATATCTGAACTTCTAGAGCTAAATCCTTGTGGTCTTAAATTTGGCACTTGCGATCGCTCCCGCTGCTTCTGCCATCTTCGTCCGCCCGAATAACTATTCGGAGTTGTCGTATATCATCAAGTGATTCCTACGTTGCATCTGCATGTGCATACTTTTACTTACTCACTTTTTAATGAATAGTTCATGTTCATGTTATTGCTTCCACGTTCATGTTATTTATTTTTAATGAATAGTTCGAACAAGTAGAGATACAGATAGACAAGAACGTAGCAAGAGTACTCCTCGCAAATCGATTTCGTATTTTTCTTTTTTCTTTGCGTTTTCATCCTCATTTTCTTCCGCATTTGCTTCTCTAGCTGCTCCAGTCTCCTCTCCCGATGAGTCAGAAGCGTTGGAATCGACTAGAGGTAACGGCGGGACTGCGCCAATGTATGCCTGAAAATTCACAGTTTGGTGGAGGAGCTTCTTTCATCTACTAAAGATTACTTTCTTCAACATATTGATACATGATCATCATTTTTCACAGGTGGCTCCACAAGTACTTCGTCAACACTCGACAGCATGATATTACTTTACTTCTTGTCACGAGGAAGAAGATCATGGCGATGCTGGAGAAAGCTAAAAAATAAGAACACGTCAAGGCCGGTGCCGTGGTTAGACCAAACAGCCAATGCGCACGGGTTGCCACCTTCGCGGGCTTCTGTTGGCTGCGTCTTTTGGATCATTTCCGGATTAGAGGTGCTCAAAGCATTTCATTCAGGTGCTAAGTTCCGAATCAACGAATGAGAGGAGCCTGCGAGAACGGAAATGATGAAGGAACCACTGAAGATGAGTTGTTGCAGAGAGATGTACTAGAAAAGAAAAGCAGTGGCACTTCTTGTAAACGAAGCACAGTATCAAATTCTGGCGAGGAGCCTTAACAGGAGCCGCCATTTCGCACGTCGCGCCACTCTCTGCCTTCGTAACGCGACAGTTCAATTCGCAAAATCGTGCTTGATTTTCTTCGCTTGGGACGTTCACACGCTTGTTAGAATAGACCAAGCTAACTGTGGTTCTCATAAGACTTTTTTTGCTTTTTTAGGGCAGGTGGAGTTCGTTTTGTTCTTCTCCTCAAAAATTACACAAAAATTACATTAACATTAGAGGTTTCCATATTGCATTCCTCAGAACATCCTTGACCTATTTCCCCCTTGAAAAGGAGCCAAGGATGGTAGTGAGGGATGCAATTCGGAAACCTCTAATGTTAATGTAATTTTTGACCACAGGACAAGAAGAACAAAACGAACTCCACCTGCCTCCATTGCTTACAAGGGCAGGTGGAGTTCGTTTTGTTCTTCTCCTCAAAAATTACATTGAATGAATGAATGTACCCACGACTCTTGGGGTTAGACAGTGTTCACTTCTCTACTACTCTATTAACATGAGTTCTTCTTCTCCTGTGGTCAAAAATTAAATTAACATGGGTGAGGAAGAGGATAATCCTGCTCCTTCGTAACGTTCGCATCTGGAGGATAACAACGCTCGCTGCAAGATCCACTCTGATCATCGAAAGGCTTGCTGTATCCGCACTGGTAACCAGTTGTCAGCGAAAATTAGTGTAGTACTAAGGTACTAAGGATATTATGCTACTTCATTCTTGAGCGTCAGGAGAAAGGACATCAAGCACTACTAGCAGCGAAAATTGATGTACCTACACTTAGACTTACTACGAAGTTCGTACTTGTTCTACAGTGTAGTTGTACTAAGGTACTAAGGATATGCTGTAAGTGTAATACTAAGGTACTAAGGATATTATGCTACTTCATTCTTGAGCATCAGAAAGGACAAGCACTACTAGCAGCGAAAATTGATGTACCTACACTTAGACTTACTACGAAGTTCGTACTTCTACAGTGTAGTTGTACTAAGGTACTAAGGATATGCTAAGTGTAATACTAAGGTACTAAGGAAGATATGCTACTTCATTCTTGAGCGTCCTCAGAAAGGACAAGCACTACAACTAGCAGTGACAAGCTAGCAACATAAGAGGATGCTGATGGTGCTTGACAGGACACTGACTCGTGGCTCTCGCAACACTCGCAACTGCAATAGCTAGTGCCAGCAGCTGAGCGGTACAGCCCGTCCATAGCCAAGGAGAGTACATCTTGCTGCAAAAAACTGAGTGCAGAAGTCGATGTTCTAGTCCTTTTGTTCCTTTTGAAGATGTCTCTTCTTTGAGCAGACCTGGTAGCCTTGGCCGCAGTACAAAATGACGAGGAGGACACAACAAGAACTAGTAGTACTGCCGTTGCTGCGACGAGTCGTTGTCGTAAGAGAACCATGCTGATGAGACATGGATGGAGCTTGATATCGGGCATGATCCTGATGGGTAGCTTACTACCCAGGACACCAAATAAGATTCAACATGAAAATCCGCAGCTACGTCATATTCAATAAATAATAAAACTATGGGACTCGTGCTCGTCTTCACTGTAATGCTAATAAGAAACCTAAAGCTATTAACAATATTTTCATTATAATTTCTCCTCTTCTCACCCGCTTGCTCTCTTTGCTTCTCACCCGCTTGCTCTCTTTGTTTTCACCCGCTTGCTCTCTCTGTTTGGAGCCAGTTCAATTGATACGACCCCATTTTTTGGTCTCATAAATCTTTTTGAGACTCTCTTACCCACTTGCACTTTTTGGGACTCTCTGTTTTTGGATACTCGAATGACTATCGTCTAGTTCGATCTTCTTGTCCGTGTATTGCCTTCAAATAAATGGTTCTTCTGATACGACGCAGTCGCAGACGCGGCAGGTCTTCACAATCTATCAGAGGTTCTTGAAATTGAAAACCAAAACACATCTGAAAGTAAATTGATGATGTTGGGATTGGACAACATTTGGGTTCTTTCATCTGAGCATTCATCTTCCGAGGCCGGGTGCAGGGTCTGCAGAGATCGACGTAGACTCACATTTTATCTTCCGAGGCCGGGTGCAGGTTTTATCTTCCGAGATCGACGTGGTTGGGGGAACTGAGTCTGGGTGTTTCTCGCGGGGGGAAGTGAGTCTGGGTGTTTCTCGCGACGTGGTTGTGGGAAGTGAGTCTGGGCTCTCAAGCGCACTTCCCCGAAGTAGATTTTTCAAAAAAAAAGTGCCAAGACTAACCGAAGATCCTGACTGTTTATTGAGTTTGAGGTATTATTGTAACATTAACATTTTTGACGACTTCATTGAGTCTCTTATGAAGAAGCTATATGTTGTATAATAATGTTTTTCTAGTTAGAAGACCAAAAAGAGCAAACGTCGTGGTCGTGCTGGTTGTTCAAACGGGGTGTTGGAAATTAATATTAAACGTAGGGGCTGGAGGTGCTACAAATCCGCCGCAAAATCGTCATAGCCTTGCGCATTTCTGTACAAGCCTGGATGTTTCTGCTTTATCTTCTCTAGAGCCTCACAAGCCTGTCTGGGAACCGCTTTGGCCCTCTCGACTTCCCTAGCGCGGACTTTAGGATCTTGGTGGCGGCGAGCTTGCATTACCTGTAGTTAATATTTGTGGATGTAGAGCTAGAGTATATGTATCTATAAGACGGCTAGTACGGCTCTCTAGTGGTGAGTGTACTAGCTGTAGATGAGTACTAGAAGTCAGTCGTGGACGTGGATATAGTAGAATACTAATACTTATAGTGTTAGGTGCTTGTGCACCAGAGTAGAATTAGATTAAGAGTAGATTGTTTTTTTAGTTGTACAATTTCTGCACAAGAAGTTGTAATCGAAGTAGAAGCTGTACCCTCCTCCACATTTGTTTTTCCTGATATTCGCACTCCGACTGCTGTCCCCTGATGAAATCCAGCTCTACTGCATGCTCAAACTCTCTCCGCCTCACTGACTGTTCAGGGAAATCGCCGTCAAAAGATTTGGAGACGTAGTAAACGGCTTTCAATCTTGGCGTTTTCCTTCCCAATTGGAATTGGAGATCTTTGCGCCAGGAAAACCTGAAGATTTGGTATCAGAAGATTTGGTATCATGTGGAGTCTTAAAAAAAAAGAGAACAGAAGGAGCTGCGGATCACGATCATCTTCATCACGACGAGGGACGGATGAAATAAAACAAATCAAGCGCTTTATCGTAGTAAGTACTTTCTCTGCGGCGTCGGCTGGAACATGTTTGACGAGAAGAGCGCGGTAAACAACAGGAAAAACAGCGGTAACAGCTGCAGCAACTGCGCTCTCTGATCGTCCAAGTTCGGACCTGGGCAGGATGATTTGGAGAATGTCAACATGTCAAGGTTGATAATACTAAGGCGAGAACTAGGACATGAAGATGGTGATGTCCCTTCCTCAAGCCTAGGAGCGCTACACAAAAACAACCTCTAAAAAAGCAAGTACCTCCGCCACCCCCTCTCTGTGCTCCAACTCCCCCTCTCGCATGTCTGTGGACTACGTTTCCACCGTTGAAAAACATCTCAAAGAAATCGTTGGCACTCATGAAATCGTCTTGCCTAAATTGTGGCCCAGCTTGCTGCTCCGCACGATCAGGATCGCCAAAACGATCGTAAGTTCTCCTGTGAAGGTGGTTGACGATTGGTCTATTTATTTTTGAAACAAGAACTATATATACTTTTCACTATCCAAAACTTCAAAAATCAATACGAATGGTTGCACTGGGACTTGAGACACTCTCATGTATGTTCAACACGAAGGGACACAAATTTTTACCTTTTCTTCTCATCGCTCAGGCACTGCACTGCTTTGCTCAGTTTCTTGAACGCTTCCTCTGCTCCTGGTGCCCCGTTCTTGTCTGGATGCAACTTCAGCGCCATCTTCTTGTAGGCCTTCTTGATTTCATCCACACTAGCCGACTTCTCCAACCCAAATATGGCATAGTAGTCTTTTGTTCTCAATATTTTCTGCACTAGTTGCATCTGTTCTGGTGTGTAGTCTTTTCGAGCTGGTGGCGGATTAGAGGGTCGTGAGGAAGAAGAGGCTGTGCTAGGTCGGGAAGCTGTTGCTCCACCTGTTGGTGCGGCGCTAGGTCTTGCTGAGGAAGCTCCTGAGGGTCTTGATGAGGCACTATTGGCACTAGTTGATTGGGCTGAGGGTCTACTAGATGCTCCAGCTGTTGTACCAGTTGTACCAGGTCTCGCTGTTGGTTGTCTAGCGGACCCTCCAGTTGACGATGATGCGGAAGCTCCTCCAGATGGCCGAGCATTACCTGCAGTTCCTGGATTTGCTCTACCACCCGTTGTGCCTCCACTACTTGCTGATGACGACGTTCCGTTCGCTGTTCCACTCGCTGGCCTAGCTGTCCCATTGGCTGCTCCACCCGCTCTATTCCCACTAGTCCCTCTCCTCTGCCGAGCTTGCCCACTGCCACTCCTTGGCTTTGCTGCAGCTCCAGCATAACTTGCTGTCGCATCGACCATGCTCGTGTAAAGTCGCTTCATCTCAGCAGCGTCCGCACCAAGGCGGACGGCTTTTTCCATGAACCTGATTTTTATTTTGGACAGAAAAATTTGAAGGCATCAAGTACAACAAGTACTACTAGCGAGAAGTAGAAGAATATGTATATCTACAGGACAACAAAGTTGACCTAACTTTTTGAAAAAGAGACTTCTATGACCGTCGATGAGGTTGAGCTCCTCCAGCTCGAAACGAAAAAAGCCTATAATTCCTATTTAAAAACTTCTAGTAGAAGTACTTATTCGCCTTTGCCGTGTCCCCTTCGGACAAGGCTTCCCGCATACGACTTGTACACTGGTCGACGCCATCCTGATTTATGTTGCGGCTCATGTTCGTCATACTACTTGCTCCGAAAGATAAAAGTTTGACTCTTCTACGAGTACGGCTGGCGGAAGAGGGTTATGTTTACGACGATTGAAGTTGCTGCGGTGCTGACTGGTGATTGTTCGTCGAGGTTTGTCGTTGGGAAATCCTCGGAAATGAAGATTGATGCTGCTCGCTGAGGTCGTCGTAAGTATCGAAGTCGTGTTGAGGTCACAGCTGCTAGTGACGGGGATGATTGTCTGATTGCCTACGTGTGGCAAGGTTGGGGATCCTTTTTAGCGCCGTGGGGATGCTTAGTCTGACTGCGGGGCAAGATACGCAGCGTGACAAGCCAAGCTTAGCAAAACCTGTGGACCAAATGCGCGGAGGCGGATTAACCACTTCTAGCACGGAGACTGAGACGAGTAGAACGGCGCATGGTAGTTTTCTTCGTCGTTTCTTGAAATTGCATCATGTAATCTTTAATTTGCAACTCTTTATTACCACGACGACGGACTTTTAATTTGACGTTTACGATAGGAATAACAAAATTGCACTTGCAAGAAAACAAAACTTCAAAGCACAAATACTCGAACTGCTATCTTGCGCTTGAGAATGCAACTAGCTAAGACTACGTGAAGTAGACCCTCAGAATCTGTTCATCCTCCACATCCTGTCCCACTTCCGCCTGATACAGAAGATTGATTGCTTAGGATAATCGAATTTATTCTTGAGCAAAAAATTTAGTAACTAGCACCAAAATACGCTGCAGGAACATGTCAGAACGTGCTTTCATTCTCTTTCCTCCATCTTTTGTTCAAAGGTTCCAAATTCTGTACGATCCTTCGCTCAGATTGCAACATCTCATTATTCTCAGACCCAAATGATGCTGATGCCACGACCTTGCGGAATCCAATGTACCATGGTGTTGAACAGGAACCTACAACCGCTGGAGCAGCACATTCTCGGTCTTCATCACCGTGACGAAGGATACGAAGAAGATCGAGACGACTGTCCGTTCTTGTGCTTGTGCTTGTTGCGCAAGCCAAATTGTTCTCAAGAATTATATATAAGTAGAGAAAATAATTTTTCATCCAGTGTTGAGCGGTGGTGTCCAAATCAACTTTATCATGATGCTCCTGCAAGTGCAATCCCCCAAGATATTAACATCAGAGAGAAAAAATGTCTTTCTTAATTTTATTACACGACAAAAATAAAGCGTCAAATTTCATAGGTGGATTCTGTCTTAATCTGTGAACATCAATGAGGTGTGTGTTTCTTCCAAGAACACAGCCCCAACATGTTGCTGAATAGGAAACCATGATACTTCCTTTTTATGACAGTGACACTAGCTAGTTCCGCATCGATTGCGCCTACTGGTGAAGCTGAACCCCGTCCCGGTCGTGCTCGGAGTCGAAAAAATGAAGTTGAAATTTCAAGAATAACGACTGGCGAAAATCTCACGTAGCTGACCACAATCATGCGACTTGATTAGCTAGTCGCGCATTGATTACGACTACTGGAGGACCCAGTCGTGGTGGTGGTGAAAAAATTGAACTTTCAATAACGACTGACGAAGGTCTCACGCAGATGACTCTCATGCGACTTCCGTACTCAATTTCCCGAAGTCAGTTGCTTTGTCCTTGGTTTGCGCATTCAAGATTAAAACAACGCCTTCTGTTTTTAGCTTCGCCGCATAATCCGCGCCAACCAACTTTATCTTCTCCCTTGTCGCTTGTGGTATGAAGATGCTGAAGCCACGCCACACTGCTCGAAAAACGAAGGGACAGTTGATGAGATAGATCTTGTATGCGCTGTCAGTGGAAAAGTACTGGTGATGCTTGATGAAGTCGCTGGGATTAGATAGAAGTAGGCGGGATGATTATGGTAAAAGATGTCTTTCGTTTAAGTAATCTTTAGTCGTGGTGATATCAAGCAGCCCATCAAGGTCAACTTTTTACTAGAACTAGATGAAGTACACGGGTGTCGTCCGCTTTTCAATTCCAATTCTAATTGACTCAAGGTCTAAGTATCCATAACAAAAAACGACGCCACCCTCCCAAGATGACCGTCTTCTAATTTTCCCGCAATTTTATCGACATCTCGATCCTCTCCGTCTAATCGCATAGGAAGACCATCTTCTCCTAGAACTGCTCAACCTGCAGTGCCAGGTCCTCCAGGTGGATGAGCATGGGTTCCTTCATTTGCTTCTCCACCTCCTTCTCTGGGAGAAGCGGAAGGATAAAGACCTCCTTGTTCACCGCCTTTTCTGAAGTTGCCCCGAGATGGATCCTGCCCTCCTCCAGTCTTCTTCTCTGCGCCTGTTGTGCTGCCATCATGAACACAGCAAAAAATGAATTGTATCTTGTTCGAGCCTGCTTACGATTAATGGAGTGCTTTCTTCATTACTTCTTCGCTCGCTTCTTGTCGTAATGGTTTCGAGCGAAAAGCGGACCCGTGGAGGGGCTTCTTGATCTCCTCCTGCGCCAGTTGTAGTTCCTTCCCTACTTCCTGCCGCAGAATTTCCACTTCCTTGATTTATTAATAATAATATCCCTCCTTCAGGTCCTGGCGATGATGGAGGTTCTACCGGAGATCCACCCTCTCCTTCTCCACTTCGAGGAGTGGCCGTAGCACTTACACCAGTAGGTACTAGCTGGCGAGTCTAGCGTGTTTGTGTGCGTGTCATCCATTTCGGACAGAGTCAGTGTCAGTCCCGCGTCATCAGGAGTCACGTCATGTATTAGACCAGAACTACAGACTCACTTTTCCAAGGAATAGTACGCAATTGATTACTAGCCGCAGCCGCCATGTCCAGGTTCCTCTTCCTTGTGAGGATGCTGCTTTCAAGACCTTTATTTCCGCCACCGCCGGGCCCACCTTTCCCACCTTTGTCACCCGTGGCACTCTTGCGCCTCTGACCCGAAGACGCACCAGAACTGCGCTGAACAGCACCACGACCCATTTTGAATTATACTTTGTTTTGGATGAAGGGTGCCGTTGTAAGGACGAGTCCTCTTAAACTTAATAGTAAGACAAGGGAAAAGGGTAGTTGTAAGAAAAACCGGTCATCTATATGCATAAAATCATTACAACCAGGATCTAGAAGCTAGATGCACAACAGGACGACTCTTAGATTTAGAAGAACTGAGATGACGTTAGTAAGAAGCTCTGCCTATTAGTTGCGTTAATATCTTCCTGCTCACTTCTAGTACCAATTATGATGTGTCTACTTCTAATGCCAATTATGTTGCTTCAACAACATATATTCTTCATTGCAAGAAATAAAGTAGAGTAATTATTTGAACTACATACATCAGTTACAACTAAAAACCAGAAAAAGATTCATGCACAGAGGAATCTATGGCAATGTCTGGAACACCTTGTCAATGTGTCACTTCGTCCAAAACTGCACTTCTAAGCCCTTTGGGGTAATCAAACTCAGACATTCAAGGGTTTGCGATTGCGAATGTAATGATGGGGAAAGAAGTCACATAAGAGTCAATAGTTAGGGAGCGGGTCTGACTTGCGGTGTAGACTCAGGTTAAAAAAAAAACCTGAATGAACGTCACGAATTAATGGGTGAATTAATGTACGCTCTCATTGAGATTGTGCAGCAATGTGTCAAATCACCAAGCTCTTTTGATTGTCAATTAGTGGAGTTTGTTGCACCTACTTACTCCTACAGGAGTTAGAAAAATGAAGAAGTAGAAGACATGTGGACACCAGGAGGACAGAGATGTTCTTGAGACTCTCTTCTATGCATGACCATGATAGATACTCAGGCTACTCTCCTCCAAATTATATGTTTGAGTAAAGACGTCCTACTAGTTGTCCTGTACTTGCACTCTCCAGCAAAGTAACAATATTATCTTCACATAACTCACACTCACTCACACTCTCCGGATTTTCATCTTTCGTACCTGAACTGCTTTGCGGAACACTTTATCGTTCATCTTGGATTAATGATGAATGAACGATGGAGTGTTCATCTAATGTGTTTGATGTAGTAGACCAACGAGGATCTCAACAGATCTCAAGCAGTTCAACTTTTCCTTTACAAAAATTTCTACACAACTCCCATACTTCGTTCCTCACTTGTTCATCTCCTTCTCCGCCATATAATGCCGATAGTATGATTCATTTTATGCTTCGAAGATGCAAAGGCTGGACACATGCCAAGCTTGAGACCCCCGGGTAGATGATGCGACTGATGCAAGTTATTTGGCAAGTAAAAATAGGGCCACTTCGGTCCTGATTGTGTTTGATGCATTGCGAGGCCCAGGGCATGGTCAACATCATCGACGAGGCCAAATAAACGATGCCACGACTAGACTCATGCGCGTGAAGGTTTGAGCTGATTAGTGCCTGACACTGTTAGGACCCTGGGAGCTCTTACACGCTGAGGCCCAAGGAGGTAAACGACTTGACTCATATGCGCGGCATTCTAAATCTTTTGAGTCTCATCTTGACAGAAAGAGACAGCTGCACGATCGTAGGTAATGGATGAGAGGTGAGGGAAAACGGGAAGTGAGAGTCTACGGAGGTAGCCGTGGGAATCTAAGTAGTAAGAAAATTGCAAAGAAAAATGTCCACAATGTTTGAACGAAAGCGGGCTGGATCCAACATCCACATCCTCTGTCAGATGAGTTCGCTTTCGTTTCCCTATGAAATCACTTCTAAGAGAACAACCGGTCGCATTACCAAGAAAACCAAGAAATAGCAGAAGAAGAAGAAGAACCACCAGAAAAAACTTTTCCACTCTGCCGCCTACGCGTTCAAGGCGACTGATGGCGAAATGTGGTCGCGGACTCGCTCTACTCGTAGGAATACTTGCACAAGTCAACGTGGGGGGCTTTTCTCATCTCATGAAGGATAGCGCCATTTGAATCATTGATGGCACACAAATGCGACATCAATTCCTCCAACGCCAGTGCCTGCAAGCCTTCAGCTCGACCCCTAAAAGACGACTTATATTTGCGTTTGATTGTCTCGGCGCCGGCGCAATCTATTTCCATCTTCACTGCTCCGATTTGCTCCACCAGAAAGTCCTCGACTGCGTTCGGACTCGACAAGAAATCACAGGTGTCACGTATTTGAGCCAGCCACTTTCTGGCCGCGTCGCCGCTGGTACAATCAAGCTCTTGAAGAATGTCACGATGCGCCTCGTCGAAAAGGAGTCGAAGCTGCCCCGTATTGGTCTGCTGGAGAAATCCTCGGACTTGCTGGTCGTGTTCACTCACCTGCTGCAGAGTGAGGCGGATTGCAAGACATGCCTTTTCTACTGCTCGCTTGAATTTCTCAACTGTATGTCGCAGGAGACACAGGGGAGGCAGCTGCGGCCGCTTGTTCGTTGCGCCAATACCAGAACTCGCTCCCCCACCTCCAACGCACCCAGAGGACCCACCCGGGCCCAGAGGTAGAAACTTTTTCAGAACATAAGCGTGCAGGCGATTCGCTGCGTGGCGGCCAAAAGACCGAGCACTTTTCTCCGCTATGTCGTCATTGTTCTCCTCCTCGTTCGGCGACTTCATGTTTTCGTGGCCTACCATAGTGCCCATGATACCAGGCGGCGGATTTCCGTTTGTCGGAGTTGCTGGCAACGCAATGCTGCTAGTGCTACTATCCAATATTTCGCCATTCTCCACCCCCGAGCGGATCCGGTCCAAGTCGTGCAGCTTTGCGGCAGAAAATAGCAGCTGGTCCAGTATTTGCGACGCCTCACGCCCAAGCGCCTGGAGTGCTCTTTTCCAGAGATCTTCTCGCAGAAATTTATGCAGACGCTGTTTATCGTCAACGGAGGAGGCTGCAGCGTAGAAACTACGCAGGTGCCGATGTTGGTCTTTTGCAAGTTGCTCCTCAACGTAAGCATTCCAGAGAGTGGCGGTGGTGGTCTGCTGGTGGAGCGGGTTGTCACTGGGAGAAGTACAGGGTGCGGCGGAATGGGCAATCCTCCGCAACGTATGCAGAGCGCCGTCCATCTCGCAGTCGACCATATCATCGACGATATTTCCTTGTCGCGCGGGGCCGCCGAAGAGCTCCGCCGGGAGATTTTCCTTTTCCAGGAGAACGCATGCCGTTGCTACCTCGACAAAAGTCTCATAGCTGTCTGCGTTGGAGAATGTTACCATACTCGGGGTCGGCGTCCCTCCCATTTCGGATAGACACAGCACTGCAGCGGACGGGCCTTTTGCGGTAAACGAGCCTAGCAGTTGCAAGGCTTTCTTCCTGTCGTGAGGTGTCATAGCGTCCCCGAGAGCGACCAGCTGCGTCGTATGTTGTACTTGCGCTGGCACCAACAGCGCCCCAGCCTGGTTTGTATTATTCACCAGAACAACGGACTCTCCCGGAGTCAGAGTAATGTCTGGCCGCGGATCCGGAAAATCTGGCCAATCCGCGAAACCGTCCCCAACAGACTCCTCTGCATCCTCTGGTCGTGGACCAGCACCTGCAGCAGCGTTACCCTCAACTAACACACCCATCGTAGGGTCAGCATCACGGCGCCGGGGACTTCGCTCTCGTAGAGGAGACGGCAGCGGCGCCCTATAGTTCCGCCTGCGTCTTTGCTCCCTCTCCTCATCAACACCCGGAGCCGCCACGTGGGCCAGCTGTTCGGCGCCTCGTCCATTGCAGCACCGCCGCCCGCTTCTTGGCGATGCGCCTGCGGGTAGTTTATCAAAAAGCGTCGACCCAACACCAGGCGGCTTCAGTTGACAAGCCGCGGGAACAAATTCCGGGAGGCGCTGCTCGAGTCTCTCCCCTATCCACTTGACGGACGACGACAAAACGCTTCGGGAGACATGCCGCACCATGGAGGCGATGCCCGGTTTTGCCTTCTCCCACGCTTCTTGCTCCCACGGCTTAAGCGGACGCAAATGAAATGCGTGCTCGCTTTTTTGACTATACAGGAGTTCTCTGAGTACACTCTTCATTGCTGCATTCTGTACTGCATCTTTGGGGTAACAAAAAACAATGCCCGTTTCGTATCCGTTGAGGGCGTTGGGACGCGCTAAGTGGCTGCAATACTTGCGCCCGTATGCATGGTCTCGGGTGTGTAGGGCGAGATGGCTTGCTTCATGAACGAGGATGCCGGCGCAGGAAGCTGTATGATCTCCAGGAGAACGGCCCGGCAAGTTCTGCAGCGTGAGTAACCCGGAGGGGCAGACCCGTATTACGGCATCCTTGGTAACAATCTCTCCCCCGTTCCCAGAGTGTGAAAACGCATGCCGCGCAGCAACGTAGGCACAGACAGGCTTCGCGACAACCTTAAATCTTTGCTGCTCCTGCGCACGCTTTCGTTCCTCGGCCGTCGCCGGAGCGAGGGCAGCTACTGGGAGAGGGGAGAGCAGTGCCCCAGTCTCCCGTGCTCCAGGTCCTGAATTAAAATCATTGCGAGGCACGCGTTCTTCGAGGGCTACGGGCATATGCGGCTCCCACTCTGCCACGGGACTCGTTTGGAGCTGCCTGCGGATCAGGTTTAGGTTATTCCGCAGGTGTTTCAAGATCGTGCGCTCATCCTCCTGGTGCAGAAGTGTTGCACAAAAACAGTCCTGGGCACATTGTTGCACGGCTGCGACTGTTCGCACTCCAACCTTCTCGGAATTGTCCAGAACGGCAGCAACGCAATCCTCGAGGAGGCGCACGACGTGAATCGCCCGCGAGCGTACCGTCTGAGAAATACGCGACCAGGTCGAGCAAAGAGATTCCAGCTCGAAATCATCGAAACGTAGACACGGCTGCATCATCTTGTTTCCAGGTGCCCACTCGAGCGCCATCATTTCAGTGTCGTCGCCTGCGTCCATTCGCTCATCCTTCTCCTCGGGGTCGTCGCTCATGTTGCCTTTAACCGTGACCGGCACGGTGGGACTAAGGCCTTCCATCACTTTGCACACCATAAGTCTTCCGTCCGGATACATGAACTGCGTCCTTTCCTGCTCCTCCTGCCTATCCCGCTGCCACAGTGCAACGCGCTTCGCCAGGGGTGGGAAGCACTTCCGAGGCAGGGTGAATCGCCAGCAATTGAACGCTATCAGATCGATCGGTCTCCCAAGAGCACGGTCCATGCCGTGGCGCTCTTCCATGTCTAGGCGATACTGGGAGTGCCGCTGGCCAGGGCAGAACCCTTCCGACAAACGATAATATTCGTCCAGGCTCACCGCCTGATCCAAGCCAGCACGACGCATGAAAGCCGCATCAAGTTCGTGGCAACGGACACATTCAAACGTCAAGGTCTCCGGGTCCGACGCACCCTCAGGTACGTCGACGCGCTGCACCCGGTCCTTCTTGCAGCACCACGGACATACTGCTTCTACCAGAGGCTCACCACAGGACTGATACTCTTCCGCGGAGCGCAGTTTGCCTGTCCTTGTGTCTATCGCGCCTGGATCTACCATGCATGAAACGTCGTCATCTCCGGGGTTGTCTAGAAAACACGCTCCGCACAAAATCAAAGTCCGCGGCATGGTTGACTTGCAAAACGCCTCCTTTTCCTGCGAGCGCAGCCGCCCCTTGCACCGTATGCAAGGGGGGCCTCTGTTGTCGCATTTTAGTTCTGTAGGACCAAGGTCCTCCTGGTCATGGCTGGCACACGCTTTGTCTTCCCCGCTGGAAATGCAGGATGCTGCGCGCGACGCGGGAATCGTCAGCTCGCCACGATAGCTTTCCTTGCCGTGAAAGGGGGCCCGAACAATGCCCATCCATTTGTAGGCACTACCATCTTCTTCGAGTTCTGCAATGAAAAATTGGGAGGCCAAAGTGAAGCGCGTCCTTGTTCCTCTTGTTGCCTTGTCTTTTCCATTTACTGTTCTGTCCTGTATTTCATCTGCCTCTTGCTTGACCTTTACAACCGTTTTGTCCTTCTCCTCCGCTTCTCGGAGGACTCGCTGATCTTGTTCGTCGGCTTCTTGACTCCTTGCCATAGTCATTATTGCTGGCGCCTGTGGCTTCTTGGGGCATAGAGTAGACCGCGGCTGGAAGCTGGACGCGTCCGACGTGGTAGCAAAGCGTTTACGCTCAAAAACAGGCAGAACGATTTCTTCTGCAATGCAGACTTGTTCTTCTTCGATCCGCTGACTGACAATCCAGGGCGTGCTCGTTTCTTGCCGCACCCTGCGCTTCACCCTGGCACCAAGGGGAAACAAAGCTTGATCCTGCACCTGAACAGAAGAACCGCAACGGGGCTGAGCAGAGGCCCCATGCACAGGTTGCTGCGTCGCGGCGGTCACGAGCTTTCTTACTCGTGTAAGTACATCCCCAGTTAGAATCCCACGAGCACAAACATCATCGTCATCTTCTATTTGCTGCTCCTGTGGTGCTTGTTGTTCCGCGTCAGATTCTTCTTCCGCACTTCGTTTATTGTTCAACTTCCTGAGCAACTCCATGGTTTCCGGACTAATCTGAATACCCGACGTTGGTTCGATAACTATGAGCGGCTGGGACAGCACCTTTCTCTCGTAAAACAACCAGTGCTCCCACGACGCTACCTTCTCGGGTACGCCTTGGTCGTTTGCCACCCAAGTGTACTCAGGGGCTGGAGATATAAGAACATAGTTGCGATTTTGACGCGAGATGAGCACCACGGCCATGTACCCCCGGCTCGGTTGATCGGGATCCACCAGTACGCGATCATTCAAATATACGCTCGTGCTGCTACCGCTCCTATTCTGACAACTCTTATCTGGAGATCTAGCAGGTGGCACATCGCAGGACCACGAAGCCGACGCAGCATCAACACTGGTCGCAGCATGTGACGTGAACATCAATGGTGGCAAGTCTGCAAAGGTGAGACAGGGGTGAAGAGTGCGAGCATCAACATTCAGACAATCCAAAGCCCGCCTCCACTCTTGAGAAGGTATACCTTCTAAACGCCCGAGGCTCTTCATGAAAGGTGCGCCGCGTGCTGCCCCTGTTTTCTTACCCCGCTTTGGTAGTGGCTCGCTTTCTTGTTCTTCGACGGGAGGAGGAGGGCCAGACATTCTGGAGCAGGCATGCGCAGCTAGTTCGCGAAGCGCTATGCGTTCGTCAATGTCAGACGCGTACCAGTCCAGCGTTTCTCGTTTCTGACGATGATCTCGCGCACAGCCACTATTCTTCGGGCCGTCAGCAGACGCCAGACTTTCCGTCAGCGAAAACCCCAAGTCCTCCGTGAAGAGCTTTGCGAAGCTCGCTGGCTGTCCCAGCGTTTGGCCCACAAAGACATTAGCGCACGGATTGTCCCTGTAGTCCTTCAGAAGAGTCTGCAAGAGCCGACAGCAGTCGGTGTCATCATCCCCCATGACACGCTGGCACTGATCAGGACCGTCCCTGCTCTCCTGCATTGGCCTCGTTCTTGTAGGGCTCGTATTCTGTAGCAGGTGACTTTGGCTCTCGACTGGGATCGCCTCTTCACGGACGGAATGCGTGTAGCCACGGCGCTTCTGGTTCCTCTCCGACCCCGTGTCATGCGACACAGCCCGGTCTCCTCTGAAATCTGTTGAAGGAGCGAACCCTTCCATCTCCGCAAAGGGTCCTGCATTCCTGATAGACTCCTCCGTCTTCGCAACGGGGTCTGTATTCCTGATAGACTCTCCCATCTCCGCAACGGGGTCTGTATTCCTGATAGAATCTTCCATCGCCGCAGCGGGGTCTGTATACTCAGCGTTAGCTGCGCCAGCATTTGCTCTACCTGTTGTACCTCCACTACTTACTGATGACGAAGTTCCATTCGCTGCTCCACTCGCTGACGCTGGCCCACTGCCGCTCCTTGGCTTTGCTGCAGCTCCACCGTAGCTAGCTGTCGCATCGACCATCCTCGTGTAATGCCGCTTCATCTCAGCAGCGTCCGCACCCAAACGGACGGCCTCCTCCATGAACCTGATTTGGATTTTTTTGGAGACATTTATTTGAAGGCAAGTAACTGCAACAGTTAGAAGTAGAAGAATAGTTTCTACAGGACTACGACTATGAGCGTTAACCTCTCATTTTTTGAAAGTAGCAAGCCTAAACCGCAACTGCCGACGAGGTTCTTGAGGTCGAAACTAGGACTACTTCAAATCTAGTACTCATTGGCCTTCGTCGTGTCCCCTGCCGACAAGGCTTCGCGCATACGACTCGTACACTGGTCGACGCCATCCTGACTGATGTTGCGACTCATGTCCGTCATACTCTGCTTGTTCTAAAGGCAAAACGCAGCTGCTTCGTTTCTTCTACGTCGAGTGTTGTAGGACTAGGATTGTGTAGGTTACGAGGATTTTTGAAGATGCTGCAGTGGTGACTGGAGGTGACGGTTCGTCGAGAATTTATGTCGTGGGGAAATCCTCGAAGTCAAATATCGATGGTGCAACTGTTCGCTGAAGTCGTCGTCGTGGGTATCAAAGTCGCCTTGGAGTCGCTAGTTGGGGTGATCGTCTAGTTGAATTCCAGGAGCCAGGTGTCTTGTTGATCCACACGAGGACGACGGATAAATCCACTACTTGTAGTTGATGTAGCTGCACGAATATCGTGAGGAATAGAACGCCGGAGTATGGTTTTCCGCACTGGATAGAACAAGGTGTATCATGCCATTGGATCATATAATTTCACGAACGACGTCTCAAAACTAGAATGATGACGATGATGTATCCCTGGTCGTGACAGAGACAGATGATCGCATTGATGATTTAGTTTAGCTTGACTTATACCACTAAACGCTGCACGTCCACGTGCACGAGAAAATATATTGATTAAAAGCTGTAACCCAGAAGTATGAGTACTTGTACTTGATCTTACTCTCTTCTTGATGATGTTGATGACCATGTATTTCTGCTGCGGCTGGATGCGTTCCGTGTGCGTCTAGTCGACGAGGCACCAGCTCGCTATGATTTTTTGCTTGTGGGAAAACGCTGCAGCTGCACGAGAAAAAACGCAATATCAACTCTTGCGCTCAAACCAATTCTGTCACTTTATTTTACGGAACTAAAGTTAGAGGAACGTGCTGTCTTCATTCTCTTTTCATCTTTTCGGAGATTCCCAGTCCCAGTTTCTTGACCACAGCGCTGCGAGATGAGGACAATGCAATAAATCTCGCGCAAAGTTGATGTACAGCGCAGCCTGCCTTAAGGGCGTCGTAGTGGAGAACATTATGATCTCGCGTCGTGTCTGTCAAACCTTCCGCTTGAGCGCGTTATCCATCTACTTCGGTCCACTTCAAAGTGGAGTCCGCTTGAGCGCGTTATCCATCAAGAGACGGAGACGGAGACCGAAATGACAGTTCGCTGTTGCGCAAATTCTCAAGAATTGTAACGAAAAAATTTTTCACCCAATGAGAGGTGGTGTCAAAGTCAACATGCTGGTTTACTCCCCCAACCCCAAGGTGTAGTGACCATAAAAAGATGATGAGAAGTGTTGAGAAGTGTCCTTTATATTACACGACGAAGCGTCAAGTTTTAAGAAGATTCTATCTTCATGATCTTCATCTGTGGACAATAAGGTTTCTGTGTGTTTCTTCCAAGAATGCAGTCCCAAAATTTTGCTGAAGAAGAAACCATGATACTTCCTATTTACGACAGTGAGGACACTAGCTAGTCCCGCATCGATTATGCCTACTGGTGGAGCTGAACCCCGTTCCGGTCGTGCTCGGAGTTGAAAAAATGAAGTTGAAATTTCAAGAATAACGACTGGCGAAAGTCTCATGTAGCTGACACTCATACGACTTCCGTACTCAATTTCCCGAAGTCAGTTGCTTTGTCCTTCGTTTGCGGATTCAAGATCAAAACAACGCCTTCTTTTTTGAGCTTACCCTCATAATCCGCGCCAACCAGCTTTATTTTCTCCTTTGTCGCTTGTGGTATGAAGATGCTGAATCCACGCCAGACTGCTCGAAACACAAAGGGACAGTTGATGAGATAGATCTTGTACGCGCTGTCAGGGGAAAAGTGCTGGTAACGCTTGATGAAGTCGCTGAGGTTAGAAGAGATCGTAAACCTAAAACTGAAAGTGCATCGTTTCACTCCTCGTTGTGATGTCAAGAAGGCCCCCAACATGGTCATCTTACTCGAGGACCTAGACCTACATGCGTGTCTCCTTTCCAATAGATACCAATTCTAATACTAATTCGATAAGGTCTAAGCACCCATAACAAAAAACGACGCGACTCTTCCCAAGTGTCCACCTTCTACTTTTCCCGCCATGTCGAAAATGGCGAACGTCTTGTACTGCAAGTGTGATGACGCTGACCTGTCCCCTATCCTCTTGTTCATCCTCCTTATGTTTTCCGCCACGCACAGCTCTCTTTGGAGCAGAGGCTCCAATATGCGGTTGCCTTCGCGACTGTGAAGTAGTGAGTACAACTATGGCGTGAACAATGTGAATCATGACGAGCACGACACTCTTGTACTTGTTGCTACTGCTGGACTAGGTAATATACTTGTTCCAGCAGTTCGTAGATAGAAGCAATCACGAGGCAAATAATCATCGTCTATATGAGAAGTACCGTGGTCCCTCCAAATCGATTTGATGCCACATGATCGGGTAGCCGTAGGTCGTCTCATACCCCAGATGCAAAACCGGATAACCGACCAATTTTGCTTGCTCTTCTGTCAATTTTGTTCGAGCTGGTCTCGCGTCAAACTTAAGCTTCTTCCGCTCTGCAAGTGCTGCTCTGAACGCTGTCTCCGTGGTCAGGTCTCGATTCCTCTCTTTTGAATAGCCAAAAACAAATTGCCAGATATACGTAGAATCCTCAACTACTTCGTCTAGGCCTTCCGCCTTAGCTATTTGCAGTAACTTCGCATGGAAAGCATCGTCTTGCGCGTTCTTGCGGTCGAAGGCTAAGGACTCAAGATTTCTGGAATAGGCGACTTTGCCGGTGGGAATGAACGAAGGGAAAGGTTGTATCAAGAACAGTTTATTTTTTCACATGGCTACAAGAACTGCAGTCTTCTAAAGCAGATCTTCTAGTAGTTGCATCAAGAAACATCTTCTGGATAGTAGATTTGTCAACCCTCATCATACCACTTTTCGTGTCCCTATCTGAAACCGAGTCACACGAAAAAAACGCCCCAGAGTGCGACCTTGACAGCGACCTTTGATGCCCTGCTAGTTCTATTGACTGCGAGTGCTCCTCCACGACGCTACTATCAACATCTCGGTCCTCTCCATCTAACCGCATAGGCAAGCCATCCTCTCCTAGAACTGCCAAAGAACGACCTGTCGTGCCTTCAGGTCGTCCTCCAGGAGGTGCTGGATGTGTAGTTTCTTTATTTGCAGCACTGCTTTCTCCTCTCGGTGATGCAGCGGGATAAACCCCCTGTCCTCCTTTTGTGAACTTCCCATCCTGCCCTCCTCCAACCTTCTTCTCCAGACCTGTTGTGCTGCCATCATGAAGACAGCAGATGTAGTTCCAGACCGCGAGGATACCGTGGAGACAACCCGACATACACGCTCCTTGTTGTTGTAGTCCTCTAGGGGATGAACAATTTAATTTATTTAATGGTCCTCCTCCTCCTGAAGTTCTTGCACTTGTTGTTGAAAAAAGAGTCCTTCCTACGTGTCCTGCTGTGGATGACACGGAGCTCGTCCTCCCCTTCAAATGGTAGATGTTAGATGGCGAAGAGGGAATGCAACAATCTTCACTCCTGTAACCACTACTTATTGCAAGACCTCCTCTGCTTTTCGTTTCTAGCAAGTGCGCAGATGCAGATGCAGAAACGGGAGGGCTGGTACTATAACCACTGCCGATAGTACTCTTTATCCTGCTTGGCGGAAATAAAGTCGTCACAACTTCTGTGGTACTCGATCTGGAGGAAGTGTAGCTGCTGGGTTCGGAGGCACAGGTGGTGGTCGGCGTGCATCTACCGCTACTCAAGGACATAGGTTCTTCAGTCGAACACGACGACTGGTGCTGGAACATGTTCTTTCTCTTGTGGTACTTGTAACAAGTGTAGTTTTTGCTTTGGTTCGATAGGAGATGACCGGCGCCTCGAGTACAACATGGCCATCTAGATCTACATAGACATGTTTCTTTGAGTACTGCACTTACCTCTTGTCCTGGCTACGTACTTCTCATGCAGGTGCAGCGTCATTATATGAGAAGTTAGAGTACTTAACTAAAACGAGTACTACTAGTAGTACATTAGATTACTATCCAGGTTGTTGAGGCTATGTTGATACAATAACTCTTTGGATTTGGATTTGGAGACTTCAGGAAAAATTTCGTTTTTTTTGTATCCATATCCTGGGGTTACTGAAAGAGCGGTCTCAGCTTTATCCAGTTCGCAAAGAAACCGGCGGCAGGCGGGGCAAGTTAGCCCCTCTATCAAAACTGGCCATCAATAGGAAAGCGATTCGTTTCACAAACAGCAGACAGTGACAGGCAGAGAAAACGAAATGCCACGCAAAGAGAAAGATAATGCTGCTTACTGACCGACAGGCTTAGCTACTCAGCAGTGGACTACACAACGACCAGCGCTAAATTCTACTCAACTCAGTTACTCAGCGAGGTGGGCGAAAGAGAAAGTGAGAGTCCGAAGTGTTCGAAGCACGAGTAAATAAGCCGACAGTGGTTGTGTTAGACAGAAACCCGAGGGCGGAAGCTCAAGAAGATGAAAGAAGAGCCATGATTTATGATCATTTATGTTCGCGCGCGACCCTACCGCCTCACGCATGACGCGCTCGCGAGCGCCCTTGCCATCTGTCGCTAAGGACGTTGGTGCAAGGGCTCAGGGGACCTCCCTGAAAGCCAGTTGCTGTAGTGGGTTTCATGGGGAGACGGAGAATGCGTGTTACTACACGCTACTTTTTATCTACAACTCTATCTCTATCTCTTCCGCCGCAGAGCACCTCCTTGCCCGCTGCGCTCCACGAACGCACATTACGCGCCGCTGGTTCCATTCCGGACTTACCTGCTCACGACAAGGCGGCACTGGACCGCCTGACAACTCTCGAGCCCCCGCGGGTCCGCCGACCCCCGCACCCCGCCGGCCTCCCGATGTTCCCGTCGGCCCAGCTAGAGACGCGCAAGCGATATCACGCGGCGGCCGCGGGCGCAAGCTACCGAAAGCGCAGACAGCATGAGCATAAGCGAGGGCCTCTTCCTTTTTATCTACGTTCCTTCTCTGCCTAACTAGTGCAGCCTCCTTGTCCCCTCAAAACCTTTCCAGTCCCCCAAAAGTCCCAAGCGGCGCTCCCTGCTCGGTTCACCGATGTGTCACGGCGGTGACGAAACACGTGACAGCGGGAGTTTCAGATGCTACGCTCAGAAACGGGCTTCCCCAATAATGATATACTTCATGGCCTGGCTTATACCTTAAGCTTAATCCCTAAAAATTATGATGAGAGGTCTACACTTTCGCGATTGCACTACAGCTGAAGGAAGTAGATCGACCATCAGGATTGAGTTAAGTTAAAAAATCTAGCTCTAGGCGAAACGCAACAGTTTGATCTTGATGACCGAACTGGGTCTCAGCGGTTTGCTTTTCAAAAAATACATCCCGGCGATTCTTGGACCATCAGGATTGAGTTAAGTTAAAAAATGATCTAGGCGAAACGCAACAGCTTGATCTTGATGACCGAACTGGGCCTCAGCGGTTTGCTTTTAAAAAAATACATCCCGGCGATTTTTGGACCATCAGCATCAGGATTGAGTTAAGTTAAAAAATCTAGGCGAAACGCAACAGCTTGATCTTGATGGCCGAACTGGGTCTCAGCAGTTTGCTTTTAAAAAAACACATCCCGGCGATTCTTGGACCATCATAATTGAGCTAAGTTAAAAAATCTAGGCGAGACGCAGCAGCTTGATCTTGATGACCGAACTGGGCCTCGTTGCTTTGTTTCTGAAAAAATTCGTCACGTTGTCTCAGAAGTGGCAGCAACATACAAGAATATCTTTGAGCGTAATACTAGTGAGGCACTATCCCGATCTCTTGGCAATTCAATATAATGGCGACCCCGGCTGCCCTCGGAAGATGGGCTTCTTTTTTTTCCATAGGACTACACGCACATGCTTTCCGTTGCCGTGTGGTCCGAAGCCAGGTAAAAGATGCCAGTCTTACTGTGGGCACCTCCTGGAGGAAGCTACAAAAGTGGCGACGTCAAATCGACTCATAGCAATTAATACTATCTAATAGCGTGCAGCGGTCTGAACGTGCCACGTGATTCTGCTTGTGAGTGTACAGTTTGAGCCTCCCGGTCCCGCTCCCGACTTAGTTTCTTCTACTTATGATCATATTTAGCAGTCAGCCCACGAGTGCCAAGAGACGTCGGAGTGCTGATGTACTGTGGCGAAGGAAGGAAGAGAAAATATCAAAGAAGAGCGAGTTAGTCACATGTATGCGAATCGTCGTCGTAGCTAATCGAAGTTGTTCCGATTATTTCTTAGTTTCTAGGCGAAGCTGAAGTGTGCAAGTAATTCTTATAGTAGAATGTCACAGGCTAGCGCAGGGGTGACGACATCCCTGCGCTGCTGTTAAGTTTATTAAGTCACTTCGGGCTGTCTCGTGTAAGTATAAGGGCTAGAGGACTTAGAAAACAAGACCGCCAGGCTCTGACACACTGGTAAAGTGCATGACTTTAAGGAAAAAGAGGAAGAAGAGGGAGGAGGGAAATACTTACTGCAGAGACAAGAAAGGATAAACTTACCCGCTACTACCTGGAAGCGGCCAACGATTGGCAGCAATGACGCGGGTCCGAACTGAAAGGAATACTTACAGAAGTGCGCTGCTTTGGCGACAAGCTTCGCGCGTGAAAGTATCGCCAAAAGGCTGCACGCGTCAGAACAGGGAGCCTTCGCACGAATCGACTGAAAAGAACCCAGGCGGCGCGACCTGACTGCACGCGACGCGCGTGAGAAATATGCGCCGCGTCTTCAGTCAGTCACACAGTAGCCACGCAATAGCCGAAGCCCCAGCAGTATACTGCTGAAAAAGTTGAAAGCTGCTACTCAGCAGAAGGAAGGCCACTGCGTTCAGAACCAGACAAGTCTGGTGCTGCTGCAGACAGTTTCTGCAACATGCGACATTTTTGAAAAAGGAGCTGCAAACCCTTGCGCGCAAGATAATTCGCATGAGATTGAGACAACGCACCCGCTCGAAAATTTTGACCAGTATACGCGAGAGGCACAGCCTAGCTCTTGCCACTGTGTTGCCTGTCCAATGCAGTGAAAACCTCGAAGGGCCTGCTGGCAGCAAGAATCGGAACAATCTTGGAGGCCGAGCGAATCAGAAAAACAAAAACAGCGACCACCCCACGACCGAGGGCGAACTTGCTCGAGCGCCTCACACAGAGGGAACACTTAAACGAGAGGACTTGGCTAGCGAATTAATAGAGAGCAAACTTGTAGCACGTACGGACTGCCTGGATTCGATAAGCCAGCACTTTGGCCGGCTTGCGCCAAACACATTGAGGAAGTAGCGGGCTGCGCTGTTTCAGATATTGGCGAAACTGTCGCGGAGAAGCTTGCCCATGCTTCTCCACGAGACAAAAACCGCGCAACGGGGTAGCCTGAAGGAGGGCCAAAGTGCTGCACTGCTGCAAGGCTTCTGCCTTCTACCGTAAGACACGCGCTGCGCTTTCTTATCACTTTGAGCTCGTGGCCATGGCTTCTCGAATCCCGCAGCGGCTGTGGCCCGTGGCCGTGGCAGTAGCAGTAGCAAAGTCCAAAGCGAGCGACAGACTTGGTCGGTTCCACTGGTTTTAGGATTGCTATCAGCGAAGCGAGTGCTTAAGGAGCATGGCTTCGCTGGCTCGCGAGTTAGGAGTAGATCGATGCAGTGAGAGCCCTACACGTTAACACTAACGAAGCAGCTGGCGCCGGCGCATGTGCGACATCTTTTGCCGCGGAAAAAGCACGCTGATGGCATGACTTGCAGCAAAGAAATGACAAGAAAACAGAAGAAAACGCGGAGCATTTGAATTCCATGCATAGAGCGCAAAAGAGAGACCAGGCCCGACCCCGATGGCATAATAATGAAGCGCGCAACTCTAACGCAATCGGTGGCCTTAGTGTTTTGCCCCTTTGTCCGGTTTAGCTCCTCGCATGTCGCGCGCAGTGCATCGGCCGAACTGTCGACGCCAATGGCGTCGCTTGCAAAAAATGCAAGAGAACACGCGCGCAATGCTAGACGCGTTAGCCAGATAATGCAAATGCCGCGCGCTGATGTGAGAAAGCTCCTCCGTTGATTGTGCGGCCCTATTTGGCGCCGTCGCCGTGTCATTTGGATGCTTCTGCCAGAAGCGTACGGCATGCGTGTGGTGTGCTGTGGGCTGGTTAAGCTGATAGCCCACCGACCGGCTTGCTGTGGCTTTGTTGTCGCGTTCGTGTTGATCTTGATCCTTAACCGCGTGCGAAGTTCGTCACAACTGTGGCGCCATAATTGGTTCTGGGTCCGTCTCATGGCTTTCCATGCAATTCGCAAAGGATAACGCTCGCAGTGATTTGCTGGCGCTTTTTCTAATATATCACCGAGCGAGGCACTCGCTTACTGTTCCCGTACGTATTACCTGCGTGCTTTTTCTATATTGCTCGAAGGCCTCTACTCGGATGGATGGAGAACCCGACTGCCGCGCTTTGATTCTCGAACTTGATCGGTTTGCTTTAATTTTACTGAAGTGATGCCTTGCGTTCTAAAGCCGGAACCTCATGGGAGTGCGTCCATCGTTGGACTTCGAAAGCGATGCGAGGGACTGGGACAGTGGGGAAGCTATATAGCAAGCTACTCCGCTTCCATGGCCATCATTTTTTTGACAGCCTTCCCCGGCGTTTTGGCAGCCTTCTTCGGTACTTTGGCAGCCTTCTTCGGTACTTTGGCAGCCTTCGTCGCTGCTTGTTTCGGTTGCTTTGTAGTGTTTTTTTCATTGAGTTGCCCACTTTCGCCATCTTCTTCACACATAGGGGCAGGCTTTTCCCAACGCCTTTAGCCTTCACGGCTTTGCTCGTGCTAGCGCTTTTCATCGTCGTGGTCGGTAGCCTTGGGCGATTCGCTGATCGCGAAGCTGGTTTGCTCTTGTTCCTTGCTTGAGTGCTTCCGCGTCGATGTTGGTATCGGAAGAGGAACCTGCTGGGAATGGAAATGCGGCGGGGCGTGAATGTGACGGATTCCCTTCAGGCTTTTCGGTTACGTATGGGGTAGCTTCTCACGCAAAGAGTTCGACACTTACCGGCAGCATCCGCTTGAGCTCGCTGGGAGCTCTGACGAAGAAGGCGCAGAGGGATCAGAAGTAGGCAAATCCGTGGGGTGCTACGTAGGGGCTTGGGGTGGTTGGTACGCAGCAGCGCCAAGCCTTTCACTTTCATTCTTCTCCAAAAAATCGCGGCGGAGCATGCCTGCCACCGTGAGCAAATCAGTATAGACTTGCGGTCTATTTTCGCCCATACTGCGCACGAGTTTCAGCGCAGAGGCATCGCCACCCTTGTGGGTGGTGGCTGACACGTCGCGCGCTCCTTGGTGGGTGCTGCGGCTACCAACTGCGTCGGCAGATCATAAACCTGAAAGAGAGAGAGCCTTAGAGGGCTGGGCCATGGAAACTGGAAGCGTTTCGAGAGAGAAACACGACGCAGAGACGCAGAGCGGAGACGAAAACTAACGAAAGCGCCGGCTTTAGTTCTTTGATAAGGTAGCAGAGGTCTTTTTTTCTGTTTCCTATGAAAAAAAAGGCAGAACGCAACGCCGTAAGCAGGGGCATGCGCATGCTAGACCATCAGCAGAGTAAGCGCCTCCCTTGCGTCACTCTACGCCTTAGATGTAACGCCCTAAAAAAGCAGAAAGGAGGCCAGTCGTAGACGAAGTCAGCGCCGACGGATCGAAAACAAAGAGAAAGGTAACAAAAAGACGGCAACCAAATGCATCGACCCGCTTCTTCGTCTACGTTCTTTGTCTAGCTTCTTTGTCTCTCTCGTCGTCTCAAGCATTCAAGAACCATCGTCGTGAGCTCGTCTTTCGTCCGTCTTCATGCTCAAAAAAAAGCCACACCCTCGGGCAAGGAATGCAGAATTTCTCGAAGCTCACAATTCGATATAGCTTATACGAGATACTATAGCGCAACTTCTGAACTTCTGGATACATAAGAAAAGTAACTAAAGAAGTAAGCTCAAGGTCAAGTAACTACAGACAGAAAGAAATAAAGCAAAGAGAATATGATATCAGCACAGCACTCCCATCTTTCGACTTAGCCACGTTCAAAAGTAGTACTACAAGCTGACTACCGAAAACAGATCCAAACTACATACTTACATGTAGAAACGTCCCAACTTCTTACCTCATCGATGAATCTTCAAAAAGTCTCGCTACCAGCCTCCTCCATCTCTCGACCCGGCAGTACTCGCTGCCTGGTGGATGATGACTGGCATTCTCCAATCTCTGCACCTACTACTGAAGAAGAAGCATCATCTCCGCGGCCAAACTTCAAATCTGGTTGATCATCATCGCCACTAGGCTCGCCCCTGCTGCTGTCATCTGCGAGCTTCTTGAGGTTCTTAGCGTGACCTGTGCGCTTCTTCACTGCAAATAATCGCGCTGAGCCTTCGTGGTCAGCGGTGGCCTCGTTGCTTCTTGCTGCAGTGGACGAGGACTCATCATGCTCAGTGTCGCTGCTAGAATGATAATCATCATCCGCACGCTCGGAGTAGAACAAGAAAGGACTGTCCTTCGAGCTTGTCGAGCCGTAGTTCTTGTTGTGATGCTGCTCGTCATGCTCTCCTGCACTGTTTTCGAGAGAACTACCGGCAAAGGCGCTACGCACACGAGGAGGTGGAGCAGCAGCGCCAGCCGCTGCGCTGTGATAGAAGAAGTAAATAAGCACTAGTAGGAAGATGAAGCCGGTGGCTGCAACACCATGCCAAGCCCAATCGGATGCAGCTAGTTCTACTAGATGAAGCTCGGTGAAGGCAGCCGCGCCATTCAAACTTCTCGATGCTGGAACAGACGCACGACGATAGAACTGGAATTCCGGGAGCGAACGTGAAGTTCCCGTCTCTCCACCTTGGTTCTCTGACATTTGCTTGGCCTGTGTGTCCAGTCCTGGCGATCTTCTCCATTTCCACATCCATAGTCGGGGAGGCCCACTCTGTCGAAATTGTTTATAACCCTCAACAGAGTCAGTTTGCCGCTCAAAGATTTCCTCCTCGACATAATAGCGGACCTCATTGATCACTCGGACGAGCGACACGCAAATCACGAATACTATGCGGGTGGCCATCGTATCGACGTTCCCCCAGTACCTGCTCCCAACTAGTGCGCCTCCGGGTGCGTTCTCATCATGAAGCGCCACCAAATGGTCGACGATGATTTCCATGTGGTCTACTACTGTTCCATCCTCCTTCACTGTTTTTCCGCTTGCCACAGTTTGGCTAAATCGCTCATATTTCTGTTTTTCGGGTGATGGGCGAGTACATACATCATCTTCCTCTCGGTCTTGTTGGTCTTTAATTATACATCGAAAGTAAAACTCTTCATACTTCCACTCCACCTCTTTTTCCAACTCGGTGCAATCCGAATACGATCGCCACGGCAAACTGCAATCGCCGTTGAAGACATGTTTCAAAAACTCCGAAAACTTGTCGGGTTCTTGATCTTGGTGCCCGGGATCCAGTATGCGTGTGGAGAAATCCTCGTCTCGTTGTCTAGTGCCGGACAACCGGGAGGGTCCTTCAGCTCCAGGATCAGTTCCAAAGAAAGTTTCTGCTTGGTTTATAAACCTGTCCCACTGGTCTTGCACGACCGACACGGCGACCCCGGCTTTTGCAGCACTGCTGGCACTGCCGCCCATTTTTTGATGTCTGATAAATATTTATAATATTTATGTAATCAGCTACCTTGACCTAAACGTGTACTATATGGCCGAAAGCTTGTGAGTGCTGCAGTCCGAACTGCGAGGAAAATTTTCTTACTAGAATGTCATGTACTTCTACCCCTTTCATCAAAATCTGCGACTTCTTTACTGCTTCTTCTTTCAGCAAAAACTGGTTGTCATAAAGGCAGATACTGTAGCCACCCACTTCGCTTTCTTTTCGTCCTCCGCGATTGTCATCTCTTTTTTCACGCCACTCACAACACATGATTTATTTGCATCGTTCAAAAAATGGTCCTCACACCTGTATGATTGCGTGGACTCCTCTAACCGTAGCTGAAGCGCGGTGAAACTGGGTTTTTACTGGGTTGACGACAATGGTGTCAACGGCAGCACTATTCTTGTTCGCACCATCACTTGTCTTTCAGGAGATTCAGAAAGTGAAAGAACTATTCCGAAAACTATTCATTGAGTTGGACGATCCTTCTGTTTTTACACGTTGTTCATTTGTTGAGGTGCAAGACGAGCTTGTGATATCGAGCGTCTCGTCATCAATAACCAAATACAATTTCCAACGTGCCCTTTTTCTTCTTTCTCTTCGCCACAGTCTTTTCCAAGTCGATAGCCCTTGGTAGTTTGATCTCTGCCACACCAGCAGCACCTGCACAGAGGAACCGCACTTGATCTGGCGCTAGGTCAATGTCGATGTCTGCATCTGGTGAAAGACCCGTGAGTAACAGGCCAGTATCGGAAAGTGTTAAACCGGAGGCCCACGAGGGAATTTCGGGTGGAGATGTCGGATCTTGTTTCGCCACTAGTGTTGGGCTGCTCGGTTCTTCTCTCGGCGCGGAATTACTCCCGCCCGATAGGCCTCCTGCTGTGTCTGCTTTCTGCTTCATCTGTGAATTCTTTTCCTTTTCCTTTGCCTGCTCTATGGCCTTTGCTTGTGCTTCCCGCTCACGCTCTGCTTTCCTGGCAGCAACCTCTCGTTCTATTTGTTTTCTCTTTTCTTCTGCTTCTTGTTCTTGCTTCTTCTTGTTCTCAGCTTCTTGCTTCTTCTTGTTCTCAGCTTCTTGGCGTTCCAATTCCTTCTTCCTTTCAGCGTCTCTTTTTAGCCTTGCTGCCTCAGCCGCAGCGCGCTTCGCCTTGTAGTCGACCTCTGGGACGTCGGCTGCAGTCGGTAACTGCTTCAGTGGATCACTCGAGTCCCCTTGCGGTGTCGGGAGTAGGCCAGCAAGCGCACGCTTATCAAAGTCTTCTAGGGTAGGAAGGTGGGATTGCTTTTCTACTGTAACTGGTGTTGTTGATGTTGGGGTTGCTGAAGAAGTACTAGTTTTTGTTGCTGTAGAACTGGAAGAAGTGGTAGTTTGTGTTTTTTTCGATGATGCTGCAGCAGTGGCAGTTCCACTAGGTGCAGTAGAAGAAGATGTAGCTCCTGCTCCACCTTGTTCAGCGGACTTCAATGCACCAACAACATCTTTGGCTTTCATAAGCGACTTCCATTTGTTTGCGTATCCGTCTTTGAGCAGTGTTGATCCCCACCTCTTTATTTGCCTGTCCTTCACAAAAAGCAGAAGACTGTATTTCTTCCCGCCTTTTTTCGACGTAACAACCTTAGCGACAGTGTCTTCGGCATTCACCTCGTTGCGAAAAGGGGCCAGAACTAGACGATGTTCTGTCTTGGCTGATGACGCTGTACTGGATGAACTACTTGGAGCTGGAGTACGAAACCTCAACAAAACCGACTCACTGTCTGGAAAGGTGTATTTGATCTGCTCACTGGATTCCACACCGTCAGGGAGTGGGATGTAAACTGTGACTGTGCCATTGTTGGCTGATGAGTCCCAAGAATAGGCGTGTTCCATAGGGACGATTTTCACATCGTCTGCAACCGGAGACACCCAATCAATCTTGTTCTTTGCTTGGTGCTCAACGATGGTGCGCTGCACGTCGGCGGGAAGGTCCTTGGTCACCTGGTGGGTGAAAAGAGCATATTGATCGGGTATGAGAAGGAGAACAAAATATTCTGCATGAAGAAGAAGGAGGACAAAGAAGAGGCTTTGTTTTTGCATCCATGCAGATGCAAGTAGAGCTTCGTTCCCATCGATTACAAAACTAATCACTGTCATTCCATTTTTTCCACCTATACCTTAGTCCCTCCCTGCGTGATGCAGTTGATCGCAATGTTGTAATGGGCCTTGGCTTCTTGGTCACGACCCATATCGTGATAGCAGCGAGTGAGCATCTTATGGATCTGTCCGATGAACTCTTCTCGAGTGTAGTCGAAATGGAAGCCTTCGCCATTAGACTCGAATAGGCGTTGAGAGGAACCGAGCTGAGATGGTGGTAGTAAGGAGCAGATCAAGAAAACCACGAGTATATAATGATGTGAGGACTAGATTATAGGTCGCAGAGTATACTAAATCTAAACCCTGCACGAGTAAATAAATGTTACTGCACGACAGATGAGTCAGAGATTTAGTCCAACGAACAGATGAAGAAAAGGTTCCTCCTCAAGATCAAGAGTTCGAGTTGGTACATCTTCATCCGGCACGTAATCCAGCAGCTCCTTCAGCATTTTCTCTGCCTCCTCTAGGTCTTTCTGTTGTCCTTTGGTGATCAAAAGTTTGCAAATCTGTTGATAGATCGAACATTTTTCCCACAGCTTTCGGCGTCTGACGCTCCTCTGCTTCTCATTTTCTAACTCCTCGTCGACAAGTAGGAGCACGCGGTGGTAGGCGAGTTTGGCGAGGGAGAATGAAGGTGGGCTGCAGAGAGCAGAGGATTATATCAAACCAAAATCTGTTATCATTATCTATCAGGTTTCTTACTTATAAGTAGAAAAGTCTGATAATGATAATAGATTTTGGCTTCATAGATTAGGTAGTGCTAGTGCTGGAATCTCTACGTGGTCTACATCACCTCGAGCTCGACCTCAGGAACAAAATTAAATACAAAAAATTCCGACTCTTACTCACAATAACAATTCCATCTCCAACATCCATCATAAAGTTTCCCGACCCTTCTTTTTCTGCAACGCCATTGCAAGCATCGTGAAAGCGGCAGCGAGATTGACATCTTTTTGCGTCTCGATCATTTGCTCGTAAGCCGCGAAAGAGTTGATACCATACTCATCGTCAGGCTGTAAGGTGCTCTCAAAGAGCTCGACGAGACGTGAGTCGTCGACTGACATCTTTTCTGGTTTGTCTTTTGCGGCTGGTTAAAAAGACTTGATCATTTAAGGACTGAAGAAGGTTCCCCTTGCTACGGAGATACTGATACACACACAAAATGCTCTCGGGCTCTTCTACTTGATTGTATAATTTCTATTTCACTGAAAATGCTGGTTCGGATTCTACTTGAATTCACGACTGGTTGAAGTCATCTTTTCGATCCATACTCGACAATTTTTCTGTAAGCTGTGTATCTGTCACTCCATGCTACGCGCACTCTGTTTTCATTTCTGTTTCTTTCTATTCCACGGCTCTTCTTCGTGTATCTCTACCGACACTGTCTTTTTCACCACTTTTGATGCTGCTCGGGGCCTTGCCCCACGCCCACGTCGTCTTTTCAGCACGACTTAGTATTACGCTCAAGAGCACAAGTTCATTTCTCCCCTCGAGGTTCAACAGAAAACTAGGAGTCCTCATTTCTGCATCCGACTGCGCGGATTCTGTGCTTTCGTCCTCCGGAGACTTGAATCAATCAATCATGGGAAATCCAAATGCAATGGCGTTGCATTACTTCAAATTTCATCATTATGTGTGGGGCGGTGGGAACAACAACTTGGACTAAATTTTTCCAAGCTCATTCTTGTTGTAGTGTTTACCAAGCTCCTCTCGGATCGTTATAGTGTGTACCAAGACGCCTAGCAACAGCTTGAGCTGGATGTTCTTTGAGACCCTCCTCAGTCGCTCATTTCCATTTCGCTTCCGCCTTCTTGTAACACTGCAAGCATGTTCCTCTCTCTAAGTCGTTTTTCTGAGTCTCGCTTCTTATCCCCAGACCAGACATGCTTCTTCGAAGCTCCTCCTCCAGTACCTCCCCCTTCGGCACCTGCGGTGATCTGGACTCTTCGAAGGAACTGGAGTTGCTCTTGTCTTAGGAAGTGGGACAGAGCGCCTTTGGAGAGAAAAGGGGAGTCGAGTTCAACGGTCAGAGCGGAGACAAGCATGTTGGCTAAGCAGTTGGCGCCGGTGTCTGTGAGCTGATGTGCCCTAGCGTGGAAAGTGAGGAGATTGGCGAGAGTGCCACGGACTTGTTCGTGGAGACGGCGTTCATTCTGCGCAGGTTCTGAGGGACAATCTGCATGATGGTCGTCTTCATCCTCCTCGTCAAGACCTGCGTCAGCAGATGAATCTTCATCGTCGTGCTTCAACAAGTCTTGTTCGCTAATATCCATACTTCGTCGATACACCGCACGTCCACTACCACCTGCCGATCCCGAATCCCCACTTCTTCTAGTCTTTTGCAGCGCGAAATAGAAGAAGTGGGGATTCGGGATCGGCAGCTCGACCTCATCTTCCTCCTCCTCGTCCTCGGCATCTTCCATCCATCTTCTCAGTGTGTCATCCGCCAAGTTCACGTCCGCGAGGTCTAGCTGTTCTAAGTGAACTGTTTTTGCGGCCAAGATTCGAGACAAGTCGTTGTCAAAAAGCGGACATCTCAGCCTCAACGCTTTCAATCTGGGAAACCCAGTGGCAAGAGCGTCGACGACAATGCTGGGCTGTTCGCAATCGACAGCAAGGACTTCGAGTTGCTGACAGGTCTGAGAAAGGACGAGGAAAGGGTTTTCAGCTGCACTGGACGGAGGGTTTTCAGCTGCAGCAGTACTACTGGAACAACTCGACACTATCTGCTCCTCAGCTATCATCTCGCACAGAAAAGGACGAATCTGCAATCCCAAGTTTTGCAAGCTAGGACAGTTGGCGGCGAGCGCATGCAAAACACTAGGACCAATCTCAATGTTGTCCAACCTCAAAGTTTGGAGAGAGCGGGAAAGTCCCAGTGTGCGAGCGGGGTCTGCGGCAATGACCCGTTCTAGATTCCACAATCCGGTGAGATGTAAAGCAGTAAGACCACGCTTTGGTGCTGCTGAATTGGAAGTGGTTGAAGAAGAATTTGCACCGTTGTTGGTTGGAACAGCAAGACGAGGCGTTATGGATGAATCCTGGCGGACGAGGGTTTTGGTCGAGCCACTACCACCACCGATCGCATTTATTGCGGTGGAGTTCGCGGAAATAGGAGCGGATGCTTGTGCCGTTCGTCTCTCGCTGCTGACAACCACATCGCGACCTTCACTTTGGAATGTCACAACGCGATCTGCCCTCTGCACAGAAGCGGCGCCACCACGCTCACCTTTTCTCGACGAAGGACTACAACTACTCGTCGTCCCACTAGCTGCACCTCTACCCGAATGCGCAACAGGCGGCGTTTGTTCCCTTGACGATCCTCGACTCCGAGCTCGTTGCGTTGCTGGCGCAAGATTCGCTGCTCGATCTTTGATGAAATCTATGCTTCCACGACGAGCACGATTGTCAGCTGTGAGGTTGAAGACTGTGGCACTATTAATACTTCTTGATGTCGTAGAACCTCCAGGACTGTGGTCGGGACCGCGCATCGTAGATGAGGAGGTCGCTTTTCCTACATCGTTGTTATAGCAAGACGATGACATTGAAAATGGTGTTGAGCAGCAGTGAAAGTTGTTGTATTCTAATTCTGTGGGGTCTCCTTGAGAGAGCTGCGATGAGAGAGTCGTGTAAACCGATTCGCGGCCATCTTGATCGGTGGAATCTGTCGGTTGAGCGGGAAAAACAGACTCTTTGCTACTTTCGTTGCTGATCTCTCCCACTAGATCAAGAGGTGGAAGGTCCACATCGACGCCTATATGTTCCACTGGCGCTGACGATTTATCGGGGAAGACAGACTCTTTGCCACTTTCGTTGTTGTTGTTGATATCTCCCACTAGATCAAAAGGTGGAAGAGGAAGATCAGCAACCTCGACCTCCTTTTTCGCCGCTGACACTTCTGAAGAGGTATGTGCAGGCATAGGTACAGAAGTCACATCGCATCCCATCTCTGGGCGCTGGGCCACCGCTTCGACATTCGTTGCATCTTCTTGGCCAACAGCATTATTTGCCATTTTGCTTGTTGCGTCCTGCTTCTTGTTAGCAAGAGCCAGTGCCCGACTCCTGCTGCTAACTCCAGACGTACTTGAAGACCCGACTCGTCTCTTCGCAAAAACAGCGTCAGAAAAATGGATCCCATTCAGCTTCACCATTCCGCACCAACTGATGTCGAGCTCTTGCAATCTGATGAGCTTGGAAAAAACAAACTTCTGCAAAGTTAGGTCGCCAATCTGAGTTCCGCACAAGTCTAGCATCCGAAGACGAGGTAATTCCGACACGACCTTGTTGGGGATGCTGTCTTTGTTGTTGCTCGAAACTTGAACTTCTGCTCCGGCAGAGGTGTGCTGCTCATTGACTACACCATTGGAATTTACTACTGATGCCGCAGCAGAAGAACTATTCTCAAGAACCGCCGGTTCTTCCACATCCACAAAAGCCCCATCACTAATCTCACGGCACCAAGGCAGAAACAGTTTCTCCAAATGCACACACAACTTCCTTATCCTCTGTACTCCCGCGTTCGTCAGATTCGTGCGTCCTAGATTCAATTCGCGCAGAACATTCCCAGGTTGCAGGTACTCGAAGTTCTCGATCGGACCCTGTAGGAAACTCAAGTCCACGATCTGCAGATAGGGCAGCTTCTTCTGGCCGAAGATGAGGCAAAGGATGTTCTCGGTGAGGCGGAGGTTACACTGTGAGAGCTTGATGGAGCGAAGTTTCTTGGCACGTCTGAGAATGTGCTGCACTCCCAGTGCCGACATCTGTGAGTTACGGCAGAGCGACAGCTCTCTGAGATTCGCGAGACCAGTGGACGTGGATTCTAACTGTAGCTGAAGTGTTAAGGGTGTGGGTGGTGGTGGTACTGTGACTGTGTGATGCTGCTCCTGCTCTCGAAGATGAGTGCTAGATGACGAGGAGGTTGGCACATCGACCCTTGTTGTGGGTGTCGCATTGAGACTTAGACTCTTTGGAAATTTCTCATCAAGTAGTTGGTGTAGCTCCGTTTCGGGTGTCCTTGCCGTGGTCTTGCTTTGAGATACATCTGGAGTGGTAAACGCAGCTGCAACTGACAGTGTCCGCGTCGGTGTTAGCAAGGGCAGTCGCGGTGTTGAGGGAACCGTGCTAGTCGTTTCGGCACCGACGCTCTTATGCAAAGAGCTGCTCATATTTCTCTTGTTTTCCTCCTCACGAGTATCTTTGGAACCAAATACCAGATGGGAGGGCGTTGACACCGGGATGTTTTCGGGGGTCACGTTTTCCGCCGCCTCGACAGACGATTTTTTAAATCCTTTCGGGACGCTGTGAAACCTTCGATGTGCATGAAGCTCCCCACTTCTACAACCAGCATTGGGTAAGGCTGAGGCCGCTTTCTTGACACAAGAACTGCTACCACTACTGGTACTGGGGGACGTTCCGACGAGTATGGTCGATGGTGAGCTAGCACCTGAGTCAGACACTTGATGTCGCAAAGTGTTCTTGGCGCCAGATTTTACGGCGTCAAGCGATGACAGCGCAAAACTACTTCCATCATGACCAAGAGGCTTTCCATCAGCTGACGCAACTTTGCTTGTGCTGCCGATATTCACCGCAAGAGACTTACACCTCGGCTGCCGCAGGCTTGTTGCGCGACCGGAAGCTGATGGCTTCTTCCTATTTGTGGATATATCTCGACGCGGGGCGGGAACAACATGGTCATCCCGACCAGCTAGAAAATCACGAAGCCGTCTAACTTTTTCTCTCTCGGTTGCTGCACTGGAATCTACGTGCGCCTTGCTCTTTGCTGATGGTACTGGTGGTATCGAGCTAGCACATGTTGGCGTTTCCAACACTGGCACTGCCGCTGCTGCTCTCGCAGAACTACCACTGCTACTCGAGCTTGTACCGGGTGTTGGAGCTGCAGCTGCAGAACCACATCCGTTGACGCTAATGCTGCCACCACCACTCAACAGCCTCTCTCTTGCTCTCCCACGCTGTTGCTGTCGTGGGTCTACTCTTCTAAACGCCGCATCCGTAACCCGTCTCGCGTCGTCCAAGACCAAGGTGTGGAGCTTCTTACAGTGCAAAAGCAATTGCTCCACGATCTTGTTATCCACCTGCGGACATCCCGTGAAGTCGACGTAGTGGAGATTCGGACACGTCTTTGCGATCGCATACAACGTTGACTTTCTCAAAGCGTAGCAACTCTGCAATGTTAAAGTCTCGACGTTCGGACCTAAAGAGCACTGCAACGTCGTATCCAACAACGCGTTCCTCTTGCCCAGTTTCTCAAATAGATTGGCCAACTGCGCGTTTGACAGATCTCGTAGATGCACCTCGGCGTTGCGGACGTGCCGGATACCGTACGTGATCAAGTGTTGAGCCAGCAGTTCGACATCTAAATCATCGTTGATCGGAAGCATCACGTCTGGGCGCTGCAAATGAACAATGGACGACGGGCCACTCAGGGGGTACACGAGGTAGAGACAAGGTCCTGTCCAAACGGTGTTCTCGACGTGTTCGCTGAGAGAAGATCGGATGGATTCCAAATCATCGTCATTTCGATCGAAACTCGCACTGTCGCGGTGCTCGTCCTCCAGCCCTTCCGGTGGGACCGCAACACCCTCTCTCTCGCCCAAACGGGACATCTTCACACCACGCGAAGGGTCGCGCCTTCAAACCGACGTCCTTTCCTATCGGCTCCGATTGCCTTATTTTACCTCATCTTCAAGAATATCTGACGGAGCAAGCGTGCTCTACTTCTGCTATTAAACGAATCGGACGCAGAAGGCAAACGCAGGACAGGAAGCCATTTGATTTTGGACGAGCAGAAGATGTGATTCAAAACAGAGCTGATAATGGATCGATGGGAAAACAATACAATCCGGTGAGAACTAAGCACGTGCACGGTGAAACTTTACTACCAAGCTCCTGAAGTCAAAGTCTTGCACACCTACAAGCTACTCAGCTGTCGAATACGCTTTTCTCATAAAAATCTCCCAAATACAAACTGCGAGAGAGAGCAAAATAAGTGATTTAGTTTTCTCCTCTTTTCAGGTTTGCTTGTCTCTCCTTTTTGTTTTTGTGTCGTGTCTCTACTAAATAATATGCATTCTTTTTCTACAATCTTAGAATCTCTTGGAGGTCTGCTCTTCTTCATATGCTACAGCATTTTTCCTTCACAGGCGAAGGAAGAGCTTCTACTTTTTTTACAAATTTCAAGATCTAGCTGATCTTCTGTTCAAGACGTAAACTCGACCATGACGCTCTTTCATTTTTAGATCTCCATGGCAGTGCGGTTGTCACTGTGAATCCGTGTGCGGTGAAGTTCAGGATCTCGGATGTACTGCCTTTTCTAAAATATGGTATTTTCCCTAGTATCTTTATTCCGTGTAGTTTTCACGACTTTCAACATCCTCGGGTACGTAGATCCCGGTGCTGAACACACTCGAATTTTGCCATCGGCCGTGGTTCCCTCTCCGCAGAAAGAGGAGACACCTCTTCTTTTTTTGTTGTTGTCTCCCGACAAGAAACTTGAAAGGCAGATTGAGAGATGATTTAGATGTCAACCGAATATTGAAGTTCCACATGGATGGGAATGCATGATGTCAAATCACAGTGTTGTGCTTCTACTTTTCATCACGCACATCCCCTGTTTGCTTCGTCATCGGACCACATCGCTTCCCACCTTCTCCAAGAACCGCACTTCCAAAAATTTCTCATCTTCATGTCTTCCCCTCTTATCTTCCTGCTATGTAGACCTCCGCAAATGAGTATCCCATCTTCCGAATAAACCGCACTCAGTAGTGGAGAATCCGAATTTAGATAACGCCCATACGGTTAGCGACGTCCAAAGCGTCGTGGTCAGCGGACAGTCGGACGTAGGCGCGCTTGGAACCGTCAGAGCGGATCAAGGTGTTGACCTTCTGGCACTTGATGTCATACAAGGACTGGACGGCCTCACGGATCTGAGCCTTGGATGCCTTGACATCGCAGACGAAGACCTGAGATTGGACAGTTTGAGAATAGATTCTTGGGTATTCTGGAGATTAGAGGCTTTGAGACTACCAAAACATGATGAAGTGCCACCTTCAAATGTTGGTTCATGTCACGGTACTAGGGAGCGACGTCAATGGTAGAACCGACTACGAGTGCACAGAGGCTCGAACATGCCACGAACCTAAATCCGAATTCTTCTAACGCGTAGACTGCGATCTAAATCTAAATCAATCAGAACCCTAAACCCTAAGGAGACTTCGGGACCCACCCTGAGATGCCGCCACAAAACTTCCTGAAGACTGCTCTAAAACAAAATCTAAACAAACGAAGCCATCTAAAGAAGTACCAAAGTGTTGATCTCCTCGATCTTCTTCATGGCGGACTCGGTGGTGACCGGGCACTTGATGATACGGAATTTGTCCATCTTGTTCATGGCCATAACGGTCTTCTTCGGGGCCTTCGGGGCGCGCTTCACGGTCTTCGTCTTGGGACGGAAGAAGTGCACGTTGGTGCGGACCTTGCGGGCACTGGAGGCCTCGGAGGCCACGACCTTCTTGGCCGTCTTCTTGGCCGTAGCGGCAGCCTTGGAGATCGCCATCTTTTCTGATGTTGTGCAGGAAAGAAGGTTGAAACAACTTTCACAAATGGATTCCCTGTTGACAATGATTAGGTGATGAAGTGGTTAAAGAGGTGACCATCAAGTGGTTGAAAGTGTGAGCAACTTCAGGGGAGATACAGAGTTGGAATTGATCATAATCTTTCCAAAAGAGACTCCAGTTCTAAATCTTTTCGTTCGTTACCAGTGACTTGCACTTGTGAGGATTGAGATCTTCGGCTTGTCATGCTCTGTGCGTCGGCAGATCACGATCCTTGCATCTTTCCAAAATCCTAAAGATCAATATTTAGAGCTTTCATTGTTCAGAATCAAACAGACCACAGACTCAAGGATCTTCATTTTCGGGGGCGAAAATGCACCGTCTTATGAACCTTTCAAATTTCAATGATCTTCATCCTAATCCAAATTTAAATCAATCTTCAGATATCAAAGGCCGAATTTCAGAAATGCATTTTATTTGAGGGAACTACAAGTACCTCCAGCGGACCATAAAGACTCAACTCACAAAAAGAAAATCCAAAATGCTTCACTCGGAACTCTTTGAGCGGTTGTCTATTGGTCTCGAGATTCTAAATCCGTGGTCGGATCCTGATTCTGCTTGTTCTAGTACTCTAATTCTAAATTGAACGTCAACAAGCTGTCATTCTTTTTCGCATTCTGATGATCTGATCTTTGTTGTTTTTTTGACCAATGATCGAACAGTTTCTGGCCAAAAAGGCTGGTACCCACTAGTCGTCACTAGAAACGGATTTGCGATTTTGAAAGACTTTTGAATTCGCATCGTCTCTGCCTTTAGTTTTAGGTCTCCTGTGGGTGTAACGCGAGGAGGTCTGTACAACAGGGGATGAGGGTCGAGGGATGGGTGCGGATGTCCTCAAGCTTTGGATTGTCCGGAAAAAACAGCGAGTAGACACCCATTCAACACGGGCCTATGACTCTTTATATGTGACAGAGCCAGAGGAGTCTCTAGCCCACAAGGAGAAAAAGAACAGAAAATGAAACTTATCTCTTACCGTACTCACCTCTAAAAAACGATAAAAAGTTCTACTCAAATCAAACCCTGCGAGGCGTTCTATTAGTGGGGAGTTTATCTCGACAAGCACTTTAACCTGGTCTTTAGATTTAGCATTTTAACTCTTTTATTTAGCTGCTTCTGCGAAAATATCGTCTAAATACGAGTCCGAGACCCGCCCGCCCTCTTCTTTGTTTATCCCACCAGCACCCGCACCAGTATCAAAAGACCTGGAAGCACCAGTACTCGAAGCCGTTCCGAGCAATTCATTCAAGGTCGCCTCTGCTTTTATTCTCTTCGCCTCTGACACCGCTGTTTTTGATCCTCCACCACCTGCGAATGCGCGTTTTAGACTATCACAGCCTGCTCCCGCTGCTTGAAGGAGCAGACCGCGATGCTTCAGGCTGGTTAAATCTAAAGTTTTGCTACTCCTCTCACATCCTGTTGACGTGCCCTTCTTTACCACTGCTGCTGCTAAAGACTGAAACAGAATCCCTCCTTCTACCGCATTGCTGGACGAAGCATTTTTTTCTAAAGATGAGCTTGCACTTCCACTAGAACTGCCAGTACCACCTCTAAATGACGTCGTTCCTGCAGTCCCTCTCGCACTAGTGGGGGCTGCTCCACCTCCCGGCGCACCTCTCAAATAGCCATCACTAGTACTTGCCGCTGAACCAGTTCTAAAGATGCTACCACCTATCTCAGGGATAGCTCTCCCGCTAGTCACTTCAGTTGCTGCTCCGCTGTCGTGATGAGCACTTTGCGTTATCGCTAAACTTGAGTTACGACTCATAGTGCCACCTCCTGCGTTCTTAGAGTTAGTTCTCGTCATCATACTTGAAGAATTTGTGCGTCCCAAAAAGCCACCTCCATTAGTTAATTGCAGTCGCGCTGACCCTGGTAGTTGTGCCATTGGCGCGTTACTGCCGATCATCGGAGCCGCTACTTTTCCGGGTCCTACAAACTCATTTTTCGCGTTGAAGTAAGAATCTGGCCAACTATGAATCGTTTTGACTAGCTCCGCCTCCGTTTTTTCACCGTCAAACAATTCTCGTAGTCGCTGTCTGCCTAGCCTCTGGGGATACGTGAAGTACTTCCTCACTCGCAGAGTTAACGAACGATACTTGGCGACGTAATCAGTGGTGTAAGCAATTTTTTTCACGCCTGATTTTTCGTGGACGAAGTTGAAAATGTTTTGCTCTAAACTGGCTGCACTGATGTCAATGCGGCGGTCGTTGATCTCGCTTATTGGAATGCTGCGATGCTCACGGAGCCACTTTTGAACCTGTTTGTCATGGGAACGAACATATCACCATAGTTCAGGAAGTCGCGACTTTGCCTAAGTAATCTAAAAATAAATAACGCATGCAAGAATTCAACTTAAATTATAACTGAATCGTACTCGGTCTTATCAATAAGTACCAAACTCTTGCTCATCTTCTGTATTTTGGCTGGTGCGTTTGCTCCCTTCCAGAATTCGTTGTTGATCTCTTTGCCTATCAAAGTCGCTTTCAACAAGTGCTCTTCCACGTTCCAGCTATTCAGCAACTTCAAATGCTCAATGACCAACGATTCTTTCGCGCTCTTCGTCTCCCGCATTTGCACCATTGAATTTTTCACTTCCCTTAACTCCTCCACCGTAGGTGTGTAGGCGTCGTCATTCGTCAGGACTTTTTTGATCTGGCAAGCTAGGTGATCCCGAACTCGTTCCCTGCCAGTTTCGGTCACACTAGCTATGAACGAATCGTCCCAGTCGTTATCATCCGCCTCTGTGCCGGTCGTCTGTTCTCGCATAAACTTCGACAGAAATTTAGCTTGAGAAGCTGCGGAACCCTCGCCAGACAAGGCGACGCGATTCTGCAGGTCGCGAGCGACGTCCTCTTCGTTGCCCATTTTATGTAGTTCGTACAATCTATTAAAAGAACAATCAATGAACAAAGTAATGAAGAAGTCTCCTCGCGCAATGAAGAAAATTCCAACTGCGTAAACTGGTCGTGGTCCTGGTCGCACCTAGGAGAACATTACATCTAAGCACTAGAAATAAAATTACAATACCCTTTTGTTTCTAAAAACCCCACTGAAGATGGGTAATTGGTTGATAGAGTAGTGGGTAATTGTAGTATAGAGAAATTCAAGATGGGTAATTGGGTAAGAGTAACTCATTTTTCGAAAAGCGCCAAAATCCGGAACGAGGTGTTGGGGAAGGGGAAGCCAGGGGCTCCTCGGGAGTACTACTAGGTCGTAGAAGAAAGAAAGAGCTGGTGCGTGGGCAGGGGATTAAAGAGTCGTGAAGACAGAACGAGCACCATCAGAGTCATGGATTTCGATCGCTTTGTCATTGGTTTTCGTTGATGTTACTGTTCGTCTTACACATTATGGTTCGTCACTGAGATTTTCATTCATCTTTCACGTACTACAGGTTGTTACAAGCTGCCTTACTTGATTGTCCAAAATAAAAAAAAACGCCTCGTAGTGACTCGTCGTCAAACATCGCGACTTAGCAGCGGTTCTGTGTTCTTCCCGCTGCTGATACAACTGGAGAGAGGTCCTCGAATAGACCTCGTCTCCTTGTGTGGTTTGTGCAAAAAGAATAAGGAATCATACTCATAATTATTGGTAACTACTTCAATTCTATTTGTCACCGACTTTTGTTCAATCACGCAACTCGTACTACAAGCTCTACTGCATACTTGCATGTCAACGCAGTTCACCATGCACCATCCGTCTTCTACTCTTGGAGTCCAGAGACATCTTGATGTATGCAAGTTGTTCACCTCATCGTCCACCTTTCACTTCAAGGTGCTAAAAAAGGAAGCTCATCAAAAATGCTATTCGTGCCATCAAGCGCGACACCTCCAGTCGTGATTTCGAAGAATCCGCATCCCACAGGTCCCGAGCATCGTTCACGATACCACATACGAGTTCTGATTCGAGGCTTTTTGTGCTGGACTTGTAGGGTCTGGTTCTTCTGCTTCTTGTGGCGAAGATTGGAATTAATAGTTGAAGGTAGCAACTGGTTCGCAGCATGATCATTTGCAGTCCAGGATGAAGCAGCTACTGTTCTTCTTCGTTTGCTCCTTAGGTCCACCACCTCGTCGTTGCCTCCAATCACCACTACTTCTACGTCTTCATCCTGATCCTGTTCATCCTCCACCTGAACTGACTCTGCATCTTCTTCACTTTCATCATGCTCGTCTTCATCTTCCAAAGCAGCATCGTCTCGCCAATCTCCACCTTCCAAAGCGAATCCTCCTCTCCCGCCACCAGACACCACTACACCTGTGTCCCTTTTCCACAAGGAAACGTGCTGCTTGTGACAGTAGCTCCAGGACAAGCCAAGGGCAGGTTTCAGGTTGCGGCCGTTCTTTGCGGTGGAAGAAAAATTCGTGACGACTCCGTTTAGAATTATGACTCGACCATTTATTCTGCTGCAACATTCTAGTCGCTTCAGCGCTGCCGCCAACCTAAAAAGCTGCGACGATCGTTCATATGCACGGTCTGCGAATTCTAAACCGTTGATCGCATCGAGGACAACTATGAACGGTTGTCGCACATCCACTTCCTCGTCTTTTTCTTCTTCACTCCCACGACTAATGAGTTGTTCTGTCAACATCTTCACATGCTCCGTCAATTCACCCGAAGTTGTTACGTGTCGGAGAAAGAGGCGGGAGAAGGCATGTTTGACTTTCTTGTCGATCTCTACTTTGCTGGTGTCGCTATCGTCGTACAAGACCAGTGCATCTTCCTCGTCTTCTGATCGTGATGTGCTGGCATCTTTCTTTCGCGGCCCATTAGATGTTGAAGTGCCCCTACATCCAAGTCTCGCTCTGCACAATTCCAAAGCCCGTTCGGTTGGAAAGCCTGCTAGCTTACCCTTCGTGTAGAACCAGTAAACACAGCTACGATCGCTCTGCACCAGGAGGGAGACTGCTGCATCTAAAGCTAATTGAGTCTTGCCGGTTCCCGCAGCACCGGAGATTTGCGTCAAACCGTTGAACATTTTTTGCGGTCATTTGACTACTCCGAGCAGAATATGTTGATCATGATCATGACGTAAGGGTAGCGGTAGGCGGACTCTTTTTACAATTTTATTCACGTAAAAAAATGATTAGAATTCAGAGGTCCTCTGGATCCAGAACGATCACGTTTGTCTTCCAATTTGAACAACGACCAAGACGAGCTAGCAAGAGCTTCAAGGCCCGAACAGATTTTCGAGAATACGGATCGAGATTGATAAGAACGAACGGTGCCATTGATCTTCTGCACAAAGCAAAAGTAATGGGTATGGATACGGACACAAAGATCTCCTGAACTCGAAGCGATCATGTCTTGTTCGCGTCATGTTGAGCACGATTAAACACGCAATATCGAAAATCAGACGAAATTCTTGATCCGATAGATACGATCACAAGGAAGTACTGCTTTCAAGTAGTTTATAGTACGACAGTGGCATGCAGGACTCTCATCGGCTAGCATTTGCCAGCGAGAAAGATGCTTCTTTGTTTCTTTTGCTTGATTTTTTCAGCTTGCTGTTGTTTTGATGTTGAAGATGAATACAGTGAAGAACTTATTCTAACCGACGATACGAGTTGTACTTACTACTAACACCCACGACAGTATCATCTGAAGTTGTGCTGACGAAGACGACCTTACCTTGGTTTTTCTGTCAGGAATCCTGTTGAATCTTGTCTCGAAAAACTTGTTCAATTTTTTCTTCTATCAACAAGGCTGCCTTTAATCCACACTGAACGGTTTGGGGGCGCTTTGCCCCTGTAGCCGCAAATTAAGGGAGGAAATTAATTTTGATGAAATATGTTGAGCAATTTCTTGTAAGTAGACACGACTGGTATTGACACAGAGGACACCTATTGATGACGGGATAACTTAATTTTCAGAATGTCTTTCGGCGGTAAACCTCCACTTCTTCATCTATAGTTCCTGTTGTTCTTGTTGAAAAAGTAAATGTTGATTTTTCTGGTACTATTTCTGCTATGTTGTAACATGTAGGAGTGGAAAGTACGTGAACGCACTTCCCCTGGTTACCCTAACCACCTCACCTTCCATCCGTTTCCTAATGATCCTGTTCCTACAACAACCAACTTCATACTACTCTATCACTAACAGCGACATAGAATCACCTTACAACTCACCCGTCTTCGCCCCCGTGCTGACGAAGTGGCGGTCATCGCCGGACAAAGCTCGCACATTGTACGTCTTGCGGATGTGTGCCAGGTGATGGTAGTTCGAGTCTTCGCGGTGGACATGCTGCTCCGTAGCTGGCGAAATCAGCTTGTTGGTCATCACGAAGTCGCAAAATTTTTTCGAATCCGCCTTCTCGGCTGAGTCGATGTTCTGTTGATTTGTAATTGTAGTAGGGGAAAATGTTAAAAAGCAGGTTGAATCATGGCTATCGGATTAGATATTGGGAATGGCAGAAGAATGAAAAAAAAGTGGTACTGAAGCTGAACTCAGTAGAACTATAATCAAGAAAAAATGTACCTTGTCATGTTCATGCGCTTTCATGCAGTGTTTCAGGCAAGGATCGTGGCCCTTGTGATCGTTTCCGATGTGACCCTTGGCTCCCATTGTCAACAGCTCTTGCATCATCGGGATACCCTTGGCGCCGAGCCTTTTTGATAGTGTTGTGAGTGATGTGATTTGATGTCGAAAAAATACTCGAGGGTTTCCGTCGGAAAACTAAGAACTTTTGCGTTTTTCATGAAGATCCAGGTCATCTTGCTCTTGCAGCCTGCAACTATGAAGACATCCATAATATCTACATCTTCTTGTACCTGTACGTCATTAACCTAACACTATACCTTGCAGCCACAGCGGACATTGGGGTCGGAGTTCCGCCATCTTCAGTGCGATAATCCAGGTCACCACCTCCCGTCTGCCATGCTTTCATAGCTGCTGCGCAATCGGGTTGGGCCTGTGACGAAAGTGCTTGATTAAGTTGTTCTTCTGGACTGAATTCTGATGATCGAGACGCTTAGCAAATGAAGTTGATTTGGTGATCTAAATCTGAGGATCCACGACAAGCAAGTTCATTAAATTTCATAATCCTCCTGATAAAAAGACCAAATCTTCTATGTATTAGTAATATTAAGACGAGTAGTCGGAAATAGTTTTAGGACAAATCAGGATAGGCATTAAACGATGTAAAATTCAACGAGGACAGGTAAAAAAAAAATCTTACCGCACTCTCCCCCCTCTCAATGCGGCTGATCCACGTATCTGCGATCCAGTTACCGCAGGTCCAGGTACGAAAGTTGATGATTCCGAAACCTCTGTGTGGATGGAAACCCTCTGTGGTGAGCATATGCGTGACACCTGCAGCGTTGCAGTTCTGGCACTGATCCTTGAATTGCAACCCGTCACGACGAATCGGCATATCATCCCATTCAAAACGGATCACTTTCTTACCTAATGGATTATATAGGGAAGTTGAAGTAGGCGCTGCATATCCATATGGGTACTTTTTACTGTGATATTATAGCTGCATAGGGAACTTCTAGGTGCTGTATGGGTACGGTGATATAACACAAACACTTGGATTTTTGTGCAAGTGCCGGCAGTCGACAAAGATTTCTCGGCAGTCGACAAAGATTTCTTCATGTTCATGAAAAATCGCAAAGGACCAACTACAAGTCGTGCTTTCGCATACTTCTCAAGCTATTTCCTTTATTACGATTTGCCGGTGTGAAGATGTATTTCTCTGGAGTATCCTTTGAGACTGCAGCTTGTGCCGTTTGCGTTGGAGGCACAAAAGCCTCTTGCGCTTGTCTTGGCGGCGGAGGCGCAGGTGCTGGCGTTGTGGTCGGAACAGTGGTCGTGGTTGTCGTTGTTGTGGTCGTAGTTGTGGTGGTCGGGTATGAAGCTAGGAAGAGAACAACAAGGCGTGGGGTGGAAATGATGAGGAAAATCGGAATTCATACTTACAAACTCAATTGCAGATGGCGGTGCGGATCGAAGTAAAAAAGGCTGCCTTCATCTTAGTTTGAGAAGACGCTACGTCTCACGCAATCATACTCAAGGGCCCAGTTCATAAAGTCGTCGTTGTTGTCGTCGTGGTTTCCGGCTCTGGTGGTGGTGGTGGCGGCGGTGGTGGCGGAGCCTCCTCGCCTCCCTCAGGTGGCGGGGGCGGCGGAGGCGCGTCCTGACCAAAGGCAGACCAAAACGGACTGAACAAGATAGCAGACTTCAACACACGACGTGACATCTTTCTTGCTGGTTTGGTTTGTTCGAGTTGCTTTGAAGAAAGAACTGAAATTGATGTCAAACTCTTCACTTTGCTTCTTGTCTATTAAGCAGGTTGGGATTGGAAAATTCAGATGCTCTGAAAGAGAGCAATGAAGGACAAAGGAAGGAAAAAGCCAGTATATATTGCTGGTGCAGGGCTAAGACTTTAGAGGTAAAAACTAACCGGTTGTATATAAAAAAAAATGGATGCAACTGAAGTTTCGTTACTTCGAGCACGCTTGTGGCGAAGCGTGGATCAGTCGTGAAAGAAGCTAGCTGACAACAGTTACAGGTAGGTCAATAGTCTGCTCTGCTCCCCCTCCCCCCAGAACCTGCGAGTAATTATGGAGGAACCAAACAAACTCAAACTAGCACTAGGTATTTCTATCATGTGAGTCTAAGTAGAAGTACAAGTAGACTTCTTCGTAAAATGGCCACAGCTACTTCTCGTTACTCTCCATACCCATGGGGCTCTCAAAAGAAATCCTGTGTTGTCTCGTGTGCTTGTAACTCAACAACGGCTCGAGAAGGGTTTCCTCTCTCCTTATGACTCTCGTAAACATGTGCAGAAATATATGGCACAAGCGAGGTAAACATGCTTTCATGGTCTTGAACACACTTGTCTTTCGTCTTCAGCATCAAGCACGCGCTCTTGTCAAATGGAAAGTATCATCCAAATATCTGCTGGAATTATGCTTAGTGAAAATGTTGAGAAAATGCTGAATGGAATGGTCGAGATGAAAAAATCGAGTGAAACTAGTCTTCAGAGACGCACGACAGGCGTCTACTTGGTTCTTTTCATTTTCGTTTTCCATATAATAAAAATACACATGACGCTTTGAGTTTGGTGTGTTTTGATGTTGAGGTTCGTCAGATTCAGATAGGTTAATAGAGAATAGACCACGAAGAAACTTGGAGATTCATCATACTAGCTGACCCAGTGACATCAACATCTCCTCACTATAGTGTTCCCTAATTCAACATCGGGATGAAGCCAAGGAATCAGCGCATGAGAGTCCTAGAGGTCAGGCGAACTCACCCTCCCGCGTCCATACTAGGCATGGTCCCGGCAGCAGGATTCATGATACCCGCACTCTGCGCAAAGGACAGCTGTCCCGCGTTTGCCACTCCTGCGTTCGCCGCTCTTCTGGGAATAGTCCGTAAGTTCAAATCCTTCTCCCACATGGGGAGAATTCTTTGTGTATGGACGTCGATCTCAGCGATGAGGGTCGTCTGGCGAGCTCGCTGCGGAAGGATACTGCCATTACTGCGCTCCTTGAATCCGAGGTTGCCCCAATAACGCGGGGCGCCATCGTTGTCGGCGGGGAAAAGAACGACAATTTTATAACCTTTTTGTGAAGATTGAAGATGGTGTGGAAGGAAAATTTTAGCATCGGGAATAAGTAGAGATAGAGACGAGGATGTGCTCGTGTAATAATCTTTTACCTCTAGTTGAAGATCGTGATCGGCGTGTGATCATGATAGATCTAGATTATCACTTACACTTATCTCAGCACAAGCACAAATCAAATCCGCATAAGAAGAAAGTAGAAGTACCTTCCTGTTTCCACCTCGGTTCCAAGATCTTGTAAAAAATCGTTCCATGTCCCTTTCCTTCGGTCTTCGCTGACATATTCATGATCTGAACCCAGCGGAAGCTATGAGGATACGTCTCCCACTTATTGGACCTCTGCGTCACAGTCATCACTTCATCTTCAGCTTGTGTCGCTGGTGGGCACTCGTTTATCCTCACTGTGACAGCCGCACAGAGTTCCCCTGTCTTCTTGTCGTACATGCCCCAAGTCTTGCAAGAAAAAGCTTTGTCTTGGAAAATGCGCATCTTGATCTGAAGTGGAATAGAGTTTTCGACATCTACGTAGATGTGGCGGAAAGACGAAGATCATGAAGCGAAAGTTATCTATTTAGGACGATTAGAGAGTCGAGAGACTCTTCAGATTGATGAGAAAAATGTGTCTTCAAAAAAATAAATTGATTCATGAATTTGAAGTACATATTCTCGTTCCGTCGCTTCCGAGAAGGTGGGCTTGGCCTGATGCAACTCCATGCACTGTGTCTTAACTTCGGGTGTTACTGCTTCGACAATGTAGAACGTCTGTTGTTTTGTGTAGGAAGTCTGTCGTACTTTTGAAAGATAAATGATTTATGGGAAGAAGTAGTTCTATGTATAAATTTAAATGCGAAGTAGTTTTGTATTTGTTATTTATCACTCTGCATTTTCAACTCAACCTCTGCAGAGGCTGGCGAACTGCGCTATCATTTCTATCGTGAATCTTCTTACATCCACGCCTCTATCCGCGTTGCTCCCCACTCCGCTCGACGGCGCCGAAGAAGGCGGACGGGCCAAGTAGCCTCCTCCGGCTTTCCTTACGTACCCACCTCCTCGTGGTCTACCCCTTCCTGTAGTGCTGCTTTTCGCTGCCCCTGACCGGGAACTAACCACACTCGATGCCGCATCGTCAACATCTAGCTGTTGGCTGGAGGCGGTTGTCTGGATCTTTTGCCCTTTGTCGTCCTTGTCTACGAAATGCAAGTCTTCAGGCCTTAAATGTTTAGGCGCGATCCTAGGGACAGACACCACGAAATGCTTCGAAAAACGGCTCTTCAGCAGCTCCGGTGAAACCCCATAAGCCGTTTTGTCGAATAGTTTTTTCTGTATGCGAGCACTGTTGGGTGCGGAGGATGAAGAAGCTCCACCAGCGGCCGCGCCACCAAGTATTCCTGGATTCAAAGCAAGACCACCCAACATGCCTCCACCCATCGGTTGTTGTACACCTCCACCCATCGGCATTCCTTGCATGAACTGCGCTTTCTGTGCAGACGCCAATGACATCGGATACTGAGCACTGTAGCCGAGTTGTGCAGCTTGTGCTGCTTGCTGTTGTTGTTGGAGCTGCAGCATGTGCTGCTGTTGGGCTTGAAGGGAAAGGGTAGTACTTGTATTGTTACCAGGAAGTTGTCCTAGTCCAGCACCAGGAAGTCCAGTACCAGGAGGCCACGTTGAACTTGAAGAAGATGAAGATGACGCTCCTGCAGCACCGACAGATGTAGTGGTCGCACCTTGAAGATGTCCTTGTTGTAGCAGTTGTCCAGTCATCTGCATGTTGTAGAGATATTGCCTATTTTTCGCTTGATGCTGGTTAACCGCCTCAATCTGTTGCGGACTTTTACCAGCAAAAAGCTGAGCAAGCTCTAGCAAAGCCGGATTATGCTCTTGCTTTGGGACGAGTGATGAAGATGAACTTGCAGCTGTTGTTCCCGGAACACCATTTGCTACTGTGCCATTTGAGTTTGACAAAATCCCATCTAATGATGTCGCAGTCGTTCCAGCTACAACATCATTCATCACAGCATCTACTCCGTCTCCTTTTCCATTTCCCCCATCTTCTATCTTCTGTCTGGTAGTTAGTGTTGTTGTACTAGACATCTGTGCCTTTGTCCTCGCCCACACCTGTCTATCATAGTTAATGTACTTGTCAACATCCGCACCTCTTAACAGCAGTTGTTGCAAGAAGTAGTCCCGGTTTGGGTGATTGCTTGCAGATTGCCAGTCTTTCCCAGCAGGTTGCCAACTAGGTCGTCCAGCTATCCACTCCAGAGCACCCACGTGAGGATGCAAGGTATCCGGGACCCGGATGGGCCCCAGGGGCACCGTATCTGCAACGAGAAGTTTACTTGGAAGAGAAGGAGTTGCTGTTCCAGATGTGGTTGCTGCTGATGTGGTTGCTGCTGTTCCAGTTCCTGAAGGTGCTGTCGCTGTTCTTGCAGAAGGAGGTTGTACTAAAGGCATAGTGGTGGATGTAGATGCACTAGTGGATGAAGGAATAGTGGAAGATGAGGAAGAACTCGTCGTCCCACCAGTAGTAGTAGTTGCACTACGTGCTACAGCACCGGGTTGCTGCAATATCCAGTTTGCACTGCGTAACTGGACAACGCCTGCTGCTCCGATGGCGATTGGTTGCGTCTGTGAAGGCGGTGGTGGAACTGGTGGTAATCCAAGGTTATACATTCCACCTGCTGCTTTCGCCGCTGCGGCTGCATTTCTGTTACTGTAGGCATTCGAAACAACCATCCTAAGCGCAAGTCTTGCAAGACTTCCTGGTTCGCCGCCCATAAAAACCGAGTTTTTTCCCTTGTTCTCCAAAGACTCAGCGGCTTGCATGTTGACAGCACCCCCGATAGATGATCCACCAGAAGTTGTTGGCGTATTTGTAGACGAAGAAGAATTTCCACCAACACCTAGTGCTTGAAGTCCGGCTTTCCGGTTGTCTATGGCGACCAACTCGAAGTCGAAACTCGTGTCGGATCTTTTCAAGTCGATTGGAACGATTTGGCGGATCGTCACGCGAGCAAAATCAGCCTTCACCAAATGTGCAGCTGCACTCAGACAAAGGAATTGACCCTTTTTCAGGGTTTTCTTCTTAGTTTTACCTTGCTTGCGAACTCCACCACTCGCATTTTTCCCAGATGCTGTGCTGCTACTTGTCCCATTTGGGAAAGCAGGTATCTCCTTCTTTATCACCCCGCTCCTCTTCTGCGTAGTATGCAACCATGGATGAATTACGGGTGCCCGCCTTCCACTCTGCATGACCACCAAGTTCAGATCCGTTGGGTCGCGGTAAGCTACCACGTCATCTTCGAGGATTGCTCCTCCTCCTGTGCCAGTGCCGGTCGCAGTAGACGAGGAAGAGGCACCACCACCATCTCCTGGTAGAAGTACCGAGCCAGGCGTTCCCGGCTGCAGTATGTTGAACGCCTGCGGCCCGCCAACAACATTACTCGTGTGAAAGAGAGACAAACCTCCTGAAGGAGCAGGAGCAGCTCCACCATCGGGGGGAAATAAGGCACTCATTTTAGGTTGGAGGTTATGCGGGGTCGTCAAAAGAACGAAGGTGTTCTTCAGGGGAGAAAATTATGAACAAAAGTCAACATATTGACGGGAAGTAGTCCGTAGGGACGGACACGTAAGAAACCCCCGCTTTTAATACCCCTCCAACATACTTCAAGATCTCGAGGAAGCAGAAGCTGGTGCTCCCTTATAAGAGTTGGGTGATCGTCGGGTTTCTCCCGAGCGGAAAGTTGATGACCTGGGTACTTAGTACTTACTTTCGAGAATAATGAGAGATCCATACGTACAACTTACCAAGAAACTCGCGATCGCGCCGCCGGCACCAAGAAAGCTAGCTCTACTTTTCTCATCCTCCACATTCGATTCGTACCATCTAAAGAAAAACTTCAAAAAGGCGTAGTGAGTTGGGAACCAGAATAGCAGCTTTATCACAGCGAGATCGTTTCTTTTTCCTTCAATTTCAGATGATTGTAGTATGTCACGAGAGCAAGAGGAAGAGCATGGGCGACATTGACATAGCACTCGTCCTCGTAGTACTAGCATTGGAGAAGATCATGGACTATCACAGACACAGTAGGAACCATTCCCACCACTTGATGCTCCTTCCTCATTTACAATAGTTGATCGAAAGCAGATTGATATTGACGTCTTGTTAGAGCTAAATGGAACCAGCAGGGGAGCACGAGGACCTCTTTCCCTCTCTACTTTCTCTTTCACTCCGTCGGGATCAACTTGCATCTGACTTCTCTACGTAAAAACCCCATTTCTCAGCCATTAGAGTTCGTTGTCAAGTCTCACACGAAAAAGCATCAAGGAATGGCAAGAGCAAGAGCGATTTCAGAGTAATAAGGAAGTGTAAAGCGGGAGTGCGAAGGTAGACGGTGAAGGTTCATTCTGATTTTCTGGCAGTATGGCCGGCAGAGGAGGGAACGTGCGCTCTGATGCGCTTGATCGTGATTCGGCGAAAACTTCGCGAAGAGACCGCAAAATCCGAAACCATGGACCAGATCGTGATTTTGCTCTTCAATCTCGTTTGACATGGATTCACAATTCATCATCTAGTCTGTACATGCAGATCATGTTCATGTACTGCCAACATTATGATTTCCTGAAAGTGCTTCTGGGCGTCTCAGGACATCTCAGGCCACAACTTGCAATCATAGAATGTATTCGTTCTCTTCGAGTAACGCGTAAGATTATTGCATGCATGGAGCACGTCACAAAGGCGTAAAAACCGATCCACACTAGCACATCGATGATCCGTCCAGTGTTCTTTGTACAAAAAAGTATTCATCATGCAGAAGTTGTAATCGAGTAAAAGAGAAGGAAGTCACACACGAGTAGTCCAATTCTATTCAGGAGTAACAATTCTAGATATAGTTAGCGTTATTTTTCTGAGTAATCATCGAGTAAGCGCTCAAAATTTGAGTCCGGATTATGTGCAAATTCGATATCATTGCCATTGAGAATGTCTCGTTTGCTGAGAGCAAATTTAATTTCATCATTTCTTCTATCGTGATTCTTTCTAAGGTCGATCCCGTCGTGCTCCTCATGTCCTCCCCTTTCAAGGAACAAACCCATTAAACTTCTCCACACCCACGCGAAGCATTTCTGTTCTTGTGAGTGTGAAGAGTAGGATCATATCGTCCAATCTTTCGCTGTGCATGCCTGGTGCGTTCTTGGGTACTAGGGTTGCTGCCGCCACTGGGGTTAAATGGATGCTAGGCCATATCCAGTAGGCGTTGTGCAAAAGTATGAAGCCCATAACCTCAATCAACCGAACACAATAAGCATTGCTGCCGAGAGAATTCTTGAAAGTTGGGTCGAGGGCGTGCCTGGAGGAGGAGGTGAGGAAAGAGATGCGTTGTGTCTGGAAGACGAGGAAGCACCCTAGAAGAGTGTCCTCGATGTAGTTATGCAACAGAATCCGCATGAGCGCTGTTGATCAGTAAATCATGTTGTCGTTGATAACAAGAAAAGATGAAGTATATTCGAGTACTACTACTACCAATAAGTCGCACTTCCCTCTGACTTTTCTGACTTCATGTGCTTCAAGGACTTGAGTATGTAATTCACTGCTCGCGCGTAGTCTTCGTTGGGCACATTGCGGTAAACTGCTCTCAGACCTTTCCGGACTCCTAGAACATCCGTCCGAAAACGCCGGTCCAATATCGCTGGCCTTTCCGCTTTCCTCCTATCAGATTTCTGCCGCCTACTAAGCACTGCCGCACGGCCGCGACGCTTGGAAAGGGATTAGAGGACGAAACAATAGGAATAAGACGTTGTTTTCTAAAAAGAACGGAACGACTATCCTATTAATATGCCGATTGCAGAAGCTAGTAGTTATTCGATGAAGCAGCTCAACTTCTTGTGTTCACGACTTTTTACTCAAGTCACCGCCTCGGTGCTTCTGCTGAGTTTATTTCAAGTCGCCCATCATCCTCGGAGTTGAGCCTGGAAGCCAGGGGGCTCAATGTGCAGGATCCGCAACCTAAGCTAACCTGCCAAATTCTAAGAATAATGGAGGACGAACCATAACTACTTCCTCCACCTTTATGACTTGCCGCTGACGTTCCCGCCCCTGTCCCACTTGGTGCAGCTGATGCGGCAATTGATGCAGTAGCCGGATCGTAGGAGGACGATGAGCTTCCGAGAAATCCAAGTCCACGCCCTCCCGACGTGTCAGGTTGTGTCCAGGTGCCCGTGGGTTAGAGATCATAGCGATCGAATCGCGGACAAGTCTAAGATGCCATCTTAAAGAGGAAGGAAGGGAACATGTTAAGTACTGTTCCACTTCCATCATTCATCATGTTATTACTGTTCCACTTCCATCATTTGTTGCTGTAAAAAAAACTGTTCCACTTCCATCATTTGATGTTGCTGTAAAATGTACATGACCAACATGTATGATGATGGATTCTGCGTAGTGGTCCGATCCAACCTGGCCTTAAATTGAGGCCCTCCTCTTCTCCAATGATCCTTCTGTCATGTATTTTGCTGGCACGACTGCACTCAGATCTTGAGTCATTAATCCATGCAAGTCAAATTCCATGTCCTTGTCCTTGCCACCTCCTGCACCACCAGGCGCACCTCCTCCACCTCCCGTCAACCCTTTCATCCCTCCACCTCTTTCATCCTCCGCCTCAGCCCCACCTGGTGACATTGCTGTCAGCGGTCCACCATCCGCTGAGGGCGTCATATGCACTTGTGACAATGCGTTCATAGCATCTCGTCTCCCTGCTTTGGAGTGAAGATCGCCGCCAGTTTGCGTTTTGGCACTTTTTGCTTCTTTTTCCTCCTCTTCAGCGACGACTACTGCCAAGTGCTCTAATGCATCAAAGGAAATGTCGGAGCCGTCGCTAGACTCGCTCAGATTTTCGGACTTGAGCTCAAAATCATCCGCATCATCTGAGGAATCGCCTGCTCCTCTGCCTAGCTGCTTGGTCAGGTAGGCGGGACCGTCGAGGAAGACCTGATAGAAGATCATTGTGAATGCATTGCGATTTGGATTTGGAGATTTCAGAAATTGTTTCTGGCCACCTATAGGGGCGCAGTACGTTTCGCAATCAACAAAAAAGCTGGAGACAGCATGAAGGACTCACCACAGCAAGCGATGGTGTAGTGGAAAGCATGATGCAACATCGAGAGAAACATCGAGAGAAAGATAGACGTGAATTGTTCATTTCATCTATCACCATTGAAGCGATTCTTTCAAACTCCATCTCAAAATACCTCACTCCATCAAAGCTCTATAATCTTAACAAGTACCTGCACTTCACTCAACTTCTTAACTTTGGCATCCCTCTCCCTGTCGGCCGTCTGACTACTTACGGCAGCACCGTGATCGTGTGTCGAATGCTCATGAGTCCCCTCACCCTCTTCATGCCGTATCGTCACAGCACTACGTGGTCCAGCTGCGGCATTAAAGTCTAAAGTCGGTTCTGCATCGCCGGCTGTTTTTGTCAAGTAGTGTGACGGTCGTGAACATATTTATAGATAGTTGACCTTGACGTAGTTTATGTTGTCGTGGTTGCCCCGATGAAAGAATCATGCGAAGACGAAGCAATTGTGAGTAGTACAGGAACAGCTTGTACACACCTCTTTCAACATGAAGAACTAAGACTACAGACCTCATCTTTCAAGAACTAAGACTAACAGCACGACTAAGTACACGACTACCTCTAATTCTGACAGTAAGTACAAGTATATTGTTGCTCGGGATAAACCTAATTTAGTCGAGGTGAAAACTAACCGGTTGTCTTACTTAGTGCTTTGAGCGCAGTAAGTACAAGTATAAAAAAAGTATTCAGAAATACAGCTCTTCGCGCTCAATCTCCTTTCCATTTCCGCTACGTCCATGTCGTAGTAGTCCAGCTTCATCAATTGCGTTATTCTCATCAACTGCGGGTCTTTCTGTTCTAGTTCATGCAAGTGATAAGCTGCTACAAAGACGGTAAGCGGAATGACGGATCCGTCACCGCCTGTCGACCCGCCGCCAGGCGTTGAGAAAGCGGCACTCAAGATCTCCTTAGAGCTCGCGGAGGTCTCCATCAAGAATGCAGTCAAAAATGAATCAATTAGTGGCGAAAGCCTTAATCTTCCACATCTGCGCTTGTACGTGATCCGGCAACGCTATTGGCATTTTCATCAAGAAATTCTGCCATTCAGGTTCCGTCCAGAACCCCTTGTCTCCCACGTCAAATTTGTCGAACTTAGAGGTTGCGCTTGCGGCTTTGCCTTGAAGATCCGTTGTTTATGAACATGGAACTGGATCACTTGGTTCCTGAGAACATCCGGTCGTCCCTGGGGGCTTCTTTTCTACCACTAGGAAATAAGAGCCAACAAGGATAGAAGCAGTGCGGAACAAACCTCCCTTAACAAAAAGAGTTGCGCAGCTCGAATACAACGGCTTTGTTGCATACACCAGTAAGTAGAAATACAAGTCCACTTCTGCAACGGCGATTGTTTCGTGATAACTGCTGACATCGCAACTGGCTAAGAACTCCAAACGTTCTCGCTCGTCTTCAGGTAAGCTCTTGGAATCCCGACCACCGACACCACCGGATAGCATATTATTCGCGTGTGCTATCACTTTTTCGATTCCGTCTTTCTTCTTCGCTATCAAAAGCGAGTTTTCGATCTGCCTCACCTCGGCTGTCTGTTTCCCCTCTAGTTTATGGAAATAGTACTCGTTTCCGGTCCTGATGATCGGTCCAGTAGAGGATGCTTGTCCACCACCTGGATTCGTTGAGGAAGCAGCTCCTCCTCCTCCAACCGCTGGATTTGCACCTTGTTCTATCACCGGCTGAGAAGAAGATGAAGTGGCTCCCGCTCCGCCCGCACCACTAGCTGCTAGTACAACACCGCCTCCGGCTGGTGCTGCACAACTGCCTTCAGCTGCGACGTTTGCTGGAACACCTCCTGTGTGAAGATTTCTTCCGAGTGACTCATCCTCCACACCACCTGTGGCACTACCAGCTAGTGCCGCAGCCGCTAATTCCTTCTCTTCTGCTTCTCTCGCTTCCCTAAGCAGCTGAAACGCCAACTCGATGCCTCCCATTTTGAACGACGTCAGCGATGGTACCTTTAAGGGGTTTCTCTCTGCTAAGACCTCGGTCAAGTGCTTCTCTGGTATGTCGAGAATGGAAAACGGCAAGCGTTCTAGTTTGTTCTGGACGAAGCGGAGTTTCTCCAACTTACGACAATTCCCTATGTTCTTCGGCAATTTCACGAGTTGATTGAAGGAGACGAAAAGCTTCCTCAATTCTTTGAGGTTACCCAAATCTTCGGGTAACTCTTTCAACTTGTTGTGCTCTAGTAGCAAAACCTGCATGCTGAATCTAGCGGGTCCAAGCAGCCAGGCGTCGGGGAACTTGACTAGCTTGTTCCGGCTTACATCGAGGTACTCGAGATGGGGGCGGAGGTTAGAGCTTTTTCGCCGTCGTAATCAATCCGACGGCCTTATGCTTATCATTATTATTATTAGGAGAAGGATGGACGGCTATCCACAGACCTACAGACGGCCCTGCGGGCGGAATCTGAAGCACTTATGCTTATCATGATGAGTGGCAAGTACGAGTACGTCCAAAACTTTAATCTTTTCCAGGCGAAAAACTCGTTTTTTCAAAGATCTCTACTTCAGTTGTACTATCACTTATGAAAAGAAAATCTGTTATCATTATCAAGTTTCTTAAGTAGAAAAGTATGATAATGATAACATATTTTGGTTTCATATCACTTGTAGTACCAAGTGCCATAAAATAGAACGCAAAATCCGAAGGTAAGAAAACCAATTGGTTATTGCTGAGATTCAGCATGCTCAATGCCTGAAAGCGTTCTATTCCGAAGGTTGTAGGTTCCACGTTCTTCAGCACTCCTACACTAAGCGTCAGCTCCTCCAGGTTTTCAACTAGTCCTAATCTGGGGTCGAGGGTTTTCAGGCGATGGCCTTAGGCTTTAGAAGGACGACCTAGAAGATAAACGTATGAAAGGAAAAAGTGCACTCACACTCATCGCATTGGCTAAGATTTAAGTGGGAAAGAAGCTACTTACTTTTTTGAGTGTGAGTGCACTTTTTCACCCTTTCATAGGTTTTCTAAGAACTTTATGTTTAATATTCATCCGAGTTCACTTACATCAACTGCCTTGTACACACTTTCTGTTTATTCCGAGTTCACTTCGTTCAACTGCCTTGTAGTACAACTTGCGAACTGCCTTAAGAACATATACGATTCGCAAGTCGTACATCTCAGGGAGCTTTCTCGGCATAGTTCGCACATTGCAGCTTACGAGCTCTATAGTGTGCACTTTATTCAAATCCGAGATTGCAGCCACCATGCCACTGCTAAAATCCCGCTTTTTCTCAGCGCTAATCTTCAAGAGCTCTTGGTAGACCTGGATGTACAGAGTCGTGTTGCGGAAATTCACGCAATGGTAAGAAAGGTAAATGCACGTCTCTTGCGATTGATCAAAGACCTTTTGTTTCATCTTCACGGGACGAAGGGTACATGAACAAGAACCACTACAGCATGCTCATGGTGCATTTGCATCGCATGACAAGGACGGCTGACTACACTCACTATTAAAATCATTATATCTCAGAGCAATTTCTAAGGTTTCACAGCTCGCACGGCATGGAGTGCATGGATCACATGGAGTGGCATGGAGCTAAAGGGGGAGCTTCTTGCGCCCCTTAAAGCTCTGCGCTCCATGCACTCCATGCTACTCCATGCGTGCTATAAACTACTCTGATATTAACTTTAACTACACTCACTATTAAAATTATTATATCTGCGTACCGTAGTCCCATCTCTCGTCACCTCCACCCGCACTGGTCTCATATGTGGTGCCAGCTGAATGGTCGCTGAGCCTCCCTTATCCTCTCCCTCTTCTTCGTCATCCTCGACAGGCGCATCCTCATCCTCCTCTGCATGCTCGTCCTTGAAACGACCAAAAAATTTGGCGCATAACATTTTCTTCTTCAGGACTACAGAGAGACCTTCTAGTAGGTGGTCGTTCTTACGCTTAGAGTTTAGATAATTTTGCTCTTACAGCAGTGTCAGGTAGCACAGGTGGTCACCCAGCCGCGTGATAAGCCCATATTCAGCACTTCATCAGGTCGGTTTCGTTCGTTCGTTCAGCCTAGTGTGCCTATGTTGGGCAGGAGCAGGAGACCAAAACTTCACTCAGCATATAACATCGCTTTCGACACGCCGTTCCGTGGTGGCGCAGCTCTGGATGTTGTGTCTTCCACTTTGTATCCTCCTCTACCAAGCGTTATTGGCAAGAAGACGAGGACGTCGCAGTCACATTTTTTTTCTTGTCTTTGATCTTCTATCGCAACTGTAGTTGAAGTTGCAAGATCGTAGTTTTTCTTGCTCTCGGTCCTTCTTTTCTTCAATACGGATGGTCTCTTGTTCTCATCTGAACAACAACGACCTCAAAGTCATTGCCAGCACCTGATGTTTTTGTACTCCATGAATGTTGGGGAGTGCCTCCTTAGAGGATTTTCTTTGCTTTTCTGGGAATAAATGCGAATAAAACCAACGATCATGATCTTCACGTTAGAAGCATGAGGACGTGAATGCGTCTTGTGATCTCAATGACAAAGCAGGAATCTGCGCGACGACTGTGGGTGTGTAGTTAGTGGTTATCAACTACGAGCTGAACAGCAGCAGCGATAAATCATAGTTGAGAAACGTCCATATAATATGTAAATCAACTACTAATGCGACTACACGGCCTAATGTTGCCGATGCTCACGGTTCATTGTAGAAAGACAAAGATTGATATGTTGCACCTCCTTGATGAGATGATGTATGACTATGAGTATGACTCGCTAAAAATCATAGAGGAATAGATGTTGACCAAATATTTCTGAGGAGCTTGCTATTGTGAAAAAACACAAGCAAACGGTCATTTTGAGAAAATAAAAGGTTCTTAATTGGTTTTGGTACTTAGAAATTAAAGTGAACAAAGGATTTGGGTGATGAGAGTAAGAATTGGCTAAAGCTTCGTAAGCGAGAATGAACGATAATACAGCTAGTAGTAGTACGTGCAGCTGTAGAATCAGAGTTGTAGACCTCCTCTAGTATCAGTGACGGAATGAGCCGAAAAATAACTTGAACTCCGTACCGTAGGTCAGTTTAGATCAAAAAAATCTTTTTTTTGAAGGTCAAAAGAACCAAAAAGCCATTGAGCCATCATCTTCATTGATTGTTGTTAAGTGCTAGTTAAGAACCTGTTGTACGAAATTGGAAAAATAACAACCACCAGCTAATGTCGTCTTCAAGAACTAAGCTGCCATGAAAGCGAGCAGACCGTTGATGATGCGCTTTCTTGTGGTCGGAACCAGGTGGCGGCTCATCGAGCAGCTTCCGAATTAAGTGCCGAAAAAAAATTCGTTTCAAAGGTGCTGAGATAGGGAGGTTTTGGATTTTTTAGTGACAATACCAATAGTTATCATTATCAACTCGAAAATTCAGAAAATGAGGCAATGCAGGAGTGCTGTAGTTGCATTTTGTATTTTTTACTATGCTAAGAGTAAGAGGACCCCTGTATGCGTACTTTGCACTTTCTATTTCTTTGCATTTCTTTACTTACTGGGGTACAGGGACCCACGGTCACTACTTGCACTTCCAGGATCTACGTTATCATCATGGGAAAGGGAATGGGAGTGAGGAGAATCGATTTCTTCATGGTCTTGGTCTCGGGTCGTTTCTCTAATTGTTTAACAAGCAACTGATATCTAAATCTAGGGCTACTAGGCCTAGGGCTGCTCTCAAAATCTATATTTATATAAGTAAAACACAGACTGAAAATCAAAATCATCTGGATATACACAGCCGTAAAAAATTGACACATGATGTGAATGATGTTCATGAAGCTCGATGGATTTAGGATAAAGAAATCTGATAAATAGGATTCATTATTTTAGATACTGAAATGAAAAAGAAAATAAATAACAACCTTTTATTAGTGATGAAGGTGTATGTAAAAGCCTTCACTTTTTGTATCATCGACCTGATGCGTATTGACCTTCAATGGTAACTTAAAAGTCTACTTAGTTCTGTGTGAACCGGACGTGTCCATTTAACAAAGGCCTCCTCCACCATAGCTACCTAATAAGTCTGTCATCGTGCTGACAATGACCAACAAATCAAGATCTGCACAAGATATGGTTATGGAGCAGGTACAGGTACAGGTAGCGATATGAACTTAAAACAAACTTCTCGGGTCGTCAGTAAAAATTGTTAATCACATCTACCTTTAGCCTTACTCATCATTTCATCTAGATGCTAAGCGCGTTTGCGTCTCTCTTCTCACTGCAAGGATTCCAGCGCTGTGTTTTCTCGCTACTTTTTCTAGATCCAATTTCGTTTTGAATACGGGTTTTCCAGCGCTTAGCTGTCGCCTTATGGGTGTATTAGTGGTGGAAGGAGCAGCCATAGGCATGGCTGCTGCTGCTGCATTCAAACTACCAGAACCTGATGAAGAACCAATGGTGGAGGTTGACGTAGTAGAAGCAGGCAAAGCAGATCCAACATCTACCTCCCGTCTGCTCTTTTCTTTGGCTTCTCGGTCTTTTCTCTCTGCCTCCTTTGCTGCAGCGTTCTCAGCTTCAATCCTGGATTTGTCGGCACGTTGCGTGAAGGCTTCGGGGATATTAGAGGGTGAAAAAGTGAAGGGGATGTAGATGATCATGATGATTTCGCAGAAGAAAAAAAATCTTCAATCTTCAATGTGAATTAGAGTTTTTAGTATATCCTTTTCATAATCTTCAATATAGTCTCCAAAGCTCCAGTTTCCTTAGCAGCAACAATAACGGCTGCCACAAACTTCTGCAAGTGCTCTTCTGTATGAGCAGCCGACATCTGGAACCTTATGCGGGCAGCGCCTTGCGGGACTACTGGATAGGAAAAAGCGATGGCCAAGATGCCACGTTCGAGGAGGTTCGAAGACACAGATTGAGCGACCTGTGTTGATGGGTTTAGATTTTTACTTTTTATTTACTCATAATATGGATAGCCATTAGAATCATTTCATCGCAATCATGATGCCGGATAAAATTCCAATGAAAATTCAAATTTATGTACCAACGCATCCCCAAAATATACTGGCACAATCGGGCAGTCGTCGTGGCCCAAAACGACCAATCCTGCATCCGTCAATCGTTCACGCACATAGTGCGTATTCTTCATCAGTTGTTTTCTCAGCGTGTCCTGCTGATCCAACATCTCCAGCACCTTGATACTCGCACCGGCAACCACTGGCGCAATCGTGTTCGTGAACAGATAGGTTCGTGCCTTGTTCCGCAAAATGGTCACTACCTCCTTTGAAGCGACGATGTAACCGCCAGTGGCACCACCAAGAGCCTTGCCTAAAGTGGTAGAGAGAAAGTCGACCTTGGTATTGGAGAGTTCTGGGGTACCGCGTCCGGTGGTACCGAGGAAACCGGTTGCGTGACAATCATCGACGAAAAGGTAGGTGTCGGGGAATTTATCGACAATAGCGCGAATCTTGTCAAGGGGAGCGACATCGCCGTCCATGGAAAAAACGCCATCTGATGTTGCAAGTTGGGATATTGGATAGCACCAGGGGATTGATTTTGATTTTGAGTGTTCCAGTATAACACTTCATCTTCAACATGGCACCAGTAATTAAAACTAAAAGTGTACTAATAAATATGTGTAACTAGCTGTACCAGTAACCACCACTCGCATTCTCGCATCTTTTGTTTCTTCCAATTTCGCCTCCAAGTCCTTCAGATCTAAGTGCGCATAGCGTTTCTTCTTCGCCTTGCACAATCGAATCCCATCAATAATCGATGCGTGGTTCAGCGAGTCTGAGATGATTGCGTCCTCTTCCCCAAAAACCGCTTCGAAAAAGCCTGCATTAGCATCAAATCCCGAAGGAAACAAGATGCAGTCCTCCATTCCGTGATAGGCCGCTAGTTTCTTCTCCAACTCCTTATGCAGAGTCTGCGTCCCGCAGATGAAGCGGACTGACGACATGCCGTAACCATGCGTATCGAGAGTTTCTTTTGCTGCTTCGATGATCTCCTTGTTGTCGCAGAGACCGAGATAGTTGTTACTGCAGAAATTCAACACGTCCTTCTTCTTCTCGCCGTCCGCCAAGATCTGGATTCCACTGGCTTGCATCGAAGAAATCACCTTCTCCTGCTTGAAGGTGCCTGCAGTTTTCATCTCCTCGATGCTGTTGAGGCAGACCTCAGCCAACTTCCCTGTAGCCGGTAGCCCAGAAACGACACTACTAAAAGAGCGTGTATGTTGTCCTGTCTGTTTGAGGTGACCACGATGTTGGTGGAAGTGCGCGACGCCACGGCCACCGCCATAACGGCGACCGCCAATCATGAACGCGGAGGAGAACATCTTCTCCTCTGCTTCGTTGAGTAGCAATTCGAGAGTTCTCTTCGGGACAGGATGAGAAACAAGTTTGTAGTGGAAGAATCTAAAATGTGGAATTCAACACGATGTCGACGTGTAATCTTTGTTTCTTCCGAAAAAAAATGAAGCTATGCCTGCACACACAACTAACTCCAATATGAAAATATTATTTGAAAAAAAACCAAAAGCAAAAAGAAGTAAAACAAGAATGGAGACTCAGAAGATGCTCAGAAATCCTCGAGTGTTTTGCATATTTTTAACAAACAAGTTATTGCCCCTCAAGCACTTGACGGATCAAAGAAAATCGAAGATAATAATTGGCTATCTTTCTATCGAGGGATTTTTCCATGCGCAGCAGAGCGGGGATAACAGTCTACCTGTACGCCGAAGTATAGACGAAGACAGTTTGAGAAAAATGTTCAACAAGACGGGCTTGTATTTGCACCAATTCTTGGAGTGCCAGTCTATGAATCAATATGGCTACAACGTTTTGCATCGACAGATTGGTTGTATCCTCGACGTCTTCCTCTTCACTCACCAGATCGAATTTTTTTGTTTCGTGTTTGTTATTGTCTCTCGTTTTCAAATGGCGATTTGCAGGCCTGTCTGAGTACTTTTTGTATGGTTCTCTCATCTTTCATTGTCCGATATCCGACGTCATCTCTCATTAAACTCAAGACAGAAGATCAACACAGCAGAATAAACTCAACATTGTCATTGTTGACGAAGTAGGCCAACAAGAACTACCGCTATCACTGCCTGGATTTTTCATGCATTTCTAGAGCTCTAGTTTTTGTGCAACTATTTACGTCATATCAACTTTCGAAATCAGTCGGAACTGAACCTGACCCATTAGTTCATACTGAATAATGTATCAAGTGAGCAACAAAGAGATCGAGCTATTTAGATGAGCAAGATCATATTGAGTTGTTCCCAGGAGATCCAAGTGATAACGTTTTTCATATTATTCAAGAACAAGAAGCATTTAAGATGATAATTCCAATAGTCATACATTTTTGAGCCTAGTACTATCCGGTGTATACCTTGTGAGATAATCATAATGTCTATTCAAGAGTTCATGGTTCGCATGTACCTGATCTGATGCCGTAGATACTGCACGTTCAGTAGATGATGATCATTCAGTAATTAATACCTGTAATTGCTTGTTGTATTATTTCAATGTTCATTTGTCAATATCGATGAAATTAGAAGGAGAACCTCATTGTACGTGTTCAAGTTCCGCGCTATTCTATCATTTGTTCATTCTTATGCACGATAACATGAATATTAAGTAAATTGCTTGCTGACATTTTGCTAGTAGATGAAGGTTTGTTCACATAGTCGAATAGTCTTTTTGGTAATCATGCAGGTCATATCAGTTCATTTTTGTGTGATTTTCAGGTCTTGGAGTAACAACAGATTCAGATACAGACTATTACCTCAAGAAGAACTACACACAGTAACTTCTTGCATCGAGAGTACATAACACGTGTCCGTGTACCTCAGGTAGAGACAGTCACTCGTCAACACACCTTTCGGAAGTTCTAGAAGTTGATGTTATCTGCATTCGTCATCGTCGGCGACCCATTTCTGCCCAGTTGTAGGTAGTTGTCGTCGTACCATCATGGAATTTACGACTCCACCAACATGCAGATGCCGAGTACTCTTCTTGTCCTCCCAAAAGATGATCATCATGTTGATGACGCTCACTAGTTCTCCTCGTCTCTAACCCTTTCCTAGATGTAGAACTTGTTCTAGATGTAGTCCTTGGAGCTGGCACTCTTCGTCATGCCCGGGCGGGGGCCTGCCGCTAGGTACTCTCTCATGTTCATGGTCGGTTTCACCTTCATGAACCGGGACAAGCGCCACTCAGCTTTGGTAGCGCTTTCTCCAGATCGCTTAGCATGCAAAGCACCGGTCGCGTGACCGAGGGAAGCCCTAGTAGAGTAGATTGCGATTGATGTTTATTGGAGTATGTCACTTTCGAATGGGAAGGAACTGTATTGGAGTTGTCACTTTATTACGAAGGAGTATAAGAAGTACTTCGTCGGTCCAGATTGCTTCACTGACGCCTCGTTTTTCTTGAGCTGTTTGTAGTGCTCATAGCGTTCTCTCGATTCTTTTGCGCCAATCTTTGCGAATTCCATACCGATCACCTGAAGAGGGCGTTGTAGAAGACGTGGGAAAAGGGAACAATTTCTTTTGGAACAATTGGATGGATCAAGAAATATCTACAATAGCTGAAGATGCTTCACATGGTAGTTCCACCTGAATTTTTCATCACCATCATGGAGGTAAAAATTACCATATCCATTGGCGTTGGTGGCCTCTCGACCTTCCGTCTTCCGTGAGTGACGTTGGTATTTGCGGCACTGAGACTTTTACTCCTGTATGCTGCTGCTGATGCTGCGTTTGCGTAGTAGTTTATTTGGGGAGGAAATTCTATGTATTAGTCGTGATCATGATCTCTCAATTGCGTGTTGTAGTAGAAGTCAGAGGTTGCCACTTCCAGGACTAGTACTAGAACTAGAATCTACTCTGAAATTAATATTACTGAAGAGGAACTAGAATCTGCTTCAAATTTTTACTGAAGATGACTACAACTACAAGCACAGCTACGTTCTAGTATAGTGATACTACCTTTGCTAACCGCGATTTCCATCTTTGTCAAGTAGGTTTTATCCTTCTTCGCGTAGTTGTGGTAAACAGCTTCCTTGTCCGCTGTTGGCATGGCGACGACGTTCCTCCTATCTTTTTTCCATTTAATTATCTTCATTTCACGTCGTGCGAGATCGTCTCTTGCGAGGTCGAGGTCGGAAAGGGTGGCGGCTGAAAATATGAGTGTCGAGTTTAGACTCTAAAGTTTGGAAGGGTGGGTGGCGGCTGTGGTGTGATTGGGTCACTGTGGTGCTGATGTTGTTGTTGTTGTTGTTGTTGAAAGACAAATATCTAAAATGGAAAAGTATCTTCATATTGAGGTAACTTCGCGTTTGCTCTTGGTGGATGCAGCATCAAAATCAATTTTGACGACGGCAATCAGTAAAATTTCATGTCAGGAATACCATCATCCACATCTTCTCCTATCTCTTTTTTGAGTTTTCCAACGCTTGGATGCTTGATTGCTTTCTGCGACGCGACAAACTTGTTCCATTTTAGGTAGTTTACCCTGTTCTCCTTCTCTTGGGCGGAAGCTTGCTGTTGATTGTTTTGTGGTCGTGGTCTTGAGGTCCGGCACGTCATGTCATGTCGCCTCTGTTCCTGAACTGACTGTCAGGGGGAAGGCCTTTCAACTTTCTTGGACCTCACTAGGAATCTCTCCACTATTCTCGTCGTCCTTCTGCTCACTGACAATCTCATTGGCCTTAGAATTCATGAAACTATCTTAATTAAAAGAAAGAAACTGAATGCATCTGACAATGAAAAAGATCATAAACGTACATGCGCTTTCCACACATTGACTATCTCCTTGGCTCCTTCTTTGTCCGCTTCTGGTGCCAAACCGAAGGCGATGCCTGATGGGATGTCGTAGATAGAAGCCTTAGCCTTTCCTACGGCGTCTCTCATTAGCAGAGCATTTCTGCTCTTTTCGGCCACCTCATCAAGGTAAGTCTCCGAAAAGACTACCCCGGAACCCGGAGCCGCAGCCATGATTTGTTTTAGTTTCTGTGTGTTTACTGTAAGTGAAGTTCTACTTCTACTGTATTCTCAAGTAAGTTTGCTAACAGCTACACCTGATTGAGATTGGTATTGCTTGTTGAATTCCATTTTCTTATTCAAAAAAAAATTACTTACGAGGATTCAGGTTTATAGAGCAATTCATTTTTTTTTCTTTGTGTACCAAGTACTAGGGGGTGCAGCAGAGTGAGAGGTTTATGTGGGACGAATAGGCAACGGGATCGGGTGGAAGGAGTCTTTTTCTCTCAACTAGTTTCTCGAGATGAACAAGCCGAGGTAGATCGACATCGATTTGTTGACACCGAATCGCCATGCAGAAAGACAGATTTTGTCACCTTCTCTCATCAAGAACGATGCATCCACCACTGTAATGAAAGGCTGTTCTTTATTCACGATGACAACTACAGAAAACTGGTCTCGGGAACAAGTCGAAGCCCGCACTTTCGTCAGACTTTCGATGCAGATCACTTCTGATTCTGTGAAAGGTTTAGCTATGGCTTCATCTTCAGGATAATGAGTCGTGAAGGCACTACCAAAAATCTTCGGTCGCATGGGTCTCAATTTCGGCGAGAAGCGAGAAGGGCTGCCCGTAGAGCATCAGTCTCTTCACGCGCATATTTTTGTCTTTGGCGCATACTAGAAGCAGTTGTACCACCAGACAACCCTAGAGATGATGATCCAGCCTGATTTTCTAGCTCAGAATACGCCCCCTTCTCAGCATGTTTTGGTGGTTCTATCGCCACTTCATACCCGACTCTCTGACCCAAAAAGTGGTGCTGGTAATCCGGTCCCGAATGGGTAATTTTAGGCGTGAAATTTTGACTCTGTGATATGCTATTCGAAAGCGATGATTTCCGAGAGGTGTTCCTCACACCAGGAATAGGGCTTATCGCGTGTACTATTTGGACAAACTCTTTTCGACTGCTCGTACTTGCAACTCTCGACGAATTGTCGTTGGCAGTGCTAGATGTGAGCGTTTCTTGTGCGCTCATGTTGTCGTTGTTGCCTTGTGAAAAGAGTCCTCCTGCTGATGATCTGACTTCATGTTGTGCTCCGGGAAGAGTTAAGGACGATGACGATGAAGTCTGAGGCGAAGGCTGCAGTAGCTGAGGTTCGAGAAGGCCTCTACTAGTTGTAGGACGATTTAGTACAACTTCTTGCATTTGATGATGTTCTTGAGAGGACTCGGTGGGGCTAAGAACCTGAACTACAGGCGAGACTAGCTGTATGTTGACCACAGGAGAAGTTGTGGTCATGTTGATGTTGTCTTTGTTCTCAAGAATGGTTCCTGTCGGGTTGCTGTGTCTAGTAGTAGTATTTTGATGAAGTTGGAACTCGTCCCGTTGAGGGAGGCTGTGGGTTGGACCTCCTAGCATCAAAGCAGTATGTTGATTCTTATCGTTAGATTTGGAAGAAGAGGACATATGCATGTGCTCTACTTGTTGAGCAGTTTTTCGCAGAGAAACATCGTCTTTTGATGTTGTAGCGCAAGATTCCAACGTGAGAGTTGTCTTATTGTTATTGGAGGGGCCAGGTGCCAAGGAAGATGAGCTACAACCGAGATGATCTTGTTGTTTCTTGTGTCCACTTTTCTGGGCGCTAGGTGAACTAGGACAGTAGGGCAATAGTAGGAGTTCTTGGTCGTTGAGCAAACTATCGCTTGCAGCACCAGGTGGGTGTGGAAGACGGCTTGCTGTTCTAGGAGGTTTCAGGTCTGTTATAGATGGCGAAGCTTGAGCGATAGGCATGGAGTCGAGAGCATGTGCATGATCAACATCCTTGTCACCAGGTGCAGCAGAAGAGGAAGAGAAAGTAGGTGAAGAAGCTTTACTCAAAAGTCCACGACTGTTAGACCCTTCTGGTGGCGGCGCAGGAGTTGCAGTTGTCGGTGAGCTCATAGCACATTGTAAAGGCTGTAATTCCAATCCCGCCAAGGACCCTGATGTCTGCCTACTCAACAGAAGATCATGTTGGCATCCTACCTCTTCATGAGTAGGTAACGTCGAGTACAACACTTCCAGGTTGGTACTTCCATCTTCTTCAGGCGGATGTGTTGGTACGACGAGATTAGTGGAGAATCGTTTAGTTTGAGAAGTTGTACTTGCTTCTTCCTCACGAGGATTTTGTCTACTAGTACCGCCTTCACCAAGAACTCCAGACATTGTACTAGTATTCAGCGCTCCAGGAACAGCAACCTGCAAGCTTGTGGTTGAAGTGCGTGCAGACGCAGTGTAATCGCCGGCTCCTTGGGCTCCTGAAAACAAGGCATCCGCCATCACATTGCGGCCTTGACGGTTCTGGAAAATCTGGGCATAGCCTTCTAGACTGGCGCGAGACCGAGAGACTAGGTCGCTCGAAAACGCTCTGGCGAGTCTGGATCGACTCTCGAATGCTAGCTGCTCTTTCGTAGGCTTTTCCCGATTTGTGGCAGCTGTAGGTGCAACGCCACCTACTGCAATTGCACTTCCCCTGTGATGAAGTGCGTTAGAAGGACTTGAGGGTGTTCGTGCAGAGTATGGAGTTGGTGGTGCAATGAAGGAAGATGTTTCGGCTATGAGACAACTAGAAGTGTCTACTTGTTGCATCTGATGTAGTTGGGCAGCGCAGGTCCTTTGCACACGACAAGACCCATCGTCCTCGTCCACTTTGTGCTCCTGAGACGGTGTTGGCGCAATAGAGGAGGGAGACAGCGAAAGACAAGTACTTGCGCTGCCGCCATAGGGTGAACTAGAAACCGGAACCTTGTTGTTCACGTCATCTTCTTGTTCTGCAGAACTACGAGTGGTCCGCTCTTCGTTATTTCTATCTGTACTGCTTTTCTCCTCCACGTGGTCTTGCTCTTTCGAAGACGGTGACATCAGCCGCTTGCTTCTCCCAGCGGAAGGCGGACTACATGGCGTCGCAGCCACACCCACTTGATCGCCGATATCTGTCATCGGTGTTATTGTTGGCGCCTGCGTCGTTGAACAAGTAATCAGCTCTTGCAAGTCGAAATGCACGGTCTCCGATGCGGGGGCCATAGAACTGCTCTTACTGACTAGTATGTTGCGTGACGATGTCAATGCCGTAGTACAACTTGTTGGGGTTCTTACTCCGCTTGTAGTTCCTCTGATTTTACAACTGCTTAGGACCTTTTTCCACTTCGAGATGAGGAGACCTTGTTTCTTCACTATTCTCTGCAACCTCCTGACCTCTGTGTCCCGAGAAACACCAGCCAACCGAGAATGATCAGGAGCGTCGGGCTCGTCCTCCTCCTCGTCCGCCTCCTCATAAGCTCTAGTACTACGCCGTGGTTGTCGGTCTTGAAAGCGTTGATCAACATCGTGCGCTACAACTTCATTCATCTCATCTCCATCAGACGACGATCGGCTTCTCGAAGATGGCGACGCTTCGCCAAAGCTCGTAGCCTTGAGCTCTTCTTCTATCCAAGACAAGCCAAGACGGCCTCCTTCAGGCAGATACTTTTTCACCTCTCGCAACATCGTTTGACACCTGCGTTTCCACAGAGCGGTTTGTTCTTTTGCTGAATGAAGTTTCTCCCGCATCATTTTCTCCTTCTCTTGCAGTTCCAGTCGGTGTCGTTCTTCGAGGTTCTTGATCTTCTTTTGGTAATGCTCCTCAATAGACGCGTCTAACTCATGTAAGACGCGAAACGGATCATGTAAGGCTGTGCTGTCGTCTTGATGCGGTGGAGAGGACTGGAGCAGGCGTTGTGCTCCATGATGGGCATAATCCTCGTTTCCTTGTTCTATCTGCGATGGCTGATGCTGATCACCATGATATGCTGAATCGTCTAACAAATCGCCTGCCTGAGGCGTGTCCTCTTCGCCACGCTGCATTCTTGAGGCTGTGGACGATAGTGGAGTGACAAGGGACATGATTTTTAGGAAGATCCGGAAGATCAAGATGTGATTGCCTTGTTCCTCGACTTGATGAAGTTCATATTCATTATCATTTTTAGCCTTTACCAAATATTAAACTCTGTTGTACCAAACATCAAAGATGGCACATCTACGATTGGCGGTTCTGCCGCATTTACGACGTTCGAAAAGCGCCGTTCTAGCCCATCCCAGCTCTGGCGCATGAGCTCTGTGAAAGCGCTGATGTCTCGGTCACGTTCGTCATGGTCAGTGGAGCCAGTGGAAGAAAGCATCTTGCTGCTTATGTTCATCTTGTGCAACATCCTGCTTTCATTGTAGTTGACGTGATTTTTCACTTGAGAACTTGTCGATGTGGAAGTCGTGGTCTCTCTCGGTGTCCGCGAAGCGAGAAAAGCGTTGACAACAGCTTCGTCTTGCATTTCCTGATCTGGATATGGCGCCGCATGATGCGGAGCCCGTGCGCCTGCAGCGGAAGGCATGATGATGTTCTTAGTCTGATTTAGCGAATTCTGAGAGGAGCGACTTCTATGTCTATGTCTGAATTTCGTACTATCTGCTTGGACGACAAGATCTTCTGTGCCGATTTTTCTGGCAAGTGTCCTTCATTCGTGGTCGGTGCTCTTTTCATACCATGCCCTCTGTCGCAGCGAATGCCCTTTTAATCTTTTTGTAATAATTTGTTCACAGTCTCCCTCTTTTCATTTCACTCCATACCTCTCCTGGTGCCATACTCTTGATGCTTGTTCTTTTTTCATCTTCAATATCATGAACACATTCACAGCGAGTGTCATTATACGACAATTAAAACGTGAGGGTGGTCGTGTACCCGCGACGCCGCAATAAAGAGGTATGGTCTGCTGGGACAAATATTTTGCTTACGGAGATGGGCTACATCTTCACATTAAGCTCTAGCCTCATCAGGGTGATTTTTAACATTATAAGGAGCATTCAAGAACAAGAAACTCATCGAAAAGTATCATGATGTTTCACGCTGTAGTTTATCATCATGATATGTCACATATTCCGATTCACTAAGTTTTAAGTTTCTCCACATTCAGATCGATCTCCACCGCCGGTCTTCCCATCGCTTTCGACTCTTACTGTTGAAGATGTTCATTTCCGCTTATACTTCTTGCATTTAAAGCATTCGTCTTTAGATGCGAAAACTATTAATCCACAGTTCGGACATGGCCAGTCACCAGCACGCGCAGGCTCATATTTTCCCTTGGTATTAGAGAGAAAAGGCCGAAGAGGTTGAGGTAAGGTCGATGCTGTCAGACTCAGATGTCAGTAGCATTATCCGAGCGACCCTAGAATAATCAATGTTGGTGGAGCAGGCCTAAGCCTAACTAGAAAAAACAAAAACCGAAAAAAGAAAGGTCAAGCAACCCTAGTTCAATTATTATAAATCTTTTTACTCGACGAGTGTTTTTGTCATGAATGCATCATGATCATCATGTTGACGGGGGCGGGAATCAAACTAAAGCCTTAATAATCAGAATCATTTTCTCCAAAGCTGCGTGTTTTAGAGGGCTATAGTTCGTGCCCTGAGGTCGCCCTGAAGGGGACCGTTTTCGACTACGAGGTCTACGGCCTGTGTCACGGTCTCTCTTTTCTGCGTCACGGTCCCTTCTTTCCCTTGACCTACGTTCTCGGTCTCTCCGTTGCGGAGAATGGCGTTGAGACGTAGCCGGGATTGGAAGGACTTTCGCAGGCTTACTAGTCTCCTTACTTGGAGCAGCAGACATAGTTCCTTGGATTAGAAATGAAGAGATGATGTACGTAGTCTTAGTTTTAGTTACTGAGATTTCCAGCTACGTATTACTAAGTATATCCATTATGATGCATATTTTTGTGACTCTGAGAAATGTTGAATACGATGTACTACACTAGGTGGTGTAGTTCTGATAAACGCAGAGAGAATCATCGTCATGCAACTTGCAACACCAACAACTGCACAAAAAAACATAGAACTACACCTCAAACTAAAAAGTCATCATAAATCTGGTTGCAGCCTCAAGGGGCCATTGGTGCGTCGTCGGGGGCTCCTTGACCTTGTCGTCTTCGACTTTGTGAAAAGCAAATCACGCCTCTGGTCCCTAGTAATCTTCACGTCCTTTGATGCTTGTTTCCGCTCTATCGGATCTTCTTGTGCTTCTTGTACTTCAAGATCGATCTCATCGAAAACACAAGCGTCAACCTCTTCCAACGATTCATCGTTCATCATCGGGGACGAGTCAAGATTACTACTGAATATTTCCGACATGACCTTGCTTTCTTTGCTTATTCCATTACGATCTGGTGCCCCTCTAGTACTTCTGCGTCCAAGAGCTTCTACTTGGTGGTCTCGATTTTGTTCAACACCACGTCGTGGAGCAGGTGAGTCAACATCTTCGAATACATTCCGGACTTCTGAGTCTGCTGGTTCATCTAGATCTGGTGAAGATCCAAAAAAAGAGTCCTCTAGCACATCGAGTTCTTCTTGTTCTCTTCTGCCGTTTACTTCTTCTAGTAGAGTACCACAAGGAGAAGACCGTCTTCTTTGACTTGCTACATTCGTATTGCCTGCACTTGCAGCTTCATGATGTGCTCTCTCAACATTCGTTGTAGAAGTTTCCTGTTCTTGTCCTCGAGCAGGTGCGGGCGCAAATGGGTTGCTACTAAACAAATTGCTCCCTCTTATGAAAGAAAAAAGTGCACTCACACTCAAAAAAAGTGGCTATTTTCCTACTTAAATCCTAGCCAATTTCTTGAGTGTGAGTGCACTTTTTCGTTTCATACCTCTGCTAGTCCTTGTTTTATTGCTTTTCCTACATGTTGTAGTTCTTGCGTCTGTGCCACGACCTCTCACAAGTTCATCCTCTACAGGCGCAAACGGATTGGCTGTTGTTCCTCTCGCTGATAGTACTCGCTCCCGCTCCACAGCCCGTGCTTCTGCTTCTCTCGCCCTTTCTTAGAAGTACTAGAGGTCGCCAAAACAATTTCGTTGGCCTTAGAATTCAAGAAACTTATTCTCCCTAAGAGTTAGAAAACTGTCTTGTATCTTGGGTCACAACAATTCTATTCTTGTTCCCTTCAACATTTCTCAAGGAAGTACAAGTACAAGTGGTTGTTTGAATCGTGAATCCCAAGTACAAGTGGTGGAGGCAAACAGAAGATAAGAAAGGACCAACGATTGATAACGAAACGTCGGTTGGAATTGGAATTTAAATGATACTATCAAGCCTTAATTTTCTTCTTCTTCTTGCAATATTGCGTTGACTGTCTCCTCTCCGTATTCTTCCCGCAATGCCGCAAGATCCCTCTGATAATTAGTGTCGTAAACGTTAGTACCATCATGATCGGGCTTGATGTTCGATAGTTGGATGGTCCTGTTCTTGTCTCTGTCTTGGTGGTCTATGTGGTTTTCCTCACACCCAGCAGTGCCGCGTCTGTGGAATATTGCATCCCTTGTCCAAACATTATTTTCGTGCCTTTTTTGTTGTACTTGGTCAAGGCCGAGGCCTAACATGTTGCCCATACTGTTGATATTCTTGTCGCTGAGGTCAACGGTGTCTAGTTCTCTGGATAGTGTTTCCTCCATTTGCCTCTCCAGCACAGATTTCGATTTAGTAGGTTTTGCCTCCCCTACTCCCGAACGGCAAGTTCTTCGTCCTCTGACAGAATCCATGATTTCCTTGGTGATAATCAAGTTCTTCCCAGTATGAATGCCTTTCGGATTTGAGCACTTGAAACAGCGAAGCTTTGACCCAAAATTGTTGATGTGGCATTTATGGCAGACCCAGTCGCCGATTTTAAGTCCGCTACCCGTTTTATGTAGAATATCCAAAAGGTTCATGTCGTCAGCAAGTCGTGCTTGCCCTCGTTCTTTCCGGTCTTTAATATTGTTCCCCTTGGAGGAAGATATTGTCCTTTCTGGTGGTGAAAGAACAGCAGTGTCTGTTGTAGAAGCAGGTGTCGCCGTAGTTGTCATCTGCTTGATGTTGTTCGTTGTAGTTTCGCGACCTGGTGGGACAGGAAGTACTTGAGACAGACCAGCACCAGTTCCAGTCGTTGTGCTGTTTTTTTCTAGCTGGAATAGTCGCGAACTCACAGAAGTTTCTGTCTTTTTAGAAGCGCTTTGACCGGATACCGAGAAAAGTTTATAATTTTTAGTCGCGGCTGTAGTTGAACTTGCGGGTGGAGGAAGTTGTAGATCTCCTGTGGTCTTACTGCCAGGTGGAGGAAGGAGACTCCTAGCACTAGCACTTGTAATTGTTGAGGCAGTTGTAGTTCTCGCTTTACCAATTTGATCACCAGCTCTAGTTTCTGTTCGTCGCTTAGAACCTCCTCGACGAGTTCGATTTCTATCAGCATTATTTGCTGCTGGGCTTCTTCCACTTTTCGTTGTTGGACTCGCTTTAGGCGAGGGTCGCTTCAAGACGTCACCAGGTCGTGTTATAGCGTCATTGGCTCTCCGCAAAATCTCATTAGTAGAGGTACCCCTAGAGGTGGTTTCTTCCGTTCTTGTGCCTGCTGTCCCAGCACGTCTGGCTCGATCTCGGTCACATACACGACGATCTGCTCGGCTACGGCTTCTCCGTCTAGCGTCCCCTGTAGTACTACGAGGGACCAATAACTCCCCTAGTTCCCTAGTAGACCTTGTTGTGCCAGTTGCAGTTGTTGTAGTACTCCGAAAAGAACTACCTATTGCTTCTTTGCTTTCATCCTTTTTACTTTTAGTTGTTGTACTTCCTGGATGAAAAAGTCTAGCCCTTGCACGTGCCAAGGCGCTGCGGTCAAACTTGCACACGAAGCAAACATCCTTGCTCGCGAAGACTATAGTGCCACAGCCGGGACAATCCCAATCGCCTGCCCTCGTCGTCTTCGAGGGAGGATTTAAGATGCTCATCTTGATGTAGTTGATCTTGGGCTTTCTACAACTACGCAAAAGAATAAGCACTCTCTCATCCAAATTAACTTGAACTTGAAGGGCTGGGCAAGGGTAAGGGTAACTAAGACGAGATAATATCACGATACATAGTTTCATATACAGATGTTGAAGAACCCTCCTGTTCTTCTCAAACTCAATCTATCATCATTTAGATGTTGAAGAACCCTCCTGTTCTTCTCAATCTATCATCATTATCTAGAGAACTCTGAACATTGATTGACATTGTTATCACGAAAATGAACATTTTTCAAAATGGACCTTGGATCGTGTGTTCTCCAGCACTTGAAACATCACAGTATAAGCTTGACCTAAATTCAACATCATCAAAATCAATTGGTTCAGAAGCTCCCCCGTTCTTGTAGATGATAATATACTTGAAGAAGAAATAAACACGTCACAATCTAGTCTCTGCTGCATGCCTCGTTCGAGCACGCCGATTTCATTGGCGAGGAACGAACGCTGGCGCCGCCAGTTGACTTCCGAACACGTGAGGGACCTCTTCGTACGACAGCTTCTCTCTCGTTTCTTACGATAGAAAGAGGGTCGGAGAGCACTGTGCTATTCTTTTTGGATTGTGACGGTGAGCATGAAGATCTAATCTTCATGTCCAACGAGGAGAATTCAAATTCAAGGAGAATGTTGACCACCATATTCGATGTTTTCCCTTTCATCTCACGATCATGGTAAGGCACATGGAAGAGAATCAGCAATGTTGACCATAATTATCGTCTAGTCTGGTACATTTACATAAACAAATGAGGTACCATACTAGAAGGCTTTAATTTTGGTGTCGAAAATCGTATATGTAAAAATAATCATGTGAATGTGTTAATTGGCAATAAAAAATGTTAAGATCAGTATTATCTTGTAGTTGTTCGAACAACGGTAGTTCGGAATGTATTTAATTGGCAATGAATAAGAGGAAATAACAAGAGACACGAGCACGACCCGTTTCATTCGGTAATAACAAAATATCAAGAATAACTACAACATCTACGCAGCTGCCAGAATATCAAGAAGCAAAATGTAAAAACATGATCGTGATCAAAGATAAAGTTGTATACGTACTATTGGGGGAAGTACAAGGAGGGGTCTTCAGGAGTCCTGCAACTTCTAGTCGTCGGCATCGGTGGCACTAGGTTCATCGTCATCTTCCTGACCAGGTGACGACGCAGCAGCTTCGGCGGCAACGGCAAGAACTTCGGGACTGGCATAGTTATCATCTGCGCTTTCTTGGATTCTGATGACGTCCCTAGCAGAATCGTCAAAAACGATGTCTTCCACTGGTCTCAAGGAAGGAGGGCCTGTAGTGGTTTGATGGATGGAGGAGGTTCGTTCGGTCATTTGGAGTTCTTGTTTGTACTACTTAGGGAAAGTAAGGTTCGTTCGGTCATTTCTTGGAGTTCTTGTATATTGTACTAGGTAAAAAAGTAAAGGTATGATGTTGATCATGATTAGACAATAAAGCACCAGTAGCAACACACAGCAAGGTATCCAAGTACATGTTGATCATCAGTAGAACTCCGGGAAAATAATTTGCAACTACCCGCACCACAGCATTTGTTATAAAAATATATTTCATTTTCACCTAAGTTGTTTTTGCAAATCATATCAGAAGCATTCACTAGCGGCCGCGAGCAGTAGTAAGTACCTCTATTCTCCGCATCGTCTCCCGAGTTATTCGCGGAATCTGCACCCATTTTGGCTGTGGGTCCACCCTGTTGTCCGATGTAGGCCCCACTTTCGTCAAACACGTTCTCCTTATCGACCAAGTCCACTATGTCCGGGACCGAGGCTGCTGGAGGCACCACTAGAGGCCAAAAGGTTGGCCTTTGTCTCTTCGACCAAAAGGGGCCACTGACTGGCGCTCGAAGCATCGTCGCGGTTCTGGCCTTCGTGATGAGCAGAAGTGAAGGGACCGGCATCATCCAGCCTTCCCCGTCGGATTGCATGTATTCGTTGGTGTGCAAATCGAGCAAGAAGCTTTTGCCTCTGGCGAGAGTGCTCATGTAACTGCCGAGAACGGTGGCGCAACCCATAGTACAGATGTTCCTACTGCCTAGGACCTCCATTAACCCGTCATGGGGTCTTTGCTTTCCGACGTCACCGGCGTAGGGTTGAGCGCCCGCGCCGTAGGAGTTGATATTCAGAAACACGACGGCTCGAATTCTCCCTGGTTTACTGTGGGATTCGACGTAGCGCTTTCGCAAGTTTCCATCCTCCATGGCTGTGTCTGCCCTCAGCCGGTCTTGGAAGTAGAAATCGGACTGGTCTGCTAAAGACTGCCGATTACAGAGTGCTGTGCACATGAGTTTGCAGCCTGAAGCGCCGTACCACAGCTTGCCTGCGCCGCAATCGAAGACGCACTTGCCGCACTTCGTATTTCGGACGTTTTCGACCATGGTGGCGGTAGCAGCGTCGATTCCGATAGAGAAGTAGTTCTGAAACGTGCCCTGGTAAATCTCGCCACCATTCGCAACGTGGTATTTCAGCAACCTTGGAGGTTTTTGATATAGTCGTGGAGGAATGTAGTGCTAGTGATTGACATAAACAAGACGAGCAGTAGATGCAAGAGTTCAGTTTGATTTTGTTATATTGTTTGATGATAGCATTAGTAGAAGTTGGTTGGATGGTAGAAGACAGACTACTTTCTAGGTTCTCTTTAGTTTCAAAATATAACAACCAAAAAGAAGAGTCTTGTCTAGTACTTTTCCATATTCCCTTTGACTTTTTGGCTTCTTTGTTTTGCGTATAGTTTATCATGCGCGAAAAAGCTTGAGCCCTGTGCAAACACGGGTATGTCGTCCTCATCTGTCACATAGTGAAAATTTTTCAGCCTTTCCAATATCTCCTGCTCTTTTCCGTCCTCGACTATTCTCTGAGGATGAGAGCCCATCTGTCGCAGTTTGTGGTCTGGAGGCAGGGGTTGTTTGGGTAGAATGGTGACATGCCACTGGTCTAGAATCGTCATCTCCGCGTCCTCGCAGAGACGCAAGTAGTCGATCACCTTATGCGCACTCCAAACTGAAGGGCCCCAGCCGAGACTACGGGCCAAGTCGTTGCCGGTGCCAAGAGGGACGATGGCGACTGGGGGCTGCGAGACTTAGAAGAGAGAAGGTGAAGATGGAAAGAATGCCATTCGAATTGTGAAGATGAGTAGTTGACAAACCTAAGAATCTACTTCACGAAGAGACGTCAAAATTCATAAAAGAATGAAGCAGAAGATACAGATTTCAATGTTTATCTGAACTCACCAACCACGCGATCAAAAACTCATATTTACTTGTAGCTAGTGTGCAAAATCAAGCATTATCATCCAGGTCAAGCATTATCATTCACTCCATAAGTTTTCAATTCGTTATTGCTGCACAACCCTGCTACGACACCCAATATCCAACTAGCCGTGCCGTCGCCTCCACAAACTAGAAGTCTTGCTGTCGTCTCCACTGGCACCACGTTATCCCTGACGAAATCAGATGGGTTCATCTCCTTCAGATTGCAGATATTCGCTTCCCCTAGTTCTGGCGTGAGTCGTTCTATGATCCTGGAACCTAGGTTTCCACCACTGCTAGGGTTGACGAAAGCGAAGATACGCGCTCGACCACCGTAGTTGGCTAGATAGCCTTCTGTTCGCGCTTTGCCACCGTTCTTACGAGAAGAAGAAGTGCCGACACCTGAGCTTTTGCCTTTCTTGCAAGCGTTTGATTTCGAAGAAGCTGCAAGTTCGATGGACTTTGACGAGTTGGCGTTGTCGCCAAGCGTAGGACTCGTTTGAGAGGTACGTCGGGATGAAGAACTAGGGTTGTTCTTGTTTTCTCGAATAACTTTGGTTGTCCTTGATGTGAGAGGAGGACGAGGAGGAGGTCGACGGGGTGGGCTGGCTGTTCCAGACACAAAGTTAGCAACATTTTGAAGCTCAATCGCAGCACTTGTTCGTGTTGTAGATGTGGAGGCTGTGAAGTTTGATGACGCAAAGGGCTGTCCATCTTGGCCAACATCTTCAAAATCGAGAGCAGCCTCACCCTCTTTTCTCTTTCCTCTAACCCTTCTTCTGCCTCTTGCACCTCCTTTTGACGTCCGAGAAGGGGGTGTTTTATCAGAAACTACAAGGTCAAACCGGTCGTCAAACCATGGGTCACCATCATCATCCTCTATGATTTGCTCGCATCCCCTTTCCTGTTCCTGAAGAGGATTCGTTTTTCTCCTAACCGTTTTTTTGGAAGCTGTGTGCCTAAGAGGTGGTGAAGAAGGGCAACTACCTGGTGGAGACAGATTGGCAGCTCGTAAAAAACTCTCCAACGTCTGTTCAGGTAGAGGACTAACCTCGTTGTTCTCAAGCTCAACGTCATCCTCTTCTAGGTTGAGATATCCTCTTGCTACATCCTCTACTATGCCTCGATCATCCTCTTCTAGGTTGAGATATCCTGTTGCTACATCCTCTTCCTCATCGTCTGCTTGTTCGTCTTTGGGATCATTAGTGCTCGCCACATCGACGTCGTCCTGGTCCTGCTCTGCAATACTCGTCCTTCTAAACCCAGCTGGTGGACTCCCGCAAGTTGAAGACGCTGGTGAAGCTGTACTTGGCGTAGGCGCTTCCTTCAGTCTTCTTATCGCCGCAGTCAGTTCGGCGTATATGGGATGATGCTCGTCATCCTCATTATCGTCCTCTGGCTCCGGCTCTACAATTTCTCCCTTCCCAGCAACGGATCTAGTTCTCGCATTTTCAGCAAATGCACCAGCAGTTAGTGACTTTTTGGCGATATTAATGTCCTTGTATTGTTCGCCCGTCGCAAAGGCAGCGTTTGGTCTGGGAGGGCCAGCAACAGCAGAGGCGGAGCGACGATTGAACGAAGACATATTCCTTTCCTCACCTCGGGAACGAAGATCTAGATCATGTCTTTCAAGAGGATCAACATTGGAGAACTATTTCCATCAGAATCATTTACCTTTTCGCGCGTATCTCGATACGCACAAAGCTGGCCGCGTGGAGGTTAACGATATTATTTTTGTTATCAATTATAAATAAATGGAGGATGAGATGAAAAGTCACGAGGAATAAAAAAGAAATTAATACATCACAAATATATATCAAGAAAGTGATCGTGATGCAGTCGTCGTCCTCGCTGTGGTCGTTATCATTAATTAAGCGTTCAACAATTAAGCTAATTAGATTTAGAATTATGTCAGTAATTATCATTGATGAGGGGGTATATTAACTATAACATAGCTAGGCGGGTGGAGAATGGGTCTTGCGGAGCCTGCCTTAGCTCATAATTAAAGAGTACTTGGCGAGAACCCCCTGGTTTTGTGTTCGATAGATTGGAAATTGGACGAAGAATAAAAGTATCAGCATAAAGAAGATTGAATCAATGTGAGAGAATCTAGATGGAACTAGATCTCTCAAAGCAACAGCGTTTCATTCTCAATATGTTGTTTGCGGTCAGCGCTCGATGAGACAGAGTTGGGTGGATCACTCAATGACAGAGTTGTTTTGGACTTTCACTTTGTGCTTATGGTCAATGCTGGAAGATGGTCGTGAAAATACTACTCAAGAAGATGAAGATATTTCATTTCACAACCATGTTGCTTCCAACAATTGTTCTCGTCCCAGGAGACGAGACGTTTTTCTTACAACATTTTGATCCTCTTGAAGATTACGTCGCAGCTGCACGAGGACGCAATTTTTTTACTTTTCATCAGACGCAATTTTTTTTGAGTTTCATGAATTGCTGGAGTCCTTGTTCCGCTGTTATCACATAATTTTTTTTTGAATTTCATGAATTGCTGGAGTCCTTGTTCCGCTGTTTCACATCATTATATATATGAGTTTCAGTCTCCTTTTTATCGACGAGTTGCTACTAGTTATGTTGTGTTTAAATTGTTGACATGTTCCTACTTCGTTGTATTCTCAAAGTCTTGTTAGATTTTTTTCTCAAGAAATGTCGTATCGGTATCTATGTTGCTCTTAGTGGATTCGATTGAAAAGTTACGACTTGAATAGTTACGAGATTACACCCATCGGTGTTCGATGAAAGTTAAAAATTCGCAGATGAAATGCTGCCGATCTCTAGTTCAGTGTGAATATGCAGGGTGTGTTTTGTTATAATTCAGTCGAGTGCAGTGCACAAGCACATGAAGAAGAAAGACACTCATTCCCGTAGATACAGGAAATGAAAACCAACTATAATCTCGAAAAAATGATGAAGAAAATGTACGAGAGCCACCTCCCCGTTGTTGGACATTCAATGACGTTTATTACAGAGTTGTGCTCATCTTTATGACGGAGTTAGCTGAGAGACAATTTGGTGAAGACGGTATGTCGAGGACTCAGATGCAGACTCAGAGAGTCTCCGCCGCTTTTTTTTTGTAGTCTGAAGTGTTATCCAGTTCGCAAACTGGCACAGCCACGCACCGGAGCACGGGAATGAGGAGTGTTACAACTACAATGGACATCAGTGTCGTTCTGTCCTGTAATTACACATCAACACGAATCAAAGAACTACGTGTACGTTCCCCATGTTTTCCGCAAGACAAAGTAGAACCATATCAACTTCAGCCCTTTTTCTCGACATTGTCATTTCCTGCTTTCGGCGGATTCGGATCGTTGCGGGTGTCTCCTCCACCTGCGCCAATGCTCGATTTTGGCGACGGGTCATCTTCGTCTTCGACCAGGTTGCAATGAGAGTTACAACAAAGTTTCCAGGCCAGTCGTACCTGCTACTTGTTGCGCCTTTTATTTTTCGCTTCTTCAAACTTCTCTGGCTTTTCACGATCAACTTTTATCTTTTCTTTTAAAAATTTTTACATTATTACACTTTCACGAAACAATGACGAGTAGATAGATATTAAGTACTCTGACCTCCTTGTTCTGCGGTACGGCTTTCTTATCTGTCCGTCACGAACAAATACAGAAAGACCGCGATGACACCACCAGTTCGTGGGTACTGTTTGATGCAAATTTATTTTTGACTTCACTTAGGCATTTACTTAGCAATACGGAGCATCATCCTCATGGGATGGCCGCTGTAGCCGCCCGACGAAGCAGACTCGCGTACAGAACTCGATCACCGATTGTCTTCCCGAACAATGAAACTAATATATAAGGGAACACTGGTTACCACACAAAGCGGACAAACTTCTTGTAGATAAAATCACACGACTATACACCAAACAAAAACAACGGCTCCGAGAAATGTAGGTGCATGCTGGCCCACGTGAGCCAACATCGCCCACTAGCTACAAGGATCACGCTGTTGTCGTGAAATAGAGATCATACGGTTTATATATATTTGTCAACAACAAGAACAAGAAATAGAAATACAAGAAACTAGCACCACGACAGACGTGGTTCTCTTAATAGTTCTTAGACCGACTTACACTGATTTCGGATAAGAAAAATGAGAACCAAAACGACAAAAAAATTTGCAAAAATCTGTAAGAAATTAGTGTCAAAGTGACGAGCAACGGCGAAAAAGTTGGTAGTCGCCGGTGTTGAAGGTTTAGTCCACTAAATGGATGGCCCTTGTTCTAGTAGAAAAGCTCAACACGCACTTCACCTTATCCAACCTTCTCAAAAATTTCAATTTTTCACCGTCCTACTTTGAAAAATAGTTCCCGCCTTCGAGATAATTCCATGTAGTGCTAGTGGCAAAAGGCGTTCTCGTCGCACTCTAGTTAGCAGTGCGACTATGTGAGGCCTATCCTGGAAATTTTGTGGGTTCACATACATTTCTTTTAGTATTTCGCCGACCGCCTTGCCCAACTCCCGCCATGCCTTGCGTCGCAAATCTCCCACTGCTTCTTGTAGGTCGACCAACATCGGGTCGCGCTGGGAACGGAAGTGGCGGGCTGTGTGTGTTTGGGAGGGGGGAATTTGGTGGTGGCGGTGGTACTAGTGGAAGAACGATGAAGTAATGTCGAGTACCTCAGTCATATTTTTGTTTTTGTACTTGCAGTTTTCTTTTTTTTGAAGATGAAAAAAATGAGAAGCATGTTTGTAAGCTGATCAATGAGGTTGATATAATTGATTGCTCGAGTAGTACCAATAATCGCTCCAATCTCGCGCAAGTCTCCTCTATCCGCCGCCAAGTAGCGGAGACCATTGACCAGCTTCTCCGCATCCTCATCGCTTTTTATGGCGTCTTGCCATAGAGGCTTGAATTTTTGCATTGCCTCACCAAAATGAGTCAGACCCGTGGCAAACTGGTCTAAGCTGCCTTGGTTCAGACCTTGACCCATCAGCATGGCAGCTCTGTACAATTCGAAGCCGTCTGCTTCACTTTCCTTCAGTAACGTGTCGGCGGACCCGAGTCTGTGAATGGAAGTTGTTGAGGACGAAAGTTGAATTTGTGAAAGTGAAAATGAAGCCGTTCTTGCTCATGTCTTCTCCTCGCGCGGCTATGAGATCTTCAAGAGAGAACTAAACTTCTAAGGAGTTGTTTAGTTCTCACTTCTTGAACTTCTGAAATATTTTTATTGAAAATGATCCTCTAATAGTGTACGTCGTTACTTCTGAAGTATAAGCAAGTAGTACCCGATCCCTTCCATGAAGCCTTCAAATAGCTGTGTCGATGTGCCGGTCACAGCATCGAAAAACTGAGAGTCCGTCGGAGTCGTATTAGCAATTTTGTCTGCTTCGCTACTAGCCTTGGACGAGGTCGCGGCGGGTCCTCTTTGTGGCAGAGAAGGTGGTGTACTACTACTAGAGCTTCCAGTAGATGGTGTACTACTACTAGAACTTCCAGTCGACGGTGTACTACTGGAACTTCCAGTAGATGGAAAAGTGTTCGTGGAGCTGGAGGCACTTCCTGCTTCATTTGAAGTTGTTGAGGCTGATCCTGAAGACGTTGGAGACGCATCCATGGAAGCTATCGATGCTGATGATGTTGGAGTTCTAACGATTGTGCTCCTGGATGTACTCTGATTGTCATCCACATCTCCCTCGTCCATTAAAACAACGTCATCGCCTTGCTCTCTCTTTCCACCTGCGACAACTTTTTCAGCACGACCCTTCTTTTGCTGCCGCCAGGAGAGAGGTAAGGCATTATTTACTTCCTCGTGTACAACTGGTGGATCGGTCTTAGCATCCTGCTCTGGAGGTGATTCTTTCTTGTCAGCCGAAACGTCGCCACCACCGACGATGAGCTGGACGAGTGGATAAAATGCAATTTCAAATGACCAAAATCTAATCATGATGAAAGGCCTAGATGATTGTAGAAGGTCGTTTGGTCGTAAACAAAATCAAATAAGCCTTGAAGCAAAGAGAACAGTGCTGGAAGATGTCAAGATCTTCTAAATAAATCAAATAAATCAAACAACAAATATACTCGTACCCTGACAAGTTTGCCCACTTCTTGCCCTACAGTTTGTGAATCTCCCGTTCCAACAGCCTCCATAGCTTTTGTCACCTCCTCTTCCATCAAGGCACGGTTCATCAGTATGTCCTTGGCCCAATTAGTGAACGCGCTTTGCACTGCGATAGGATTTTGCAAGGTCGTGAGCTGTCGTGAGGGGGATGATGATGGATGGAGGCGGCATGCTAGTCGAGGTAAAAGTAAGCTTTACTTTCCATTTAGCAGATGAACATCTTCTATCATGCGAGTGCCTTGTGTTGTTATTTGCAGTATAGATTCGAGGATGTTGCAACTCTTGGAGTTGGAGTATGATGATCGTCCTCTCTGAAATGCTCCGAAGGTTCCTTGATGTGTGCTGTAGTGATCATTTTCGCATTCGCAAAATTTCAGTCGCAAAAATCGGACTCGTCGGAGTTGTGAGTGAGCGTGTCGCAGATGAAATTATGCTACAACTAGTAATTTTGTATTGGTTGTACTACTTCGTGAGTTTGCAGTCAGCGTCATCTTCAACGGCTAATATTTGAAGTTCGCAGACGCCGATGTCGACGGTTTGAACAAAAATCTTGTTTATGCAGTATTCAGAAGATGATGTGGCAAAAGTGCGGATTGTGTTGCTGTTCTTTATTTTTCTCAGCCTGTGCATGTTCTTGACGTCATGAGTATATTGAAGAAAAAAGTTTCTCATATCGATGCATCGGTGGTCTCTACAAGATTTTTTCTTCTGTTCACATGTCTCTACTACTCATTCGGCCCGATATTACTTCCTGCTGTTGTACTACTGCAGCTACTAGCGTCACGGACAGTATCTTCTTGATCATCCTGTTCAAATAAACTGCTGCCTTTCGTCTTGTCTTCCTCTGAAAGCAGCTCCGCAAACCACTCTTCCAGCTTCTTCTCGCTAGTCTCCCTAATCTTTTCCTCGGATTCACAGAATATCGCATGTTTCGTATCCTTCAGCACCAGATGCATCTTCTTCGTAGGAGGTGTACTATAGTCTCCTGGTCTTGTTCCCATCAATCGCTCCAAAAAAGGTCCAACTTCGCGATCATCCACGATGGCATCATTCTCGGCCACCAAAGCCAAAAGAGGGATGTTTCCAGGAAGTTGTGTTGGCGCCAAGTCAGCATTGTGGAAACAGAGCTGAACTGCTGCATGCGCAGTGCCTGCTCGAACGCCACCTCTGTATGTTAGCGGATCACGTTCACATTCGATCAGCTTGGATGAATATGTAGGAGATGATGCATTGTTGTCGTGGTTTGAGGACTGCCCTTCTAATACTGTTTTCTCACCGCGTTCTTTTTCCCATTCTGGCACACCCTTTGTCATCTTCCGTTGTGGCGCGACCTTGTTAAAGAAGCGCCAAAAGCAGTCGAAGACGAACCGTGGTGCATTGCGAAACGCTCTAGGGGCAATCAAAGGCGCCGTCAAAATCAGGGAACGGATCCTGAGTTGTTTCTGACCCGTTCTGGGCAAAATGATGCTGTTCCTGTAGTTTCTTTGTCTGAGTCCTTGAAGTAGACTTGTTTTCGCTTGTTGTTGACGACCGTTTTTTCCTCGTCTTGTTCGTTTTCGCAAGAAAGGGTAACAAGCAGAACTACTTCTACATCGACTTCTTGTAGACTCGTCCACTACCTCCTGTCCAACTGCATCCTGAATCACTCCACTCAGCATCACAGCACACCCCATACTCATCCCCGCTAGATGTAAATCTAAGTCGGGATGTCTTCTTTGCACGGTTCTTGCTGCTTCGGCTGCTATGTGAATGATATCAGGGTATTCCACTAGCCCACTTGCTACGCCACGCGCCTCGCCGTGACCAGGGTAGTCGATGGAATAGATGTGGATGCTAGGGTCGCTTGATTCAGAGGTTGTATCGACGAGTTCATTGTCTACTACTTGCTTGTTATGTTCGTCAACACCCTTTTTATCATCATCAGCATCATCGTCGTCATCATCAAGATCTGCTGCCGCACTGCTACTTGTATCGGTGGATTGATGTCCCGCCTGCCCCAGCATAGCCGCCTTCAGATACGATCTATGCAAGCTTTCCACCATGTAGGCGGCGTTCACACAGCGTCCGTGGCCATGCATACCGTGATAGATCAAAAAGACGGCGCCTTTTGATTTTGCTGCCGCGTCTGGGTCTGCCGTGCTGTAGTTGGTCTTCATCGTGCTATATGAATTATATCGTTCAGCTGAAAAGGGACCTCGGGTCCTCGAGTCTCTTGCAGCAGAGGACACACGAGTAGCAGCTGCGTTAGGAGGCTTCTTCCACTCGTAAAACACCACTGATCGAGCTGGACATAATTCGGCCTCAAAGACCTTCGTCGGATGCAGACGAGAAAGCGAAGAAGGAGAAGAGGAAGAGAGAGTTGACGAGGAATAAGGAGTTGACGAGGAATAAGGAGTTGACGAAGAGAAAGAAGATGAAGGAGTTCTTGTGGTTGGAGAAGTACGCCTAATATTAGTGCTAACACTTCTGTTGGGAGAGGACGTGTTTCCTACAGCGGGATCATTTGTGTTCATCTCGTCCTCATCTGAGACCATCGTGCTTGTTTCTCTCGAAGACGAAGATGAGCTTCCGCAAGAAACTGGAAAAGTGAGTGGCATCCCGCGAAGAACGTCGTAGTGCTGAAGCGGAATCTTGTTCATGATCAGCAGGAGCAAGCAGTAGTGGATGTTCTTCTATTAGGTGTAAACAACTGATCCTTCTTGTCTTTAGTTGTATTTCGAGGATAACGATAATGGTGCAACAAGATGAAGCACAAAAGAATCTTCTCAAACAAAAATCAAAGTAAAAGTACTGCTTTCTCAATGTCCCACATCGCCACCGCGTTTTCTCTGAATTCTTCCTGCAATCTACCAGCACTGCCAAAAACTTCGGACAAATTTCCCACAGCATCCGTCATCGCAGCTACGAAGCCAACCCAATTTTGATCCGTAAAGTAGCTTTTCGCAGCTTGTAGCCTCTTGGCAGCATGTTTCAATAGCCCAACATCTACTTTGACATCGTTCAACAGCTGTTTCTCCGATTTCCCCAAGGCGCGAACATCGTCGATGCCGGTGAAACCCTCGAGAAAACCGACAAAAAGGCCACGAAGAGTAGATTCGGTTTCGGAAAGAAGAGTGTGATGCTCATCTTCTTTAGGAGTACTCGTGTTTTTTTCGTCTGATGAAGTTCTAGAAGAAGATGAAGGTGTTCTCGACGAAGGTGGTTCATCTTCCACCTCTGGCTTGATGATTGCTTTCTTATGTGACGCAGCCGCAGCGGTAAAAGAGCTAGAAGAGGACGATGATGAAGAAGCACCAGACGCAGACCCTGACGACGAGGCAGAACCAGTGCCAGCATTAGCAAAAGCTCTTATCGTTTCTTCAACTTCTTCTGAGGACGGCGTTTCAGTATAGATTTGCTGCTCTGCCGAGTTGCGAGGTTGCACAGCAGCTATGTATTTTTTCATCAGACTTTGGAAAGTGCTGCGTAACCGTTGACCGAGACGGGATTTTGCTTTTTTCTTTGTTGATGAGGATGGAGTCACTGCTCCTTCCTCAACACTGGCCGTTGATGCTCTCTTTTTTGTTGATGAGGATGGAGTCACTGCTCCTTCCCCAACACTGGCCTTTGATGTATTCTCATTCTCAGAAGCTCCTGATGTCTTCTTGTCCATGTTCGCCCTTCTACGCAAAGCTGCTGCGTTTCTTCGTGATTTCGAAGTTTTCACTGCGACAGAAGCTCCAACTACCAAAGCAGCTGGGACGACACAAACTCTGTTGTTTCCTAGGAGTGAAAAAGAACAGCCAGAAGTTGGTGTTGTACCGGTTGTGCAAGAGGATGAGGGCTGAGATGTACTAGTTGTACTTGTTCCGGATTGTCCACCTTGTGTCGGTGTGGGAGACACAAGAGGACGCGCCGCAGGACTGCCTGCGACCGCGGGTGGGATTCGTGATCGACTTCTAAGCACCAATGCTTCATCGTGATCTTGTGCTCTACCACTACCTGGTTCGACGCAGATATCTATTTCACCCTTTATTTCGAAAGAAACGCCGTCAACCCCTGATGTTCTTCGCCCCCCGCCTAGAAATGCTCGCGCTGGAGCTGCAACTACATCCGGCGCTCCTCCATTTTTATTTGCTGGGTCAGACGCAGGTGGGGTAGTAGCTCCAAGTCCACCAAGCTGATCACTGAGATGAGTTTTCATCTGCGCTGTTGTGTCTAGTAGTGCTTTGCGCATTGGTCCAAAGTCGAAAGTGCTTTTTAGAGGTACTAGTTCTTTGCATCTGCGCAGTATCTCATTCGGGCAAAGCGAACAGACGACGCAAGTTCCAATGACGATGCCTCCAAGGCAGCAGATGCGATTAGTCAGTGCACCGTTTCTCGATTTGGAAGCTCTTTTATTGCGTGGCATGAGAACTGGCAAAAGTGGAAGTGGTGGTGGTAAAGAGCTTGGGCGGAACAGGAAGATGGAGTGCTAGCTTCATACGACGAGAAGAAGGATGATGTGCATGTGAGAAAGTGAATTAAAGGTTGGAAACTACATCAGAATTAGAGGTCAGTGATCACTTCCCGAAATGACTTATACCGCCTCGTGCTCTCCTTGTCAGCAGTCTTTTGTTTGGCTGAATCACAACAGTCTCCTGTTCGTTCTGGCTCGCCTTACTCCTCCGTTTTGACCGAAACCACCGGCGACGTGTAGCTTCGCCTGCACGTACATACGGAGTATCCCCCGTGCTCTTTGGCATGCTGCGCTTTCGAGTGGAAAAGGAAGCGGAGGAAGACGTAGAGGATGAGGCTTCGTTGAGTAAGCTTGGCGAAGTATTGCTCCCTTGGGCTTCCACTACATTGTTCGCACACATCAACAACTGGTTTTCAATGTCGTAAGCATCAATGGTTGTCCCTACTTGATCACATTCAACATGGTCAACATCTTGAAGATCTCCTTCATCTTGCTCCTCATCCTCAACTCCAAGTACAGGTTCATTGCTTGTGGTCCCCTCTTCCTCGGTCGGTGGCCCATCTGTCGCTACAAGTCTACAACTTGTCGAACAAGGTGTACCAATACCTGTTTCCGTTGGCGACATCAATTGCAATTGTATCAGTTCTTCATCGCTAAAGTACCTGGCAGGAGCATGATAGGAGGGTGATGGTGCTGCTGGAGAAGATAGGCGGGTACTTATTGCGGAAACTGATTCCATTGTCGCACCACGACAAGCAGCTTCGAGTTGTTCTGCACTTCTGGTGCAACCCCCAGGCCCGCCACCAGCCCCAGTCAACATTCCTCCATAATGATACAGGCATGAGGATTCTCCACCAGCAGTCGTCGTAATACTGCCGGCTGCGGATTCAGGCGAAGGCGAGGTGCTATCTTGCTCTGTGAGTGGGGTAAGCAGAAGAGATCGAGTTGTATCTTGTTGTTGATTTGGCAAGGAAGCGGCAGCAGTAGACCGTCCATCTGTAGTGGCAATCGCAGCAGTTATACTGGGAGAGCCACGACCAGCAGACGATCCAGGAGGCATTGCAGATGCAGTCGCTGTATTGGTGATAGTAGATGAACCAGATGGCACTCCAGACGAGCCTGCAGCAGGACTACGCGCTGTAGTTGACAGACTTCTCATAGCACCAGAGAAGCAGGAACAATGCTGAGCGGAACGCGGCCGACTCGTTGTGCCAGGAGTGATGAGATGAGAAAGATGCAGCTAGGCCGCCTAGGATGTATGTCTATGTTCCTTTCTTTGTTCGTTAGTAACATTTTTGAACATTATTTATTGACTTTTGGTTATAAGGACTTCTTCTACTTGTCAAGAGGATGCAGATGCTAGAAAATATGGTTTTTTACAGTACTTCTTGTTCGCTAGAAGTAACATTGATGTTTGCAAGTTAAGCACTTCTTCTACTTACTTGTCTAGATACTGTAGTGACTGTTGACCATCCCTAACGATAGCACCACTTCGTCCAGCTGCTCCTCCAGCACCGTTTCCCACATTCCCAACACCTTCCCTCACACCAGCCAATCTAGCTCGCATCTGCTCTAGGCATATACCGTTATGCAAACTGAGCCCCAATCGTGCCAGTGACGAGCCGCGAAGGGGACTGCCAGAACTACCACGCGCATTGGCAGAAGACGTGGTCATAATCAAATCAGCCAGGTCATCAGAGTCTAGAGCAGCTGCGCCATGTACAAAACTATTGCCGACTGAAGATACTCGCGAACAGTAGACGTGTTGTTGGTCACTTAGAGTTAGAGCACGGCGACGGGGACTGGAATAGCTTGACACATCGGCGCTGCCGGTATTGTAGTTGGGGTTGTTGAAGATGCCATCATTATGATCATTCTCCTCATGATTCGCAGTTCCTCCTGTTAGTGTATTAATTCCGGATGTAGCAGTTCCGAGAAGTAGCTCATCTTCCTGGCTACGAGTAGATTGTCGGGAATGTTGACGTGTAGAAGCAACATCTTCAGAGCCACCATGTTGTTCTTCATGTTGATGCTCCATCATATTCATCGTGTTGACATGATTATATCCTTGGCGATCAGTTGTGACGCTGCTATCTTCATCTCCCGAAGACGCCAATATTAGCTCACCAGGCGACGACCTCCTCGAAAAGGACTCCATCATCCTTTGTTGGTATCTCTGCAACTGTCGTAGGTTGAAGTCAGCAGCTTCGAAATCGTTGGCGTCGATTTGGAGACCGTGCACGGCTGTAGCAGTAGAGTTTGCACTGCCAGCTTCGTCAGCGGAGTCGCCGTTTGGTGCCGAAGGTCGAGGAGCGAGATGGGAGAGTTCATCCTCAGGCTCTGGCTGCCAGAGAGGTCCTGGCAGCGGAGAAGCATGACAGACGTGGCCGAGGAGTAGGAGCTGAGAGACAAGAACAAGCAAAGAACTCCGGAAGAGGATCATGTTGTTGAGGATTTTCCAGGACGACCACATGGGACGATGAAGAACACTTCTTATGATGTTTTTCATCGACAGGTAAGGTCTGTGATCAACGATGATAGATTTTCGAGTCACAAAATTATTTTTAGCAGTACTTCTAGGTCTCGTTCTCACCATGCCTCTCAAAAGTCAGAGGTCATGACACGAATGAGTTTTAGAATTTTAGCGTGTAAAAGTTGTTAGGTTCTTGTAATTTACGATCATCAACAAGATGCACGTCACATCCTCCACCCACTCCCATCCTGACATAGTAGACCGAGTACAACTGAGTGCTTCACAACCACCTAGTACGAGATGTGGTTGTACATCTCCTTGAAGTGGATCATATTCGGAATCAGCAGAAGAAGATGCGGCATAATATTGTCAAGGAGGGATATATTGTCAAGGAGTTGCGGCATAATGCCAGCAATCGCCATGTCCTTGGTGAAGAGTCCAAAGCATGTCTGGGCATGAGAACACTTCCATCAAGGTCTTAGGACCAAGTCGAGAATAACGACACGCGAGCGCGACCATCTAGAAGTTCACGAGACCCAGAGACACTCGGAAAGTATAATGATCTTCCACGATGAGGTTCTTGTGGTTGTGATTGCACTAATTACTTAGGTGGTTCTTCTACTTATCTCGAAGCAATACAGCTGCTCAGCTGCAATCGCATTTGTCTTTTTAGCTTTCAAGAACCCTGTGTCGCATTCTCATCAGAACCAAACAACAGGTCATGAGCTGTCAAATTCGGAGCACGAGTGGGCTGCAAATTCGAAGGTGTTCTCCTACGTGGTGGGGGCAGGCTTGGTGGTGGCATTGCTCCAGGTGGCGGAGGCGGCTGTAGTGGGACATTACTCTGAAGATTCACGGATGTTGAAGAAGACAAAGATGTACTTCTAGCTTGCCCTTGTAGTTGTGGCCGTAGAAGAGCACCACTTTGTTTTGAGTGTGAAGTCGGAAAGCTTGCTGCTGCATTCATAATATTACTAGTTGTAAGCGGTGCTGGAAATACTTCGGCAGCGGGTGGTGGAAAAAATCCAACGCCCCTACTGCTACTCGGAGGTAGATGAGCGAACCCTGGCGCAGGCGCTTTCGCCTTACTCTGTGTAAGCGCTTTTGCCTTACTCTGTGTATGCGCTTTCTTTGGATTGAATATGCGTAAGGCTGCCTCGTCTGGCGGTAGAAGAAGTTCAGGCATGCAGGATGGCGTAGAAGATTGAGACTCATCGCTTGACGAGTTGCTGGAATTGGAATTATTGGATGTTGTCTTCGATTTCGAGCCTTCGACTTCGTTGCTTTCTAATTTTCTCCGCTTATTCTCCACGTCAAGGAGGTTTTCGTCATCTCCTTGTTCATCACGCGGCTGATCCACCACGCGCCTCTCCTGCTTCTTCATTTTCAGATAAATCTTATCCCTTTCCTCGTCGATCACGCGCTGAATGTCCTCGGCAGACACACCTCCCACTGACAGGAAATTTGCATCATTGCTTTTGCTCTTACTGCAGAAAAGCGCTGTCGCATTCGAATGAGATGACATCGCAGACGAAGATGACGACCTTGAAGATGTATCTTTATCAGGCATCAAGAGATGCAAGTTATGGTCACAGAATATCGTTGACAAATCCAACCAAGGAATCTCGGATCTTACGCTTTTGTTCGCTCCTGCTGCGTCTTTACTACTACTGGCACCACCTGAAAAAGGTATCGACGGATTCAAACCTCCGAGAGCGGCTGCTTTTTTACTGGAGGTAGGGCGTAATGAAGCTGAAGAAGAAGATGGCTTCGCGGAGAAGTTTGTCGGCAGAAGTTTCCTGTTCTCGTGGTGAACAAATTCATCTTTCGGCACAGCAGGGAGACTCCGTAGGCATGGGTGGTCAATCAAGGCGTTGCAAATCGGCGCCCTCAGACCATATTCCACTCTGAAACGGAAAATGTAGGGTGGAAAGTCCGTGATTGTGGGATTGAAAGGAGACACAAGGTCTACGATGTCCCCATCCATGAGCTTGACACCGCGTCGCGGCACAGGACGAAAGTTTACCCAAACTGGCTGTGGCTTGGCCGCTTTGGGATCGATGTAGAGCGTCTTAGTTTTCTCTTTGCTGTTCTTTGCCCAGGGTGCCATCGCGGGATCACCAAAAGGACTCAATGCTGCAAAAAATGTAGCATAAACATTTGTCTCCCTGATAATCTTGTTGATATCCGGGTCCTTGCTGTGCTTCACAATAGAAGAAACCGTGTGGCTGGTGGAACTGCTAGTGCTAGTGCTTATCACTACAGGATTGCGATTGTTGATCTTTGTACTATCGGGTTTCTTAGAAGCTCGCAATCTTTTCGAAACCACTGAGGCCGTAGTCATCCCTCCAAATGCTGTGGTGATACCGGGTCCTGAACCCAAAGCCACGTCAATTACCACACCCCCAGCCGAGGAAGCCACCATTTTGTTCATCAAATGGTGCACATCTAGGCGAAATCCGTTACTTGCTAACGCTTGGTCGCAACCATAGTGGAATTTTACTTTTTCCGGAAGCAGCCACTGCTGCCCATCATTCAACGACGAAGCTGTGGGGCGCAGCGCGCGAGTGATGTGCACTCTTCGTTCTCGGTTGAAGATGGCAAGAGGTCGAAGGGGTCGAGCCCGTTTCTTCAACTTCGTCTCTTGTTCCTCGATTCTCTTCTGCCTCTCGGGAGATAACGTCCTTGCTCCCTCTCCCGCGACTTCTAGGGAATACGTGGAAGCTCCTTCTGCTACTGCTCTCCCCAACCAATGGAGTTTGACGAAGGGCGTCTGTGCGAGAGTGTCGGTCTTGCCTCTGAGTAACAAGTCGCGCTCATCTTTGGCAAAGGGTCGCGGAAATTCCACACGAGGCTGCATAAGCTGTTTTTTCTCCACAACTGGAACAGCTGGCGGCTTTCTTTTGGTCGTACTAGATCTAGATGAACAAGTTAGAAAAAACTGAGAGAGAGTAAGGGAGTGACGAGACTGTGGACGAGATCGGCCTGAAAGATGCATCGATACAAATGCAACGGCATGCACATTCAGAGGAGCCAATAACTCCTCTATCACTACCTCCACAAGAACTTTAACATTCATAAAGAACGCTGCTCCTGCTTCCTAACAACGCTCGCTTCTGTTTCCGCAGAATTTGTCAGCAACATTTTCTTCTTTGCCGCGTTTGCTAAGCCCCAATCAATCTTGCTTTCGCCAAATGAGAAGCCTAGTTCTGTGTCCCTGAGATATGGCAGGAGTTCTCTCGCACTCCCCAGGAAGGCTCCAAATTGGTACAAAAGAGTTGTCCAGGTTATTGGGATTAGAGATTTTAGATGCAGTTGTACTGGAGGAAAATCTAAATTTCCATTTCATGATGTATGGTACGTCTTCTACGTTCTTGCATCATGATTTGGCTACTTGGTTAAAAAATCATCTAGACAATGTCGGTCTACCCGTCGCCTCGTCCATAATGTACTTGCAGCAGTAGTAATCGTCCCAGGCCGATGCGTCGTTTGCGGTGGCACACTGAGCAGTCTGTGAAGCCCGCCTGCTGCCAGTGCGACGTGCGGCAAGTCTGCTATCGGATAGCGGAATCGCAGTAACAAGTACTGTCCATTTTGGAAGGTACAACTTTCACTGATGTTAGAAAAATATGAGCATGTTTACAACTAAGAAGAAAATACTAAAAATGTCAATATCTATTCTTTCTTCGGCAAAATCGAAAAACCAGAGTAAAAAAAACGACTCAGAACTGTCTTCCCTCCCTTAAGTATGGCGATCTTGACAAATCCAGCGGATGGCCGTTTGCTGTATCTTGTCTGCTCTGACGCGTACACATGGCAGTTGGTAATGTAAGGTCCCGGCTCTGCGAGGAAGACGCCAGCTTTACCCTGCTGCATCCGGCGACTCTCCCTGACATATTGTCTAAGAGGCCTCGGGATCTCCACTACGAGACTGTCATACCCTTCGTTGCGTACGCGCCTCGCCAAAGCATTGAGTAGTTCTTGGTGTGACAGTTGTGCTGCACGAAGCGATGTGCCAGAAGTAGTATTGCTCTTGCTTTTGGGGACGTGCTTGCTCTTGTGAGCTGAGTTCTTATCGACGTAGTCCTTCATCATAGAATAAGAACTACCTGTTGTCGTACTCGACGTGTCTGCACTAGTTGTTCTCCAATCTCCTTCTTCTTCTTCATCTTGCTGCTGCTCATCTGGAAATGGAGCATCTTCGCCTCCATCTGGGGCAGTCTTGTCGTAGGTGTTGTATCTAGTTTCCCACTGCGATGAAATGACGCGCATGGATCCACTAGCCAAGTAGGTGTTCTGGGGAGCAAACAACTCAGTCGCAATCTGGGTAGCTGTTGCAGGATGGTAATTGTCGAAAAATAAGGTCAAGGCTAGTTCGACGCCGTCTGGTGACTGTCTTGCTCCACGTCGTTGGTCTGGAGGCGTTAGAGATAGAGGTGGCGTTTCTTTTTCTTTTCAATATTCTCCGACCATAGTAAGTTGAGTGAAAGTGAGTCCTTCTCCTTCGTAGTTCTTGGTCCCGACTAGTATGTGTAGCCCTGAACAAAGAGAGTCTAGTACTCACGTCGACATCTCACGACAAGAGCACGTGGCAGAGTGAAAAAGTAGCCTTAAAGACGGCACAAAATTGCAGCCATGCTTTGGATTGTACTTGCCTTGAATGACGCGCAAGACTCTGACACCCGAATAGAGTGGCCTCATCAGCAATGGCGTTCTGTTCTTCTCATCTCCACCACCTGTACTGCTCGACGCAGAAGCGTGATGATTTAGCTTTGCTGGTGAACCCAATTGCGTGGGCACGCCTAGTTCTTGAAGCTGGTTCCATTCTTGCGTTTCTAAGTGTGTCGCTTTCGCGTCTCGGTCCCTGTCAACTCCTCGATTTTCGAGAGTATTAAAGTTGACTCCAACGTCGGCTGCTCACATTAAGAATGTCGACTAGTTCATCGAGTACGACGATCTTCTACGTAAGTATTACTTTCATAACTTGGTTGCCCATCGTCTTGATGTTACAACAAGTGAGTAGAAAGTACAATAAACAAATGTCAAACTCAAAGTCGAAAGACTGTGTCCTAATACTCGCCAGATACTTCTCCTTCTGCCATTCTCTATCCTCTTCGTCTTCCTCTTTCGTGCTGAGAATATGCTCGTTTTGCAGCCACATAGCCAGTCCCAGTCGAACGACTTCCCATGCGTCCTTTTCTAGAAACGTCAGTCCACTAGGGTCTTTCGGCGCATACCTCAGCGCATGTTTCCAGCTGCGATTCTCACTCCGGACGATGAGCTTCAGAGTTGGGTAGGCATTGATGCACAGGCCGTTTATGATTAGCGTCGCGCTCTGACTGGGCATTGGCATCCTCAAGGGTCTAGCCAGTCTGGCCTTCACCCAAGCCTGCCCTCCAACAGGATCTCCCATTCCTGTCGTGGCCTGATCATTTATTGCTCCATCGGATGACAATGACTCGAGGTCCAGGCGTTGTTGATCCGGATTGTAGGCCGAAGACGCTTTTTGTTTTGAAGACGACAAGAACATAGGATATGGATAGGGTTTGGATACGCGGTTCTTGTACTTGAGATAGGATTCGCCACGTATGGTTGCCCGAGCAACTGCGCGCCTGTGATTAGAGCGGTCGACAACGATAAATAATCTTCATCGACCTGGTAACGATAAATCATCGACCTGTTTGAGTTCAACTTTCATTTTTTCCGGATCACGGGGAAGGGAAAACGAAAAAAAACTGAGACTTAATCATTATATCACGATCATGAACATCTGCCTTAATTTTTGTATCTCCAGTTTGCCGTGACCAATGCCAGGCTCTACTGCGTGCTTGTCGCAATCGCGTAAATGTCGTCTCGCACACATGACGCGCGTAGTTACGCTGTTTAGTAGTAGACGTCTTCGCTGTCTCGGTCACTTGTTCATGTCCACGTGTTTGATGCGAAAGAACGGCGTTGAAAGCAGCAGCATGGCAAGCAGCGCGGGCAATCCTCTCAGGATCCTGCTGTTGAGAACTTTTGGTGAGATCCTCTTTGAGCGGAAGGACTGGCACTGGCATTTTTTTGCTAAGTGGTTCAACAAGAAAAAGCTACTGCTAATCTTCTTCGTCGAAAAAAAAAAAGAAGTTCGACAGTACAAAAAAAAGAAAAAGTGTAGGAAAGAAAAAGCTACTACGCCTGACGAGGTAACTACTACTTGCTGCTCCCACTCTCCGTCTACTATTTTTGCTTTACAACTTTAGATTAATAAAAGTAGGAGCTGGACGAGCACCCATTTCATCTATTTTGATTTTCGAGCAAGAAGTTGCTGCATAACATCACCTCTCAGTCATCTCTCACACACACACACTCGTCTTGACTCTAAAAATACTTTGGTTCTTAGAGCCCAACCACAACCAGGAAATTATTTAATACCAACACTGACTCTACTAGAGTCTAAAAATTGAGACAATAAATGATGGCTTTATGTTGATGCAAGAACTGAAAAATCCCAACACTACTTGTCAAACATCATGATAACCTTGTTGCTCGTTGCAAGAACTTCTTTCTATATTTTCCACCTACAGCCAATAATTACAGCTACTGCTACAGCACCATCATCAACTGCTGCTCATCTTCAATGGAGCTGTAGATGATCTGTATCTTCAATTCTGGTATTGCTTTCAACATTGTCTTCATCGTCAACGACCCTACTTCTGCTTTCGGAGGTTTTTGTTGAAAACATCGCTCCCGCCCAGGATAGCCATGAGAGATCTACTTAGACAGAAACAACGCTGCGATGATGATCTGCATCCTCAATCCTGGCACTGCTTTCGGAGGTTTTTGTTGAAAACATCTGTCCCCAGGATAGCCATGAGAGATCTAGATCTAGACAGAAAAAACGCGTATGCTCTCCCACAAAGAGAAAGATTTCTAGGGAAATCAGGTAAATGATCCATGCTTCCAACTGCGACGCGTGCCCATGTCGAACGTGCTCGTTGTGCGTTGGGGATTAGAAGGACTGGGAGATTGCCGAGTAAATTCACATCATCAACAGAAGGACTGGGAGATGATCGAGATGTGGATGTCTACTACGGCGCATAAAACATAAAAAATGGGCAGGATGGTTGCTAGTAATACCGCACTAGCATATTCTACTGAGTATGATGATGAAGTAGATGATGAAGATCACCCTGATCTTCATCGTCTCTCACAAACTCTCTTACTCTTTTTTATTGTGGCAACTCATCAAGAATTATCTTGTTAGTCTTCTCTTATTTGTCCAAGAAACCATACCTACAAGTTTCTGTCATCATCACAGCTTCCGACTTTAGTTTGCCTATGCGTGAAGGCACATCGAAGTGGCGGACGCAGTCCTCGTACAATATTTCAGCTTCTCCAGTTTCCCATAGCAGGTCTTCAACATCCGTGTTCTCGGATAGAGTATTTAGGTCGTAGAGGAGGTTAGAGAGAATGGATTCGTGTTGTCGGATAGTTAGAGAACTTATTCTTCAAATTCAGGGCGTATATGAGGTAATCAGACTCTACCGAGAGAGATGAGTTGATGGGGATTCATTGATAATCGTTATTCGAAAAACTGAAATAATAATAAGCAAGTTGCTGCTTCGAATAACCGAGAAACTGAAAGAAGAGCAGCGCACTGACCCTGTTATTTCATCTAGCTACAACTCGCTTATTTTCACTTTTCGAATACATTGGGAAATGAGACTGTTGGAGTCAACATCATAATCAGTTTTTGGCAGTCCACTTCCAACTGAAAAATTTCCTTCTGCAACGCTGAAACACGTCTAACCCAAAACACATTCGCCAAACGCGAGTGCAATTCCGTTCGCATTTTCGCTAGGATGCCATCGACGTCAGCAAGGAATTTGCGAGTACTTGCTTCACGTTGGTTTGTTCGGACCGCAAAATCCAAAGCAAAAGAAACAGCGCAAAGGAGAGACGGAAGCGAATTGTACGATGTCGAAGATGAACTGCTCAATGTCGAAGAAGCTTCGCAACCACGTGATGTTGAAGACATAGATGAAGTTGCTCCGTGTGTGTAGCTGATGAAGCTGTTGTAGTTACTGAGATTTTCATTTTCTTGCAGCTCCTGACCATAAGAAGATTCACTGGTTCCTGATACGGATTGTACAAACAAATCGCGTTCATGTGGGACAACGTTCATCTCTAGATGTGCGGCAATCGGATTGAGCTTGGCTGTCCTGCTGTGCTTACGAGTGCTAGAAAGGGGAAAGGCTACTGTAGAAGTTCCTGCTCGTGCAGACGAGGCTCCACTAGAGGGAGAATGTTGTCCTGGACGTGGAAGAGCGAAAGACGAATTTTGATGGGAACGCCTAATCCTGTGGTGAGATCTAGGTGAATCCCTAGCGGCCTTGTTGTTCGAAGAAGAAGAGTTCCGTGATGTTGAGGCTGAAGTAGATGTTGTGTGTGATGTTGTGTTTGTAGTCCTGCTTTGGGTTCCTCTATCATGACGAGGGTGGGCTTCATTTTCGGACGACACGAGTGAGTAAGAAAGAACTTCACTCCACTCGAGCCTCTGAAGACCTTGCAGCTCTTGTTCGTGCACGCTCTGTTCTGGTGCAAGTCCTAGTTGATTTAAAAGGGTATCACCAGAAAAGTTCTTCTTTCTGTCTTCCCAGACGATGACCGTGCCATTACGCAAAATATAGACCCAAGTCCCCTGTTGCAAGGCTAACCAGAGGTACTGTGAGCTTTTACGTTGCCGTAGCTGACCGAAGTAACTATGAACGAAAGTTAGAAGATCAAGAGTGGAACGTAAAAAGCAAGGGCTATGCTCACATCATAAGTCCAAATAATCTCATTGGCCTTAGAATTCAAGAAACTACTTTACTCAAGAGAATGAAACTAAACGCATCCGCGCAGAGGAGTGCTCCGCCATTGTCTGCTTCAGGGAGGCCATTTTTTGCTCCTTTATTCTTTCACTTTCCTAAAGTGGTGACGTTTGGAAAGAAAGCGAACACGTAGAAACTCTTCGGGGTGGCGTGGGTATCTAGTGGTGACTTAGGGAGTGCGAATAGGCAGAGAGAGAAATTATAGAATCTGAAAAGTGTATCAGGATAGTGTATCTCCTGAAGACAGAAGATAGGTGAGGTCAGGGGGAAGCCCATAAGTCCAAATAAATGTTAAGTATCATCTGATTCTGAAGATATGCTGGTTGTACTTAATAGATAGCGACCTGACAACTCTAGGTGTAGGTCTAGGTACTACAATGGAAAAGTTTAGCAGGACAGTGACCACCTGAAGCTGAAAAACGGAAAGCAACAAGAATCCAGTGCTTAAAACAAGAGGAAGCTGACCTTGGCTATTCATGTCAGTCCCGCCAGCCATGATTTGCTTTTCCGCCAAAAGGGATTCTCCAGCACCACCCCCCGCACAACTATCACTCGTTTTATTGCTAATCTTCACGAAGCGTTTCGCAAGTGCTTCTATGTCAAGCGTGCGTCCTAAGGATATCGCTCGCCCGATCCCACACTGAGGTAAGCGACCACCTCGGTAATGCTTTGAAAATGTTGGCCCAGTACCTCCACTTGGCGAGTTTGATGTGCTTTTGGTCGAACAAGATGTGTCACCATCGCCACGAGCAATATTAGGTGGATTAGGTTCTTCATGGAACAGAGTTTTCTCCAGGAGACCAGTATCCACATCCAGCCCAGTCGAAGTCGAAGATGTCTTCAAGTGTAACAAAGCTAGTGGCGCTGGCTTTTTGTTCTTCCTTGTCAAACCAGGATGCGTAATTTTTCTAGTCCTAGATGTTGGTATTCTTGATGCTGCGTTTATGTGATCTACAGGTAAAGTATCATGATGAAGCTGTTGTGCCTCAAAAAATGAGAATGATGGCGACCATGGTGAAGTAGGGGTAGTTGGAGTTGAACTATTTGCGGTTGATCCTGGGGATGCTGGAGTTGAGAATATTGTTGGCGTTCCTGCTGTTGTTCCGCCTGTCGCGGATGAAGACGTTGAGGAGGATGTCAGGCACCTTGATTGGCTTGTCATAGACCCGAGAAGAACTCCGCGAAAGGAGCTGCTACTACTTCCGCCCACTTGCAGACGACAATACTCCACTATGCGAGGAGGTCGAACGCTTGTCGCGGCCATCTTTTTTGGAGCAAGGAAGGTCTTCATTTTTTGTTGTCGATTTGTAACAAATAAAGTTTTCGTTTCCAGGATCATAAGAAGAAAATAGACACTAATGCAGCGCAAGGGCAAGGCGAAGTGAAACTACAGTCGTGTTGTAAGGCTAAAAATAACCCACAGTTGTATGGTGTAGAACAACTCCCACTATCATCAATTTCATTACTTCGATTTGTAAAAAGGGGAACGGTCATGACGATGATGATGTTCAATCTTTGATCATTCCCGTGCTAGTTTGGAGACCTTCTTGAGAGCTGAAAAGATCTAGAGATCTTCACATTCAGAAGGAGGCGGTACGGAAGTGGGTCGTGGTGAACTTGTGTCATCGTCTTCTAGGAGGTCTATGTCTACCATGCATACGGATAAAAACTAGCTACGCCAGTTGCAGATCCACTTGTTCGTCGAGTTCGGTCTCAAAGGTCCTGACAAAAGTCTCTACATCCTCCGCTTCAGTACCAGTTTCTTTGAAGATATTACATATTGTCTCCACTAACTTCACTGCCTCTCGATGTCCATCCCTTTCCATCTTGGCGTTGGCCAGGACTTTTATGCCCTGATAGAACTTCAGAGCCGCATCCCGTAACACCATGACCCCATGCAAACCTGGCTCGGCGGGCACTTAGAGGTAGAAGAAGGTAGACAACGGAGAGGGAGAGGGTTCTTTCCCTTTCATGATAGTTGAAGACAACTAACAAGGACCACTACGAGGTGGAATGGGTAGAAGAACTGGGACTAAATTTAGAAGTAGCAGTAGAGCTTGTTTCATCGACGTAATTTTTGAAAACTTCGAGGAATTTTTCTTCATCTGGTCCAGCTTCGTGGCAGGCGTCTTTGAAAGCGTCGCAACATTTAGACGCTTTTTCGTCTGCGTTCTCCTCAGTGCCGATGACCTCACTGATGGCGTTGAAGAAATCCAAGGCACCTGCTAAAGGTCCTTGAGGTGGCATTTTTCTTTCTTGATGTTAATACTTGAACTAGAACTTGTCGTCGTGATTTGATTCTCTGTACAACTGCGGACATCAAAGTCATCTCCATTTTCGCATACTTAAGAGACTTCTGCGTCTTGGTCGGCAAGACTCTTGGCCTTGGCCAACAACACGATGGTAAGAATATCATCGAGCCAGCTGCAAGGAATATGCTTGACGTTTACTGAGTCGTCGTTCTTCCGTTCTCATTTCTTTGTCGTGTCCATGCAGCAGCTGACTGCACTGTAATCATTGTCGGATGTTCTTCCTGATGTAGTACATGAACGATGGATGGATCGACCCATGAAAAAGAAAAAAGACAACATGCTTAGCCTTGAGGCCACTATATCATCATGCTGTTGCGTGAGCGTGTTGATGTGTTCTTCCTGCGACAGTTGTATAGGTATGAGCCCTCAAAAAAATCTAGTACAACATGTACTTGTACAAGAAACGTCGATTTCGTATACAAGATAAATGCCAAACTCTTCTACAGACTTTGCATCTGAGTTTGTTCCTTATCGCTATCTTTGACCATATTCAGATCTAGAAAGTCATGTTAATGCTTTCTTTTGTACACTTTCTATGCTCGCCACAGCAGTGTGTTTGCTGATAGTGCGGAGTTCTTTCTTACTCCTCAATGGCATCGGCATGCTCTACTTTCTCCTACTGTAAAAATGGTATATAAAGTTATTTTCTAGCGTCCGTCGATCTTTCTATGTCGATGATGAAGTTCGATGATGTTTAATAGTGTCGATGAATGTTAATTTTGTAATTGTAGCAGCACAAGGACAAGAATATGGACATTATGCATATCATGTGTACGTACTGCTGATTTTACACAGTCCTGACCAACTAGATATACAGCCGTGCTTTTTTTGTCGACTGTCATATACTTCTGTGATAGCCATAGACTGGACAGATAGATAAACCATTTCTTTAGTTGATTCTTGATAGATTCTAGTACACAAATTTCAATAGCGATAGCGTTGAAAACCTTTGTAAATAGTGAATTAAATTATTGAATGTGATCACTTTGGTAGCCGTAGTTGTCACTACGATATTTCCACTCCTCAGACGTTTTCGTAGCGACTGTCGTGGCGACAGTTGTGCATCTTCCCTGCGAACGGCAGGCCGCCACCTACTGTGGCGCTGGTAATCGAGGGTGCTTGCTACGTCGCAATCGCAAGGAGTCGTCATGCGGTTCACCAAGCACCGGTCGAATATGATGCAGCTTGACATCACCGCCAGCAGCATATGGAAGAGCAAGGTCGTTTCCTATGTGTTGTGGTGGAGCGAGGTGGTTATTTGAGTTCTTGTTGAGCTTAATGTTCGATTTCCCTTTTGGGTCGTGGTTTAACTATATCAGATCTATGTCTGTGCTTCATGATGATGATCCACCTGGAAAAGACAAAGAAAATCTATCAATCTTGGATGCAAGAAAAAAAAAACTACAACAACTACTACTAATGTTGGTGGAGCAGACCTCCTAACTAGAAAAAACTACAACAACAACAACAACAACAACAACTAATCGTAATCTTGATTCAAAAATAGCTCGTCTTACCGACATCTTTCCCTCTTCCATAATGCCAATTCTTCTTTCCCAGCATTTCCGTAAGACACCCCTCGGATCGCGAATCCTGGAGTTTACTGCCTAGATCTTCTTTCTTGCCACTATCATCCCACGCTCGCAAGGTTGTTTCCCACTTCATGTTGTTCCTGCTCTTATGACCATGCTTCCTGTCTGTCGTCAAATGCTCCCAGTTGTTCGTGGCTGTGCCCTCACAACCCGGCCACCGTTTCAGATCCTGTTGGTTTGTGGCGGCGGTGGTGGTGGTGGTCAGGGAGAGGGTTTTTGTGGTGGTGTTCGACAGAAGTGGTGGTAGAAGAACAACAGCAAAGAAACATTCAGAGGCAAGTAAAAGTACCAGAGGCATATCCCGAATGGTTGATATTGGCAATGCGTTATTGTTTCGCTCGTGCTTTTTGTGGGAAGGCGATATCCATCCACCATAATTCTCGAAATTTGTTGGCGCCATATCAAAGGATTGATGAGGCTTCGAGAAGTATCTGGTGGATTCGACTCAAATTGACGGGGGTTTATTTTAAGGCGTTCGAGAATTCATTGGTCGTAATGTCCTAGTGTCATTTTGCCGTAATGGGGCACAGGCGATGTCCCAAGAAGAAATGCAAGTCAAATATACCTCTTCCACTTAAGATCCGGCTTCCCTGATGATCCGCCACGCAAATTCAACTGCCAATTTACTTCTGAAAATCCCCCGCCCGATACTCGCATGTTGGTTGCTGAAGGTGGAGGGAAACATTAAGTAGTAGTGTGCGAGTGGTCGTGCACAGAGGAATAAAATCCAGGTAGCAACATACTTAGGAGCATAGATTATAACTCGTCGCTAGAGAGTCAAAGTCAATGTCTAAACCTGCAACAACTTGTAGTTGGGCTCGAACATTCACACAGCCATCATCCTCATCGTTCAAACAGCAAGCATACCATTGTCCAACATTGGCTTCGTGTCCGCAAAGTTCCCATACCTCCCATTGGCAAAGGTCTCTTCGCTTGACCTGACCTCCTCGCTCCGACTCCGCCATCTTGTCAGGTACTTCCCCTGCTCCGGTTCTGTGGTTGTAAACGGCTTCTGTCTTGGGGAATGCGCACTAAAATCCGAAGGACCAGCACGAGTCTTTGGTAATTTCGCGGGGGTCTGTGTGAGTGTCGTGGTGGAGTGATGAGAAGTATCCTATATATAGTGTTCACGTAGCGTTTCAGTTATTTTGTTCAATTGATTCGGAGATTTCTGATGTGATCGTGAAGCGCGATCGAGATCGTGAAGCAAAGAAATAGTACTTAAAATTAATCAGTGTTTTTGATCATGACAGCTACCTAGTTGTACGCTATCCATCGGAAACAAAATTCTTGTCACACACCAACAGTAGCAGAGCCTTGTACCTGTCGCAACGTGAGTAGAAAATCTATTTGGTTTCTTTCTGTATTTTGAGCCTGCCAGATATGTCGTATGTCATTATGATTGCGGGAGGCGTATGCCTTCCCGCCTATCGTATCTAAATTCACCTCCATCCTGATGCTTATATGGTCATCTCTGAGGTCAGCTCGTCATTTCAAGAAGCATGATGGAGTCTAAGATTTTTGTAGGAGTTGTAGTGGAATTTTTACAAGGAGGTAGCAGTTCGTTGTAGAGGACGTTATAAGGTGGAGTGTGGAAGAAATCCTGATGTGCATGTCTGTGCCTGACAAACATAAAGACTACAGGGTGACGAGAAAACTAAACGAGGAAGTTGGGGACACGGGGAACAACGAACGCGTATTTAGGTATGTATCATCGCGGTAATATTTCTCTTTTTTACCGAACCCTGCCACATGATGGAGGCATGATACCGATGCTGATCTTCTTTCTGTCCTCCTTACCTCCAACTTCACATTCATCACTTGAATATACCAAATTCCTCATGCGTTCCTGCTCTTCTATCTTTTCTTGTCCACCATATGGTTATGGATATTGTCTCTTCATTTCCCATTTCTGTACCGACAGCGACCGAGACGGAGATCGTGATGCTGGACACCCTGAGTGATAACTGACAGAACACTAAGAAGAGTGCATGGGGCTCACCCTCAGGGTATTAAATGAAGAACACTCCCCGCTACTGACGATTAGAGTTGTCGGTCTCATACTAGATGAGAAAGCACATCAAACTTTTTCGATCACGACAAGTGTCCAAAGCGTAACCGTCAAACCGCAATCACATTGGTGGATCTACTAGTACTAGGTGCGTAGTTGTTTGGGTTTCAACACAGACCACAAGGATAAGGATGGGGTTGGGGATCAGAACATTATACTGTTTCTGTTCAAGGGTGCTCGTGGGAACAAGGGTGGGTGGATAAGTAGTCGTGAGCTGCTATACTCTATGCGTCATACTCAATTGCGAATCACCGCTCTCCCATGAATCCATGCTGCTAACGCTGGTCCTATCACATCTATTGATCGAGTTGCTTATCGGATACTCGAAATGCGCTGTCGCTTCTCCAAGCGCTTGGTCTTCTGAACCAACTACTTCAGGATTCTTGGAATCATTGGACCTGCTTCTCTGCCTATCTTCATCTTCTCCATGAAATTGTGTGGCATGCCCGGGACCCCCAGGCCCGTCTCGGAGCCATTTCCGCCACCGTCTCTTGACTTTTGCTTTCCCTATTGTGGCAAACATAAAGCAACTGCCTAAGGCAATGTTTCCACCAATCAAGTGCGGGATCCAGACACTGGGCTTTTGGAAAAAGAAGTACCCAACTACGCACCAAATGACGCAACTGGCTAAATTCGCTATGGCCATCTCAGGTGCGCCGAGAGGTCCAACGTCTTTGGTCACGTAGACGTTGGGGAACTGCAATAATGGTCCACAGAGCAGCACCATCAGGACTGCACTCGCCAAGCTTCCCAAGCTTTCGATAGAAAAGAAGCCGCCGGTTATGACGCCCAACAAGAACAGCAAAACGACAATCTGGAGTTGCTGCAGAAACAAAGCGCGTTTTTCTGCGTCGCGTTGGCACCACTTGTTGAAGCTCCAAACATAGTAGCAGTTCCAACATAAACCAGACAAATTGCTGAGGACTAAGACCGGTTCTCGGATCAACAGCGAATACAGAAGCCAGAGAGAGTTGCAGCTTAGACCACTTATGAAGGGGAAAGGACTCAAGGATCCTACACGTTGTTCCTTGTGCATCTGCAGGATGCGTTGGAGTGGCGCGAGTTGCGAAGCAATGTTGATTACTAGGCCAACACGCTCCAAAACCATACGAATGAAGACCGCACTGCTGGTTTGGACGACCTGTTGTTAGAAGATAGAAGTTAGTGGAAGTGGAATTGGAATGGAAATAAACAGCATTTTCACATCGAAGTAGCAAACATCGAAGTTTAGTAGCAAAAGTAGCAACGCAAAAATTGTCGCAATGCAAAAATTCTAAAACTATCATCAAGTATGATAGATCGAGAACAAACATTAAAAATAACGAAGACCGAACGCCATTACCTCAATGTGTTCGATCGATTGTATGTCCGTTTCCTTGTGTCCCTCATCTGTAGGTAACACTACTGTTTGCACCGTAGGTCCTGCTGCTTCCACGACCTTGCTACCATCAATATCCACAGTACTTGCACGAGCAGGTGCCTCTGGCAACGCACGTTTATGGGTACTGACACCATGCACTTCTAGATGTGCATCGGATGCTTTTGCGGGTTTCTGTTCAGTACTACTACTAGCCTCTTGTAGTAAAGTCACAGGAGGATCTTGTTCCTCTGGCTCACCGTCAGTTCGACTTGCTGGTGCAGCCGCTGCAATCGGCTCTCTATTCCCGCCAGTTGTGTTCCTTTCATGCTCGCTCAGGCTCAACGAAGTTCCATTGCTGCTCGTTCTTGTTGTATTTATCTTACTACTTGCACTTGCTACAGGTATAGTCGTAGAACTAGAAGTTGTGCCAGAAGATGAAGTCTGGTTATTTCCGTCTTTTCTTCTACCGGTCGTGTCGCTTGATTTGTCGCTTCGCTGAAGGAATTCGTCGTGCGGTGTAGATATCCTCTCCACCGCAAGGACCCCACCAAACTGGAGGACTATACCGCACCAGGAGAGCGAGAGCAAGAGGTGTTGAAAAAACGATAACATTCTGTAGTTGAATGATGTAGAAGTAATTGTACTTCGGAGGTTGTTGTAGTTGGAAATTATGTGCCACAGGAATTATGAAAGAGAGACTCTTTGTTCTCGTCCACTTAATGCTCGTAACCACAGTTTTAAGCTCAAGGACTGAGATGACGAGTCTGAAGAAAAGAGAACGACACTCCTAACTCGTCTATCCTAGCTACCATAGAAGGAGAGTGTCGTGGGTTCATGATCATCATAGACAATTTTCAAGGAAGAGGATGAGGATGCTAACACACAGCAAGCAGCTTCGTCGGCTTAGAAAAATAAATCCTTCTGCTAAACGCAAGCGCAACGACGAGTAGCCGGATATATAAGCAAAAGTACAAAAACAAAACAAGATGAGGGATGCCTGGATGTTCGATTGTGATAGAAACCTATCTTTCGATTTTGACGACTGATGATAATCTGTAAATAGCATTCTGGTGCTTGTGGATCTGGTATTGTGATTTGGGAATGCGGATCTTTCATGCTGTTGTACCTCCAGCAAGGGACCTCGATCTTTGCTCACTTACAATGACCTGCTCTGCCTCTGTCGAGTGCAACTACAAGGTAGTAGAACTAGAACTCGCGTCCTAGAGCTGTAGGAGCATTTAAAAAATGATTCTTACTTCGAGCTTCTTGTTCTTTGTTCCATTGATTCTTGTATTTTCTTTTGGTAGAGTGATTCTCTTCGCAATAAAATCTTGTCATTTGTTGTACTCTCACCAGCCTGTAGCTGTACTAGCTAGTGTCATTTTTTGATCGTAGTTTGATACATTTGAGTTTAAGTTCGCTTGTTCGAGTTCCTCGTGTCAGATAATTCATTCTTTTTCGTGGTAGATTCAGTTGATTTCACTTCCTGTAATTTCGCTCTAAAAAACGCTTAGTTGTATTCAAGTCTGTGGCTCATCGCCCATGATGTTCTTCGCTGAGATTTTTTGATACATTTTCAAAGAATTTCAATTTCTACATACCAAGATTTCCAAATGCATTCTAGATACAGTTACAGTTAATATGTTCCGCTGTTCATTTCAAAACAATTTACTACAACTACTTCCCAAAAACAAAATTTTCAATGATCGTACAATTTCTAGATTCATCATGTGGATTATAAGATCACCGATTAAGATCATAGTAAGCAATTCTACGTTGTATGTTGATTGATTTTAGTACAGCGACATTCTTTCTTAATATCTGGTATGGACCAAAATGGAATAAATTGATAGAAATCAACTAGGTGGCATTGACACGAGGACCTGCGTGCCCTTTTTCTTGACGAACTTCTACATCTAACCTTATAGTTTGCAAAAAAGCGCGCTGTCTTTCATCAGTGTTCAGATGCGACACCGGACGCGCCTCTCGACAGCTGCATTTCTTCTACATCGGGGAGACGCTCTGAACTTGCCATAGAGGTAGTAGACAACCTCTTTCCTTTCTTCTGCGTCTTCTTCAATCCGACAGACTCCTGCTCCGTCAGAGATGCACGCTTTGTTGTGTTAGAGGAGGGGGCTCTTGTTGAGAATAGGGAGGTGTTCGAACGCAAGAGGAGGGGGTTGTTGAGAATACGGAAGGGATCTTGGAGGAGTTACAACAGATCAACGTGGAGGTCGTCGTGTGAGCCTTTATAGTAGATGAGATGGACGAAAAGTACTTCTTCTCAGAGTACTTGCTTCTACTCAGAGTACTTCTTCTCAGCGTACTTCTTCTCAGACTACTTCTAGTCAGGAGATCATGATCATACTCATCACAGGATCGAACGAAGATCATCCGACATTGATTCCTGTGTGTGTGTGTGTGTACCACTCACCACGTGTGTCCTCAACATAACTTTCGCCTCCTCATCCAACTCGTTCAAGCGCTCAATATCGCGAATCTTTTCCACAGAGGCATCTGCGGTTCGATCGTACAACTCCTCTTCAGCCTTGGCCACAGAAGCTCTCATTGCGGCCATCATTTCGTCATAGCCTGCAGCGTGCTTCAAATGGCTCCGACCGTGGATAATCTCTTCGTCGGAAGTTGTGCCTTGGTCGTGAAGGGTTGGTTGGAAAAAGTTAGAGGAAATGGAGATTTGGGAAAGGAGAATGCGGAGAGAATGCCCTTGTGGGGACGCACGGAATGCGGACAAGGGTTATATGTTTTCTTTTTTCAGTCCGATACCGATTCCAATTGAGTAAATTTGATCGATGAACCTCAAAAAAACATCTAAGTAAGATGATCACAAAAAATCTACTTATAGTACCAGCTCCACTTCCCCCATTTTCTCCTCCTCCTGACGCTTTCTGGAAGTATTTCATGCCCAAGTTCAATCTCAAGCCTTCCTTCGGCAACTCATACCCCTTTTTGACCACGTGCGTCGCATATTTCTGTTGCAAACGGAGTCGTGAATTCTCGCTTCCTTGCATGTGCATAAACTTCTCCACTTTGGGATCTTCGCCGATTGGGTAGTAATAGCGATAATTGAAGCCTCTCGGATTGACCTTCCTCGCACGGATAATCGGTTCGATGCCAGCGAGCTTGTTGAGGTCTTTCCACGATTTCTTCACCTCAGAAGCAAAGATTTCGACCAAGCGATCGCCGGTAAGCTCTGGATCACCTTTCATTTTTTTGGTGGGTTGTTGTTGAAGATGTTGAAGGATGAGCGTGGTGCATCACGGTTGTTATTGTTGAATGAAAACGAGATTATTATAACGTACTTCAAGTACTAGTTATTTGAAAAATTTGCAACCTCCTGGTACAAAAAAAATTATATTCGTACCCAATCTCCCATCATATGCTTGCGCGGATTTGAGCATCTGCTGAGCTTCTGTGACGGGATCAATGATGCGTTGCTCAACTTCGTCGTCCTCCTCTTCCTCCTCGCCTTCTGCCTTTTCTGCATCGGCTGCTGCTTGTGCTTCGGCTCCGGCATGAAGGAAGAGATCATGAGGGTTGATCTTCGAGAAAAATGGTGTATTTGTATAAGCTACAACTACAAAGAAAGTTATGATCATAGATGAGAAGCAAAAAGGCATAGCAAAAGCAAGGGGCTCCGGCTCGTTCGCTATCGATCAGCCAAGCACATCAAGAAAAGTTGATTACTGCTCAAGCACAAGGTAAATCCACGAGCTCATCATAATCTTGCAATTGCTGTGCGAATCGGTCATGTTGCAATTTCTGCATTCCTTCTTGGAGTTGCTTATCCTCTTCCTCTGACGCGCGAAGTGCAGCCAACCACTCTGCCGAGAGCCCTGGTGGTGGCGACAGCATTTGCATAGGCTGTGGTGTGCCAGTTAGGATGTCGTATCTTCGAGACGAAGAAGAAGAACCAGGAGCCAGCATGTTAGGTGGTGTTTGAGGTGGCATGTTCTTAGGTGTTGCAGATTGAGGCTGTGGCGTTTCTTGTTCTAATGGTTGGTCTTGTTCTTGAGGGTTGACATCAGAAGATGGATCGACACGAGCTGCGTCACCATCTGCTTCTTGCTCACCACCTTCTCCTTCAGAAGCCTGTTTATTAGGCGTTGAGGGTGGAAGTACTCCCTCTACTTCACTATTCGCTTTTGACGCTCCCTCGCCATCCTTCACACTAGCATCCGCTGAGCCTGGTGGTGCGACAGCGGCACTCGGGTCAGCAGATGCACTATCAGTAGCATTTTTACCGCTTTCTGATGCGGCTGCTTGTTCGCCATCTTTTTCACTCGGAGCTCCCGTAGACTTCCCATCTTGTTCACCTCCTGGGACAGCAGAAGACTCATCTTTAGCAGCACCGGCTGCATCAGCTCCAGCAGTTGCATCACCTCCTTTAGCAGCATCAGTAGTCGGTGATCCAGCTGCAGACCCAGAAGATTTGTCTTTACTACCAGGACCTGCCTTCTTCTTTGCTGCTGCTGCCTCTTTCTTTTTAGCAGCTTCTTCCTCCGCAGCCTTAGTTGCTAGACCGAGTTTTTCCTGTGCCTTCTCGTACTCCGCTTTGACGTAGGCGTCGAGGCGCTGCTTTTCGTCCAGGGCTTCGATCAGCTGGGGTTAGAGTCTAGCTGTTTACGTAATAATTTTAGTATTAGTTGTTGTTATTTGCCTGATGTCATCTTAAATCTGATCGACTCCTTCTCTTGCCTTCACCGCTACTTCCATGAGTCTTGGAGAAAAGCAATTCAACACCTCAGTCAGGTCCTGCTCATCCTGGCTGCCGTTCGCTGCCATCCTTTGTCTAACCTCTAAGATCGTCTTCGTGTTCTCGATGCCGCCTTTGATCATCTCACTGACGTTCCTCAAAACCGGTAATCGCAGTCCGATGAACTCTTTTTCGTTCTTCTCACGTGACAGGTTGGTTATCGCGGAAAGGGCTTGAGAGCCCTCTATCTGGACTAGCATGTCATCGCAGAACCAGGATAAAGCGTCTTGGACGGCTGGGACTAGGTCTGGGGGTTAGAGGAGGTGATACTAGTGACGTTGTTTCACGACTGCGATGCGCTTGTTGTTGAGTAGAATGGAAGTGAGTATCATTTATAATAACCTCGTTTGTTATTTACTAAGTCAAGGAATTCTGCTGGCTCTTCTTTTCTGTAGGAAGGCAGGCTGTGTAATTGCAATAAAATGCAGAAAACAAATCCTCGCCATAAATCCACGGACCCACTTGTGGGTCTTTGCGCCAATAATTGGCACACATCTTGATGATCCTCAAAATCAGCGTCATCACATCCGCTCTATCTTGTGCATATCGCCCGTTGGGATTAGAAGTAAGTATCTTCTATGACTGTGGAAGCGAAGTGTTGGAGGACACGGCATGGTGCTCGTCTGACTAGTTCTTGAAGTCCTCCTACTCGTCGAACTAGAAGCAACTTCTACATACTTCTATAAGTCCCAGTGGGGGTCCTCGTGAGGATTCTGTTTCGCTCTCGTTGCCATTACTCGTTCACTAAGCCTTAATAATCAGTTTGATGAAGCAGCTGACTGCGCTTTTTTGAATCGCATCCATTTGGGACACTGCACTAAGCCGACGCCGGCGCGCGCGTGTGAAAATCGCCTCTGGATCCTTCAGTGTTCTCCAATTCGGAACATCATCCGCGAGCTTAATCGTGCCGTCAGGTAAGGTGATATCACGTTTGTCTTGGTTTTAGAAGAGGAGGATTCCCTTTCTTGGTCTAATTTCCTGTGAAGCAAGGAGTTAGGAGTTACTTTCCCATTCCCATGAAGCAAGAAAAAGAAAGGAAGATTGTTAGTAGTACTGTTTTTACATACTGGAAATCTAAATTACAGAAACTCGATGACTCCCACTCCCAGGTACTTTTGTCATAATTCGGTGGCTTCTTTCCTCGCTTTTCACGCTTGGTGCTATCGGGTGTTGATGCCGTCTTGCTTGTTGCTCCACTGGCAGCTCCTCCAGTGACCGCTCCAGAAGCTGGACCAGATGGCGCACCAGAAGCAGTGCCTATGTTGCCACCACTAGCGCTCTCAGAAGATGCACTTTCGCTTTTGTCTTTCTTCGTTTCTTAGAGGGTGGTTGTTAAGCAGAGTGTTATTTCAACAACACCATATTCCCGTACCCGAGGTGTATCAAGAAATTACAAATTATTAGTACTTCTTCACATTGTAACTTTGCCTTTGACGTAGTAGTACATTAATAGACAAGTGCCATTTTTCAATGCACAGTTGTAGCAGCTCATTGCCTTAATTCTTCTTCGCCTCTTCATCTTCCCATCTGTCACTCCTGCACAACCGCCTCAACGTATGAGGATTGTCTCGAATCATCAAATAAAGACAGTGCAAAGCCAGCAAAAGGACATCTGCATCCCGCTGCTCCTTCTCCATCTCGCGAAGGCGCTCTAACCTTTCCTTCTCTTTCTTCATCAGTTCTTCGCGTTCCCGCTTTTGCCGTTCGGGCTTTAGAGGAAGATGATTTGCACCTATAATATGATCAAGTGATTTATTGATTAGTAATCTTCCATGATTAATACTCTTACTGCGACTGCCTAGCTAGACGAGCATGTTCTAGTCCTTGATGCAGCTGCTTCTCTTTCCCCTTTGATCACTTCGCCTACAAGTGCAACTAGTCTTCACCAACAAGTGTCAAAGAACCTTAACCTTTCAGCTTTCTGCGCTTTAGTTTCGCCTCCTTTGCCAGCACCTTTGCTCGTGCTTCCTCTACGTGGTGGCGGTGAAGCTTTGCTTCCCGCTTTGGAAGATGCTACTGTGCTTTCCCGTCGCTTGTTTCCGGGAGACGACGTTAATAGTGTTGCCGGCGTCTGGTTGGGATTAGAAAAGCAGGATGGAAACGGACTGTAGAAGTTACGGGAGTACTTGACGAGCTACTTGCGAATGCGATCTACAACTTCACTGGAAAAATTTATTTCCAATGAGTATGAGATCATTGACTCATTAGAAAGTCCTTGAAGACAACTTTTTCTCACTCTAATTACGGAGTACAAGACAATCAACTACAACCAACAAAAATCTCCCTTCCATCTCAGTCTTTTCTTCCTTCCATAACATCTACTCCAGCCTCTTGTTCGACTACTGCTACTTCTACTGGTGCGCCAAAGTCACCAGCTCCAGGAACGTGGAGGGCTAGTTCGTCCTCCTCACCTGCTCTAGCGGCTGCGACGGCCCGCAAAGACCCCTTGCTAGATGGACTACTGGTGGAGGCGGCCGAGCGAGGAGGATGTTGGTCTGGTGCAAGGTTTATTTAGAGTTGAAATTGAAGAACTCGTGATGTTGATGTGAAAGAAATATTGTAGCAGGGGTAAGGATAAGAAATATCGTAGGGGCTAACATATTCCCTCGAGACACAAAGAGAAACAACATCCCCAGGAGGACCATGCGTTCACTGTACAACATATTCATTTTCATATACTGGACAGAAATTATAACAGGAGAAACTACAAATACAAAAACAAATGCGTCATAATCAGCATCTTGATCCCCACCTGGTGTGGCTACGATTACTCTGGATTTCGAGGACGCTGCAGAGCGTGGTGGCGTTCCCCTATATGATGATCCTCCGATGGCGCTACTCCGCGTTGTACCGTCTTCTTGGTTCTCTTGACTGTTTGAGGACCCTCCTCCACTAGTCTTGTTGCAGACGAAATCCATCATGGGATCGTTGCTTTGACCTGCCACGCTTCGCTGTCCAGCTGATCCTGGAGGAGGATAGATTGCAGCTCCACCAGGAGCCGCTTCTGAACTCTCCGCGTCACCTCCGCCAGGTTCTTGTGTGCCTTTCGACTTCGCTGAAGAAGCATTGGTTCCCGGACGACTTCCGGCTTTTTTCTCGCTTTTCTTGGATGAGCCAGTACTTCTCGCGCCAGACTTGCTGGGCGACGACCCATCCGCCGCGGGAGAACCATCTTCGTCTGGTTGTTGGGCTTTGCTATTAGAGATGAAAGATCATGGAGTCAGATTATAAGTATGTTGATCTCCGAAATGGCAATGGTCTTTCGTATCAGTTAGTTCTCGAACAGAAAGAAAAACTCGAAGCTACGGAACTACGACAGAGGTAGATCTAGATGTAAGTAAGTTCTAGCGAAACTGGTCGTCATAATATTGCGTGATCCACCACGACTCGATGGCTCCTTACTCTTACGCCCACTGGCACTAGCAGCTCTCGACTCCGCTTTAGCAGCTTCCTCAGCGGCTTTTTTCTGTGCCTCTTGCTCAGCTGCAGTCTTTAGAGCCTCTTCCGTTACTAACAAAACATTTCCAAGGACACTAGATTAGATGCATTTCGCTATCCATGAGTGTGTACTTCTTATGTGGTAGTTGATGTATGCGACTGCACTTTGTTTGCAAACAGAAACACCCCCCCCGAGCCATAACTCTTCTTCCAACCTTCTAGCTTCCTCAGCAGCTTTTGCTTTCTTCTCCGCTGCCCGCTTGAGGTCCTCCTCTCTTTCTTCCTTCGTCTTCACAGACTTCGGCACTCGCGAGAAGAGTGGAGGGACGGCTAATTGTTGCAGCAGGAGGAGAACCCACTCCAATGCTCCACTGGCGAAGAGTTCCACTTGGTTCTTCATGTAACAGTCTCGGATTCGTGTGTAGAAGTCACAGAATTCTAGTGTTCTCCTTTGCGTATCCAACCAAGCCTTTCGATCGCGGTCAATCTGTATCTTCCTCTCGTCTCCGGAAACGAGTCTAGTGTCGTCAACGTCATGTTGGGATGTGGGGTCGTCTCGGAGGCGTCGTGAGTTAGAACAGTAAGCTAAACCACCATGAAAAAACATCCGAGAAAAAGGATTGATGGATTCAATGAGCGACCACTGCAAGATTCAGTTGTGTTACTTATATTTCAGGACACCCTTACTAATCAGAAGTAACTTCTCAAAACCCAAAGAACCCGATCATACTCTCAAGTATGTCATAATGATAGCATCCGCATCCGATTCTGAAAGTAGCACGTTATCTCCTGCTGAAACGTAGCCACTAGTAGTCGTAGCCTCACCTCGAGTGTTGTCCAAATCGCTTGTCGTGTGGTTCAATAAAGCGACACCATCTGCAGTGGGGTCTGAAACTGCACCACCTCGACCTCCAGGTGAACTATAGTTGTCTTTGTCAGAACGACCCTCATAGTAGGAAGGAAGATCGTCATCCTGTTGTGGTCTGGTTGGCGTGGAGTCTCCACCTGGTGGTAATTGGCTGACTAAGTTAGCCCGTGGCATCCGAGGGACTTTGAAGACAGCTGGTTTTAGAGCTTTACAAGAAGAAGAACAACTGGAGTGCCTAGTAATTTGTGTTGTTGCAATGTTTTCCAGCACTGATTTCTAAACTCAACCTTGCTACTTACGTACTTCTCTTTTACTTCTCTTAAGTAAAGTCTAAATTCCAACCAAGCGATGACGAAGCCTGCCTCGCTCTACCTACAAAGGAAAAAAAATCATCGTCATCAATCATGAAACAGCATTCATAAATCTGATCGGTGCAGCATTACGCGCTCAGACGGGTATCGCATTAATTGATGTTCCGTTTTGACAACGCTGGCTTCCAATTCCGGTTCACTCTGGCCTTTGTAATACCTCACCTTGCCCAAGAAGATATCTCCAGCAGTTCGTGTTGTCACTGGGAGTTAGAGGAGGCTGTAGAGATAGAGTTATGTTGTAGGATTCTCCAGCAACAGTTTTTCCTGGTCTAACGATAGTGTTGATAGAAAAAAGTCGTACACAGACAACTAGCAGCACGCCCATAAGCATGACCATTCTTTTCCCCTAATAAGGCAGGTAGGAGCACCCGATTTCTAACTAAGAATCAAAGCATCCTCTTCTTCTTTTTCTCTTAAAGATAGTGTGTCAGCATTTCGTCAGCTGATCCTATGCTCGAGTGCATTTGCACCCTCTGTTGGTTTTCGTTGTGACTGCTCTCCGCTAGTCCGTCAAGTTTACCGTAACTTAGATGGTGAACTTGAGGTAGGGAAGGGAATCACTTGACTTTTTCTTTTGTCTGACAATGACTATAATAACTTGACTTTTGTAATAGCAACGCGACTCGACTTGCTTGAACACTTGATGGAGGATCGGTAATACTCAACTCATACTCAACATGGGTTAGTTTTCATGCTACAGTGGACCTCTACGACGAAACCACATCAGAACAAGACATAGAGTTACAGTTAGAGTCTACCACATTAGAGTCTTTCCTTTGCCGTAAGTAAAGCGTATCCGAGCGCCGTTGTGCATTTGTCGGTCGAAGCGGCAGACCTAGCTGCTCCGGCGATACCTTGACGATGGCTCGCTGATGCGCCTTGCTCAGGAAAAAGTCAATAGTCGAAGGAGCACAGAGTCTTTGCAGGAACAAGAGAGTTAGAATTCTGGTCCTGCTGCCATCCTTACATCCAAAATTCAATCCACGGGGATGTCTAAACGGGAGGAAGGAAGAGAGTTCTGCTTGTGCTTGTGGCGTATGAAAATGAATGACGATGACCCATCTTGTTAACTGAATACTTTCGTAGAAGCAAGTAGTTAATGTAGAGTGAGTGTGGTAGTGGTACTATGAATGCTATAGTATAACAACCAATAACAATCTGTATGTAGAGTCTACATTCTTCAGCCTTTGCCTTAACAAAGAGTTCAGCAATATTTGATCGCTTTTGAAGTTCTGCGACGCTGCTTGAATGACGTGAAAGTAAAGCTGGCCGCATCCCTCGATGCTCGTGAGAGACCGTGCGTCTAAATCAGCAATGCATCCCATCAATGCAATCGTATAGCCCAATAGCATAAGGAATGAAGCAGGGGGGTTGTTCTTGTTGTAGGCGTAGGAGAAGAACAACAAGTAAGATCTGTATTGCAGATTGAGATCATGACAATTGAATCTGTTGTATCTAGAAATGACATCATAACTCATTTCCAATAGGTTTACCGACCACCGGTGTGTGTTGGCGGATTAAGCGCGAAAAGGTCTGACACACCAGATGGACTGAGAGTGGAGTCAGCAAGTAAGACATCACACTCTTGCTGCAATAGGGCCAGCGCAACACCTTGAGCAAGATTTCCAAACAGAGCTTTGCGATATACGTCATATGGGCAAATTGGTTCAGAATCATGCACACCCTCTGCACCATCCTGCGATCGATCGGCGTATCGCCATTCAAAAGAAAAAATGAACAAAAGGAGGAGAAGGAGGAGGACGAGGACAGGGATACTGATGCTATCGTCATGCCAATGCTAAAGAATACAAGAGATGATGATCATGTCAAAGTCAAAGATAATAACGCCGCTAAACCTTGTAAGTAAAACTAAGTATGTCCATGTTCATCTATCACTGTGTCATAAATCTTCCAAAAAGAGGACTGAATCTCGAATTTCCGCAGATTTGGAGAGGTCTGGCCTTTCTCCTGTATCCACCAACTTTTCTTCCTCAGAGGATGTTCCCGTATCCCTTTCCACTCTGCGACCCAAAATAACGGCATCTTTTCCAGGTGTCACCCTCTTACCACCTTCTTTCTTCTTCGTCGACGAAGGAGGTGCCATCTTGTCCTATTGTTTTTGGTCTTGTGCAGCTGGTTGCATGTGCATCATTTAGTTTTCTTGATTCTGGTTCTTGTTCGCCTCAAGCGAAAACACTGCACCTCTTCCTGTCCATGGTAAAGGTAATAGATACAGCGAAAAAAGCTAACTACCACTAGAGCAGGGGCGAGGAAATTCTAATACATTGAATGATTGTCATTGTGCTGCATGATCAAGAAGTAAATCATTAAACCAAAAATTTTTACTCAACAAGGCTGATGTGGATGGATTACTAGAAAGCTCTACATTCCTAATTTATTTTACATCTACTAAAAATACTTTATGTTTCTACTAACTACTTAAAGTTGAAGTGCTCTACTAACAATTATGAACGGGATCATGTAACAATGTTCTGCCAATGGATAAGATCAACCGACTCATGATGCTCGAAGTGGACCTTTTTCGGAACATTGTTGACATAGTTATGAACGACCGAGAGGACCGAATTCAAGACCGTGACCGAGGATGCTGAGCTTCTTTTTATCTATACGTCAACCGGAGTAATACTACGTACAGACCGATGAAGAAACGTCGTCAAGATTTTTTCTTCGGATAAGAAGCACACTATGGATGCAAACCGACTTATCAACAAGATTGTCACACAGAGACTGAAATTGCCGCTCCTTCTCCGTTAATCAGTTCTCAACATGCGCGGTTCTGGAAGACGACACACCACAAGAGTGTGTAGTCGTGTGTAGTCTCGACGATGTTTCTGGTTACAGGGGTCTTTAATTGTTACTTTGTCACTGTACAATATTCTTCCTAAGGGTCTTCGACATTTTTGCAAGAGTCTTTGTTAGATGTGGGTCTGGGTTACTCTTACTACATACTAGTTGCATCTCAATGATTGTGGGTGCTTTAATGCATCTTACTTGGGGTAAATTACACGCATGGGTGTGGGTGTTCTTTTTCGTTGCTTGTTTGTTGTATTCGTATTGTTGAATTCTTATGGTGGGAGAGTGTCTTATAATTTCGTAGTAGTAGTTTCATGCTGACAATAAATGTGGCTTGGTTCTTTTCGTTTCATTCTTGTACGTGTACAACCATGACAATCATGTGAGAAATGCAAATGGTATAACTGCTATTTTGTTTTTATTGTTCATTCTTGTACGTAGTCAATGTGGATGTTTGCATTCAAAAATCTTATTCCTATTTTCTTACTCTTACATCTTATATGCTGTTCTTGTTGTGGACGCGTAATTGGTAATAAATAATTGCTTTTCTACTACTAGGTTCGTTGAGATCGACGGATCCTCTTTTCATCAGGGACACTGGGCTTCACACACACTATTTATACGTATTCGTAGTACTTTTTTACGATGTAGTTCTTGTCCTCAGATTTTTGCTCTTATTGAATGAAAATGATATAATCAAGATGCACAGCGTGGATGTGGGTCATTTGTTAGTTGGAATGTCAGAAATGCAGAATATACTTTCGTATTGTTGTCATTTATGATAATCGAGGAAATCGTATTGCGAAGTGGACTTTCATTGTAATGTTGAATGATTGATGAACAAGTTCAGCGACGAGATGATAGTTCTTTCATTTGTAGTACCGTAATGCTCTTTTTATGATGTTAAACTCTTCAGACGATTGAGGTAAATGATATTGAATAGATAGTGTGGGATACAAAGTCTCGGTTGTGGTATCGTGTTACTGGTATCGAGTGCGTAATATTGTGAATGGTTGAATTAGATTCTCAGATGTGTATTGATATCCTTGTCGGTGGTCAGGCTTTCGGATGATAATGCATACGGATTTTGGAGAAGGTTTTTGAATTTGTACTCATGACGGAATTGCGTTTGCGGAAATTGGGTGTATGAAATCAAGTTGAAGCAACATAGCAAGGTGGGATACTACGTCAATATAGCAACGTGGGTGAATACTGATGGTTTGATATTCAGTCATATTGTTCTTGGATCTTTTTGTTTTCCTTACTCATGATTACTAGTACGTTTTTCGGAATCGGAGAAACAGCTAAGTATGATTTTTGAGGTCACCGACGTGAGAACGTCGCTTCTTGGTAACCGCCTTCTGACTTGGAAACGACATTTCCACTCCTTCGCTTTCTTTCAGTAGCATCGTAGCGAAATTTTTCTGTACAGCTACGCGCCAGCTCCTAGTCTTACAGTTACGTGAGGTGCTTTATGCTGTGATGTTGAACTCTTTGTCGTTGAAGGTAGCTTATCTATGATCAAGTACTGTGCACTAACTATTCTGAGAAGATTGGTTTGTTGCTGTTCAGTTTGTGAATGCAATGCTGTACACAGGAAAAGAACAGTTTGTGGTCCTTCTTGGAACTACCTAAATAACAAAAATCGGTAACGGCGCAAGACTGGAGTTGCACATCTTGGGTGCTAGCTTATGCACAAAAAAAATTTCATCATATTCAATCAACATACTTCTATTTCATACATGATGATCATGATGTGACATGATACTGTTTTGTTAGTAGTACTACAGAATTTCACTGCCATCAACACTCACGACAAGTGGATGACTTTATCTTCCTTTCTAGTACAACGATGATCACAAGTGATCACCTTGTTCTGGTGGCTGGTGCTTCTGAGCTACTACATCAAAAACTTTGATCTGTTCTTTTCAGGTCGCCAACCTGTGCCCCTTCAGTCAACTCCTCCGAGGAGTCAATAACTACTTCTACTTCTAGCGAACCCCGACAAACTGTTAGATCTAGTAAGGATTACCTGCACGACAGCCAGACATCCTTAGATACAGGATCGCCTTGATGTCGTATGTTGTCACTGATTGTTAACAAGATCATGTTCGACTACTTCTCTAGAACAATCAATAACAACACGAGGGTATCTAAATGTAGAGATATCACCAACTAAATCATCAAAGTAACTTGTCGTTGTCTTTTCTTTCACCCCAATGTCCTCGTCCATCTCCTGTCCCTCCTTAGGTATAGGTCGATCTTGATACTTACAAATAACAAGTGTTAATCTCCTCTCTCCCAGAGCCTCCACACCTCACTTATAAAAAGTCCCAGACCGATTCTCTTTTCATCCCTTCCACCTCGGTCCTCTCTACTACGTACACCAAAAAACAAAAGGGAAGTGCAACACAAGGATAACATACCTCCCCGTTTTAGTTTATATTTATATTCGTATCACACTTCTATTTTTTTTCTAACTAGTAACTAAACTTTTACTTTTATTTCATCACGTTCTGCCTCAACTACACCTGCTCCTTAGACATTCGCTCCAACCTAGCTCCTCCTGTTCGTCTCACCTGCCCTCTAGAGACAAAGGTGCGTGGACGGTCTTAGGGGGTGATTGGACGCGGCGTATTCACTTGGCCGTTGCCAAGATGACTGACTGTTGCGGCTGCAGCTTTCGTGCTTGGACTCTCCGTAGGCGGCCCTGGAGAGGATGTAGAAGCAGCTGATGATCTCTGGATGATCTCTGGATGATCTCCTTCTTCATCTGCCTGGCCCTGGCTGCCGTTCGCGCCTGCGGTAGGCGTAGGCACCGCAGCAGCAAGTCTATTTACTGCGTCTCCGCCGGACTGCAAAACCGGCAACTCCGGATTGCCGATCAGCAGGAATGTCTTCTTCGGCTTCTCGGAATCCTCGCCAACTTCTTTTTAGAGCTCTTTTTTTCATCCCAACAACATATAATTGATTGTTCTCAGAATCTACGTGAGATAGAAGGAATAACAAGAATCTGTGAAGACTGTGAGTCGAAAGTGATGAAAAGGATCTGAGTATCATGCTCCATAAGTTTTGATGCAGTACACTTGCTCCTCCTTGTCATCTTCGCCAAGTAGTCCCAGTGCGCGGCGCGCAATCTGCGTCTTCGTCAGTGTCACATGTCCTTTTGGTTGGACCTCCTTTTGCACGATAGTCTTGTGGTCACCGTCATTGTGGACTTCGTCCTTGATTCGCGCTTCCGACTCCCACATTTCCTCCGAAATTTTTATGTTGTTTGCGGAGTCGGACTGGGTCGTAAATCCACCAGGGCATTCCTTGATCAGTTGGACGGCGAACTCGATGAGCGTTTTCTGATCGTCAGTTTTCGCAGGTCCATACAGCTCAGACGGACCCGCATTCGACGTTCCCTCACGCATCACAACACTGTCCAGTTTCTGAACACGCCTTCATTAGAGATGAAGATACAGCTCATACTTGCAATTGCTTGATGGTTGGGTCTTTTAGAAAAACTAGTAGATTGAACATCAAGTTCAAGATCTCTTAGAAAAACTAGCAAATCTTCAATGAGCATAATTACTCATTACAATGAACAATATTCAACCTCAAGGAAGATCATGCCGGACATCAAGTATATGGACATTAGAAACAAAATGAAAATTCATGAAGTAGCTATCAGCACTGCTGTCTACTTTTACAACGGGCTAAGATCGTACGCAAGGTAAAACTCTACCATTCATCTTTCTATCATGTCTTCGTCTTAACCTACGGTATCGTATGCATGCCACCAGCCGAAATTGATGCCATTGCCGGCGTCCTTGAGTTCTGCCTGCCTCTTTTCGTCCATGAAGCCCTCCATTTTGGCCCTGACAGCTCCCTCTTCATCGTCAGGAAAAAACTGCTGAACATTAGAGGAAGAAGAAGAGCAATCTTGATAGTGTCACTGATTACTGACTATCTTCAGGCTCCTCATTTGCTACTTTTGGAATGTGATGGATGCGGATCAAAATCAATACAAGTGCGTGTATTATAGCAACCTATAAACTTAAAGAAAGAGTGTTCGTGAAAACCAGCTTTGCCTATTCATTTTCGTCTCAAAAGAACGAAAAGTTCGACTCATCTATTACATCGGTTTCACAGCCCAGCTGTCTTACACTTACCCTTACGTTAAATATAATAATAGACACTTGCTCTTCATGAAAAGCGTTACTAGATATATCGCCACCAGACAAAACATGTACATGGTTGACGAGAATGGAGTACCTATTTCCACATGATCTACGACTACAGTTCTTTAGCTTTACACTCCTAATACAAAGTACTAATATTACAATTTTTACAAGAACCAGTTATTTTCTAGTACTACAAATAGTCCAGTATCCATTTCCTTTAATTTGTTTTAACCTTGCTTAACCTTGAGAATGCTGCTGTACTTGTTTAGGATTTGTGAACTCCAGTCGACAACCCGTTCCTTGAGGCGTAAGGAAGAGGCCTTGGACACGCGAAGTCCATACCAACCGAGCATCTGCCAATCCAAGGAGTCCCGTATGGCAATCTGAACCGCAGTATCGACTTCGGTGGTCTCCGTCCCGTAGAGAGCTGTCGTATCTTTCTCCAGTTGTTCAAGAACTGCTGCATTTTCACCAGTCGAATCATGAAAGAAAAAGAGGAGTTCAGAGCATGCATGCATATCTGTTGTATCCTGGCGGGGCTGCCCCCTCAGTTTTACATACAATCAACGAGGTAAATAAGGACAACGAAAATAGAAGTGAAAACAAAGTCAAAGAGGCAGTAACTTCAAATCTTAACTGCGATCATCATGAGACCGATCGTTCAATAGTTCTGATGAGGAGGTGGATCATGTTCTACTTCTAATTGAATCGAAGATCATCACAAAAAGATGAATGAAACAAAGTGATATACTCTTCTATTTTACTCCTGGAAGTTAAAGGGTCCTCGCTAGAATTTTTCTAATGAATTACGCAGCATAAGAACTTTCACCTCCAAAGATGTGCTCCTTGACGAGCTCACGCACTGTTTTGGCGTTGCTTCTCGTTTCTTCAAAAAGGGAATTGATCTTGTTCCGGCGCGGGTTGCCAGTTGGTGCGATGAACAGGTACTTCGAAAGCCGGAAGTATGAAAAGGGAAAGTAGATGTAGAGGAAGATACAACTTACTTGTTACTACTTCTATGTTTTAGTGTTACTATTATACTTTATGTTTATCATGCGTGTCAACCTCATAGTCATGAGTCAAGACGAGATATTCTGATTCTGTGCGTCTAACTCACTTTAAGTACTTAATATTAAGTCCCGCTCGTAAGATGAGGTCTCCGCACATGATGTAGATGGCGTCTTTCATGACTGTCCGTGATTCGTGGAGCTCGGCTTCACCAGTATTGCGCCCACTAGTACAGTCCTGCTGAAACTGCTGTGCAAGCAATCCGCGCGTTCCCTGATTGGGAGCGACAGTGAGGATCTCGCCGATGAGGTTCAGATGTTTCGCACTTTCTTAGAGGATGAGGATGATCCTTGACGGTGATGCACACTGTTCCAATAAATATGAAATACCTAAATTAGTGATTTTCTTCTACGAGTGATGTAGTCTCCCAATATCTTCTGACTCAAAAACGTGAGATGAAAGCTCCCCCACAGCCACAGCACTCTTCAAAAGTTAGAACCGAAGACCACGGGAAAGTAGATTAGGAAAGCAAAAATGCAGCAGTCGACTCGGCCATAATTTCCTTTCCTCTCGTTTTTTACGACCACACCTTTCGCAATCCCATCGTCGGAGTTTAGGCCGAACAACTTCATCAGACCTTGCTGCGCCAGCATCACCTCCAGAATGTTCTCCTGGGTAGTTGTGGAGTACAAATCCAGACTGCGATGGTCTTTGATATGCGTAGGGTACTTGCCCGCAAAGTCGATGCCCTCGGGAAGTGAGTGACCGAGCGCGTCATTGAGATGCGTCTTGCCGACCGGTCCACCCCAGACATAAACCGTAAAGCCATTCTGGTTCTTGAAGATGTGGTACTCGAGCTCGGTCTTATGCACGCGATTGTAGAAAGCGATCCAGAACAAGCGTTTTTTCAGCGCCTGATCTGCAGTGCTCAGGTTCAGCTCTTGATTTGCCTTCTTGCTCTTCGTCTTCTCGTGCTCGTCTATTCTGTTCCGCAGATCAGCAAAGAATTAGAAAATCATAGTCATACACTCAAGAAGAAGAAGAAGAAGATATGCTAGCAAGCTGTGCACGAGATCATCGATATCGAGAAGTGATCGGATGATTTGTTCAGTGATCATGAAGATGCATTACGAAACATAGAATTGAGACGTTTTAGAGCTTCTACTTCTTCTATGGAAAAATCAGATACCCGAATGCAGTGCACGTGCATACAACAATTTTCTGAAACAAACAAATTTTAGGTATCAATCTAGAATTAATACCTACCAAGGGAATTGAATACTGATATTGTGAGTGGGTGCACACTCCTTTTGCATTCGAGATAGCCATAAGCCTGTCCAAGCGCTGCCTTGTTCTGCCAGCCATCACCTGAAGGTGGTGCCTTTGGCAGCTTGATTATTTCCTTCTTGCTTGTCCTGGGATACGCCGTCAGCACCATGTCATTGTCATCTTCTTTCATTCCCGTATCATCTTTTTTCATCAGTACGCTCCTAGTGGTGACATAGTGGTATCCTTTCTCCAGGAGACCTTTCATGATGAGCGTACTCGCCTCGACCGACTCGATGCGGAGATCGTTTTTCCCAAGCGCCGTTTGTCCTCCAACGGCCATCACGAGTGCCCATCTCGAAGCCTGCGACTTCGCGTTAGGCGATTTGGACTGCTCCGATGGCGTAATCTCTTGTTGAGCCACGACTTTTTCGAGTTGCATTTGTTAGAACAGAAAAGTGAACAGCGACACTGAGATGAAAAATAATTGTGAGTAGATAATAGTAGGAACAACTGAGTACAAGTACATGAGGGAGATGTAGCCTACATAACGATTCTGCTTGGTCTACGACAAATGGTCTTGATTATAACGATGAAGAGGTTGCTTATGTCACCAAAACGACGTACAACGCAGAAAAGTATAAGTATGAGTTTCTATTTTTTTCCTGGTCTAGGCCTGCTGGGCACTAGCCAGGACAAGGTGCCGGGATTGACCTACATACTTCCATATGTTTGATCGTTTTTGTCCGTAAGGACCGCATTTAGCAGAGTGGATTTCCACATCCTCAAGTCGTGTAAGCGCCATTTCTGAAAGCTGAGCCATCATGGGTTCTGCAAACGCTTGCTTCAAGTCCTGTTTTCGTTTTGCATTTGCAGCGATAAAGACAAGTACAACTATTACAATTGCATCAAGTTGAAATTATGCGAGAAAACTAAGAATGAAAAAAAAGTTTCTTCGTGGTTCAACATATGTCGAGTGTATGAAGTTGAAGATGGTCTACTTCGAGTTTGTACTTCTAAAGAAAGAATAAAACCATCATAAACATCATAAATAGATACCTGTCCAAGAACAACTATCGTGTTCGGAATCTGTTCGCAATGCACCTTTCCCGTATTGTGTTCCTGGTGGCCGAGACTGCCCAGTACAATCCCGGTCTGGTAAGTGCGCCACAGATTCTGTTGGTTAATCGGGCTCCAAAAGATCGCCCAGGCGAGCATTGGATCCATATTTAGTGCTTTCCACTCTGGCTGTTGCTCCCGATACTCACCCCAGTCTGGGCACTTGTCACTTGCAGTTGGATTCTGAGTCTGACAGTACGTCCATTCTGCTTTCGCAGCCACTTGATAGGAATTTTGCATTTGGTGCTCCATCGCTTCGATTGCCGCTTGTTGCACAATTATCCCAGCCGTGTCGAGATTCAGACTCTCGCTTTCACTCTTGTCAGCCAACATGCTACAAGCAAGAGTGGGACAGAACCCGGTGTGCCATTGTGCCTTGAAACCCGCTTCCGCACCAGTGGTCGTGTAGAGTGGAAAATTCTTTCCAGCTGCCTTAAGAGCATGCAGACGAGCACTCGTTGCAGGATTTTCACTCGTCCACGACAATTATGAACAGTAAAGATTTTCTTTTTCGTGCAAGAACTCAACATATCGAGGAAGCGACCAACTTGGATTTTCAATCAATCGTCCAACATTTTTTGACACCCAAATAATATGCGATGAGTCCAACTTTCTTTAAATGCATGCTAGGTAGAAATGGAGAAATTCGAGTCGGAATACGGACATAAAGATGGAAAGCAGTTCGTTGAAGATGAAGAAGTGGTCAAAAAATAACTAAGATGAGATAGGGGAAGGAAAAAGGATAAATAAAAATATAAGTTTCAATGAATTTGCACATGGAACACTCTGCATCACCCAGATCATTTCATGTTGAGTATAACCAATGCAAAAGGAGGTCTTAAGTCTAAAACAACAGTTGTATATGAAGTTTTCGTAAGTCCGATTTCTCCTCGATCATTGGCGGCACACCTCCCTTTTCTTCGTGATTGTACAGCTCTCCAGTATAATCGCAGACCGCATCGTCCGCCCCCGCTTTCTCATGCCTAAGCCAGTAGGCGACGGAACATTAGAACTAACGTAGAATTATCCTTCAATCTGAAGAGACAACTTTATTATAGGAACGACGTCGGCGCATCTTTCTACAGAGATTTGGGAAAGTGAAACAACTGCGAAAAATGTGATCAGTGTTATAACAATTGTGCTGAAATCCAAAATGAAAAGCCGTCCGTGTGGATTATATCAGCGAACAGAAGAGGATAAGGAAGGGCACCTCCAGAAGGATATCAAGACTGCTTCCAATAGGTCGATACCCAACTAAACCTGTCTTAATTTGCGTCACCTCGGACTGCGGCTAGCCCGATGACGTTCGCAACTTCTTCGGGCGTGAACGGCTGTCCAGTCTTGGCTTGTGCAGCATTATGATTATTGCCGTGTTGCGGACAGATCTTGTTAAAATCTTTGAGTTCGGCATTTTGCGACATAATCGCAGTCTGGATGTTTTTCTTCGCTTGGTCTAGCGACACTTCTCCGCCCTCGACTACAGCACCTGCACCTCCGCCGCTCGGATCCGAGCCCGTGTATGGACGATCGCTGCCTGCGGACGATCCAGATCTTGTAGTACTAGAAGTAGCATCTCCATCACCTGTCTCCCCCTTTTGTAGTAGACTCCCTGGCTGAAAAGAAACTCCAAGGCCTGGTCTAGGCATGGACTCCTTGGTCTCTTCGTCTTGCTGGTCTGTTGTAGACTCCATCCAGTAGTCGTGGTCTCCTCCCCAATAAGTTGTTTCGTAATCATTAGAGCCATCAACTACGTTGAAAAGATGTCTATACGACCAAAACCAAATATACGTTCTTGTTGTAAATCAATGTAAGAAGAAGTACTATTGATCTATTGCTACATTTAGATGAACGAAGAAGCTGTTGGTGAACAAGAACTTGAAAAGAGGAAGGACAAACTTATCCACAATTAGACAATGAGATGAATTGAAGTAACAGTAATCTTATGACATTGATAAGTCTTGTTCCAATTGCCTTAATATAAATCATTATCGCACGAGTTCCGCGTAGATTCCCGTATTTCCGGATCTCGTAGCCCAGCACAGAGAGAAGTTCATGCTGGAACAACTCGAAAAGCAAAAAAAGCTGCACCCACTTCATCTTGTCCATAGATGTTTGTGTGCTTGATAAAGTTGCCTATCTGATAGATGAAGTCGATGGACCTGAAAAAAGGGGTTGGTATTAGACAAGGAAATAGTTGCATCACGAACAAGGGATCGTTCAGAAGGAGAACTAGAACGTGAACATCGGCACCATAAGCATACATTTTTTGGACAAGCCAAATTCAATTTCAAGAGGAAAGATCGATGTGGTTGTAGTTGTATTTTTTACCTGAAAAGATTCGCTGCTTGCGTGTGTGATGTCCTTGTCGTCGTGATATCTTCCGCCTAGTGCACTTTGATAATTATTATTATTGTACGTTCGCGATCGTTCAACAACAACCTCTCCGCCTCCGTCTTTGAATCATATAATCCTAGAACAATGCTGCAGATTGCGCAAACGCGTACTAGATGTTCCTTTGTGACGGCAAAAACCTGGTGGTGGATGGAAAATCGATCAATTATCATGGAGGGGATTGGGAATTGATCATGTTGGAAATTATGAAAGCAAGATCAAGATGTAAACATCAGAATTGAACAAGTTCTTCTTATTCTGGTCTAGATTCATTGTGTTAATCTTCTATAAGAGTGAGAATCTTAAAACACAAATGATCAATACGAATACCAGTCCTTGTCTGTTTCAACTCCTGCCACTCTTGTTCGCCTCGTAGTCGTGCACGTACAAATCCTTCTCCTTCAAATGATTTTTCGTCTTCCTCCAAATCTTTCCGCTTTTTTTGTTGTTGGTCAACTACCTGTAGTAATTTGTATTGCTGAAACAAGGACTACATAAAGCAAGGTGAAATTGTGGTTGTGGGAAGTGTGTAGGAATTTGTAGAAAAAGTTCAAGTAGTCTGTTAGAAGTGGTCGTAAGCAGTAGTTTTTCCGTTTCACGTTCACCTTTTTTTGCATAAATTTCTCAGTACTCTTGCTCTTCGTCCTCTTCCTGCTGTATGGCCTGTGCCTTTTTGAATCCTTCTGGATCTCCAGGATGGTGTGCAAGTCGGTTCAATCTACAAAATTCAATCTGCAACTGCAAGGTTATTGTGAGGTCATACTGCTCGTACTCCCGCAAATAGCAATAGTCTCCTTGTTGTTAGTTTTCAAGAACCTGTTTTGTGTTTTTGATTATTCTCAGTCAAATAGGGTAGAGACACCACTACATAATTGCGTGACATCATCACGTGATATCATTTGTTCGCGTTCTTCACATCATCAAATAAACTTTCTTCTAGTTGCTCCAGGACGTACTTGTGACTCGAAATGTTCTTGTACTGTCAAGATATACAAATAATATGGCGAAGGAAGTTGTAGTACTAGGCATTAAACATTCCCGGTCCTGCCTGCGGAGGATATCAAGGATGATTCAGGGGCTGTTCGAGTAAGTTGGGAGGGCTTGATGTGGTTCGTAGTTGTTGTGTGCGAGTTTGCGTTAGCGTTTCACCTGCTTCGAGTCCTCGTTACCGCCAATCGAGCCACCAGGTGAAGGGGAGTTCCTTCAGGACATCCACTTTTTTGGTGTTCGTGATGAGAGTTCGTAATGTCGTTTGCAATTTGTTGATGATCTATATCTTCAGTTCCTTCTAGGCTCTTCTAGGACTAGGTTGTAGTTGTACCTTTTCGTTTTCCTCGTACTGAAAAGAAACAAGAAGCTTGATCTTTTTCTATTTTTCCTAAGTGGGTTATTGTGAAAGTTTGTTTCCATGAAAAGATGCTCTTGTCCTTGGGATTGGTATCAGGGTGCATGGAATTCAAGGTCGTCAAAATGGAGGTGGACGGATAACGGAGAGCTGAATGCTTCATCAATCGATTTTACGATACTGCTTCTACGAGTAGTAGTCGACCTCGTTGTATGTCACTCACACTCAATGATTCGAAATATCATGGCCGACTTTTCTTGTCTCTCGTTTGATTCCGTTTGTTGTGTTGCGTCGAAAATGAGTACGATGTTGCGCAATTGCATTACATTCACTGCTTCCTTCGCGAGCTTATTTTTATATTATTTTACGATTATCTTTGCTCCTTACAACACGGCGAGAGATTACCCATGAAATCGATGTCGTCATCTTCATCTTCAACGATAGAAGATATCAGAGTCTTCTTCTTCATCTTTACACGAAGAACAGCTAGTTGCAGATACCGGACTTCCGAAAATTGTAGTACCCGCAAGAGAAATCATAGTAAGTCACTAGACCTCCTGGGGTGAAATGATCCCGATGAAGGACAAGGACGTGTCATTAATCTCTAGCATACCAGTGCCAGTCGTGGTCATTAACATTATAGTCTACGTACTTCAGTAAAATTTCAGTCTGAGGATCATGCTTCATCATGAGAAGATTGACGCATCAGGAGAAGATTGACGCATCATGAGAAGATGGACGCCGTACTCCGCAATAACCCCAATTCTTGCGCTGGTGGAAGCCTTGAGAGTGTCAACTCCAGGTTTCTGTACGGTAAGCCGGGACTTGCGCTGGCTATACCGCTGAAGCTTAGAAGCTGAAAGAATTTGAAGAGCAGTAGTTTCGTTTGGGTTCCACTTTCAGCTTGTTCTCAACTTTTTTCAAATCAAGGTTGGAAGGATGGGCATCCACCATCCCCAGAGGGATAAAACGGGAGACAGAAGTATCATACTGATGCGTTAAAAAGAACGAGGAGAAGCAAAATAGAATCAAGGCGACGAAAAACAAAAACAACGCAGCACATCATAAGAAATTTTGCGCTGGATTATTTCGTGCTGAACCGCCGTTGTTCACCAGACCGTCAGGTTGATTCAGTTCATGTACGGAAAGACGCTTTTCTCCTTGCGAATCGTGGACGAGTCGGGATATTGGAATGTCCGAATTCTGAGGTTGTGCGCCTAGAAGGGACGCAATGGCCGTAGTTCCTCCGCCAGTTATTCCTACGAATGCACCTCCTGCTCCTCTAGTGGATGTGCTCGTTGATGAAGTAGGTCATGAAAAGGTAAGTGTCGTGACGTGTACTATGTCATCACTTGCAGCAGTCATACTTGCACTACTGCCATTACCAAGATGAATAACCGTCTAAAAAGAAGTAGATTTGCGTTGTGTAAAAAGAAGTAGATTTCCATTGTAGTTCATGTTGTACAACTTGTTTAGCGTTTCACTGAACTACATCCTTAAACTCTTCCGCCTGGTCGCCAGCGTTCTCGAAGGGGATACGGAACAGCATGGTTGCAACAGTCCATCAGCAACAGACTCACCGTACAGAGATGCCCTTCTTTTTCCTGCTTCTAGGATTGTTGGTCCCGTGTTGAGTGAGGATGATGAACTAGACGAGCTCCCTTGCGTTCCAGTAGTCACGTCGTCCGCTGCTGGAAAAGGAAAGAAGCTACTTTTGACAGCGCCTCCGTATGCGCTCTCATTAGCGTGGGCTTCTATTCATCTAATCTTAGTAATGTCCGATCTTTCGTAAGAATATTTCTTCTTATCCTTGTAACATCAACCTGATGTCCTTTCTTGGGTCATCCTACTAGTCCCAATTGAAATCTTTTTATCTCTTCTCATTATATGAAGTAGATTCTGCTAGTACTGGTACTAGTGAATAACATCACGGGATGTACTACGTTGAATAAAATGTTTTAGCTTTTTTGCGCATCATACTGCAACTGCACCTGCCCAACCTACTTTACAAAGCATATTTGAAAAGCACGCCAAAGCCTTACCTCCATAAGATGTGATGTTCGCGTTGTACGAACCCTTAAGGTAATAAGGCGACGACGACCCTGCATGCACGATCTCGACTTCGTGGCTGTCCACAACACATTTTTTCTGGCACTCGTCAAAGAAACCAGAAAAGAAAGCCATGGTCTAATCGTAATGGTTGTTGTTGTTGTTGTTCAACATCAGGAGCTACTCATCAGTTATAAATACAACGTCGTTGTTGTCGTGGGACTTCAGACTTTGACCATTAAGCAGCGGGAGGGACTAGGGAGTCCTGGGACAAGAACCCTCAAGCTCTTTTCAATCTCAGACGTGTTTTGTTGAAAAATCGCTTATCCTACTTCCTCTGATCTCTACGACTGAATCTGCGTCGCATGACTGAGACTTCTGAATCTGATGAACTACTTTCAAAATACAGTACAAAGGGGTTCACCACGATGCTCGTCTATCAGCGTCCTTACAGCGCCTTGCGTCAATGATCGTTTCGAGCTAGGTCTGTGCTCACGCAGTAGATTGATGCTGTGTTGATCAGCAACGCTTTCAAAAACTCTGTGCAATTCCGTCCGCAAGTAGAAGTAAAAGAATGGTGCTGTCTCCGAAAAAATATCCAGAGGCAACTTGTATTTGCAGTGTAAACCACATAAGTACTTCGGAAGAGGTTTTATATAATTCAGTACGTCCTCATCCTTTCTCGGAAACGGAATGACTCAACATGCTTGCTGGAGAATTGAAAAATTTGAATGCTAGCTAGTACAGCCTATTTCTGGTCACAACTATTCATTCTATCTCTGACCTTCGTTGCAATGTCATGTCGGGCCTGGTTATGGAATGGATGGCTATAATCGTCTCTAACACAGCAGCATTATGTGAAAAGCCTTTTTCATGCATGTGAGCTATCATGCAGTAGACCTAGACTGACACTTTACAAACAAAAAATACCTCCTTCTAAAAGAATGTTTTTAGTTACTGTTCCAAAAAAATCCCCCAGAGACAGATTCAGATACTGTTCAGAAACTTAAGAATTCCAGCAGACACTTTTTGAAAGTTCTGTGCTGCCATAAAGTGACCGCCAGTGTACTTCTCTACAGAAACTAAACCCCGTCTTCTTCTTTGCTTTTTATTCCGCTTATTGCCAAAATCGAAATCCTCGAAAGCTCCTCCGATCCCTCGGAAGTCGTGTCCGAGCTCCAGTCCGTTGACAGCTGATATGCCGTATACGTTTTCCAGTAGGTCGCTTTCCACAGAATGACGTGAAATTTCGCGATCATCGATGGCGTATTGAACCAGGACAGGGAAAGCGCGAGCAGCTATTCTTTGATGGTCTGCGATGCTGCTCTGCCACATGGGTGTTAGAGCGGTGAAGAGAAAGCAACATCTGATGAAAGTAACCGCAAAGCTACACAAATATCTTTCTACTTCTACATCTACTTTTTGAGCTAATTTGAATTTCACTACCAACCACTCTTTTTGTTCTACAAAGATACATATAGTTGAGGCAAGAACGTGAATAAACCAATACCAACGTCTACAGTCCTTAATATTGCATCATCTGTCAGCACTTCTACGAAGTCTGCTTCCGTTCCATGTACTTCAAAGGATGCTCGAATGTATCTGGCAACCTCTGCGGGAGAAGGAGTTGGAGGAGGTGTTGTAGATTCCTCATGAACGTCTACCAATTCGGCTGTTTGGTTCTTGGAGGATCCCTCCACCACCACTTCGCTTCGCCTGATCGCACGTCTTGCCAATACGAATCTGGCAAAAACGTCTCGCAGCAGTGGAAAATGAAAGGAGTCCGATGGAGTCGAGAAAGTTGCTTCAACACTTGCCTAATGGCCGATCTCGTGCCAACAACTCACGAACGACTACATCTTGCCATCAGGTAACATCACGCTTCTCCTTCTTTCAGATTCAGCAAAATGAAAATCACTAGTAAAAAGACCAACTCCGATAACATCAACACACCACGCATAAGGGATTCTCAATGGATACATCATCGTACGACCAGCTGCATATCCGAGACCGTGTACAACTGGCACTTGAAACCCTAATCCCAATATGCGCTCTGGAAACATTGCCGCAAAACGTGCGACGATCGTTGCACCCATAGACACGCCATAGAGCACGAACTTCTGCCTTGTAGTAGGAGGTCTTTGCAACATGAAGAGGATGTTGGAAGGAGGAAAAGGTAAAGGTCGTGAAGGAGATGAAAGCGAGGTCTTCCTAGTTAACATCAAGATCAAGAAGGAGATGAAGGCGAGGTGTTCTGTTAACAAATACAGACCTTTGTCTAAGTACTACTAGAGTGATTACCGCATCAGGCATGAAAATCACATGGCAAAGACGAGGATGAGGAAGATAAAGAAGAAGCTTGGGAAGGACAAGGTTTTTGAGGACACGAAGTTTACCGCATCAGCGTCAGGTATGAAATTCAGATCTTAGAATTATATCACGGATGGCGAATTCAAGACTCAAGATCCAAGGGGATCCACTCCAGCTAGAACGCTAAGTGCGACAGCCTGGCGAAAATGAAATTGAGCCTCACTCGTGCTTGTGGACCCACAGGGAGACGTCGCTGAGATAAGGTCCACTGATTACCTTGAATAGCACAAGCACATCATGACTATCATAACTCGTCGCCCTTCCTCCTCCTCCAGATGATCCAGTAAAGCGCCCAACTGCCTTAGCAGCAGCGTAAAAAAGTCGTTGGATCGAGAAGAGACATCGCTACCTAGTTCTAGCAGTAAATCATTGGTTGAAAGCTGCGAATGAAGTCGGTCCGAAAACCCACGAGCAAACTGATCGTATATCACACACGGATACCCTTGTGCCGCGATGTATTCCTGGAAATGGATGTAGTTGAGTGATCCAACCGCTGCACCATGGACTAAAACTACTGTTGGACGTCCGGGTGACTCGTCCTGATGTGCTGCTAGTGTTTCATCTAGTGGCTCTTCAGGTAGATGCTCTTCGGGTAGACGTAGAGAAGAGCTAGAAATAGAAGTTGGATCATCAACATCTGATTTTGAAGATTCAGTTTCATCTGGATGATGTGGACGATTCTTCGCGCGCCGATTAAAACTTCTGCTATCCCATCTATAGGCAGTGGTCAGTTTCAACATATTTTGTTTTTCATACTGCTTGAAAAGTTGTTGAAACAGTAGCAATCTTTTATCTTCAGTATCTTCATCGGGATTGAAATCCTCTTCATCAAAGTCGGACAACAAGTCGTCCTTCACGTAGTTGTAGTCCTCTGATGACAATATTTGTATTTCTTCTTGTCGTTCTCGTAGTCTTTCTCTTTCTTCTTCATCGTCTTCGTCAACGTAATATGAACAAGGGGTGTGTAGATGCACTCTATGTAGTTGATTTGGTTTCTACTTCTTGCGTCCTAGCTGCTGGGATCAAAAATCTAAAAAAAATCAAAAATTTTAAAAAACATATCATATGATCATCGTCATGCCCATGATTTTTCTCCTTTCACGACCTTCAAAAAAGTAAGCTAGCTTGGCGGAAGGATCGATGAAAAAAAAAGCTAAATCATCAACATCATGGGTTTGGCGGGTTATCATATTTTCTACTTGTACTTACATAGTACAAATATAAATATCCTCTTCCTATAATTTCCATAACTCATCAAAGAGCCCACTCTTCGCAAAGAAGTTCGTAGGATCGCCATTTCCAAAATTCGGAAGACTTTGTTGAAACGTCTCGAAGTTGTACTTGTCGAATAAGTCGCTTTGTTCTCGAAATTCCTCTGCTGTCACGATTTCCCTCTCATCAAGGCGGTACAGAAAACCAACAAAGACGGCTGTGGAGGAGGCTGCGAGAGAAGCGGTGACAACGCGTCTGGAGGGGAGGTAGAAGGGGAGATAACCTCTTGGAGGTTCGGTCATTTTTGGATTCTGCATGCCTGTGGTTGTTCTATTAGGTTTATTCATCTGAATTTTATTCGTATTCTTCCTTGCCGTCATCAGCAGACGAGCCTACAGAAATTCGACACCATTTGAACGTTGGAGTCCATTTTTGGGTCTCCGTTTTTTCACTTTTTGTGTACTCTTCTTTTGGACTCTCCAAACTCTTTACAAAATCTTCCAAGGATTGAGGTGTCAACATCATGGACACACATTTTCTGTGCTGGTTTTTCTTTCAGAATCACCCAACATGGCTTTCTGCACCCGCTATCCTTATCATGTAGAAGCTAGTAGGTACACGTAAAGTCGAACGGCGAAGTATCAACTTGGACATGGACGTCTCGTCCACCCGATGCTGATACTAGCATTACACATTGTCATCGTCCTACTTCTCTAAAATTGCACAAAAGAACCCATCGAGTCCTTTGCTTTGCGGCAACGCATGTTTCGGTTCACTTGACAAGTACAGATTGTACTTCTCACAAAAGTATTCCACTTGTTTAGCGCACTCTTCTGGGAAAAAGGAGTTCACCATGTAGACTATTTTTCCGCCAACTTTGACGTATTTCAAAGACGATTCAAATATCGCACGTTGCTTGCCGACCCAGGCTAGAAGCTTGTCTTCGCTGAAACTCCACTTCATATCCGGGTTTTTTCTGAGAGCGCCAATCGCTGAATTAGGCGCGTCCACGACTACCCAATCGCATTTTCCCTGGGATTAGCGAAGACCATATGTTCTTGTTGCTGGCGGATCTAGAAGCAGAAAGCACTGATATATAAATATGTATGTATTTTGCGATGGTAGAAGATGAAATCTCGGATACTGAGTGACGGCTGTGATGCGGTGTTCTATGTATAGTATCCGGATCAAGATGTAGATGAAACAAAAACAACATTTTTTTTGACAAGTCTTCCCATAAAACAGCGTCTCCAATGTTGGATGTGATGGTGGTAGCAAGGAATAGTTCCGTATCCCAGCACGTCTCATCCGAACCTTTGCGTCTCTCAGAACTGTGTCTCGGATGTCATGGAGGAAAATGTTCCCACTATTTCGCATGCGTGGCCCGTAGATCAACGCTTTGCCTCCAGAGCCGGAACGGGGATTAGAAGAACATGGACAAAAGAGGCCACTTCTGTAATAAACTTGAACTACTAGTACTACTTACTAGACCTAATACTAGACCTAATACTTACTTGGTAGAAATTCCGCTTCAAGAACTTCATCTCTTAAAATAATCCAGCACTTTGTCTCCTGGCTGCGCCTGGACTTCCATAGCCATCAACTGGCTGCTTTCGTCTTGAAACTCAAACCAGCCTTGATGTCTTTCGGGTAGGGTTGAAATTAGAGGATGCGGGTGGGACGTTCATTCTAAAAGCGGACTCGATGAGGTTGAAGCTAGAGTAGCGTGAAAGAACTGTTAAGTTAAGGAGTGAACAACTACAAGGAATTCGCCTGGTGAATTCACCTTCACTCTCTCACTCATCCGTTCCCATAACAACAATTTCGATTTTGCTGCGCCATCGTGCAAAAGCAGTCCCAAGTCGCTGTGCTTGCACATTTCTACCGGAATTTCCTTTGCCAAGAGGGCTTCGTAGACCTCTTTCCGCGTTTTCCTAAGAGGGTTCACTCGCAAAAACCACACTGGCTTCTCAGATAGCACATTGCATAGAGCCTGTGCTTTCCTCTCAACAGCTGGATCGACGCTATTTGGTCTTGTTCTAGATGAGGATGTAGATGCTGAAGATGGCGTTCTGCCACTACCAAAAGGGTGCTGTTGGTGATCAACCTCGACCAAGTCTGCGATTGAAGTGTCAGCCAGTACTTCTGAAGATGCCGTGGCTCCTCCTCCTGGACTGGCGGAGAATGCTACGGCTTTTGCTATAGACCCAAACAGTTCTTCGCTAAAGCCGACTTTCGCTGCTGCTGTGATCTTACGGGCGGCTGAGTATTAGAACCAAAGGCTTGTTTGGTGATATGATCCAGGTACTATATTTTATTGTGCGCTGTGTCCTTTATCATCCTTAGATAGTCCTAGTCCACCCCCCGTCCTGTCCCTTCTAAAAATTTAGTTCTACTACAACTAAACGTAAAGCAAGAGCACTAGAGCTCCACGACCATCATAAAATTGTTGATCTTTCCACCTCTGCGAGATGAAGTAGGTCTGCATGCGATGGTGCCATCGAAAGGGATGACCGCCTACGAGATCCAAGAGGCCTCTCCATTTCACTAACTCGTAGATGTGCTCGCTTATGAATCGTTTATCGTCATGCTTCACGTGCTTGTGCGCTCTAAAGTACTTCCTCAAGAACAGGTCCAGAGGGTAAAAGGCGTCTGGGGAAACACGACTCGTCTCGAATAGCTGGAGAGCGTTTTCGAGATGCCGAGCTCGAGTAGCGTTTAAGGCGGAATAGGTGCTCATGGCGTCCTTGTTTGGTTGAAAAAGGTACTCACGCGAAGATGCAGACTAAGTTCTTGTAGCAAGAACCAAAATTCAGATGCGCGGAGGGCGTATTGAGTTCTTCTCTCTACAGTCTCGGCACGTTTCATCTTTAGAACGTCAGTCTAACCGAGTTTTTTAGGTGTCTGCACATCAGGAAAAGTAAAAGCTGGTGTTCCTTTCTTGATGGCAACCACATTGAGCGACATGATCTTATCGGGATCAACTCCGGGCATGGATAACTCCAGGCATCAATCCTATGTCTTGATCGTATGTCTTGATGAACGTGGGATCAAGCAGCTGTTCGCTTCAAAAGATCGCCCTCCACACGACTGAAAACAACCTTTATTGTAGATGACCTCTTCCCGTTGTTGTGCTCCTTTGATGGTGCTGAACACCTTTACCTGATACTAACGGGAGAAGCCCACTGCTCGTGTCTTTCTGGAATATGGAGGGCGAGTTGACGATGTGACGCCACCAACTCAACACCATCATTGAGAACACTCAAAAGATCAGACGAAGATTCGAAGACACAAGGACAAGAATGTGAGCTTTTCACATCTTATTTGACCTAGTTGGACTTCTAAGTACGTGTAATCGAGGGAAAATTATTTCTCTAGCCAGCGTGGTTTTAGATTTTTCCCGTCTACACACCCAGCTCCCGTCCCTGCCGTCAACGTCATGTAGTAGTAGATCCTCCACGACAGAGATTGCACTACAACAAGCCGAGTCCAACGTCCCCAAGAAACTCCATCACAACTCGATATCCATGGTGAAGTCGTAATCAATCGTTGGGACGACTGAGGAGATAAACTTTAAAAACACGAAAAGCGCCAAGTCGTGTCGCGGCTGCAACCCCTGCTCCATCCAATCGCGGATAACTTTCTTCGCAGTATGAAAAATGGGTAGAACAATAATCTTCTGATCATTGGGGTCGCGGATAACTTTCTTCGCAGTATGAGAAATAAATGGGTATGTATCTATAATGCCTTGGCCTTGCGATTAATATGGCAGCCTTAACGCGTTATTTTCGCAACACGTGATAAAAAAGAATTTGTATTTTAATAGAGCAGCACTAGAATCCAACCAGCGTGCATCTATAACGCGTTGCTAAAATAACGCGTTAAGCCAGTCATAATTAATCTGATCATTGTTGTATAATCTGCAAGTAGTACTACAACTTCCTTGCCGTGTGAGAAGTCAAACTCCAAGCTACAACACAACTTGCAGGAGGAGATAACGAACCTAGACTACTTCGCGAAAGCGAATACAGTCATCCCATAAATCACAGCTGCATGCTTGCAAGGATGTATACTGCACGTCGGCACTGCGGTTAAAGGGTGTGGGTCCACTGTCACGGTTTTGCTGTGATACTCGGAAAGAACGTCTTGGAATATCTCCCGCGCTGACGTTAGAGGAAGATCAACGAGACGAGTGTTGAGACGCGATTGTTTGTTTATATGCTCCTGTTGCTCTTCATTATCTGACTGGGGATAAAGCCGCTTCTTGAGCCTCTACTTCCTCAAATGAGAGAGTCGCTGAGGAAAAAAGTGGATGCTAAACGTGCCAGCTGCAAGTGCAAAGGAAAATCATGTTGTCATAACTCCAATGGTCTCCCGTATACGTCATATCCGAAGAGCCAGAGTCGCGGAGTTTGATAGTACTTGTCGTATGTGATTGATAGGTCGTACGTTCGCATCTTCGAACTTTCAGCTCCACTATCAGGCATGACGAAACTGTGGAGGTAGTTATGATAGTAGGTTTACATGTGATTGGAGGAACCTATTTTGCATACAAGGAGGACTCCGACTCATGCGAAGATGGACATTTCATCAATGCAAACCTATATTTTACATACAAGGAGGACTCCGACTCATGCGAAGATTGAAGAAGTAGCAGAACCCAGCATACCCATCATCCGCTCCATCTTCGTCATCGTCGGCTGCAAGCATATTGTCGAGATCGCCGAAATCTGGTGTTTCCTTCTTTGCAGCCCCACTGCTCTCAGCTGCTGCTGCCTTCTTTTCTCCGCATATTAGAAGACATAGGGATCTTACCCAGTTAAGAAGAATCGACTACCAACTTCTGCAGTTATAAGAAGAATTACGCCAGCTGCCCCAGCGAAGAATCGACTACCAACTTCTGCAGTTAAGAAGAATTACGCCAGCTGCCCCAGCGAAGAATCGACTACCAGCTTCTGCACGAAGACTAATTTGGTTCTTTATTCAGCTATGAGTATCTATAAAGATAATTGTTGAAACTCCTACGTACCCCTATCATTCTCAAAGATCATAACTCAATATCAGGTGGCAGTGCCCAGTCGTCGGACATTTGTATCCTTTGCAAACTAGCGTCAAGGTCCCTAACTCGTTCTTTGCATCGGACATTTCCTGATTTTTGTTTTTGATGAGGTGTAAGCCTAAGATTTGAGGTGACGAGTCTTTATTAAGGTCACTTGGAACTTCACCCAACGACTTGGAACATCGGTCAATGTATGGTTTTAGTTAAAGTCGTCAACACTCGCGAGGAAAAACAACACCTACTTAATTGATTGTAGTAGAAGTAGAAGTACTTGTTATCAGATATTGTTTCTCGTCTGGAAGATAGTTTGCTCGACAACTCTGCTTCCCCGTCTCCCACTGCCAAGACGGAAATTTGAAGACCAATTGATCACCAGCTTGCAAAAATTCTGCGGGTGTCAAGGTGCCTGGAGGTCGTCAAAATGCTCTCGACAGGAGTTCTAGAGTTCTTTGCAGAGGGAAGTCGTCTCAAGCTCAAGAACTAGAATCGTCATCAAAAAGGCTTCACAACCGCAGTTATAGTTCTACCTCTAGTTCAAGAATTTCTTGTGCAAATAGCAAGGCTGCTCTACTAACTTTAGCATTAAATTATAAGAGTACCTTCCTCGATGAATTTACTTTCTGTCGGAACAGGCGTTACAGCAGCAACGCCGGCTCGGAGAGTATCTCCGACTTTATGAGCGTATTCAAATATCGAGTTCATCGCGTGCGTGTGTTCTCAAGGTACGGGGTGTTTCCTTGAGCTTGAAGAAGATGATGGGCAACGTAGAAGTGGAAGCGGAAGTGGTCGTGTCCGAGAATCGTCTGAATTTCTATTCTGGAAGAACTTCTACTACTACTTCTTGTCTTGTTATAGGGGTAGCCAGCAGGTGTGGTGGCGGTGGTTGTATACGCTTTTTTTACACGAACTGCGACGAGCGGGTCCTTTTTTCACAAAATTGCAAGCTCGAGCTGATTTTCCTTCTTGAATAGCAGAACGAAGATGATGTGTAGTCGTCCACACCAACAGGTTAGAGGGTGACTCAAAGAACCAAGGCTGACGGAACAACTACAACGTCCACCTCGTTCGGAAAAAGGTCTTCAGCTTCTTCTTGTAAAGATAGTTGACGGGGGTCGTGGAAGATAGGTGTGAAACTGGCGACGATGATTGCCAGCAGCAAACCAAGTTACGTGGTCGCGTGTGCGTTTACCGGCACTGGTCTGGAAGCAACTCAGAAGGACACGCACGAGCGGCAAGACATGAGAATGCACTGCGAGAGTCAAAAATGTCAAAGAAGAAGAAAATTAATCGGATGTCAAAAGAGTTGTGACTCAAATCAAGGTAAAAGACGCCTCCAACATCAAACTCAAGTGATCAATCACGACTTACAACATCAATCAGATGTAAGTGAATTCAAGGGACCGACCGTGGTATCGTCAGGGGTAGTTCGCCAACTCTGGGCTTTCTCGTCTCTCTATCTACTGGTGACGCGAGTCTAAAAATTCATGTTGATCCTTCATCAAGTTACCCCCGTCGCAATACTCGTGCATCATTCGCTGCACGACGCAAGTAGTAAGAACACCAGAGGAATGAGAGCCTATGAGTTTGAGTATCCCCGTTGAACAGCGCGGGAGAAAGTTCTTGTTGTCAACACGAGGGTTGGGTCAAAGGATCAACTCTTGGGTTGTTCAGGAGTTGTGAATGAAATTAATACGGTGAGGACAATACCCCAAAATGTCATTGCTTGCCACAGCGAGAGCATGGAAGCTTCGTGTAACCAATGGGGCGTAGCCAATCACAAAAAGCTTGAACTAACAGCACTCCTCGCGAATTTGCCTTTTAGCATGCCTCCATCCTCCATCATCTTGGAGAAATCCTTCGGGTCCATCTTCCTGCCCATATCCAAATCCTTAGAAGGATCAAACATGCGTCGGATTTTCGTCGAGGGCTGATATTTTGTAGGGTTGGAGATTGGTGGAAGTGGAAGTAGACAGAGGTATGTCTGTGTGATACGAAAGAGGAAAAAACCACATCGATCTCAGGATCCGCAGCAATCCGGTGGGCGCCATGGCAGGCCATCCACTAGATATTCACAAACATGGCCGCTGCTAGTGTTGCTTTTCGTTTTCTTAGCCCATTTACGATTTAAGACGTCCTCACCCCAAAGTCACTAGTTTGTTAGCACAGCTATCGCTTCGGCGGGCTGCGCAAAGCTTGCAGTGGGCGCAAAAGCGTGCTCACGCAAAGCATACTCACAAAAACGGCAGCGCAATGACATTGACCCCACGGGCCACGTCGCTCGTGACGGCGAGCGAGGGAGATGGCAAAGAAGCAAAAATAAGACCGAAGCAAGAGCAACCAAGAAGGAATATAAAAGACCGAGCAACGCGCCCGCCCTCGCCTGGTAGTCACCGAACAGATGAGAGCGGGCGGCGACGCACGCTTTACAATAACCGAGAACAAAGCAAAAAAAAGCCCACCGCCCCACGCTCCCGCGCGCCGCCCCGCCCTCCGCGACCACGCGTCGCAACTATATACACCGCAGCCCCCTGCCCCTACCCGCCTCGGCTCCCTCCCTGCGGGGGGGCTTTGCGCGGTGCGCGGCCACCTGCCCCTCCCTCCAGAGAGTCGCCAGAAGCTTGACGCTTTTGGCTTGGCATTCTTCCAAAAACGTTCGCAAGCCGACGCCGAAACCGTGCCGACGTCTGCAGCAATGGCCCGCGGCTTCCATTGGCTCCGCGGGCGCGTCCGTTGCCTTCACGGACCCACCTGCACTTACTGGCGGCCCCCTACTTGTAGCGCCGGGATTTCGTCGTGGGGATATTCCTGCTACTAGTACCAGAGGAAAAAAGCACGCGGCTGAGGGTCAGGCTACCACCGTGATACATAGAGGAGAACCAAGATGAGGCCTACCGGGACACTCATAGACTGCAAAATAGCGCCCGCACGTCATCACCAGACAACACTACGCCGCGCTGGTTAGCAGCCTCAGCTCATAAAGCTGGCGCCTCTGCTTCTTTTTAGAGGCGGGGAATGCCCCCCTCGCTCTCCCTCATCGCTGAAGCTGGCCGCCTCCTGTTTGCATGCTATGAGCAGAGACGCGGGGCCAGCGGGGACAGGACTATGAGTAGAGACACGGGGACAGGACTGCGAGCAGTACCTTCGTACAGGACACCCCGTTGCTCCTGGCCACTGCCGCGACTGCCCGACTTCGAGGCGACTAGAACTAGAAGTAAGGACTAAAATAAGTAATAAAATGAGTACCCCCGCATCTCCCACTCCACCCAGTAGCGAATTTCCCTCAAGTGCCTTTTTCTCTGCGTCTCTTCTTTTTGCGATGGCTTCTTGCTCTTTGGCTGATGCACCGTACATTTCGTCTTCTCCGTGGATTAGAGGTTGACTCCAGTTCAACTAAGTACTTGTGAGCCAGTGCCAGAAAGCCAGAAAATATTCATACAATTACATGACCAAGCTCAGCTATCATTTCTCATACGGAAACGATAAACGCAATGAAACTGCGAATTTGCTACACCTAATCAACGCGCAGATACAATTCACAAGAATCTATATCAACGCTAACGCTAACCTTTACCTTTAGTACCTTTCAATATAATGCTATAGCTAAAGCCTCACATCATAGCTGTCTCCTTTGTTCTGCGACGTCCCTGCCTCTTTTCAGTACTGCTTTTTCGTCACCAAATTCGCCTTCTCTCACTTGATCGAAGAGGCTCTTGCGGTCTGAAGCGAAGGCTTTCTCGAATGCGTCGATTTCCCCTTGCGTCCTCTCCACTTCAAACGCGTCTTGCTTAGCTTTTTTGACTCCCTTGTCGCCGAACATGCCAGCTAAGGCATCTGGTACTTCGGTCATCCACGTAGAACGGTAGGGAATGAAAGAGAAAGAAGGAAGAGGAGCAAAGAGGGAGCTTACGAGGACGAGAACGCGTCTATCATCTACCAATGAAAATTGTCGACCCTACTTACACAACATCTCAAGGTCTGGATATTTCTATTTCTAACCTTGTAGTTTGTTGTATTTAAGTTCCTTAGGTTTCTTGCTGTGACAAAGAAGATTAGTTACTGATCAAAACCCGAATTCATACACTTGAAGTCATCCTCATTTCCGCCTTCTGCTTCTGCGTCAGGCCCACGTCGTGATATTACCATATCCGGTGGTGGTCTCGCAGCACCGACTACCTTGCTAGACGAGGCTCCTTGTGCAGACGTAGAAGGATCTCTATTAGCCAGGTCTAGATCGTCGTCTTTTGCCCCAGGACCCATGACCGGACCGAGCAACCTCGTCGCAGCTGTGCTTGATGAAGCAACAGCTGCTCCGCTTGTGGAACTAGATGAGAAAGCATTAACAACCTGTCTTTGAAATGCTGCTGTTTTCGCCGCCGCTTTTGCCGCATATTCCTGTCGCAAAGGCGCAACGACTACTTTGACACAGGTTGACACTATGTCTTTCCAATAGCTGACTGTTTTCTTTTTTCCGGCAGCGGTTGCTCCAGCCCCACAAGGATGGTCCTTGCTCATCAATGAGGATTTCTCCCAACTCCCAGTTGCGTCTTGCGTCATCCTCAAAGCTTGGAAGAGGTGTCTCAATTTCTTTCGTTTCCTTTCTGAGACGATGCCACTTAGAGCCACACTTTGGCCTTGGTCGATCGCCTTGAAGAGTTTCTTCAGATCATCAGAGATACGCTCCAGAATCTTCACAGTTTCCGGTTCGTACCCTTGATCCTCCAGGTCTTCACTGGAAGTGAGTAGGGAGTGGAGTAGTCGCTTGATGTTAGGGATTTCGAGATAGTAAGTGCGCGCTAATTGGTCTAGTCGAGCTAATTCATCTCCTGCAGGAACAGAGTTGTTTTGGTCGTGGCCATCTTCAGCTTCACTATCATCTCCTCGATCTCGCTCATTCTTTTTCGCCTTCTTTTTATCCCGTTTAGACGAAGTTCCCTTCTTCTTTTTCTTAGAAGCTCCCCTTCTAGTAGACTTTTTTTTCTTAGACTTCTTCTTGGTACCTGATCTAGTAGTACTTTTGCGCTTCTTCTTGTTCTTTCGATCGTCTTCATCGGAGGAGGAAGAGGAATCTCCCTCACTGCTATCTCCGTCGTCATCAGAAGAAGACGAAGAGCTTGACGATGATCCAGAAGATGAGGAGCCTGAAGATGATGCGGAACTCTTCCTTCTGCTCTTGGTTGGAAGAGCTTTCTTGGAAGATTTCGCCTTAATGTCGTCGTTTTTCCTTCGCATCTTCGCGCCTCGTGCGTCGTCCTCGTCAGATGAAGACGACTTTTTCTTCTTCTTCGTTCGGCCTCGGTCGTCACCCATTTTGCTTGTTGGTCAAGAAAGAAGAACAGGTGCGTGGATTACCATTACACTAGACGCTCTTTATGGTTGGCATATCGATCCATACACTGAAACAGATGTACAACAGGTGAACAGCTGATTTAATCTTCAGTCTTGGCAGAGATGAGGAACAAGCACAACTGCGAGATGGATCCATGTTTTGAACGGATCGTGATTGGAGTACAACGCCTTGAGAAAGGATCCGTCAATACCTCCTTGAGAAAGATCATATTCCAGGTCCGTACACAGCAGAGAACAACCTGGAAAATGATGTTCTAGGATTAGGATTAGGAGGGTGTCCGCCGACCTGCTTCCGATGTTTCACAACTCCCATTCAAGGAGCTTGGTGCCATCACAACTCAGGGTCAGGTAACTCTTAGAAGACATACAGTTAAGTGGTTCGTCGATTTCATTTTTTTGTGCAACATAGCATCAAGTGAATGCGGGATCGACAAGAGACTGTCGGAGCTCTTCACATTTGTCGCGTCATCGTTGTTGATACTATTCAAATTCACATGAGCAAAAGATTTGTATTGGTAGGAGCTAGCATGGGAAGTATGGGAATGGTGGTATTCATCGGATATGAGCAAGAAAAGCACATCGAAACAAATTAATCGGGTACTTAGCTTGGCGGAATAAGGCGGAATCCATCTGATTGAGTCAACAAAGGGCAGAAGCAGAACTGCTGTAGTTGATGAAAAATCATTGAAATCTACACACATGACGTTATCATGACAAGAACAACAACATGTAATAGTAATTATGAAAGCATAGAAGAGCGCGGGCGGGGAAATCGAGATAAATACCGAAATAAGTAAAACGAAGTTGAAATGAGAACTGACCTCCTGTGCAGGTGCACTACCTATCTTCACATGAACTTGAACTTTGATGAAGTCTAAACCTGAATCGTCGATGTAAGTGATTCATTTTCTTGATAGACGCGGTACCGAATTGGTCGTTACAATCAATTGAATAAGATGAAGTCGAACTACTTGAATGAGATGTAACTTTGAAATGAGATGATGATCCGACACGGGCGACCGCGACGGTCGTTACCATTTTAAGACTTTTTACCTGCTCGATGGCCATGTCCGAGGCCGCAGTACAAAACGAAAATTCAGTTTGAAGAAAAAATCAAATGACCAGGTTAAACTACTTATTCACTGTATGTTCTTTATGTTCTTTCTGTACAAACGATTTCAATCTAAATCTATGTTGAAGATCATGCTTGATGTTGTACAACACATTTTTTCCAAGTAAAGAACAACCACTAATTTATAGCTCACGATGTTGGTGTACGTGATAAAAATGGTAAAAATATCGAATATGGTGTAATGCTTTTGTCTTCCATACATATGAAATCACCTATTCTTCACAAAATGATGCTCACTCAGCATAATAAACCCCACTTTGAATTTCACTCAGCTCGCGTTACTCGCTCCGATAATTTTCGTCTTAAAAATGTTGTATGCAATTGTCCTAGTACCATGTTGACCTTGACGTATTTCATGCTCTTGGTACAACAAACTTGTTACGATACCTTTCTCATGTTGAGCATGACCTGAAAATTTTGTGAAAAATTATAGCCGCGGATGCTCTACTTAGTCGTTGTGAGTGTATTAAGGCACAATGTGATAATCGACATCGAAATTCACTCATTTACTTTCTGATGCTGTAGCTGTTCACATTTCTACTTGTCCTGCTCCTGGCAGGCTGGCACATGGGCCTAGCATAACTTAAAAAAGTCTCATGCTCAACATCTTCATCATCTATGTGTACAGATACAAATATGACTCGCTGGTTTGTCGATTAGCCGGCAATAACCATTCCACATTGCGTCTCGTCAACCTAACAGGAAGCTCGAGTATTCTTTCGTCAGCTCCTTTCTTCTTTAATACGTCACCAGATGGTGCTTCTACCGAATTCGATACAGTGCTATTATTCTTTAGCCCAGAAGATGGCGCTACCGAATTCGATACAGTGCTATTCTCCTTGTTTTGTTCATCAGCGGAAGTTGAAATTGATGTGGTTGAAAATGATTGCGATTGCTCCTCTCCTTCAACAGAATTAGAGGTAGGCTTTTGGTGTTCGTTTACCGCGTTCATTATGCCTTTCCTCCTTCAGAAAGGCAAAAACGAACGCTATAACAGGCGGAAAACCTTTAGCCTACCCTTAACAGAAGTTTCACCAGCAGAAGATGACGTCGCGGAAGAAGATGATGTACATGTAGTTGACGACGATTGCGTGTCTGTTGAAGATGAAAACTGTGCGTCAGCTGATTCATTAGAGGTAGGTTTTTGGTGTTCGTGGGTTCTCCCGCTTGTTATGGCTGTCCCCACCTAAGGGAGAGAGCCATAACAAACGGTAACAAAAGCACCTTTAACCTACTACCCTTAAATTTACTCCCCACAAGCACAACCGTCGGTTGCACCAATCTCAGCTTGTTCACCTTCAACACAATCGCTTCCAACGCTTGCCGTAGTCCTCGGACACCAGCATTTTCCTCCAAAGTGAGACCCCATCGGAGACAGATGTACCGCAATTGGTCCAGATCTTCAATCAGCACGTCTCCTAGCTGCATGCCTACGTTGCGCAGAAGCTTGGGTAGAAGATACTCCTGTGCGATTTTAAGCTGGTCTTTTGCGGAAAAGCCTTTGGTCTTGATGATGGTCAGTCGGTCTTTGAGGACTGGATTGAGCTTGGTTGGGGATTAGATGAGGAAGAGGAGGTGGTTTGTGTGACGTAGTTTGTAAGGCTAGGGCGGGGTAGGTCTAGGTGATCGTGCACTAGAAAAAGTACTACGGCTACGGGCTTCAGGATAAAAATATAAGATCAACAAGCAGGTATAGATCCTCCTCGTTGAGCTTGGGCGAGCTTGGTTGAACTAGGACAGGGTTGACCTTAGTTGGAGATTAGAGATTCTCCTCGTTTTTGTTGTGGTGTCAATCTCAATCTCATTGTCATCCATAATCATCATTAAACGAAAAGATGAAGAGCGCCTTTGAGAAGTCGAGAGGGATGCCGTCGAAGTAGCGGTCGGTGAAATGGGAATTCTGCGAATGGTCCGTCAAGTGCGTTAAAACTCCTGTGATTTCCTCTCCACGTGGTGTGTCAGACAATTTGTCTAGCTCATCGAAAAAGATGATTGGGTTCATGCACCGGGTTTCCATGAGCATACCTGGTGGTAGTTAGGACACGATGAATTGGATCTAGATTCTCGTACACTTTCAAGTTGTAAATATGGATTTGAAGGCGACACGAGATACAGCATGGATGAGCATTGCTGGGCCAGTCAGGTAAAGAACGTCCGATAGAAAAAAGCAGAAAAACTAAAAGCAGTTGCACCAGCCAATCTCCCCCACGTACTTCCCACATACGTAAAATTGTGCCCTTCCAGCAATGCTGCGTCTGTCGCGCCACCCAAACTGATCTGAGTAAACGGTCGATTCAATGCCTGAGCAATGCCGTGTCTGCACAGCGTGGTCTTACCGTTACCTGGCGGACCTTGTATGCCTAGATTGAGCGACTGAGATTCCGGATTCGCTATCCATTGGCATATCAATTGGAGAATCTTTTCTTTCGCATCTTGGTGGCCAAAAACGGCCTCGTCTAAGATGTTCTGGGTGCGAGCGAGGTAGGCTTGAACTCGGTTTTTCGTGGGAATAGAAGGAGTGGAGGAGAAGGGTGTGGAAGGGCCTTGTTCTAAAGTGCTTGCGACAATAGAAGACGCAACTGGTGCTGACGGACTCCAAGAAGTTTTTTTTTTTTGGTCATCAAGGACTTTATTAGCTCCACCCTCTTCTGCCACCACTGGATCATTTATCTTCTCCAACTTTTCGACCACTGCAACAGTCTCGTCAGTCTTTATTTCATCCTGGTTCTCAGCGTCAACATCCTTCATCTTCACAGCAGCAGCACTAGTGGCACTAGAAGCATCCTCCGTCATCTTATTCTCTTCTTCGTTTACCTCTTCTCTGATCTTCGCGTTTGCCTTCTCCTCAACCTCTTCTTCTGCCACCTCATCGTGCAATCGCATAGGTGGCTCGCATAAGACGCCAAACGGTAAAGAAAACAAACCGTCCATCCACTTCTTCATCTTCTGGCCTTCAGCGCTGACCTGATCTCCACCCATAAGGTTTTCCCATTTTTGCAGTGCTACGGTTTTCGCAGAGTCAGCGATTCGAGGTTAGAAGAGACGAGAAAAACGACGAATCCATAGGGGATCGAGAAATGCAGCAGCAAGGGCACATAAAATGATCTTCAATGATCTGTAGAAATTTTTATACAATAGTGAAGACAAATAAATCGATTATCATGATCACGACTCATCAAACCAACTTTATTCATAATTCAAGCTGAGTATGCGGAGCCTGCTCGGCATGTTCTGCGCTTTTCCCTGCGAGCTGAGCTCGTCGATCCTCGTTAGCTCTTGCAACAAGTGACGCCGGTTTTCCGTGTCTGGTAAATTCTTCAGAAAGATGTCCTCGCTTTCATGCAGAGTAGGGTGTAGTTTTTTCGACTCCACAATCTCCATCTGGATCACCAGGGCTAGTCTGCGTGCTTCCTCTTGAAATGCAGTCTCGATCCAACAAGGAGTATCTGCTTCGCTTCCTGCTCTGGAGTTCTGTGGCAGTGGCAACGTGCTACTTCGTTTCATCTCATCCTGAACCTTGCATGCTGCTAAGAAACCCCAAATCGATTCTTGGTCAAACTTTTCCATTCTCTCGAACGTCATCTTTCGGTTTCCCAGCTGAAACCGACATCGCAACTCGCTCGTTGTAGATGTATTTGATGCGCCGGCATGTTGATATTGATACTGATAGGCTGAAGAAGACGATGAGGACGATGGTGTAGCTTTACTTGTAGTGTCATTGCGGGTCGCTGCTTTCGATGACGCTGATGAAGCAGTTTTTTCGATCGTCGGCTTGCCCGAAGAAGAGGACGTTGCAGGAGTTGTTGTGCTACTACTGCCCCTCTTGCTACTTCCTTTTCCGACTACACCACCTGCTTTTCTCTTCTCCTTCTCCGCATCTCCCTCGTCACCTACGGCAACATCGTGCCCCGGCTCCAAATACACCGAGCACCAACCTGGATCCGCTTCCTGCTTACCGTTTGGGTACAACTTCAAGGCTAGATTGTCCATGCCCTGTAGCGAAAAACGAGGTGAATACAACGAAGCTCCCTTTGGAAAATGCGTCAGTTTGTGCGGAAAGTTGTACAAAGTCCACTGAACTTTGTGCCCTGACAAAAATCGCAATTCCTCATGGCCTTCAGCGTCATCTATGATCTCCACAGAGATGACAATCTTTTCGGAAAAAGCATCCTCGCAATCGCCTTTGACTTTGGCGGCAAGCGCTGAGGTTGGAGGGAGAAGATGCAAATACGACCCTAAGTAGAAGGTGGAAGTTCGAAAAAGAAAATGTCCAGCTCCTCAAGCACTACTGATCAAAGCGAAGCCATAAACGAGCAGCCGCTCTCGCAGCAAAAGAGACATCGCGCGTCACGATTCTTTCCTGTTCTTCATCCGTTTCCAGATCCACAGCTGACATGACCCGAACAAACCCGTCTTGTTTTTGGTCGATCACAACCACGCGGTCGTTTGCTGTGGAGGTGGATAATCTAAAGGTTGAAACATTTCATTTTTTAGTAGAAATCTCAAGTAGAGAAGGCTTGTAAAAATGAAATGTTTCAACCCTTAAACAATGTGATGTTTGTTTCTCGTGATACTCCTGCACCTGCAGCATCGTTCGAATTCGACATAAAAATACTTGACGTGGTGGCTTGCAATACCTTGGTTGGTGTTTCTGAAGGAGTTGTTGAAGTTACCGTCTGGCTAGCGTCTATCGTCTGAGTAGGATCGTCCATCTCGACAACAGCTGAACGTTGAGCGGGACAAAAAGCGCCAGATGTAGATGTCGCGCTACTAGAAACGACTACAGCGGGGGTTTCAGCGGGAGCAGGCGCAGTTTCCGCTTGTTCTGTGCTGTCAGTCGTAGTTACAGTTTTTTCTACTAGCTGCACATCCCCCGCTTTATCACCGGCACCTGCAGAGCCAGAGCTTGGAGACCAAATACCAGCGCTGCCCTTGCTACTCGCATTCACAATGACACCTTCGAAAGCACTTCCCTTACTTCGTCCATTTCCAGTCGTTTGCTCTATTTCCTTCTCAACTTCGCACATGTCTGAGAAACCATAGCTGTCCAGAGCGGCGTCGGACTGGGCAAAACGCGTGACTTTACCAACCGACAGCTTAAATCTCAAATTCCTTCGTTCTGGCAGGTGTAGGCCGAGCGAGCAATAGCCTGGTGAGGCGCTTTGTGCACCAGCGGGGTAGAAAACCAGACGCATTTCTTTGATTCCGGGTATTAGAGAACATCAAGGATACGACTAGTCGTGGTGCGGTAGTTACAAACGAGAGAATCATGGCCAAAATGAAGAAATCCAAATCCACTTCGACTATTCACACTTCTTCATAAAAACAGTGTAAATTTGGGACTGAAGAGTCGCATTCCCGGCTTCAAATTCGCAAGCTTTTCTCGTAGCCCGTACAAGGACCAGACAGCCTTCTGTTCCCCCCACACCTCAACAAATTGATCGGGTCTAGAAGAGGGCGTTGTTGACGAAAAAACTCCCGTAGGAGGACTACCAGCTGCACTCGTTGAAGACGAAGATGTGCTACAGCTATAGCCGCCAAGTTGGTAGTCTCTCAAAGTGTCCATCAATATCCGTGGAGACCCGGAAGAACGTGCGGGCGATGGTCCAGCGGGAGCTACGAGGAGATGTGATGTCGCGGGGTGATGGAGTTGGCCGGGCAAAGAAGATGTTTGTTGATGCTGTTCTTGAGTAGAGTCTCCTCCTGTCACTTCTGCAAGAAGTTGATGCTGCTTTTGTTCTGCTTCTGCTTGTTCTTCTTGGATTGCATCATTCAAGGCTTCTTCTTCATGCTCTTCAAGAAAAGGCTCCTCCCCTTCAGCAACCGGAGTCTTTGCGGCACCTCCTGCTTCAGGTACCTCCTCTGAGGAACATGAAGAGGACACGCTTATATCTTTTGCTGCAGCAGCTGCATCAACATCGGAGCATGCTGGTGTACTGATGCTCCTAGTTATTTGCAGTATCGGATGATCCCCTGCTGTGGTCTGTGGCAGATCCTCCTGACTCCTGGGTACAAACACCGAAGCGTTTCCGTTGAGGCCACGAGAGGACGCTGACGTGGTCGACATTGGTCGATTCGCAGCGTCGAAGTCGTGACTAGGACTAGCCTCGACAAGCAAGTGCAAGTCTAAGGCGGGACGCGGTGCTCGGGTGTCGGAATCGCATGCGGCACAGTGTTCATCTTTCAACAGTCCTCCTTTTGCGCTTGATGAAGAGGCAGTCGTGCGGCTCAGGGGACTGGGACCTGATTGGTATAGTGGACGAGAAAAGAACTGGTCAAATGAATGTCACCAATCATCAAAAATACGTCACCAATTGAACTATCATATCATCAAAAAACTACGTCACCTATTGAACTCTATCAAAACTACGACGTCACCTATTGAACTACAGCAATATTACCGCTCCTGCACAACCGCAAGTCAACAGGTGACGACTCAAACAGGTCCGCCAATATATCATCGGGTAGCAGTCGCGCACCCTCGTACTCCAGATACCACCGTGAAGGTGACCCGGGTTCGTCTGCATCTTGAAGATCGGCAGTTCTCTTCTGCTGATTTTCTCCATCCGCGTTAACTACGCCAAGCTCAACTAAGTTGGAGTTGCCTTTTTTACTACTTGAAAAAGTTTGAGTTTCATCCTCTACTTGGTTTGCTCCAGCATCGATGCCCTCGTGCCTCGATGGACCTGAGCTGCAGGACGATGGCGTCGGTCCGCAATTAGTCGAAGACGAAGAAGAAGTTGGACTGCAACTAGTACTCTCTACGACTGTCAGCCCGCCTGCTGCATCAAGAGTATACTGCTTTTGTATCGAGATCGACGCAACATGCTCTTTATTTCCGACATTTGCAGCTGTTGCTGACGCTACAGCAGATGAAGTCGATGTTGAGGCCGAAGAAGTACTTGCTCCAAGTACTTGTAGCGCTCGCTTAGTCGACTCCTGAACTAGATGCGCAACTGTCGCTGTTTCTGCGTCTCGAATCGGAACCGCTACTGTCACATCGCGACAGGACACGCGACATAGAAGACGCATAATTTTCTTTTTCTAGGACTTTAAATATAAATGTGCTTTAGCTTTTTCTGATCCTTTTTAGTCTCTTGGTCTTGGTCGTATGGGTGAGGGTGTGTCTAACTACGACAATTTTGAGAGACTAGTAGATGTTCGGATGTTCTTGATCGTTTTTTGTCTAGATTTGATTAGATTTTTTTGGAGAGGTTGCGAAGTTTTGGAATATGAAGTGCGGTTTCCTCATTTTTTGTGTGCACTACTAGTAAATCCGCTTCCAATTTAATACACTCGCTCACTCTCCGTAACTGAAGACAGCGTTTTATACCAAAATTTTGGTACAGATTCTTCTTAGCATGTCCAGTGAGGAATAGGACAAACTACTATCGTTTCTCCGTCGCTCGGGTTCACAAGAACATTACAGAGGTGAAAAAACACAAAACTAGAAATCGAAGCTAGTCGAGAATGCAGGCGTTGCCAGAGACTGCAATTTGTGTCTGTCTAGCGCCTATCCTCAAAAATCAAAGTAATTCATCCCTTTGTTTTTGTTGCTCGCGGTCTCGTTTCCTGTCGCTGCCATCTTCATAACAGCACAAATCAAACGAGATATTTTGTCCAGGATGATGCCAAAATGTTCATTTTTTAGTAGTCGTGTGCGCGATTAGAAGTTTCCCGACATCAGTTCATGTTCAAGACAAGCTACGTGAAAATAGTGGTAGGATGTTAGGGTTTGAAATCGGAGACTGGGACTCAACAGGTATCTATAATTTAATCAAATACTCCCCGTTGTAGTTGTTGGCAACCGCGGAGGTTGGTAGCCTCCTTGTGAAGGGCCACCGCCGCGGTTGTAGAGAGTGCCTCCAGCTGATGAAGGAGAACCCGTGTTATAGGCAGATGGAATTCCACCTCCAGTGCTATAAAGAGAACCCGTGTTATAGGCAGATGGAATTCCACCTCCAGTGCTATAAAGAGAACCCGTGTTATAGGCAGATGGAATTCCACCTCCACCTAATGCACCTTGTGGATCCGGATGAGGAGATCTAAAGCCACCAGCAGCACCCTGCTGATTGCAATCCTCGTTAAGACTGTGATAAGCGGCTTCAGGAGATGTGGTGGACATTTCCACGTGATTCGCAGCTGCAACGTCATTACCACCAGTAAATTGTTGCATCGGGTGAACACTACTCCCAACCCCTCCACTACCTCGACCAGCCTGACCGCTTTCCATGTCTGCAATTATCCACTCGTCCTCATACCCCTTCTTGCTTGCGCCGAATGCAGTTGTGGATCCTATAGTGCCATTCGTGTAGTAGGATGCGCGCTGTAGAATGCGTCTAGCACAGCACTGCAGGCGAGTTGCGAAAGTGGATTTCGCTGTACCAGTTCCGAAGAGGCAAAGAATGAGAAAAAGGAAGCCACCAGCTGCGCAGAGGAGTAGGGCGAAGCGGAAGACTTGCAGGAAGAGTCGCTCGAGGTTACGATTAGAAGGTGAGGAGGTGGAGGACGACTACGCGTCTCTATGTTGTCCAAGGAAAACATCTAAGAACAAGCACAAGACTGTCAATGGGAATGCTACGTACTGTACTGTTGTCAACACCATGGATCACTCTCAGAACGATCATCCATAAAAAACAAAACCCCTCCGCCGCTTACCGCCACGTCGGAAGGTTTGAAATCCAGTTTCGAAGACGGCGCGTGAGCCCAGGTATCTAGGACGGTGGCTGATATCGAATCCCACATCGAGAATTCTCCAGATTCCGGCAAGACGAAGGCTAGCTCCTTGACTACGTCATCTTGATTACTTGGGCTACTACTTCTACTGGAGCGAGTTCCCCCACTCTTTTCGAATATCGGCACCCCATTGTACAGCACAAACAAGCGATGTTCTCGATTAGCGAGAACCACTTGACTAGCCGCACTGAACCGAGGTCCCATGTAGTTCATCTGCGGTCCTCTCCGGACAGGCGCAACGCGATTGATGATGGTTCGGACACCGCAAGCGGTTGTAGGGTGAAGGTTTTCGTTGTCGCCGTATGAGGAGTCCATCAGAACTAGGATATAGCGTGGAAGCTGCGAGGTTTCATCCATGCCAGTAGCGAAAACAGAAGAGGCTGAGGCTGAAGAAGCGGTAGATGAAGAAGTACTTGATGGTAAAGCAGCAATCACCAGAGGTGTTCCCGGTCGTAGATGGAGCTCTTCACTCCTAGAACCGGTGCTGTCGAGTGTCAAAACCGGAGCACTTTTACCTCCTACTAATGGGTCCGCTACTTCTGCTCTAGCGTCAGCTGAAGGCAGCGATTGCAGAGAAATTTTGTACCTTACTTCTTCTCGCACGAAAGTCGTTCTAGGATAGTTCTTCGCCTTTTGTTTCGCCAGACCCAGACTCGTCTCCACAGACGATATCGCTGCACCGATCCGGGCACTGAGACCTCCACTTGTACTCTGCTTTACTTAGAGGCACCGACAAGGACAACCCATCTTGTTTTGGAACATCCTTTATCATCAGTTCCAAGAACGAATGGGCTAGAAGATGTTGTTAAAGATGGGCTGGACCATAATTTACCAGTCTGCGGACAGCCAGGTATTCGTCAGCGTTTCTCAGTGGACCAATTCGGAGACGTCCTCCACTAGCCTCGGAAGAGAAGGGTGAGCGCAGCCGATCTAACGTTTTCCCAACCGCCACTGCAACATGGCCATAACACACACTGACTGCGATTACACGTCTCAATGGATTAGAGATGTTCAGGCAGGAGTAGCTTAGACTGAGACAGACATACGCTAAACCCTTCGGAGTAGCTTAGGAGTAGCTTAGACTGAGCACACAGCTAACCATAATGCTCGTTCCAGGCACCGGGCCAGTCCCTTCACCGCCAGTCGAACTCAAAGCATCCAAGTTGCCTGTTGACAGTGCTGTCGCCGTTTCCACTAGTTGAACCGCTTTGTCTTCCACAGCAGCCTTTGTGTCTTGTACTTGCTCCACTGCAGTCTGTATAGCATCCTTGACAGCATCCTTTGCTTCATCGACAGCGTTTTCCGCTTTTTCGACAGTTTTTGAGACTACTGTAGGTGTCACCGCATTGGCTATTTTCCCCGGTAGCGCAGCTAACGTGGATGATGTTGTCGCTTCTTTGCTACTTCCCGCACTCACCGCTGACGGTACGTCCATGTGAAAGACGTCTGGCCCGTGACCAGCCGATAATACAGACACTTGCGCCGGTGCTCCTGCTACTAGCTCTGGATAAGTGCTGGCCACTACTTGACCTTCTTCTCCACCATTACCCACACTACTGCTCTTGAACGGTAACGCACGTACTTGTATCGAGTATTGCATCGTACTCGTACACGCGTTCGTTACGCGGATCCGGAGCCAGCGAGTCGGGAGTCTCAGCAAGTCCTGTGCCGAGAGTTCTGCAACCATTTGCGAGGGGCCAGCGGGATAGGTGATCGACCTAGCAGGAATCCAATTGATAGCGTCATCGATCTCCGCACGAACTGCCTCAGCTTTGCTCCTTTTCTCTTGTTCGGGAGTATTTGTTGGCATTAGAAGGTGACAGGTGATAGCTAGAAGGTGACGAAAAGAAGGATTAGAAGGTGCACGTGCCTATTGCCTTTCCTATTTGATGGCAATCTAGTAATATCACACTTTGTCGACTTTTGCTTTTCTTACACCCGCCGTGGTATTTGAACTATAGAAGGCATAACAAATATCCGCCCTTGTTGTTCTGCGCCGCATCTTCGCCCAATTCTGACGCGAGCAGCTCTCCTTCCAATTCCGACATGTCCGCTACCTCTTCGGGATCAGACGTCACTCCTAGAAAATCGATCGAAGCGCATGCTTGACTTGTTGCTACCGGAGGTCCTTTAGAAGTTGCTGAAGACGATGTTGAAGATGTAGCTCCCGGCGTTTTCTTCTCCTCTACTTTTAACTGTGACTTTCCTTCATCTCCCTCATCTAAATCTGGTGTCGCTAATTCCAGACTCAGCTTGTCCAAAAGAAGTGGTGACTTAGCAAGATAGAACTTGTAGTAAGCTGTTGCTTGTTGTAGCTGAAGTTCGTTGTCAACATCTTTCGCAGACGCAGCTTTATCGTCCATAGGCTCAGGAAGGATGGTGATGCGATCACGGATAAGTTCGCCATCTCTCAACGTCACATCATTTGCGGTCTGAAAGAATAAGGAGACATGAGTATCCGCTTCTGCAGCTGTCACCTGTACTTCGAGAGTTAGAGCGTGGTGCATTGATTCTGATTCATCATCATCACGGACGTCCAGTGAGGACCTTGCACTTCTTCAACATTTACATAGGTAGAACAACAACATTTTGCTTGTCCCTTCCCCTTGTTTGTATGATCTTTTACAAGAACGTCAACACCACGAGGACGCACAAACAAAGTGATATGTGATGATCATCATGATGTTGAATTATAGGATTAGGAGCTTGTCTTGATCATAAAAGAGGAAAGATTGCTGCTTCTCTGTGCGGGTTTTGTGCGGGGCCAAAGAATTCGTAAGGCTGAAATTCCCGCACAGGCTCCGGAGTGCACAGGTATGGAACCTTAGTCTTCCTTTCAACGTCAGCAGAGGTAGATGAAGAAGAAGAAGATGCTCCTGCATCTTCGGCAACTACTGTTGTTGTTGTACCTAGAGTACTGCTCTCGTCGTCTCGCTCTCCAACTACGATCTTCGAGGTACTTCTTGTTGTGGAACCACTTCTCCAGTCTGCTACTTTATCTTCCTCTTGCAAGATGCGAGGACGGTTCTGAAGATTGCTGTCTCCGTAGAGGTAGCTTATGCCGTTCATCCCTTTTAGAGCCGCTTTCATCGCAGACGCAGCCTCCTTGCCTGATGCAGCGAATAAACAGACTTTGGCACTGCCACGTCGAACCATTATCCTCAGTTTACTCCTGGCCCCCGCGGACGGGATCCGAAAGGTCTCAGTCTCATCAGCCTTCTCGAATCGTAGCGCAACTGGCAAGCCATCCGGCAGCGATCGCATAGGGGCAGGCGTCGTTGTGCTCAAAGGAGAATTAGACACAGGAGACGTTGCTGTTGATGGAAATGGATGTTCAATTACAGTCAGACAGAAACCTTCTTGGTGATGGATGTTGCTGTTGGTTTTTACCAGAGGATCGGTGTTCTTCGTCTCGTCTTTGACTTTGTGGTCAGGAGTAGAACTAGAATACTCAATACATTTAACACGACCATAACTTCTTCACTAGACGGATCAGCTGTTCTGGTCTCTTCAGCACTTTGCAGCATGGATGACAAAGTTGGCAATATTGAGGATCCCGATCCTGAAGATGAGGACGATGATTCCGCTTCCTTGGCTGCTTTTTCGTCCTCGTCCGCCGCATTCCTGACCTCAGAAACCGAAAGACTGTAAGCAGCCGGATCCGAACTCGTAGAGTACACAAGAATAAAGGCAGGATAGAACAAGGATGTTGTTGACTCTGCCGTCCCACTCGTTCCAGCAACCGCTTCCACAAGCGCAGTCGGCATCAACTCGGACGCGATAGACGCGACGACTCCTTGAGATTGTGAAGAGGAAGAAGTAGATGATTGGTCTTTATTCTCGTCATGATCATCTGCTGTGTCTGATGCTTTCCCCTTATCTAATTGCATCCGACTTTCCTCTAAACGAACACTCGAGACCTCTGCGGCTGCATTGGTCCGCAAGTCGCACCATCCATCCGCTGGTGCACCTGTCTCCTCGTCTAAGGAAAGTTGGTTTAAGGGCAGAAAATTTCGGTCTTTTGAGCTTGGCACTGTCACTTCGTGGTTGTACTTGACGCAGAGGTTGGCCTCACCTGCTGCTAGAGTTAAGGAAAGATCGAAAATGCGGTGGGAATTAGAAGAGAGAAAGTGATAAGCCAAATTAGATCTCTTCTTTTCCCACTACTAGAAGATATCTTCTATTATCTTCTAGAAAGTGATCTCTTCTAAGTGGGAATGAGAAGACAATACATAGATAGAAGAGCAAGAGACTGCAACAACAACGTTTTTGAGCCGTAATCTTCTTCTCTTCTCCCGCCGCCGCGTCAGCTGGCACCTTGGTATAAACATAGTGAAATCGATTTGGTACTTTTTTCGTCACAGCTCCTACAATTGAGCTAGTAGTACTTCTTGGTGTATCTCCGGTATCACCTCCTGGTGTCGTCGAGGAGGTACTCGACATGATTCCAATCGGTGCCACATAACCCACACGCCTCACATTGACTCGGCATCGCGCAGTGGGAGATTCACTTGTCATTACCACAGAAAGTGGCAGCGGTGAGTCCTCGTCTGGAGCTGCACCTCCTAAATAATTCTCCTCCTCCGTTGTACTGGCGGCAAGGACAGGCGAAGTTGCGGGAAGGAGCAGAGCGTCGGGTATTAGAGTTACCTGTATGCGCAACAATTGCAACATCAATGAATCTCCTGATGTCTCATGATTCTTGTAAGTAGCATAAACTACTACATCACTGCTCGGAGACAATGTTACTAGGCGTGATCATTATCAACCATTTTAGTATTTTTAGTATAAACAAATAATCTTATCCTTAACTCAACCAACGGCGTCTTCGCGATAGAGGACGGACTTTTTTCTCCTGCTGGTGTACTCGACATCTTTCCACGGACTACTTGTGCTCGACATCTGCCCTCCAAATGCTCCAGTCCAAGAATAAGGGCGTCATCTCCTGTTGTTGGTGGCTGACTGGTGCCTGTCGCGGAATCGTCCGGGGCTACTTCGCTCCTTCTCTGTGGTGGGTAAAAAAACTCGAGAGTGCGATTGTATTCTCGGTTGATCACAATGTCAGGTGAAGAGTCCCCTTCGCGTAGAGGAATAATTGGAGGCACTAGTACAACAGCTGTGTCTACCGCCTCAGATGCACGTACCGACACCACATGTTGAAGTACGAGAGCACAAACCGCGGAAAGACGTAGCACACAGATATGGCGCATCTTCGCGTACCAGCGAAACGGATCGCCCATCCTAGTGTGACAGTCAGTGGAGTTTTCTCGAAGAGACCTAGAAGATCTAGAGATACTTCTCTGCCAATTTCATTTTAGTCTTGAAGCTTAGGTTCAGTGGGTCTTCCATATCTTCACTCTGGACATGGCACAGTGAAACATGTGTCGTCTAGTTGGCAATCTTAATCCAAATCTATGCTCGAAACATATCAAAAAAAAGGTATCTGTACCTAGGTCGCTACTTAAAAACAAAGAAGAATGGTGCCACTGCCAGTGCTTCCTGCATGGTCATAGGAGCAGGTGAGTCATGTTTCGGCGCACTCTGTGAAGCGGAGACAAAGAAAACACTCTATCTTGATCTCGACATACAACAAACAAAGCAAGGGAAAGAACTGACTGTTACCCGGTTACAAGATCATGAGTGGAAGCCATGATCTGACCGACAGGCTCGCCTTGGACATTCGCCTGGTCCTGGTCGTGAAAATGGAAATGGAATTTACTAAGTAAGACGGGTCTACTACCTGGCACACCAGCGAGCCCCAGCGAAAGACATGAACACTCATTAAATATCTCATCATCTGCTGACATCGAGGTAGAAGAAGACGCACGTTTACCGAGTCATGTCGTGCTGCTTCTATCATCTTCCAGTTCCATTCACTCAATCTGTGACTCGATTCACTTATTTCCAAGAAGCGTACTTTACATTATACAATAATTTTTTCTACCCATTAACACTACAGATTCAGACATTAAAGACTTACAACCTCCTCTACGCCAAATATATAGTACGAATCGTGGCTACCGCTACGTACTTTCATACATTTATCATCGGAGAATTTTTTCATGGCTCTATCGATGTAATACCAGGAACATTGTACAATTGAATTTGAAGGATGTCTTGGACTTTTAAACATAGGACTACGTTTGAATACGTTTGAATACGTTAAGCTGTACTGTGCAAGAATGTATCGAATACGTGTGAAGAGGAACACGTAATGTTAATATGCGAATTTCATGAAGATCGTTTGTTACATTGATGTTAGATTTTTAGACATGATACATACGTCGTTAATACGCTCGAATTCCAGAATGTTGTATACTTTTTAGACTACTTGTTGTATTTTGTTGGTATCTATTACGTCGTTGTTTATGATTATGTTTCCATGCTGTTATAATTGTTGTAAAATCTATGATCTTTTCTCTCTGTCATGTTGCTATCTAGAACTGTGTAAGAATCAACTTCAATTATCGCTTGCTATAATAGCCCATTTCCACCACCACCTTCTCTGCCGAATCCACTCCAACTTCCACCACGATCAACCCCTCTTCACAGCCTACCAAAGCTACTAAACGAACCTGTGTCACCCTCTATCGGACACTCTTCTTTCCGGTCTTGACCGTGGTAGCACGTTCGACCTTCACTGGTGTTAGAGACAATAAATTGTAGAGATACAACAACAATGTCTACTCGCTGCTTTGCAAAATGTAAGTTGACGTAGTAGTCCCCTAGAAGTTGTCTCTGCTCTTGAAAACGGACAAGACAAAGTAAGATGCTCATGCTTCGTCCCCAGATGAAGATGAATGGAATCTATCAAGATAAAGTAAGATCAAGATGCCTGCTCCCCAAGACGAACATATTTTTTTTCAAGCTTTGCTTGAGTTCTTGAAGGTGGGACTAACCTATAGTATACCTAAGGCAAAGGACGAAAATAAACTCACCGTCACCGGCAGCTCCTTCGTACCATCATCCTGAGCCGATACAGTAAAACTAATTGTTTGTGTTAAGTACTTTTGAATTTGTGTAGTACCCCATCCCCAAAAAGATGAATGATAACATAAACATATTTGAATTCATTGTGTAACAAGCCTTAATGGTGCAGCGGTCTCTCCACCTGTACTATAATGATGATGTCGAGCGCCGCGAAGGGCACTACCGAATACGTGCTCACTGCTTTCTGACATATCGCTGCTGCTTTCCTCTTCTTCGGATGAATAATCTTCTTGCCCAGCCGCAACCGTGCCACGAACTTTCTCCTGTTGGTTCATCATGTGAAGTGAAGGTGTGTGTAGTTAGTTAGTTAGTTAGTTAGTTAGTTAGTTAGTTAGTTACTATAAGAAGCCTGGCGGCGCTCCAACATCATGCAACCCGAGAGTCATGTATGTGTGGGTGATCGGGTGATCGTGATGTATGAAAATCATGTTGGAGTTGAAGAAAATAACAAAAAGAACGAAATACAGAACCTCAAAAGAAAGACAATGACAAACCTTGTCCTGACAACTTATAGACTTATAGACTTTGACTTATACTATAGACTTATAGACTTTGACTTAAGTTCGCTGTAGATTTTACCGTTCTCTTTTTCACGCCAGCCTTCGCACCCATGTCAATCTTGACACTTGGATTGGATTTTGGTTAGAAGAAAGATAGTGGAGACTACATAGATCATCTGTCTCTCTTCGGTAATTATCTAGTACTGGTACTACTCTTCTTGAGCTATTCAAATTCAGTAGACATGCTAGCCAGTTCGTTTTTGACGACGAGTAGAAGTACTTGGTCTACTAGTGCCAACATACTAGTTTTCTTCTTCAGATCTTCTTAATTACAAGTCAAACCTATCAAAATCAAAGTCATGTTCGACATAAAAATCATCTGAATCCGAAGTGAAGACTTCACCTTGCGCCTTCGATGATATGTTCACCAGGGCTTCCCTATCCGCGTAATTCGCATTTACAGGTCTCATCTCCGATCTTTCTTCTACCTTAGGATTGGGGCAGCAACACCGCCTCAAACACGATCGAAGACCCATCTTGATGTGGATGGCTAGGTTTTCGTTCTAGTCGAGATATTCGGCGCAAGTCGTCTTCAGTGCTCGACGCTACCGATTATAATAGCCAGTCGCTAAAGAAACCCTTGCTCCTGCCCAGTGGCGGCGACTGGTCGTCGACGTCTGCTTCTTACTTTTTCAACAACTCTAGTTTTCAACAACTCCTGTATTTCATTTTACTTGCTTCGTCGAAGAGGCGGCATAGAAACTCAGCACCAGATACAAGATGAAGAGCCATGATTCTGATGATCTTCTTGCTTCGTTTTCGTCGAGTCTTAGTTCAGAAGTTTTTGATGACAACTTTGACTGTACTTAAATTGAGTTTGAGGTTCAGAACGATTGTGAGAGGGTTGAGATTCAGAATCTCAGGAAACAAGATTTCTTGTGAAGTGAATCACACAGTCATAGCCCCCGACTGTGGGAGAAAAGTCCGGGAATAATTGTCTATCATTAAGTGGGGTTGACTCAGAGATTACACTGATAGACAATCTTCACACATGATCAATGGGGTTGTTGCCTGGTCGTGAGGAAGGGGTTGAGAGATAGGATGGAGTCGGCATCTGGATCTGGATTTGCATCCATCTTGATTCGAGGAGATTCACGGTTGATACAGAGGCAACCGATATCTAGTTGTAAGTCCTCGGAATAAATCTTCGACCACTACACCGGTCGTTGTGTGATCATAGATATGTATGACGTAAGATAGAACCGATAATTGTGTATTTGTATTATCGTGGACACTACGTAGACGTGGACGTGCAGACCGGTGGTACGTCGATGAGGTATTTTTTCAACATTCCTTTGACTTTGTACGCAGAGTTGTTACCGATTTTTGTAGAAACGCCAACTGAAGAAGAATAGAAAGACAGAGACCGTCTCCAAAGAAAACCCATCAAGCTACCCACTTCAGGGCACCAGCGAGCTTGAGGTAAGCAAGTATTGGTTGCTGAGTCATTGGAGATTCATTTTTAAAAATAGTTTCATGTTCGTGATGATCGATGTGAATCTACTCGGCAATCTGCCTAAGATTTCCCTGCTTCATGTTCCTACTGTGTAGGTAGCCAGTTGCCATCCTTGTGGACCATCCTTGTCCCCTTAGAAAATGGCGGAGCACCCTGGTGTTTCAAGTGGACTTCTTCACCGATGCTAGCTCTTTGCTCCCATTTCTCCCTTATTCCAACCATAGAAGTCGGCCGATTTATGAACACAGAAAAGAGGCTGCTTGGGCTCAATACCAGACGGTGATCCGTAGAGACCAACTGCAGCAAGAGAGAGCGGCCCGAAGATGCGCGTCGGCGTCAAGAGAGTGCGCCACATGATCCCCTTAAAGAAAACGAACGAAGCAAGAGGATGGAAATCCAGAAACATGGCGCACGAGCCCACTGGAATGCAAGCACTGGACCCAGAGGGGAAAGCGTGTCAGCCTGTCCAATTTTGGACAGGTCTAGACCACAGAGGTCCAAAACGTCCACGCAAAGGGAAGAGGTGCATATATTCAGCGCGAGCCGCTTGTCGGGCTGTCCAATTTTGGACAGGACTAAGCTCCAACGCGCCCACAAATACTAGAAGAACCTCCCCACTAGAAAGGCGGCAGCGTGTCAGGCTGTCCAATTTTGGACAGGACTAAACTGCAACGCCTGACGAAAGCATCTACACACGCAAGGCCGCGAGAGATTTTCTATGGCTAACACAGAAGCAAGCAGCAGCGCGCCAAGCTGTCCAATTTTGGACCAGACCAGACGAAAGCGCATCAGTGGCATCGCACTCCCATCAGGTTCGCCCTGCTTCACACACTAGATGCACAGCCCGCGGGCTGTGGTCTGGGGCCAGCCGTTCGACGCCGCTGCGACTGTCTCGCCTGACAACAAAACAGAGCAGAGGGAGCCAGAGTGAGGCGTCCACTGCTGTGCTAGAACGACGCCGGCGGCCTCAGCCTCTACGGTTGCGCGCTACTTACTATATGGCGCGCGCTTAAACGCTGAGCAGCCGGCGCTAAGTAAATGCCACCCATCGCCAACAAGGTCGAATCTACTGAAGTCAAGGCCCTTCAGGTTTGCGCCTGGCGTTCTCGCTGCTTCGGTTTCTTCCCATGGGTTGGCAGCGTTTTGCCTGCTAGATCTTCACAAAGTGCGATAGGACTTCTCCGCCCATTGCGTAGCCCATCGCTTGAAGTAGCGGCCCACTTCAAGCCCATCGTTCTCAAGCTAGCTCACCACGCGCGCACCGTGCAAGAGCGACAGCCATGCGGGCCGCAAAGTGTGAGCAAAGTCCGAGCCTAAGAACTTCCGGCGGGTTCTTTCTGCCAGAGATACGCGAATCGAAAACATGAAGAACCGAGAGAGACCCAGAAAAGCGCGAAGACACACCACCCGACTCCAGACCGCGACGACGTGGCTGCGGCTGGACAAGCTTCGCCGTGCATGCCTGTGCGAAGTCGCTGAGAGTGGGCACGCCTATGCGCTCACCTTCAGGCCCAGAATAGTTAGACGAGCGGCGGCGCTTTCTCTGGCATTTTTTCGGAAGTTCGCTCCGCTTGGTGAATGTTCTTCGAAAGGAAACAAATGACACCCGTCGACGGGTAAAGACTCAGACGCCCCCCATGTCTTCCCCTTTCTGCTCTTGATCTTTGTGAGAAGTTGACCCGGCTGGAATTGTCCCGGTGCGTCTTGGTCTTCCTTCACGCTCAAACCAATTAATAAACAGCACAGACAAATCCTAGCTAACCCAAGAGCAGCCTAAACTCTGTCGCAGTAGTACAGTAGCTCAGCCCTGCGCCAAGTAATTGGCTTGGTGGGCTTCACTACCACGACAAAGGCCAGCTCTCTCAGTGGAGTGAAAAGGTGGCAGACATGTTGGAACCTGGTAGCGATAGACCCACCCAACGCGCCTTGGAACACTCCACCCCCAATAGGCGCGAACCGATCGGCCGCCACTGCTGGGCCCTCCGGCGTCATCTCTCTCCTGCTACTTCTTTCCTTTGCGTCGCTCGCTCCCTGCCATCTTCGTTCCTTCACACCTTCGCGGCCAAAGCACACAACCCCGCGAGAGTTTCCGCCCCGAAAAGCTTCACAATTTGGATGCGCCATCTTCTGCCGAGGCGTTGCCCCCCCGCGGCGGTCGTTCGGCATTCACAAGCCGAAGACAAGCGGAGAGGCCGCCTGCTTTTCCCCCAGAGAGAAGCTGCCTCCCCCGCCGCCACCCTTAGGGCGCAAAAGAATGAAGACACCAGCAAGGCGGCGCCGTTGCCTCTGCATCGTATTCCACCCGCGCGCCCAGCAAAGTGCGAGGCGTCTCTGCGTCCGTCACCGTCTCCAGCTCCATGCGCTTCAATTTCAAAGCCCCCAGCAGAGTCCCCTACGAGGCTACAACCATAAAGCCGCAGCGCCTGCCCGCTGGCGGGATAAGATGCACCAGCACGCTCCCGGGAACCTTCTCGCTAGACCCCTGGTCTTGGGCGCCTTCTGCCAAACTTCGAAGCCAGAAAGCACACAAAAGCGGAGCACTTTTAGATGCTCAAAAACAGGTCCCCCAGCTCTACCGATCTGGCCACCCTGGGTTGAGGCGTGCCTCCCTGTGGTCATCATCCTCGTCGCCATCCTTGTCAATAGTTTGAGCTGGTCCCGTTTTTGGTCTCCTTTTTCTCTCCTTTTTTGTCTCCTTTTTTGTCCTCTGCTCTCCTACCTTTGAACTTGAAGAATAAAGACAAGAGAGAACCCAGAGAGGCCCCAGCCCTCCCCTCGCTCAATGTCAGTCTGCGCCACTTTTTCCACAACTGGCACGCACAAGGCACCAAGCACAAGAAGCCCAGCAGAACCGCCATCGCAAGCCAACGCCAAACGCGTGGCGTGAGACCCAGCGCCACATCTTCCACAACTGCGGGCAAGCGCGGGCCAGGCTGCGCCGCGTGGTGCTCCATGACTGGAGAACGGCGGCCACAGAAAGGAACTAAGCTGGCCCCGCCTCCCCTCTTTGGATAACCTTGCCTCCACACTGCTGCGCGCGCATGCGCCAGGTATAAGAATCGCCGCGCAGCGCAGACAGGCACGCAAGCCCACCTCCACGCAGATCCAGAAGGGCGCCAAAATGGCGGCGCCCAAACTCGATAAACAGAAAACGCAAAACAATGCCCGGCGCGGTGTCTTCCAGATTGAGAGCCCCCAAGGCATCGACTACGCGGCCGACAGCGTCGTCCCCCACACCCCAAAACCCAAGCACCACACTACAAGCGACGACACCCGCGCACTTCGCGAAAGGTTCGACCTTGCGGCAAGGTTTCCGATCTGAGCGAGGACCACTCCCCGCAGGCAAGGAAGCGCGGCGGCGTGAGTTCTACGCACCTTGCTAAGCGGCTGGCGCCCCAAGGCGATGCAGCTACAGCAGCGCCTCTCCCTGCGGCGTTGCGATCACTGCGGGCGCAGCTCCTTGGTCGGTTTTTTCGATGCTGACACACTAGACCACCGCAGGCCCCACCTGACGCCAATGGATTCACTTCACGCAGATGCTGCCCACACTCGTCCCCCAACGGCGGCGCTCTCGCTGCGATGGTGGTGCCCTCGGTGTGTGAGTTTCGCTGACAAGATGCCGCAACTGTTGACAATCAGCCCGAAAGCAAACACAGCGACACTCCCCAGCCCTCTGCCGTTGGCTATGCAGCTCACTTGACTGAGAGGAGCAGCAGAAAGCAGTAAGCAATGGCCTAGGCTTCTGAGCTGCAGGCGCAGGGCCTTAAGCTTGTGCACCAAGAAAGAAATAAAACAAACACACGCCAAATCGCTCGGGCTGGGGCTGGAGTAAGCTCACACTACTCGCCTCAAAGTCGATCGAAGACACCAATGGCAAGCACTGGCCCAAGCTACCAAGAAGAGGCAACACACCCCCCCCGCCGTGCTCTATCGCAGCCAGTGCGCGCTCTGCCTCGCGGGCCTTCAGTCACAACGCATCCGCGTCGCGAATGCTGCCCCTGCGCGGGCGTTCTATCGTCGTGGGCTGGCTTCATAGATATCCTCCGCCCTCTGCATCGAGGCAAGGCGCAGACTCATTTGGTGGCGCGAGGTTCTCCGCCAAATCCGCCCAGTGGTGCCACCTCCCTGCTCCTGTTGCTGTTGTGCCGGCACAGAATTCAAGAGCGAAGCCCTACCAACCTAGCCCAGCGCATTCGGCTCGGCATCGGCCTCGGCGGCTCCTTACGTTTCCGCCTGCTCCAACTAACACTAAGTGCAATCACCTGCGCGACGCCTGGCCAGCAATGGGGCCGCTCGCTCTTTACTTCCATCGCCCCGCTTTCCTTTGGGCCTCTAGCTCTACCCACCCACGATCTAACACGAAGCCGAAAGCAATAAGGACGCCGCCCCCCTCCTTGTTCTGGCCCCGCTTTCCGTTTTCGGTTCCTTCTCATCCATCTCCGGCGCGTGCCTTTTCTCCTCCTCTCTCGCCCTCTCACACGTGTCACCCCTCTACTGCTTCCACACCTAACCCCATCCGCCGCCAGCGCGTCACGCCTGAGGCGTCGAGCCTTGGCGAGATGTGTCACCCATTGACGGCGCCGCATGTTCCCCGTGCGTGATGTTGTGACACGCGTCCCATTAATTTCGCCCAGTGCCGTTCCTGTTTTATATCGAAGCAAGCGCAACACAGAAAAGCTGAGGGGCCCTATCCTCGGCCTGTCCAATTTTGGACAAGACTAGACTCACGCCCGCGGCAGCACATAGACTCAGAAGCGGCAAACCAGCCAGCCTCAAGCGGTGCGCATCCTGCTCCGGAAATCCATCACCAGAGCAGCAAAGGAGGGCGGTTGCAAGTCGATCAGCAAGAGGATCAAACGCGCCAGGGAAAGTCCAGGCTATCAGCTCAATGGCTGGGGCATCGAAGTGAAGAGATGGCGCAGATTGTTTATGTGAAGAAAGTGCGGGGCTATTCAAATGCAGACGCACCCGCTTTACTGCTTGAGAGGAAGTCTCAGCACACTACCAAAAGAAAGCCCTTCAAAAGGGTCAAAAGAGGGCACATTTTCGAACTTGCCTCCCAATCTGCATGAGGCTGCCGCGTTTTCTAAGGGGACAAGGATGGTGGTTAAGGATGTAAATCGTGGGCCTACATACTGAGAGAGAAAATCATCTATGTCACCGTTAGGTCATGGACACCCTCGTGTCATAGTCTTCATGTCTTGGACTGGTTATATTGGTGACCAAATCACTACTTTACATTTTTCAATTCCATGAAAATCAAATGTTGAAAATGAATGTACAAAAACTACTCAACAAGAAATATACAAGAATGATATTGTTAGTGGCACTACTAGGAATTTTTCAGATTCAGATGAAGTAGATCATAGATACTAATAGTACTAATATACGTGGTCGGACATATATAAGTACTTCAAATTGAAATTCGTGTTGTTCTTTAGAACAAGGAAGAATGACTCATCTTCATTTTTTGCCTTTCTGTGCTAGGCCTTCGAGACCACCTGCGAGTCTTGCGGCATTTTGCATTTTCAGACGAGCTCCCTGCAGTCGGCTATGGTGACTTTTCTCCTCATCTGAAGAGTGTTGTGGAGATGCGATGGCAGAATTAATCCCTTGGCCTTGCTAAGAATTAGACTTTCATGTCATGTCATAGTCACGCTACCTCATGTCTCAAGATTTTTTTTTGGTATCATACTCATACTGTCTAGTATCTACACGCCTGGAGCATTTGATTACTGGACGATGCTAAATCGAGAGCCAGGCACTTCAAGAGCTACATACTTTCTATGTACAACCTCGTCCTAGTTCGTTGTAGTACTAGAACTAGTAGAAGTTGTATACCTGCTAAATTCACTCACTCACTAATCATGGTCAACTTAAATAAAATCAAAATTAATATTAACTGGTGGTATGCGTGAGAAAGAGAAAGCAAGTGCCGGGCAATTATAGGCATGAATTCATCTAGAGGAACTGCAGAAGAAGAAGCGATAGTAAAGACAGAGAGATCCAAGTACTACAAGTAAGCGAGAACAGACGAAGACCTCCTAAGAGTCAAAATTGAAAGGAAACAAAGAAACAAAACGCTCATCATTATATCAATGATCTAACCAGTCTGCCATAGCTAAATCCCCTCCTTTCGGCATCGCCGATCCGTAATCTTGTCGACTAGTTCCACTTAGACGTCTGCGTGTCGACTAGTTATGCAGATCCAAAACCCTAAACCCAAACCCTAAACCCAAAACAACCTGGCATTGTTGCAGCAAACCCTAAACCCTAGTAGAGGTAGTAAACCCTAAACACTGATGTAGTAATCTTGTCGACTAGTTCCGCTTGTCCTTAGACGAGACAGGAAACTACGTATGACGTAGTTAAAAACATCGAAACTCAAAGAACTCTGCTAGTAGTAGCATCAGTTCCATAAATTTTGACCGATCGCGGCACCGGCATCACGAGAAAGTTAGAGTGAGTGTCTGAAGAAGCGTACGTAGGCACCCGCTACACCTAGAGGCGCCACAAGAATGTGCGTAGACTTTATAAATACAAACAGATAGAAACAATACATGCAGGTCCATGTCATGTCATGGAACCTCGTTTTACGTCATTCTAACGTTCTAGAGGCCTTTCAGTCACCCTGTACCTTCTTTGATGTTCTCCTGACAACGACTTCTGGTCGCCTGAAGATAGATCCAGAAGATCCTACACCTTCTTCAGACGAGACACAGAAATAGCAGGGAAAGTGCATAAAGCTTCAGAAGCTACAAGATTATGTCGTGTATCTATGTAGTGGTCGCAGAGGACATTTCAAAAATCCAAGTACATTTCACTGATTACTCATTCTGCTCGCAACAAGAGTCTACTGTTGCACTATCGAATATCCAGCAGTCGCAAAGAAGTACTCTTCAACTAGCCATAATCACTCTCCCCGCCAACATTGTAATGCTCGCTATCGATATCGATATCGTCTACTTCGTCGTCGGATTCGCCAGCAGCTGGCGGGGCTCTCTCCTCCTCGTCTTGTAGCTGTGAAATAGAAATATTGTTCAACAGTTGTTGATGTCACGACCACGTGGTAAAGAAGTACTAGTGAACAGAAAACCAAATCAAGTACTGCAAAGAGAACAAGAATAACAAACTTTTTCCAGGCGAATACAATGAACGAAAACAACTAGAACTAACCCTACTATAGTTCTTGTGAAGCAGATGGAGATGGTAATGTTCTCCCTGAAGAAAATTTAGTACAGACTTTGATCTCCTTCTGATAATCCTGTCATCCTCCTTATCGAGGACGTCGACTGAAACGTCAAAATCTTCTGGACGCAGAGCATTGGATTAGATGATGCGTCTTGATGATGTGAATCTACTCGGCAGGCTGCCTAAGATATCACGGGCGACTTCTACCCACCAGTCTAGCCTCTTGTTGGGTTGTTAGTGGTCTCGCGACTGTTCCCGTTGATCCTGATACGGAATGACTCGCAGGCTTCTGGTTTGCTACTCTCGTCTTAAACTCCTGTATAGTTTTCGCATCTTAAACTCCTATTTATAGTAGTGGTGGAGCCAACCTAACTAGGAAAGGAGAAAGGTAGAGAGCATGAAGATATAAAAAAAGGGTCTTGAATTAGAGTCTGCTAGACTGCATCTCGGCCCCCTCATCTTGGCCCCTTTTACCTTGTATTTCACGAGAATACAAGGCAAAAGGGGACCAAGATGCCAAGAATGATGGAAAAAAGCTGACCATAATTGAACTCCTCTATATTTATTATTTGTCGTCTTAAACTCCTGTATAGTTGTCGTCTTCGAGTCCACTTCCGTCTTCGTCCTCAAAAAAGGCATTAGGATCTCTGCACCTCATGCAACGCTTACAGCAGTTTTTCAAACACTCCATCTCGTAACTCGGCTGCTCCTTGTTATTCTAGTAGAAGCACAAGCTCTTGTTCTACTACAAAATGCTGTACTTCAACAACTAGGCTTGTTCCTCTAGATACGTGCTAGTAGTGGAGGTATCGGATAATACTCCCCAGTACTAGTAGATATTGTTGCACTAGTAGTACTGCTCCTCCTAATTCTCTACTCTAACTTCACCTCGGAGGCTCCGCTTGCGCTTGGTACCAGCAAACTTAGTACTAGGCCACATCGGTGTGCGAGGTTGCAACTTGGTTCTCCCAGCTTCTGCGGTGCAATTCCATGTTGATCGTGTTGCTTCTTTTGAAGTAAGGAATCTGCTTGCCGCGGCAGCACTAAGCTGCATGCAGGACCACTACCATGAATATCTTCTTCGAATCGGGGAAGAGGACCAGGATTTAATGATCGGACCAGGATTTATTACGTGAAGTCTACCAAAACACAACAAACGGCCGCCCGGCGCCTCTCAGAACTTCTCTTTTGGTGTTGTTTTTACGAAGATTGGGCAACTCGGAAAATGATGTAGTTTCTTTTCTATGAAAGCATAGGCGGTGATGTCACAAACATGATCTTCGTGAGACTGACGACTGGAATGTATCTTCTTGGTATTATTCCAGTCGTCAGTCTCCCTATGTTTGTTGATATGCTCTGCGAGTGCTCCTAGTACTCTTATTTCCGGGTTTGGAAGGTACAGAAGTCGTGGTTTATATGTGAATGTCTCCGATATAGTGTGAAGAATGTCTCCAACAGAGGGAACCGATTATATCCTGATTCGGCACATGTCTACTCTAACCGATGAATTGAGGTTGTTCTGTGGTAACCAAGCAAGACTTCTTGTCCGACTTCTGACCGATGATGTGGCTGTGCATTGCGTTGTATGCGTAATGGTAACGCATGGCATGTGTGCGCCTCTGTTATGATCCTTCATGATCACCGTAGAGACCGAATCGTCTTGAAATAAATTGAGACAATGAATACAGTCTGTACCGATCCATATACAGTCTGTACCGATCCATCCAATGTCTATGTCTCATGATGTCTCGGCAGGATGCTTCGACACATTCTGAAACGAACACTGCACAAAGGATCCGTACGCATTCGAACTGGTATCTAGACACTGACACCGTGTGCAATTGTGGATTCTTCGAAATGAGATCGCAAAAACGTCATAGGAAAAGAGTTTGGAAAAAACATCAACAACGAGTACAAATGACAAATACTGGAAATACAACCATACTGGAACAACCGGGCCAAACAACCCTAGTAACAAACGAACCAACCTCGTCTAATACAGTAACAAAAGAACCAACCGCAAACTCTAAGCTGGCAACGGCTCATCCGGCAGTACACCCAAGTAACCGGTTCCCGGCGCCGGCAATGCTCCTGCTAAGCCTGGAACACCCGGTGGAGCCGGTGCCCAATACGGCGTCACGTCGGCTGGCAAGCCTGTGCTGAATCTTAGAAGGATGCTGATTCCCTTCATCTTTCAAAAATAGTAAGAACACAAACTCGAAGATGATGATGAACATGATGAAGGGAAAGAGTCTAGAGAGAGAGTTTCATTTTGTGTCTCTTCATAAATTTGCCGGTGCACCTCCCCAGACCAGGACTGGAGCGGTCGGCGGCTTCTCGATACTAGGCCACCAGCCAGCGGCAGCAGCGGCAGCTTCACTAGCTGCTTTGAAATCGGCTGCTGAGTACGGTGCTGGCACATGCGCCGCGAAATAGGTAGGCGCACCTTCCTTAGGCTTCACTCCGAACGCGTCTACGCCCGTCACGACGATTTCAGCTGGAGGCGACTTAGAGAATATTCAGAATCTCTCAAAGAAAGGAATAATCTCTAGGAGAGGAGTAATAAGTTGGAATTCAACAACAACATCTTCAAGCAGATGAAGAATCTAGAACTACATCTAGCAGAGGAGTCCAAAACTACATCAAGCAGAGGAGTCTAGAACTACATCAAGCAGATGAAGAATCTAGAACTACATCAAGCAGAGGAGTCTAGAACTACATCTAGCACCGGCCAAGAGGCTCTACGGACGCTGGTAATAGCCACCCTCAAAGAAATGAGGTCCAGTCTAGCTAGCCTTAAGTTTTGGTGTAGGAAAGCACGGCGTCACGCCTCCACAAGGCATACCGGTATCTTCATCCCAAGCTTCCTCACGAATATTAGACGATTCTTCGTGAGGCATCCGCTTACTTCATGTTCTGTTTCCCTCATCAGACAGAAAACTCTACTTGAAAAACAAGCTTAAACTTCCTCATAAACTTGCTAACGCAATCCACCACTGTCGATCCGGCTTCCGGTCCCTGGTTTCCGGCGGCATAACAAGCGATCGTACCCACCCCGCCGACCTCACATGGGCCACAAACGTTTCGAACCTGATTACGAGATTAGATGTGGTGGAAGTAGAAATCCACTTCGAGTTGTTCAAGTGATTAATTATGAGATTAGATGTGATGGATCTACTTCCAGTTCAAGCAAATCATGTCGTGTAGACTGGTCCTGGTAGAAGTACAAGTAGATGTGACAACTTTAACAAGAAGTGCACATCATGGTCTGTAAGTAGATGTAGATAGCAAGTTGTCAACAAGAAGTGCACATCATCACATGGTCCTCTGTACGTCTCCCGCCCCAGTTTGATACGAGACAAACATGCACTTGGTTCCGGAAGCGTCACCCTTTGCCATGCACTGATTCCTCGTCACCGTGAAACTACTTACGTCTGTGCAATCTGAAACCTTGGTGAGGACAGCCTGATGCGCGCATGTCATGTCGCATTTTTTGACGACCTTGGAGGCACCAAACAGGCTCTTTTCCGGAGGACAGGGGACTGGAGCTGCTCGTGATGAAAGTGACTTTGGAAAAGGTGAACAAGCGAGTCCGGTTCTTATGACTTATGAGATTGTCAGTCGGTTCGAATTGGACCTACAACGCCTACTTCCCTGAAGAGTTTTCCGTATTTACCTGGTCTAATACTATATCTTTAAGTTTCATGATAATGATTGCTAGAAGACAGATGCGAACATTGTAGTTTTTCTCCTTTTTGCGGTGAGCGTGAAACAATGACGGAGGGTGCTCCTCCATCAAGGCTACTTCTGTAGATTCTGCCATAACCCCTGTGTACAGGGCAGACACGAAGGTGCGTCAGACCCCTCAAACTGCAAGAACATGCAGTTGCTGCCTTTTGCCAGGCATTCCTTTTCTGCGAGTCCTGTACATGGTGAATCCGACCTTTGTGCAGTAGAAGTAGACCGGCGCGCTATTACACGTTTAAACAGTCGCGTTGCCTCGGAAGGCGAGAGCTGTCGTAGAAGGCATGTCGCGACGAACAAGGTTCGCCTTGTTGACGCAGGTGCACAGGGCAAGAGAAAACGACAATGAGACGCCATCATGTTTTGGATTTGTGGTGCAGCAACGCGACAACGTCGCGGCTAGCCACAGCTACTCTAACTCGCCTATACCATCGCTGAAGTACCGCAAATGCGAGAACTACTCTTTACAGGGTTACCTACAAAGGCCCAGAAAAAAAACTACTGTTATACATGTACATCTATCGGGTGACATTCATCTTACGGGAGTGAGATCGAGGTGGTATCCTAATTCATGTCATGTCCCCATCTGCATGATGAACCTCACCTCGAGTCGACCAACGGGCGTTTTCTCCAGTGTCTCTTTGCTTACAAATGATCTCTTTTTGGAGGACACAAGCAACAGACAGTACGAAGACACCTTCCTCATACTCATACAGATATCGGCCTGTGCCGATTTTCTCCTGCTCCGACGGCAAAATGATTATGAACCGATGGCTTTCCATCCGCATCCTGTATCAGCCCTCTTGCTTTTCAGTACGTTCAAGATCCAAACCGATACTGCCACAATAGACCGATTATAAAACTTGCCGCGTCTTTCACATGTAATATCAAGGTCATCAGAACACGAGTCGGAGAAATCCATCAACAATGTGCCAAGATCATCCTCGACTGACTGGCCCCTTCTCATGGGTAGCGCTCTGCATGCTGGATGCTGGAAAGCCGTCGCCATTGTGCATGAAGTATGGATGCATGAACTAAGCAATGTTGGATGCATCACTCGGAGTGAGATGTGCGCCAGAATTCAAACGTGAAGAAACATCTTGGGTACATCTGTGGTCAATCTCGACGAGTTACGAGGATACTGCCTCGAAATCACTAGGCAATGGCAAGTGCAGCTACTACTAGTAGTCAACTTTACTAGTTACGCTGGATATAGTACCTGTAGACGATGAAGATGTGTTCTTACACGAGTGAGAAGCTCACGGGGAGAGGTGAAGCGGATGCATGCCATCTACCGGTCGACCAAGAATCCACGAGAACAAGGGACGAAAAAAGGTCACAGAAGTATAGAAACAAGTTCTCCTTTTACCGAAGTAGAGGCGCATCAAAAATAGGATGATACCTAACGGCCAACGACTAATCTGTAGTACCAAATGCTAACCAATGCAAAAAAAAGGTCTTCAGATAGAAGTTGCTCTCGTCAATGAGAGGGTGTTCTACGTAAGTCGTGAGAACAACTATGTTGGTATGGTATATGCTCTCAAAAAGCAGATATCTTCCCGATCCTAGGGCTACACCTAGAGGAGGATTCAATGCTTCCACTACTACATGTCTACGGTATCAGTCAGACGGAGTAGTTAAATGAGAGAGAGGATGAAACCGAGAGCGAGAAGTAAGACGTTCTTCGTGTTCAGGAATATCTTACTTTCGTCTGCAGATCACATAATTGGATGAGAATCCAAATGAGTGCCGGTTATAAGAGCAGCTATATGGCGTTTCGCGAGGCTCTGACTACGTTAGCGTTCGATACGATAAACATAAACACTTCCAACACAACAAGGCTAACGGGCGATGGTGTTTCACTTGTTTCCTAGAGTGTTGCAGTCAATACTAGGCAAAAGAGCTACTCAACCCATAAATATCCACGTCATTTTCACACCTTGTATTTGTGTTTGGAGTGCGAGCCCAATATGGTGTCGACATTATCACAAAAAGAATGTCCTAGCACGCTGCTACGTGTAATGAGTATGATATGGCAGAAACGCAAGTAAAAGAGATTTTTGAGATTGACGAGAGCAGAAGCGAAACACGACGGAAATTCACTACTTGTTCTGGTCGTCCTCATACGTGGCCTAAAAAGATCATTATCAACAAGAGCATGACCAGATCAAATAGCCAAAAAAGGTTAATTATGCAAACGCATTCCATTTCGAGAAATTCAAAAGTAGACATGATCATGATAAAACGTCTACGTAGCTAGAAGCAAAGAACCAAAACTCCTTTGATGTATTGTGTATCCATCCCCTCTTGACCCAAACAAAAGGTCGTGCTGGTCAACATTCTCCTACAGCCTCTCATCATCTTCTCACAGAACTCTTCAATCCACATCGGATATTCAGCAATACCGACTTAGAACATGAAGAGCATGCTGGCGAAGAGAGCGAAGACAGCCGAGAAGATCGTGGACAGGGTGTTGGCGCTGGAGGCAGCTGCGGGGGCTGGCGGAGCGGTGACCGTAACGGTGGTGGTGGGAACGGTCAGGGAAGAGACGGAAGCCGTAAAGTTGAAGCTGGAGAAGTTCGTGCCGGCGAAATCGGTGGTCAACTGCGAGACGATTTCAGAGGCCAAAGAAGAGGTGGTCAAGGTGCTGTTGGAAGCCGCGACCATCAAGTCCTTGGCGCCGTCGATGGCAGCCGCTGTGGCGGACTCAACGGTGAAGGTACCGCTACCGCTACCAGCGGCGAGCACACGCAGACGGCCGGAGAGAACACCGGACCAGGTCATGGCAACAGCGGTGGTAGCACCGCCTTCACCGGCAACGCTCTTACAGTTGGCCAAAGTGGAGAACGGCTTCGGGGCTGTAATTTTGGAGTGAAGATGATTCAGGTTTAGATTCATGAACGATGATAGCCCACAATCGTTCTAGAAGATTCTAATTGATGAGGATAAGCCCTTTATTAAGGAAAGCAGGAGTTATTAGAACAAGATACGTAGTGTCTAACCTCCAGTACGTATCTTCGATCTATGAGGACGTGCTATAAAGTCCTCGTAAAACGAGACATGAACCTGCAGACTAGCAACAAAGCAGTCTTGGTGTCAAAATCAAACAAAGAAGTTGATGATTAGATCACGGTTGTAAATACAAGCTCCGACGAGCGGTGCGCAGCACTTGTTGTGGACAGCGGTCTGGATGGAGGTCTTGGCAGTGGTCTTCTGGTCGACGCTCATGGTAGCCGGCAAGTCCACGGCCACAGCGACGGCGGTCTCGTGCTTGGTAACCGAGGCGACGGTGGTCGTCGGAGTAGCAGTGGAAAAATTAGAGGAAATTCTATTTTAGAGGTCTTTAGCGTAAACGATTTCGATTGCTACACCGGAAAGTTCTACAACTAGAACTTGGTAAAGGATTGATCATTTTGATGTTGAGTTGACGAAGAGATTTTTATCACTTAGATTCACTCTAGTTACTTACATGACATAATTGGAGCAGCGGTGGTTCCGTTGGGCGCGAGCGTGGTCGGGGTGAGCGTGGTCGGCGCAATCGTGGTCGGAATCGGGCACGCGAAGGTGCTGTTCATGTAGGTGGAGATGGCCGCAGCGAGCGGGTGGGCGTCAGCATCGACTGCAGCGACCATGGCGTTCTTGGAGGTGGAGTCAGCGCACAGGACGGTGACAGCATCCGCGACGACGGTGGCCTTCGGGGTGTAGCCGTCAGACTCGCAAGCTGGGTTGCCGCTGGACCAGGCGCCGGCGGCGACACTGGAAGCGGCACCTCCCCAACCCCAGCAGTCCGTGAGACCGACTTCGGCACGCTCAGCAGAGGTCTTGCCGGCCATAGCCGCGGCAGCGATAATGTTCGTGGCCATGCACGCCTTGTTTGCGAAACTGGAGATCTTGAATGTACCTGAAAGCGATGAGTTGTCATTTCATTTTCTTGTAAATACAGGGAGACAACAGGCAGTTCCATGAAATTGTTTCATTTGATCAAAAGACGTAGATTCGATCGTCACAAGAAAATTCAAATGGATTCACACATCGACATCACAGGAGCAACTGCAACAGGTAGATTTAGGAATGTACGTACCCATCATGCAGGTAGTCGGGACAGCATCGAAAGCAGCGCAGGCGGCGACGAAGCTGCCTCCGAATCCGAGGGTTCCACCAGCAGCGCCGGAGTAGGCTGTTCGGACGCAGGAGGCACCGCCAAGGCACATACCAGCCAAAGCAGCGTTGGAAGCGGACTCTGGGGGAAGCACACCGTGGGCCCAGTATGGCATGGTCAGATTAGTGCTGGCGACACCCGCCATGGTCTTGTAGTAGGGCGCCGGTCCGGTAACCACGGTGGTGGCGTTGTTGTTCATATCGACGCAACCATTCTTGGCACGGCAAGCCAAAGTGATGTTCGGGTGTTGACCAGGGGTATCATACCTGAAGATGATGAAGAAGAAAACGCCTAAACTGGAGAGAACAAGACGAAGAGAGGATCATTGACATCATTCATATGATAACAAGCTAACATACAAGAGAATGAGGGAATTCAACAGATCGAAGCAGCAGAAAGTCTAAGACACATTAATATTAATCAGCATCATGTTGAAGTAGAACGAAGAAGAGGTAAACAAGTTGTTGTACAGTCCCATTCCGAAGTACGCGACGGTGTGCACCTCCAAGTTGGATTGGCAGCATGTACCCATACCCAAGTTTTGGGTCAGGCCGCTCATACCCCAGTGGGAGGAGCCGGCCCGGAAGGTCTTGTCGAAGCCGTCGTTCGGCGGGATGGCACTCTTCCAGGTGCACGAACCGCAGTAGTCGTCGTTGAACATGGTGTCGGAAGTCGTTCCGAGCTTGCTGCCAATAAGGCCAGCCAGCGCGTTGCCGCTGTTGGCAGCGATGGCGGCTCGGATATCAGCGAGACAAGTGCTGTTGGCGTTACAGATGGTAGCGCGCTGGGCTGCCACCTGGTCCATCTTCGGTGCCAAGTTCTGAGGTAGAGGAGTGATGTGTTGAGATTGTAAGTGATGTATTCTGAGGTAAAGGAGTGATGTGTTGAGATTGTAAGTGATGTATTCTGAGGTAGAGGAGTGATGTGTTGAGATTGTAAGTGATGTATTCTGAGGTAAAGGAGTGATGTGTTGAGATTGTAAGTGATGTATTCTGAGGTAGAGGAGTGATGTGTTGAGATTGTAAGTGATGTATTCTGAGGTAAAGGAGTGATGTGTTCCTCAACGAAGAATTTAGAAAGAATGGTGTCTGTGGCTGTAGCGAATGATGAGTAATGGATTTCAAGTACGGCGAGAGACCCCGCGGTGAGGCATTTTCCAGATACAAGGCACGTGGAGATTCCGTGCGTGGCAGAGAATGCTGATGCAGCGGTGCCTGACTGCGTCAAAACATCGTGGGCCAGGATCTTGACGGCGTCGCAGCATGTTCCGGTCACGTTGGCCAAGCAGAGACCAGTTCCAACTGCGCAGTGGCTGCAGGTCGCTGGTGCCAGAGTCGTTGGCGGCAAGGTTGTGGCAGTCACGCGTGTTAGAGGAAGAACTTTGGTGAAGAGTAAATATATCATCATCATCGATAGATACGATAGTGAGAAGAAATTTGAATTTCGAAGCAAAATTAACCTGCATATTTTCCCACAGTTAGGATCCAGATGTTTAGTAGTTCGAAGAATCTGAAAAAGTCCAAAAAACTACTTATTCAGTGTGTTGGGCCATATATTTGACTCGTTTGACGTCAAGAATCGGAGTTCCGCTGTGTTGTCCTCAGCCTCCCACGCCCCGACGACCACAGCCGCCGCGGACGCCAAGAACAGAGATCGCATTCTTCTTTATGTCACGTCACAAGTGAGAAAAAGAAGAAAACCTGCGTATGAATTTGGGATTGTGTAGTTTGGAAAGGTGGAAATGGAAACTCCTGATTGTTTGATGAAGCTAGAAGACAAGAACTACTGATAAAAGTTCATCAGTAGAAAGAATGATAAATGAAAAGTCACCTTAGGTCAAAAAACAGAAAAACAAGGAATCCAAGAATTGCGTCAACTAAGCTACAACTGGTGAATCTAAAATTTTCTAAATTTCGTTAAAAATTTGCAAAAAAATACTACACTGAGAAAATCTACTACTTAAGAACTAGTTGTACTTCACCAAGGCCAAAAAAAGAAAAAAACACCGATCTCTTCATCAAACCGACAAACCTGACAGCGCAGATACCGATTGTATTACTTACATCCTTCATCTTGTTGACATGTGCATGTATCTTTCTTCAAGCAGCAAAAAAAAACCGAACGTCGAGACAGCCTATTGTCTTTGACCATGATATCAGTCTTCGCTTTGTCTCCTCTTTGTCAAGAAAAAAAAAACCGAATTCTCTTGCTGGATACTGTCACAGAATCAGTCGAGAATGTCCGCACATGGTGCAGAAGAACAAAAATGCCGGAAAAGCTCTGTCCTGACTCCACAATAGCGAGCATCTAGGACAACAGTGCCGTTGCCCACAATTGCTTAAAAACCGTGCCTAAGTTGCAGTCTTCCTTTGACAGACTTCCTTCTGTATCCTCCTCACAAAGCATAACTAAAGTGGTGGACCCTCTTGATGATGTTAGTCGGTTCGGAGTGGACCTACGACTTCCCTGAATCTTCTTTGAGTTCTACGAATTTCTCTGGTGGACCCTCTTAATTCTATGGTCCTGTTCCTACTGTCTTCTTCTTACTGTCTTCTTCCTTGCCTTCATCTCCTAGACTATTCAATATCTGACGTGGCGTGAGGGCCATAGTACACCTGACGCACGCTACTTGTGGGTATCTCTGAATACTCATCAATATGGCGTGTCGTAGCCTCGTGATCGAAGCCGCCTCATCAGTCCTTTATGAGCTCGTATCCCATCCGTATGATTAGCCGCTCATCCATGTCGCGAGGAGCTGAAATGCCACGACCAGTGCACGTGCCGGTGTTCGCAATCTATCATCATCATGATTCACACCAATCCATCTCCCTGTTCGTAGTGGTCGTGGTACAGGGGTATAATCTGCTGTCGATTTCAAGCTACGCGTCTACCTCCCGTTCATCTTTCCTGCTGCGACAGAAGCCGCCCAATGAAGCCCAGATGCAGATGACGTTGACTTCCCATACAAATTACCGGTCATAGGTAGTCGCGTACAGGTGTACGTGTACCCATTCCCAGTGTCCATGTCACATGTGTGGTTAAAAAACGACTTCCAATGCTGGCAGATAGGTAATGCTGACGAGTGCTAGACCTCCAGTGAGAAGAAAGGAGGCTGCCTGGAACTGCTTTGAACTGGAGGCGCCGCCAAGTTGATTCAATATCCCTGCTGGTGCCTGCCTTGCTTCCTCACTGTCAAATGCGGCAAGGGGGAATGAAAGTGGGATGCAAGGATTTCAAAAAGGTGCAGCTCAAGCTGAACATCAACCCAAACCGCCATAATCATCAATAAAAATCACTTTGATTATTTTTTCCCAAGCAACATGAGTAGATTATTATCACGCTAGCCTCGACGCACACGTGTCACGCTCGGAGCGCACCTACCATCTGTCACTACGGACGTTGACCGTAGACTTTTCTGTTGCCTACTTACTTGTCATCTACAAGTCCACCAATAAAAAACCTAGGATGAAACTCTGGTCCTCCACCCATAAAAAACACAAGAAGCCAAGCAGCGCCAGCAACAGCCCCAAGAGAATCAGGTACGCGACACGTCCCGACTGTAAGAATTCGACCAAGCTGCTTTTTTGTTCCGTCACGAAAGAAAGCACTAAGTTCATCACTTTCGTGTTCGTCCGAAAAGACCCCGCACTAGGACCTCCAGCTCGCGAAGACATCTTGGTGGAAGTCGTAGTAGAAGTATTTCCTCCTTCTTCTATTGAACCTACTGTTACTTGATGAGGAGAATCTATCCGGCAATTATCTGCCTAAGAAAATAAAAATATGAACTAACTGTTACATACTTGTTCCTGTACTTCTGTGGTTGTAGAACTAGAAGAAAACTACAAAGCAAGAATCAAAAATCTGAATCTTCTGGCTTAATCAGACACTGTCGTGAAAATCAGTCGTAAGTCGTCTTCAGTCGAACCCTCGTTCTTGTTGTGTACAATCAGTACCCAAGTCCTTTAATCCAAACTTTCCGCTTAAGTAACCTCAGGCTCGGCCTCGGCCTCGGCAGCGGTTTTTAGTATTTCAGCGTAGTTGCGTTGTAAGGAGTTCTCGGCCCGGCCGGCGGGCACTCAACGAAACACACGCCGACTGTGGCTCCGTGTCGGTGAATGGACCCTGCTTCGAAAATACCTCCTCCACCACCTCGCATTGCAATGATGTTTTAATTTCACGTAGTTGTGTCTTGCAAGATTTTCTTTCGTTTACCGAGATCTTTCAACATATCAAGTTGGCTGAAATTCATCATCTATTACTAGCAGGAAACTACAGGGGAATCAAGTCGAATCTAATGTGTACATTAATTATTTTAGTTCCAATATATTAATATTTTTCCATGTTATCTTAAACTGTTGGCCAAGGTCATAATCCTAATGAATTCACAAAGATCACAAGGATAAAGATCAGCAAAATGACCAAGATCGCCAGGCGAACAAGGTACCCACCGGCACCACTTTCAACGCGTTGGCCTTAGTTGGCGCGGGTGTCGGCGGTTTCTCCTCTCTCTCTCGTTTGTGGCTCAAGCCTCCCAATACAGTCAAGGACAAAACAGCACCGGAATGATCTCAAAGATAACCTACAGACCTAAAAGCATATAGTTCCAAAATCAGTGATCATCAGGCAAAGGACCTTCAACGTATTCAGATAGAAGAAATGATGAATGTTTCATAGCTGTAGCCAGGTCCATAACGTCTTGTCAGTTCTGATCAATGAAGAATGCCAGTGCATGATGATCGTATGAATCAATGATGATAGCATAAGCGTTTCCGTATGAAGCATATGAAAGATACCCCATGCCACATGATATCCCAATGATGAAGCTGAGACTTCTTCCATGCAACCCCAATGAATATCCACAGGGATCAAAGCAGCCAGAGCCATTTGGCCAGTGGTTAAGGTGTTCGACTTGATCAGTCAGCACTCATGGATCGAACCCGGGAGAGGGTGAAAATCCAGCCACAGGTCTAGCAGACGGCGGAGTCCCTTGGCTAAGGACACGCAATTCGCAATCCGCTAGCTACCCCGAAGAAGGTGAACACCGGAACGGGTTCACTCTGAAGGGGAAGTGGCAGCCTGATCAAACCAGAGATCAATAGTCTCAGGCTGTGAGTGCGAATTGTGCAAACAGTATCACTCTCAAGCGTTTCTCACCGAGAAACTAGACGCGACTTAACAGTCTGTGTTCGAATGTATCCAGCACTACTTTGACCCTTGAGCTTAGTAAAGAGTAGAAATCCATCTCGAAACAACTTTTCAAAATGTCCTGCGATGCGAAAGAAATTTCGAAGAAACTCGGACAGAAGTCCGACTGGCGAGCATGGCAACTTGCCATACGTCAGGAAGCTAGCCGTCTCAGCCTGCTTCAAAACTACACGAATGTAGTCGGCATTCCCGCAGCCCCTCACGGTATTCCTAACGGAGTTACCAATCGGGAGGAAACAATTCGGCAGAAGTGGCGCAACCTGAAAGATGCGATCATTCGCAGTCTGAAAGGTGCCGCTGCGTCGTTCATCAACAACCAGAACGATAGTGGGCAGGTGGATGCGATGGATGCAGGTGAGGTCGTTGTGCTCCTTCGTGATGTAGGACACTTCGAGCAAAACAACCGGCAGGAACAACGGATGAAAGTAAAACCGCTTACGGATGGTGTGTTGAAGTTCCACAACGCGGATCAGCCTGCAGATGTCACGGGATTCTTGTCGAAAGTCCGAGACATCATGAGCCAGTCGCCCACCGTGTACCCGCCGGAAGCAGGAGTGCCTGAAAGTGACCAACAAAATGGCGCACTGCTACAGAAGTTGC